GCGTCCGGTATGTGGGAGGTCATCCAGTGTGTCCGGGTCCGGGTGCGTTGCACTGCAGCTGGGTCAATGGTACATTGATACAAAGGAAGTCATCTGTGTGATAAGAAAAGAAGAAAGAGGAAAGAGAAGAGAGAAGAGAGAAGAGTAAAAAGGGAAAAGGGGGGAGGTCAGGAGGAGTGGATGGTGGGGCACCGGGTCAGGTGGGTGTGCCCTGACACTGGATAGGGCTGGTTACACCATAGGGCTGTGGACCATAGGGGAGGGTCATGGGGACCCAGGAGTTGTCCCCTGACACGCACATTCCCACCTACAGAGCGGCACACCTCCAGGATCTTGTCAGGGCACACCCGCCTGACCCCACCCCATCCAGTCCGACCCCGCCCGATTCCACTACCCTCACCCGCTGCCCCCATCCTCTCTCCTCCCTTCTCTCCCTCTTCCTTCCCCTTCTTCTTTCTTCTTCCTTCCTTTCTTTCTCCTTCCTTCCTTTTCTATTACATGGACGACTTCCTTGCTCGATGTACCATTAACCAGACTGCACAACACGCCCGGACCCGGACACACCAGGTGACACCCTACACACCGGATGCCCCTGAGACCTCTTACAGAGATGCCCAGCTGTGCGTGTAGATGACGTGGCGCTCCCCACATGACCTCCAACCGCATGTACATAAACACAGCCTAAGTGGGAACTGAGAAGTAACCTTCTTCTCACACTTCCCACTTTAGGCAAGTAGCTTACATCCCCCTGCTAATAATAATAACGCACTTCCCACTTTAGCCTAAGTGGCCAAGGACCCTTGCCTGCTTTGGGCCCATTGTTATGCATGCCCATGCTGCACCCTACCGGGCCCTCAGCCCCAGGTGATATACCCGGACGCTCTCGACCCCGGGTTGGTCCCTGACAGATCTCCCATGGAGACACCCAGAGAGGTGTGGCTGTGTGCAGAGATGATGTGGCTCCCCCCACGTGACCCTATCCATATGTATATAATAGCACCTGGGGTGGGAACAGAAGAAGCAGCCTTCTTCTCAACTTCCCACTTCAGACCAAATGGTCAGGGACACTTGTCCCACCAAGTCCCTCACACTGGGACTTCACCGCTTTCAGAGCTGTCCCTGACATGCATGGATGGATGGATGATGATGGTAGCAGGTGGGACAAGCCAAGTGGCACTAGGACATGTTGGCAGAAGTGATGGATATGCCAGATCATGACATCAGCAAGAACTTCATACTAGTACCATAATTAGTAGGAATTGAGGATAACTAACTGAAATAAACCAGATCCTACTTATGCATACAAATGAAGCATCTCATGAGCAATCTGCATAAAGATCTTGTGTGAATTTCACCCTTATACAATCTCCACCATTGGCAATTCATACTTTTCCCCATGCAGTGAATGTTTCAGGGATTACTCATTTGGCAGTTGAAATGCAAATATTGAAAACTGTAGTGAGGTACACTGCCACAAGGTTTTGCAACCAGTCCATGAAAGGTTTCCCACCTCTCCTTGGGGGCCAAAGAATGGAATAGGGATCTATTGTAGGTTTTTGAGCCATGAAGCAAACAGATTGACTAGAATGCACTAACACTCTTTATATACGACCTCATAGTGGCTTAGCTCCTTTTTAGATGGCATTAGTTGTAATGCTTCAGATAGCTCATAGCGGGTCTGTATCTCGTTGAACAGTGCCAGATGATATTGCCACATTGCCAAGCTCACAAATGGGCATTTGCGAGATTTGACAGCAGGTAATAGGTGTTGGCACCATCTCTCCATCACAAACATCCAATTGTAACATCATCAGGAAACCCCTGAGGTCGATTGAAGTGGTTGAGATCATTTCAACCTCACATGATTTACAATCACTTCAACTGGGTCCCCTGATTGTAATCACACCAATTACAGGGGTGATTGAGCTGATTCAGTGATTGTACGGTTGGTTGTATCGGCACGCTATCACATTCTCTCCCACATTGAAGTTTATCAATAAAGTTATTATATTTGAACATTATGTTGCATACATACTTGGGAAAAGAACCCAGATACAAGTTATTACAGTAGTACCCAAACACAATGTAATGCAAAATGAAACACAAATAAAGAGAAGAGGAAAGTGGGTGAAAATATAATGTAATCAAAGAAAGCAGACGCGCGCCTCAACCACTGAACCCTTTGGTACCAAACCTGGTATAAAGGTAGAGCTAGTTGTCTTCTATCGATCAAGCCTAAGATCGTCGGAAACGGATGAGTGGTTGTCGAGTACATGTGGTAAGAAGTTGGGGATAGTGTCGCACATGAGAAGTTTGGTTGGAGGTTGGAAATGACATGGAAAAAAAACATACAAAAATCATGGGATGGGAGGGGGATGTATCAGAGGGTATTGGGGAAGGGTCAGGCAATTGCGGAATGGTGGTGGCTCATGTAAACAAGCACAAGAGGGTGATTAGGTGGTCAGTTTAGCAACAAACACAGTGAACCACCATATTTATGACTCAACATACAACATTTGGGTGGCAAACCCACCCTCATTCTTTCTTTTTCAAGTAAGAAACATCTGGGGTGGAGTAAAAAACATTGCATTGTGAATGCAACTGGAAAAAAAAAAAAGAAAAAAGAGACACACATCATCATGTTTGTTCATGCAGTTCCTATTAGAATACCAACCTTGTTTACATTGGGTAGTTGTGTAGCGGTTATTCATAGCAGTCATTCTGGGGCGCTTTGAGGCATTGGGGGCATTTTGCCCCTCTTATTCAACTTAAAACTCCCTTTGTACGATGACGTTGCCACTCAGGAATGTCGCATATATAAGGGAGGAATTTCTTAGACTTTTCTCCCTCAGATCTCTTATTCGAGTCTGAGGTGAGAACCATTCTATATCTCCTATTATAACTCATGTATAACTCTTGTTGCAGTCTTATGCAACATAGTCACTATTCTAATAGGTTATGAGCCTAACTATGACCACTAATGTTACAGCTGATGGTTCCAAGAGTATTTACAACTGTCATATCCGTGCATACCCGACCCCTACCTGACTTCCGGACCTCCACCCTCTTCACCTCCGGAGTCATACCCTACCGCTGCCGTTCCGATACTCACCTCCAGTCCTGGCAACACACCTCCTCTCACCCCCCACGCCACCTCTGCTCCTCCTTCACAACACCTCCACCCCCCGTCACCCTCCTATGCTTCCCCCGTCCGCTCCGATACTCACCTTCGGACCTGACAACTCTCCTTTCCGCCACTCCTCCTCCCTTACCTTTCCCTTCTCTCCTCCCTCTGGTACTCCTCCGCCACCCTCCCGCCAAGTTACGACCTTCCACCGCTGTCCCATACTTCATACTCGGACACCTCTCATACCTTTGCTCCGAGCCTCCGTCATAGTCCCTACCTCGGACTTTGACTCCACCTCGGTCTTAGTCCATTGCATTGGTGACCTCATACTACGTAAACACCATTGCCAATATCCCTCGGACTTTCAACCCTGCCTCCGTAACCTCCGTAAGCTCCACAACCCCCAAGCTTCGCGGATCACCTTCGGCACTTTCGCCACTTGTAATGTATCTCTCGCCTTTACCCCCATCCCTATTTGGACTACTGCTTCTTCCCATTCTAGCCAGTTAGTCATCATCCCCACTTCTCCTCATCCTCCTGCCCCTCTGGGCCTCGCCCTCCCTACCTCCTTTCGGATGTATCACAGGTCCTGCCTTATGACCTTCGGTACCGCTCCGCTTCTTCTACCCTTTGTTCCCGTTCGGACGTCTTCGTTCCGATTCGGTACCCTTTGTTTTCCTTGTGCTTTTGCCCCCTCCATTATATATATCGGCGCTTGTACATACTCGTTTTGGTTCAGTCCAAAATCGACCTGAAATGCCCCCTAGAGACTTCCTGCTCACCTACTGTGAAATTAAGGACCAAATGGACAAACAGCAATGGCACAGCGCTCCACTTGAGTCGCTGAGGCCAAGGTCCCTCCACGCTAAGTCTCCGATTCCACTCCGGAGTCATCTGTTTCCGCCCGGTTCTAACAACAACATCGAAAAACTCAAAAGCGATGGATGGAACTATCGGATGTGGGCCATACGCAGCCGAATGATTCTCGCTGATTGAGGACTCTGGGATATCGTCAATCCCAAATCAAAGTACTCGACCAGACCTTCTCCCCCTCCCCCCTCTTCCCCTTCATCCTCTTCTGGTAAACAAGCTGCCGCCTCATCCACCCCTGATGCAGACGAATGGGACAGAAAGAACGGCCATGCACTGACCCAGATCAGACTTACCCTCGAAGACATGCCTTTGTCCATTATCGAAGGGAAGGATACCGCGAAGGAAGCGTGGCTAACCCTGTTCAAACGTTACAACGGTGCTGGGGCACAGGATGCTGCAAGAGTTATGACTCAGCTTCACCACTTCAAACTGGACGACTCCAAGCCAATGGAGCCTCAACTGATCCAGATGCATGAACTACGAGACCGCTTAGCAAGCCTTGGCGATACCTACACTGATGCTAAATTTGCCATGATTGTATCGGAGGCGCTACCAGATTCGTATGAGACACTACAACAAATGATGCTGGCCAATATCGATGATGTGTCAACACTGGCTTGCGAAAAGTTGATAGCACAAATCCTCAGAGAAGAAAAGAGGAAGGCAAAACCATCCTCGTCTACTGTCCTCATTGCCAAATCTGGAAAGACACCTGACAAAAACTCCAGTAAGTCTGATGGAAGGAAATCCAACAAAGAACGTCTGCACTGCACGAATCCAAACTGCAAGCGCAAACTCGGACACACCTTTGAACGATGTTGGGCTGAAGGGGGAGGATCAGAGGGACAACGTCCACCTAAGGCGGACTGTTACAGGGATGGGGGAAATTCCCCATTCCTCGATCCGTTCTTATAGTGGGATGACGAAGGTCATATCTGGTCTGTACCATAATGGGATATGTAATTGATGAGTGATCCCAGTCTTGCCTGGGAGTGGACGATCAAATTCCCGTCGATCGCGATTGGTGATGTAGTGAGCTATTAAGGGATTGATGGTAGGTAGTCGGAGATGCCAGGACGGACGGGTCAGCCACGGGTACTTGGCGCTCCTCAATGGAGCGTACCATGTGCGAGGTCACAACTTGTGAGATGGGTGAGAACTTCGTATGGATGCCATCGGGTACTTGGCGTTCGCAGTGCGAACGTACCGGTAGCAGGTTGATGTCATAAGCGTGCAATGAGGACTGACTAGTAGGGCCTTCGGTGACTTGGCATTCCCACAGGGAACGTACCGTTGGTGGGGAAACATGATGACTGACAAAGGAGGGAACAGACGGTGGATGGGCAGCGACTTGGCGTTCGCGTAGCGAACGTGCCGGCATCACGGGAAAGTGGGCCTCAAGGTAGTCACGATCTCCATGATCGTGATGTGATGTCGTATGTCGAGTACTGGGGGGAGAGCGGAGTGACGAGGACCCATAGGGTATGGATTCAATAGGACAATACACATGTCGAGAGTCTTCGACTCTCGACTTCGAGTTCTCGCGGTGAGGGCCATTAGAGGACTCGATATAACCAGACTTATAAGACATATTGAGAGTTGTACAGTCACACGGGTTCAGTTGAGTCACAGGGAGGGTTGTTGTCAGGAACGTGCCAGAAGCGTATCCGGGTGACCCGCGAGGCACGCGAGGTCGTCCAGGCTCATAAGGTCGGAGGGGCGGGACTTTAGCTTCAGCGACTCGGGTGGAGCGCTGCGCTTCATTCTTACGTTGGTGTCCCAATTTCAGACAGAAGCCTTACGATGAGGATAAGAGTTTAGAGGGGGAATCCAAGTCGATATACGAACTGAGGTACATCCGGTGTAACCTACACGCGTTATAAACACAAGTAACTAAATGAGAGCGGCCCGGAAGGAGTGGCGGATCAAGCGCGATATTAATGAATGAAGAAAGGAACAAATAATCAATATCGGCAAACTTGGTCAACAAAAGGAAAGCAAGGAACAATAGTCCGCAAGCGGACAAAAGAGAAAAGGCCATCCGGCCGTCTAGCAAGCCATCCGGCTGGGGGCGGACAACAATGAAGCGGGCAACCTAGGTTGGGAGGTACGCGTGCGAGGGAGGAAGTGCGGATGAGGGTGACGGGTGGATGGATGGGTGGACGGATGATGATGATAGCGGGAGGGACGGGCCAAGTGACACTAGGACACGTAGAGGGAAGTGTCGGATATGTCGGGTCGTGACAGTTGTTACAGAAGACGATACACAAGACAGTTGTAGAGCAGTTGTTAGTTAGCGGGAACTGCCTTCAGCGGTTTCCGTACAAGACGCGTGACTATCTACAAATGGTAAGGTCGCAGGAAATCCCGTGAAACACAAATAACCTCGGCCAGCACCAAAACCCCAATGGGGAAAGCTTTGCACGAGGGGGGGAAAGGGGTAGAACGGGTAAGGAGGATAGGGGATGGAAGGGAGAAAGAGGGGAGGAACAATAGAGAGGGGAAGTCTTTGACCATGCGACGGATATGGTCATTGGAGACTCCGTATCCATAACATGGACGAAGGACAGAGTTCGTCAAAGGGGGCCAAGAGGAAGGACGCTAAGGTCGATGTCCTCATGGCAGAGGAACATGTGGCCGTTGCAACGAGCGATTGCGACAACATGACTGAATGGATCGTGGACTCGGGTGCATCATCTCATATTTGCGCAAACCGGCATTGGTTCTCGACGTACTCACCTCTCCACCCTCCTCGACCAATTTACCTAGGTGATAAACGAGCTCTCTTTGCCACTGGCCAGGGACAGATTGAAGTTGTCCTAAATAATGGGACTAACGATCACCGCGTCATCATCAGCAACGTCCTCTACTGTCCACAGATTGGCACTAACCTCCTATCTGTTACACACCTAACTTCCGTTGGAGCGCGAATCCAGTTCTCGACTAATTGCTGTAAGATCCTCAACCCAAACAATGAGCTACTCGGCATTGCAAAGGCATCAAATGGCCTCTATAGGTGTCATATCCGTGCATACCCGACCCCGACCTGACTTCCGGACCTCCACCCTCTTCACCTCCGGAGTCATAACCTACCGCTGCCTTTCCGATACTCACCTTCGGTCTTGGCAACACACCCCTCCTCTTACCTCTCCGACCCCTTCTCCGTCCGTTCCGATACTCATCTCGGACCGAACATCGCCCTACTCGCCACCCTTCCTACAACTCCGCTCCCCCCTCACCACACCTCCACCCTCCCGTCATCCCCTACGCTTTCTCCGTCCGTTCCGATATCCACCTTCGGACCTGACTACTCTTCCTTACCTGTCCCCTCTCTCCTTCCTCCGTCACTCCTCCACCACCCTTCCACCAAGTTACGACCATCCACCGCTGTTCCGTACTTCACACTCGGACACCGTTCGTACCTTACTCCGAGCCTCCGTCATAGTCCATACCTCGGACTTTGACTCCACCTCGGTCTTAGTCCATTGCATTGGTGACCTCATACTACGTAAACACCATTGCCAATATTCCTCGGACTTCCAACCCCGCCTCCGTAACCTCCGTAAGCTCCGCAACCCCCGAGCTTCGCGGACCGCCTCCGGCACTCTCGCCGTTTGTAATGTATTTCTCGCAATTCCCCCTCATCCCTATTTGGACTACTGCTTCCTTCTATTCTAGCCAGTTAGTCATCACCCCCACTTCCCCTCATCCTCCTGCCCCTCTGGGCCTCGCCCACTCTACCTCCTTTCGGACGTATCACAGGTCTTGCCCTATGACCTTCGGTACCGCTCCGCTCCCTCTAACCCTTTGTTCCCGTTCGGACGTCTTCGTTCCGATTCGGTCACCCTTTGTTTCTCCTTGTGCTTTTGCCCCTTCCTTATATATATCGGCGCTTGTACATACTCGTCTGGTTTCAGTCCGAAATCGACCTGAAATGCCCCCAAGAGACTTCCTGCTCACCTACTGTGAAATTAAGGACCAAATGGACAAACAGCAATGGCACAGCGCTCCGCTTGAGTCGCTGAGGCCAAGGTCCCTCCATGCTAAGTCTCCGATTCCACTCCGGAGTCGTCCGTTTCCACCCACCTCTAACAATAGGCTACCCTGCATCGTCAGCCGATTGGAATCTGCATTCATCACCAAGAATCTTGGGACTGGGAATGTCGATACCGCACTAGTCGCTCGAACAACAACGGCAACAGCATCTCTTGATGTCTGGCATGCCCGCTTAGGACACATCTCGACTCAGTCGATACTGAAGATGGTCCGTAGCAGGATGGCCATGGGTATGGAAGTAGTTGGAGATGGAAAGGGAGGTTCGACCTACTGTGAAGAATGCGAGGCCTCAGGACATACACGTTCCCCCATTCCCAAACAGACACTCACCCATTCAAACGAAGTTCTTGGACATGTGTTCTCTGATGTTTGCGAAGTCCAGACTGTGACTCGCGAAGGATATCAGTACTTCATCACCTTCATTGACGACCACTCCCGATACCTGACCGTCTACCCGATCAAAAAGAAAAGCAATGCACTCGAAATGTTCAAAGATTTCTTGGCCCAAGCCGAACGGCAGTCGGGGAAGAAACTAAAGATCCTGCACACTGACGGCGGTGGTGAGTATTTCTCCAATGAATTCTCCCATTACCTCAGGGAGATTGGTATTGTCCACGAGAAAACGAATCCCAATACACCACAAGAAAATGGCATCACCGAGAGAGTTAACCGAACACCCGTCACGATGACGATCGCCATGCTCGAAAGCGTGAAGTCGCATGTGGGTCGAACAGCTTGGCCTCATGCACTTCGACATGCCGCACTCATTAAAAACATCATTCCCCACTCCACACTCCCCGATGGCATCTCTCCACACGAACTCTGGATGGGAAATAAGCCATCAGTCTCCACCATATGTACCTTCGGCTGCAAAGCTATGCTTGCCATCCCTGAAAAGCAACGGGACAAACTTGCCCCTATGTCAGGGGACAACTCCCGGGTCCCCATGACCCTCCCCTATGGCCCACAGCCTCGGGTCTGGCCAGCCCTATCCAGGGCACAATCTACTGTGGGTAAGGAGATGAATAGATAAAGGCAATGTAGAATACACTTGCCTACTGTGGGTAAGGAGATGAGAAGGAAGCTAACTTCTCATCTTCCCACAGTGGCCACAATATCAGCAAAACTTCCGGGGATACCCGGAAGTCACATGAAGGGGTAGGAACCGGGCCCGGAGCATGTGGGAAGCGCAGTGGGTGGAAGCAGGTCCGGACGTGGGTCCGGGTCCGGGCTAGTCAGGGTGTGTGCCCTGACACCCTAGGTCTATCACGGGAATCCACTTGGGTCTTGCCGTCGGCAAGAAGGCATTTGTGATCTACAAGCCTGCAGCCTGCAAGGTTCATGAATCTCGCGATGTACATTTCTTCAAGGAGTCTCCCGAACCCGAATGCATTACGATTGAGTCCTCTGTCATAGAGCCATCGTCGCACGTTGTTGATAAGGATGAAGAGGCAAGAGGAAATGGTGATGGTGATGGAAGAATGGGAGAAGGAGAGGAGATTGGAGATCAGATCGATGAAATGGATGACAGCGAGGAGGAAGTTGGGGATGGTAGACAGGGTGATGAACTCTTAGGGGGAGATGTGGAGGATGAGGTCATCCCAGAAGCTCCCCGATGATCAACGCGCAAACGGCGTATGCGAATCCGAGACGACGATGACCGGTATTTTGTCACTTCCTACAATCGGGCCAATTAGCCTGTAGACACCCAACCAGTGGGCATCGAACATGCTCACATAGCACAAACCGAAGTGCCACTCACCTATAACGACGCCATGAACAGGCCCGACTCCGATGCATGGCTTGAAGCCTGTCAAGATGAACTACTATCCCTCAAAGAAACCCGGACGTACGTTCCAGTTAAAACTGATGAGGTTGAGGTTCGTAATATCGTCGGGTGTCATTGGGTATTTGCATTAAAGAAAATGCTGATGGAGCGATCGAGCACTATAAAGCTAGGATTGTGGCCAAAGGTTTTGGTCAAGTTTATCACATCGACTACGATGAGACTTTCACACCTGTTGTCAAATGGGTCTCAATCCGGATTCTACTTGCTATCGCTGCGTGGCTCGATCTCGAAGTCCATCAGATGGATGTTAAAACCGCGTTCTTGAATGGTGACCTGGAACACACTATCTATATGAAGCCACCAGCGGGCTGTGCCAATTATGGGAAGGACAACATGATTTGGAAGTTAGAGAAGAGTTTGTATGGGCTGAAGCAGGCTTCCAGAGCCTGGTACGAGAAGGCAAAAGAGGAGTTCGGGAAACTCGGGTTTCTCCGATGCGACTCTGACCATGCTGTGTTTGTTCAGTGTGGGAAGGGGAAGATCTTCTGTATCATCACGCTCTACGTCAATGATCTCATGATTCTGTCTAACAACCTCAAACTACTCAGTCACAAAAAGGCCCAACTCATGAAGGCATTCAATATGAAGGACCTTGGCGAGATCAACTGGTTTTTAGGACTCGAGATCACTCGCAATCAACCACAGCGCTTAATCTATATCTCCCAGTCACGCTACGTTAAAGACATCCTCTCTCGTTTTAATTTCACTAATTCTCGCCCTATTTCTACTCCAATTGCGTCTAATTTCAAGCTACCCCGACTCGATACACCCGAAGTCAACATCCATGACTATCAATCTCGAATCGGCAGTGTAATGTACGCCATGCTAGGTACGCATCCCGACATTGCGTATGCAGTGGGCGCTCTTAGTCAGTATTCCACAAATCCCAGAAAGGATCACCTCGTTGCCATCAACCGCATCTTCCGGTATCTCAATCACTCACAAAACTATAAGTTAGTTTACAACGGTAAGACGCGTGACAATGACTTCACAGGGTACTCTGACTCCAATTGGGCTGGTGACCCACGCAATCATCGATCAATTTCCGGGTTTGTGTTCAAGATCGCAGGAGCCGCTGTCTCATGGAGCTCGAAGAAACAATCCTCGATGGCACTTTCGAGTATGGAGGGAGAATATATGGCATTGACACACGCTTCTAAAGAAGCCATATGGATACAACAATTTCTTGGTGATGTCCTTAGTCCACCTTCCGTCCCACACACCATTCTCGGCGACAACCAAGGCACTCTTGCCTTAGCTGCCAATCCCACTTTCCATGCTCGCACTAAACACATCCGCGTTAGACAACATTTCATCCGAGAGTGCGTGGACAACGGTGATGTCGAACTCGACTACATACCAACAGGCGACCAGGTGGCCAACGTCCTCACTAAGGGACTTGCGCTGGCCAAACACGACAAGTTCACAAAAGGGATGGGCATCATCAATGTTAATCATCATTGAGTGGGTGTATTAGAATACCAACCTTGTTTACATCGGGTAGTTGTGTAGCGGTTATTCGTAGCGGTCATTCTGGGGTGCTTTGAGGCGTTGGGGGTGTTTTGCCCCTCTTATTCAACTTAAAACTCCCTTTGTACGACGACGTTGCCACTCAGGAATGTCGCGTATATAAGGGAGGAATTTCTTAGACTTTTCTCCCTCAGATCTCTTATTCGAGTCTGAGGTGAGAACCATTCTATATCTCCTATTATAACTCATGTATAACTCTTGTCACAGTCTTACGTGACATAGGTATTTACAACTTAGATCTCTTATTCGAGTCTGAGTCTTATGCGACATAGTCACTATTCTAATAGTTCCCACAGCTCAGTTTGTTTGGGTATTGATTTGGTGTTGCATGTGAAGAGAGAGTGGAGTGGAGTAGTGGAGTGCATGAGTTGGAGCAAAGAAAAAACTTCTAAGTTGCAAACCCATTCATTTGAAACTGTACAGCACCTGGATGCAAACGACGGACTCACACACATGGATGTATCCATGTGTGGTTGTGGTGATTGAGATGATTGAGAGTAGTCAATTGGGCAGATTGGGCAGATTGAGTGATTGAATTGCTCTCAACCACTTCAATCGGCCTCAGGGGTTTCCTGATGATGGAGGGCCATTGGTTTTGATGTCATCAGCTATGTGGAGGAGGGCATGTACTGCTAGGGTACATACAGAGAGTTGATCAGACTTGAATTGGTAATATACACTGTGCATGGAGATGACTGCTGTTAGTGGAAGGCGAAGATACAGTGTACAATTCTACTTACCTTTCATACTCTTGGATATTATCGATGACTCTTTCATGCAGGCTACCCAGTTTGGCATCTGTGAACGAAAACTGGAGAGTTGTCTTCATGATAGGGCTCCTAGTGGATTGGCTCAGTCCGGATCCGGATCAGAATCTGCGGATTTTTAGAGGTTTGAAACAAAAACCGTATCCGGCGGTTAGAAATCTGTGGATATGCGGATCAACCGCAGATTATAGATAATACGTTCCAAAATTATATTTCGTTAGAACGGCCCTGATGAGAGCTTTCTAACAATACCAAATATGTCCATATCGGTGGAGAACTGACAGAGATATGGGGAAAATGGCACAAAAGATGGGTGTCAAATGCCAAATTTGGAAATAACGGGCCTGGGTGGTTAGATAGGACTTGAAAAAATTGGGAGAAAATATGGAAACATAGGAGGGGTATCTAGGAAAGTGGGATATATTTAATCCATGGATAATCCACCTATCTGCGGACTAGAAACTGCGGATATTATCCTCTCAATAGCCACGGTAGAGTAAGAGTTACAGTAAATGTGGGGAATTTCACCCTTATTTGCCTCAGATCTCCTGCATATCTGCAAGCAATAAATCATGTGACAAAACTGCGGATAATCCGCAAATTCGCGGATTAAAACAGCCTAGTCAGCCACCTAATGACGGCCTATAGAGGGGGGGCCGTTTGGCCTTCAAATGGGCCTAAAAGGGGGTATTTACTAGTGGATGTCCTGGACATCCTGGTGAAGACTGATCCATTCACCAGGACATCCCCAGGACGTCCTAGGATGTCCTAGGATGTCCTGGGATGATTCTATAATTCAATCAAATTCAATCAAATGCTTCTGTGATTCAATCAAATTTGTATTATTCAGGGTAGACATTCAAAACATAATGCCGCAATTGAATCTGATTTCCCATGACAATCCTCAGGCTGCTCAACTGTCTGTGCACAATGCTGGCCACTGTCTGAAGGGGTGTCAACACTGTTTCCCACGTCCCCAACACACTTTACGCAGATGGATAGCCCCTTTGAACAGCTTCCAGAATATATATTTTGAGACTGAATTGACCAATAAATCATCGAGAAAAACGCAAAATACTTTTTTGGACACGAGTTCTTTTGGGTTAGTGTGGCTGTCCACCTCATGTCTGTGCACAGTGCTGGTCATTGTCCGGAGGGGTGTCCAGACTGTTTCCCACGGTGTCAACACACTTTGCGTAGTTGGATAGCCCCTTCAAATAGCTTCCAGAATACATAATTTGAGACTAAATTGACAAGCAAGTTATTGAGAAAAATGCAAAATACTTTTTTGGACACGAGTCTTTGGGATATCAGTGACCCGGGAATTTCGATGACTTCGATGACTGTCAGTGAAATTTAGTGGCCCAAGCACTATCCCAAAGACTCGCATCCAAAAAAGTATTTTGCATTTTTCTCAATAACTTGCTTGTCAATTTAGTCTCAAATTATATATTCTGGAAGCTATTTGAAGGGGCTATCCAACTACGCAAAGTGTGTTGACACCGTGGGAAACAGTCTGGACACCCCTCCGGACAATGACCAGCACTGTGCACAGACATGAGGTGGACAGCCACACTAACCCAAAAGAACTCGTGTCCAAAAAAGTATTTTGCGTTTTTCTCGATGATTTATTGGTCAATTCAGTCTCAAAATATATATTCTGGAAGCTGTTCAAAGGGGCTATCCATCTGCGTAAAGTGTGTTGGGGACGTGGGAAACAGTGTTGACACCCCTTCAGACAGTGGCCAGCATTGTGCACAGACATTGAGTTGGACAGCCACACTAACCCAAAGACTCGCGTCCAAAAAAGTATTTTGTGTTTTTCTCGATAATTTATTGGTCAATTCAGTCTCAAAATATATATTCTGGAAGCTATTCAAAGGGGCTATCTATCTGTGTAAAGTGTGTTGGGGCCGTGGGAAACAGTGCTGACACTCCTTCAGACAGTGACCAGTACTGTGCACAGACATTAAATAAGTTGGACAGCCACCATCAAAAGACTCGTGTCCAAAAAAGTATTTTGCGTTTTTCTCAATAATTTATTGGTCAATTCAGTCTCAAAATATATATTCTGGAAGCTATTCAAAGGGGCTATTCAACTATGTAAAGTGTGTTCAGACCGTGGGAAACAGTGTGGACATCCCTCTAGACAGTGGTCAGCATGCGCACAGACCATGGGATGGACGAGTATGGCATTCCGGGACAATTTGCATCAAACTGAATTAGGACATCTGAGGACGTTTGCAACAAATGAATGAAACTGAATGGCCAGGATGTCCTAGGATGTTTATAGTGAAAAAGGCCTTTTAGGCCCCATGCAAACGTCCTGAGGTCCCCCCTATAAAGGCCCACATAGTGGTTGTCCAAGGTGCTGGAGTTGGCATGTCCCCATTTCTAGCGCGCAAATACTCTGACACCCACTTTCTGAATTACGAAGTTTGTTGGGAATTGGAATGATCATTTCAAGCGTATTTTGCGGATCCAAGCAAGTCTGAGGCTTCTCAGATATCGAAGATTTAATTACTAATTGCTACATCCGTCATCCGAGGACACGCAATAAGCGATATCAAAGACGTAGCATGTCCAATAAGCAACTGTCCCTTCTATGCAGGACACCGACGTCCCATTGCCGCCGCTAGTGCCGTGTGTAACAGGGAAACACGATCCTGTTTTGTTTTGTCCATCCTTGATGCTCCACCACATATCAAGCCGATCGGAAACTGTAACGTTACAACCGCAAGGTGCAGCAGTCAGTTCTGACCCCAATGTGATGCGCCTCTGGAAGAAAGAGGGGCTTTGGGCTATGACTGCATTCCAGCAAAGGTTGTCTATCAAGCAAACATTGGTTAAAGCAAATTTGATTTTGGACTTCAGTTCACCTTCGATTGATGGGAGAAAAGTCCAGACTGGCAAGCCCGGTTCGGTGTAATAATTGTCAAGGTGACCGCAATGGTTCATAATAACGTGGAAATCAGCTGCGACAGTAGGAAGTAGAACGATTGGGATCAAGGCATTCCGGAATCGCATGATGACTTTGGTGAAGTGCTACTGTTATACTGGCAGGCAATGTATGCGAGATGAGTAGCTATGTGTGCGACGTGAATTAAGGAATACTAACCTCAAGCCGCTCTCAAGCGGAAGACTTAGAGGACTGAGAAAAGGGAGGGGAACCCATCCTTCGGAGGCTATATAGTGTCTTCCTAGCCTTTGAAGAATGAAAAATAAAAATAATCTAAGTCCTTGCTCAGTGCACATGGGGAGGTGTCATGCTGTATGGTGTGTCATTAATTGTGCCAGAAGGCATCATATCATGAACATACATTACACACATGTAGATTTAAACGTTATTCCAGCCGAGCTGAGATATTAACATGCCTACATGCCCATGGCAAAAGAGCCAAAACATGCGAATTACCATGCCACGCCGATTCTTCAATGCATGGATATTTGACTTAGAACATACCGCACATGCCGAAGACAAGACCGATGGATGATTCAGGAGATTTGAAAGAAAAATGGGACCAGGCAAAGAACGGCAGCACCAACCGACGACCTGCAATCGTGATGGCTGGTGGTAGTAAGGAAGCCGTTCTCAAATATATACACATGTGTGAGAATGGCTTCTTATTCTCGAATTATATTGTTCATATTTTGTCATCCAATTAATTAGGGATACCGTGATTCGGTTCGGAGCCGAACCGAATTGGTCATGGAGTGTCAACTTGACCAGGATTCGGTTCAATAACGAGCCCGCATGCAATCATCCCTCAACCTTCGAACTGCACCAGAGTATGAGCCAACCTGTCATCGCGTTTGCGATTTAGGACCTTCGGTTCGGCTCCGAACCGAATAGTATCCTAATTAATTTACTGGATGACAATATAATTCGAGAATAAGGAACCGTTCTCAAACACGTGTATGTAATTTGAGAACGGCTTCCTTGGTACCATCAACAAAAATTATCACAATTGCGGTTCGTCGGTTGGTGCTGCCGTCCTTTGCATGGTCCCATTTCTCTTTCAAATCATCTATCGGTTTTGTCTCCAGCATGTGCGGTATGTTTCAAGTCAAATATCCATGTCATTGAAGAATCGGCGTGGCGTAGTAATTCCCATGTTTTAGCTTTTTTGCCATGGGCATGTAGACATGTTGATATCTCAGCTCGGCTGGAATAACGTTTAATTTTACATGTGTGTAATGTATGTTCATAATTAGATGATGACCTTTTGGCACAATTAATGACACACCATGCAGCATGGCACTTCCGGGTGTGCACCGAGCAAGGACTGTTAGGTAAAATTATTTTTCATTCTTCAAAGGCTAAGAAGACACTATATAACCTCTGAAGGATGGGTTCCCCTCTGTTCTCAGTCCTCTAAGTGTTCCGCTTGAGAGCGACTCAAGGTTAGTATTCCTTAATTCACGTCGCGCACATAGCTACTCACATCACGTACATTAAATAGTAGCATTTCACCAAAGTCACAATGCGATTCTGGAATGCCGTGATCCCACTCGCTCTACTCCCCATTGTCGCAGCTGATTTCCACCTTACCCTGGTCGCTTGTGCTGAACCTGAGCTCCCCCCCGATGCAACAGCACTGCTACATTGGGAGATTCTCCCGGCGAACCAAGGTGAACTGAAGCCCGAAATGAGATTTGGTTTAACTAACGTTTGCCCAACAGACAGCCACATTTGCCACACAACCCGTCCGAACACCTACTTCCCCAAGAGGGGCGTCCCAATCGGGTCAAAAATATACTCTTCACCTTGCGGTGGTAACATTACAATTTCCGATCGGCTTGACGAGTGGTTCAGCGATGATGGAAAGAACGGAACGTGCTGGCCTGTTATGTATGATGGTGGCATTGGGCAGATGACGTCGTGCCCTATAGAAAAATCCCATTGGTGCATGGTCTTTGATGTGCGCTTTTGCTCGTCCGATTACTGGTGTAAAGGACGTAACGGAGGCGGCTAGGAGTCACCAAAGAAGAAATTCCTGAGATTTGTTTGTCTTCTGCTTGAAATGATCAGTTTAATCTTCAGTAGTAATTCAGGGGTTGCATTCGCGCGCCGGAAATGGAGAATGGCCCTCATGAGTCTAGTCACTGGTGTGTTAAGTAAATGAGCAAATCATGACGACTCGCGGGTCATGACATTACCCTATATACTAAACTCTTTTTATATGCTCCAGGTCTCACTGCGCACTTCAAGACACTCTCTACCTAATTTTCATCATTTATTATTTATCGCCTTTCTGGCGCCTCTTCCATCCTACTACTCCGGCCATACTACAACCAAGATAGTTCTTGTATTCCCGCTGGGTTATTACTAAACTCGTGATGACAAGTGAGACTTGAGCTTGCGTGGTTCTAAAATGAATCAGATGAAACGTCACACTGATATAATCTAGCGTGCGGCTTGCCCAGTGGCTTCGACTGGTCCCAGGCTTGCTGGGAATCATTCGTTCGATAACCTCGAGTCCTTCTCTGACATGTCTGCTGACCGTGTGAGCTGGTCAGTGGGGCTAGCTCTCGTTGCGGCAGGTGCAAGGTGCCCGGCGAACGGTCGAGCCTTTCTTCTGATTTGCTTAGAAAAAAGATCTTAAAATGGGCGCTTGATCTAGGACTCATTGGAGCCATGCATATATACGTACTCTGCACTCGCCTTCAACCCTCTCTACGTACTAGTTGCCTCAACTTTGCTTGCATGGCGTCTTGAACCCCAAAGCGAATCCTCGCTTACTAGTGGGATGATGCCCACCAGAGAACTCGCCAAAAATGGGCGACCAGAGAGACGGCCATAAAAGGGTGGAACGGGAGCTTCGATCGATAGAGATCGTATTGTCCTTTACATAGCTGATTCTAAATTTCCATAGCTGTGCATCGGGTATACCCCCGCCGCTATGTTCCGTTTCCTGCGCTCAACCTTGAGTTGAGTACTGCCATCGCTAATTAAAGGGATAGGGAAGATCAGGGTGTGCTTTGAATCAAGTAGAAGTACACGGCTAACTGTTCCTTTAAATTTAGTGCTCTTCCATAGCTTCATAGCACTACAATCCGGCTCGTGTACCGCCTTTTATTGATTCAATTACTATTCGTTGTACGGGACACTTGAAGAGCTCTTGCCTTGCAAGGCAGTAGCAGGGTCGATCAAGATGAAATAGTAGAAAAGAAGATTACTGTGGCTGCGCAACTGATCGCAAGATACTTCAAGCTGAAAGAGGGGAGGCTTCAATGCTGAATAACGAAAAGGATAGGCTAACTGGGCGAGTAGGTGATTAAACGTAGCGATAAGAGTGAGACTGCAAGTTGTAGCCGGTCAAGACAAAGTAAACTGGCAGGAAGCACCGCCAGAAAGGTTCGGTGCATTGTAACCAGTGGAGCGTAACGAGCTAGAAGTCCTCGTTAAAATGCACCGCGTTCTCGCCTCTAGCGCCATGTCCATTCTCTTCAGCGCGATGTGATTTTTCGTCTTTTGCTGTTCCTCATCTTCGACTAAGGCTGGGAATTCACTCGGATCTGTGTATGGTGTGAAAGGCCCGCCCATGGTGGCGGGAGTAGCAGTTCCAGCGCTAGAAACAGGCGACATCTCCACATCTTCATTGATCCCGCTAGTAAGAGCCTGTGGGTTAGCAGGTGTTGTCGGAATAACTACTGAGGATTTTTCGGAGGAAGGTGGACGACGAATCTCTGGAGGACGCGAAGGAGGGGCGGCTTTGAAAATGGAAGGAGGCGGTACATTAATGGGAGCCCGAAATGCCGCGGGCGCCACCTGTTGGTGCTGCGCTTGCTCGTGAGGAGATTGGCACTGGCTAAGGTAGGAAGAGGAGAGCTGCACAACATAATGCGAGGCGCCATGCTGGGTAGGGTCAACCACACGAGCTGGTGTATTATTCGGCACTTTATATCCAGGGCGGATGGGCGGAAGAGGGGGGGGGGGGCGGAGACGCCTGACTGGCAGGGAGTCCTGAAAATCAGCGTAGCGAGTTTCGTCAGAACCAGGGATATTAATGACGTATCCACGTCGTGCAGAACCGGCGAATTGTTGCTGATACGTGGGCCTTCGGACATCCTGAGTGTGACTAGATGTAGCGATGAGAACGAAGGCTTGGGGAGAGATGCATTAGTATAGCGGAAATCGTTAGTATTGATTGACTTTTGCTGGAGCGGACTCTCAGGATGAGCTTCTTGCCTCGCAATAAGTTCACGGATGCACTTCTCAGACGCCTATAAATCGAATCATTGGGCGAAGGTGTGGGCCAGACTCGTACCAGTCGGAGGAGCTCCGTGGACGCGCAAAAGAATAGCTCTTTACGCAATGTTCTCACGTTCTGTATTCAATACAAAAGATCACATGATACGGAGTTAAGCACATAGCGATCACCTACTCCGTATCATGTGATCTTTTGTATTGAATACAGAACGTGAGAACATTGCGTAAAGAGCTATTCTTTTGCGCGTCCACGGAGCTCCTCCGACTGGGTACGAGTCTGGTGTGGGCGTTGTTTGGGCTTTTGTCAGTCAATTCGTGATTACATAATTTGTGATTTCATTTGCGCCGCTGGCTTGCTTCCACCGACTCCGACGATTATGTGATGGCCGCTCCACCTTACCACCCCATGTACGTGCATCATAAATCTTAATACTCGCTAGGGAATATTCGTGCCCATATCTACTTCCCTTGCTCAACCAGTTGCAACGCGTTAGTGGACACCACACTCCAGTAATTATCATCCCGGCCCATCTTGCGTTCGAACTAGACAGTTTTGGACCTCACCTTGGTCAAATTGATCTCATTCAGGATCAGAGCGCTTTGTACCATTCTTGCCGACTTAGCTCAGTTCATCGCCTCCCTTGATCCTCCTTTTCTTTTGTCCCCTGAGGTGTGATCTCTCTCAACTCCTCTCTCGCTTGCGATTGTGGCGAGGGAGGTTCATTCATGTCATCGTTTGAACTTTTGAGATTGATGTGGAATGTGCCGGGGAATCGTACGTAGAGAACGTCGAACTGTGAGCGACTATTCCCTCCTTGGTTGATGTTTCATACCGATTAACTTCACATCCATTTGGACCCATTCGTAACCTCCCTGATTGACGGTCCATGCCTGATCCCGTCCAAGGATCCAGACACGACGTGAACCCGCACCTGCCTTATTGATTACACACCTCCATAATTCTCCCTGGCACAAAAATCGAAGCCCAAGTCGATCGGTGGCCATACGCAGCTGCCTTCTCGTGTTCCGTCCATTCAAGTCAGATTATTGCCGCTATTCCTAACCCGTTATGATCCAACAGACTTCGCTGCCTCAAATCTGACCAAATAATCCTTCCCACTAAGTATCATCGCGCTATACCCTACTTGTCCTTCCTTGGGAGAGGCGCGCTCTACGGTAACCAGCACTATGTTATCACGTACTATGACCCAGAGCCTGTGCCGGACAGCACTTCTACCACGAATTGTCGCCGCCTCGGGCTGCATATGACCATGGCATCCGGGGATTACTACGAGGTGTTGTGGCGTGCACCTTTAAATGATTCGCTGTCCTGCAGACCCTTCCGCTGAAAATGCTCGTCTTTTCCCATCGATAAATTCACTCTAGTGAGGAAGAACAGTAATTAAGCCTGGAATGGACTCGCTTCGCTTTGTGACCGTGCAATGCCTGGTGTTGAAACAGTCCAGTTCTGTCGATCTTCGAGAATTGATCAACATGAATTAAAATGAATCGAACGCAGCGCTTATCTTAGCAATAGTAGAACCTGATATATTAGCGCCGAAGCCTAAACGGAATGCCGGGTTCCTCGGAAGGCAGTAGTGGCGCTATATATTGTGGCGCCACTGGCGGCTTGCCTAGTATACGTAACCCCAACTGGTTGCTCATGATGACATCAAGTGGAGCACTCCGGCACCAGGAATAAGCCATCCCCATTGTCGGGTTTAGACGTGTCCCCCAACCTCGACACCCTCCAGTCGATCTATCCTCTACATATGGGCACGCTCTCTCTTCTCTCTTCTCTCTTTCATGGCTCTCCCTGTTCCACGGTGATAAAATTAGGTAGGGAGCGGTGTGAAGTACACAGCGAGACATGGAAAGGGTTTATACTACACCGTTACGGCCCGCGAAGTTGTCATGACTTGCTCATCTCATACTAGTGACTAGACTCACTGGAGTCATTTTATTTCCAGCGTGCGAATACTCTGAAACCCAATTTACGAATGACAAAGCTTGTTGGGGATTGAAAATGATCATTTTTTCAAAACGTATTTTTTTCGCGAACACGGACACATGTACAAGCAAGCTTTGAGTACTTCTCAGATCGATGTCGAAGATTACTAATTGACACAATGGTCATCCGAGGACTCGCAATAGACTATATCGGAGGCGAGGCATGCTGTCGCGGTACTATCATAGTTCACTCTGGTGACTCCGCCGCACCAGATCGACTCCTGAGGCTGGCCACCGTATGTAACAGGGAAACACTTTCCGTTCCGTCCATCTGGGCTGCTCCAACTGTCAAGCCGATATGAAACCGTAACGTTACTACCGCAAGGTGCAGCCGTTAGTTCTGACCCGAAGGGGATGCGCCTCGGGTCCCAGGAAGTGGAGTTGCCTGCCTCGATGATACTATCGCACCGGTCCGCTGTTGGGAAAATTAACATTGGTTAAAGCAAATGTCATTTCGGGCTTCACTTCACCTTTCGATGAGAGAAAAAGCATATACGGTAATCCCGAATAGCTCTGCCCCGAGTCATAGATCGTTCCGCACGTGACTATGAGAACGTGCCAATTAGCTGCGACAATGGGAAGTAGAGCGATTGTGATCAAGGCATTCCAGAATCGCATTGCGACTTTGCTACTATTATGCTGGCAGGAAATGAATGTTAGTAGCTATGTGCTCGACGTGAATTAAGGAATACTTACCTTGTTGCCAAGCTGAACGCTTTAGTGGACGGGGAAAAGGGAGGGGAACGCATCCTTCAGAGGCTATATAGGAGGTTCCAGCATCTTTTCAAGAATGAAGAATAATTTTCCCTAACAGCCCTTGCTCTGCACGCGCTTGTGTCACGCTGGCATGGTGGGTCGTCAATTGTGTCGGCAGGCATCATCCAATCGTAAACATGCATTACACACACATGTAGTGAAAATTAAAGGTTATTCCAGCCGAAGCTGAGACACCAACATGCCCGCATTTGTCAATGCTTCCTTATCCCATCGGCGAAGGTCATCGCAGTTGCAAACTTGCAGACGAATCGGTTAATGGTGCCACCACCTTTCCCCCAGTTTCATTTATCTTTATTCCAGCCGAGCTGAGACTGAGATATGTAGTCCCTCCCATCATTCTCCCAAAGTTAATAAATATTACTGTAATAATCAATATTTACATGTCAATCTCACTCATACTTATGGGTTACGGATTAAATTTCGCGAAATTCGAATATAAAAATTTCCCTGCACGTTATGCGTTGTGGGTTTATGGGTTAGGCAATACCAGTTCACAGAAATTTCTATGGGTAATGTGTTATTTCAGTTACGGCCTACCACGGTTTCAACTGTATCAACATGCCCATGGCAAAATATCATGCAAATCACACGCCATGCCGACTCCTCGATCCATGGATCCATGAAAAACGAACCACACACATACGCCGAAGACAAAACCATGATTTGGAGGTAAAATGGGACCATAAAAAGAATGGCAGCACCAACCGACCTGCGATTGTGATTAACCTTCGCTTATGGTACTGGACGAAGCGGTTGTCAAATCATGCGGGCACTGTGGGGTATCTCAGCTCGGCTGGAATGTTGCATGTGTGCTATAATATATGATCAGCTTCCGGCACAGTTACTAATAATGACCCACCATGCAAGCGTGACACAAGCGCGTGTGGGCCGAGCAAGGAAGATTATTTTTCCTTCTTCAAAGACTGGGGGGGGCACCAGAACTTCCTATATAGCCTCGATGCGTTCCCCTCCCTATTCTCAGCCCTCCAAGTGTTCCGATTGACAGGGAGGTTAGTATCCCTTAGTTCACGTCGCGCACAGAGCTACTCACATCGAATTCATTACCTGCCAGTACAATAGTAGCAAAGTCACAATGCGATTTTGGAATGCCTTGATCCCAGTCGCTCTACTTCCTATTGTCGCAGCTGATTTCCACGTTGTCGTGGTCATTTACGGTTATACCAACTTCCAGCCCATGTCGGGCGGATCATATCTGAGCTTGATCCCATCGAACCAAGGTGAAGTGAAGCCCGAAATGAAATTTGCTTTTAACCAACGTTTTCCCAACAGACCCACCCGGCGATGACATTTGCGCGAAAGTGGCTGAGCCGTGGTCCGAGTTCTACCAGCAGCGCATCTCAGTAGGGTCAGTAATAGAGGCTGCACCTTGCGGTGGTAACATTACGGTTGCCGACGGGCTTGGCGAGTGGTCCAGCGATGGCGGACAAAGCGGACCGTGCTTCCCTGTTAAATACGGTGGTGGCATTGGGCGGAGGACGGCGTGCAATGTGGAGGGCACAGCGATAGGCATAGTCTTTGATGTGGCCTTTTGCCAATCCCAGTGGTGTAAAGGACCTGACGGAAGCGGCTAGCAGTAGAAATGCACGAGACTTGCTTGTTTTTGTGAAAAAAAAGTATGCTTGAAATGATCATCACTCAGATTCACTGGTAATCCAGGGCCCAGGGGGTTGCATTTCATAGTAGTATTCGCGCGCCAGAAATGGGGAATGGGACACCCTATTCCCACCCCTTGTTAGGTCTGACAAGTAGAACCTTTTGCGACTCACCCAACAGGCCCAAAATGTTTTCAAACTCGTAGAACATTTTGTTCCAATTCAGTTTCCCTCGTGACATTTTCAAAAATGTTTTCAAAATGTTTTTTTTTTTTTGGTAGAACCCTCCATAGCTTTCGCTGGGTAGATTTCTACCTGGGGGGGGGGGGTGAACCCCTGGGGACGAGTGTTGTTGTATTGAGCCAAAACCTGTAACTCCACCGTGGGGAAATGCGTTTACGCACTGATCATCACGTGAGTGTGGGGCTCGCTTGTCGGAAAACTGGGGATTTCGTTGTAACGCGTTACATGGCGTTATGGGATTTTGCTGCATGTTACAAGGCATTACATAGATTTTGCTGCGTGTTACGAGGCGTTACAAGGATTTTGCTGCATGCTGCAAAGCATTATGAAATTTGGCTGTGTGTTACAAGGGTATTATGGGATTTTGCTACATGTTACGCATATGAACTACCGATTTGCTCGAACACAAGATGGACCACAATAAACCAAATATACATAATGGTGCCTGCATATTTACATTATCAGTTGACTTGAAAGACTATCGGATACTACTTGTAGACGGAAGAACATGTCAGTATCAATGACATCCTTCAGAAGATGGTAGCTTGGACATGGAGGATCTGTTACTGGAACTATGAATGCGTGTCTGATAAACTCTGAGACCAGCACAAAAAATGTTTGCTGTGGCGACTCAAGTTGTAGAAGTCGAAAGCCTGTTATGTTGGAATTTGCACGTGGTCTTTTAGGGAAACCTAAAAGTTGGACATACTGGGAATCGAACTCCAGTCCTCTGGATCGTGAACTCAGTGTGCACAGCCATTACACCATACGCCCTGATAGGCTGAGGTGGTTATTTCAACATGTTACCCCGTCACTTGCAGTGTACTCGGATAGGGTGGCTAGACGAAACCCTTGAACTAGGGCAATGGTATACATGGATCTCTGGAAGGGCACATCGTACATTTTGATGACTTTTGCAAAGCAGGTCCCACTTGGAGAACGCAGTATCACAGAATCACTGCGCTTTCATCCATGGAACTCGTCGTGTGTGCGAACAAATTCATCTCTGCCTGTACCATTGTCAAGGGATCGATATTGGATTTTGATTGTTCGCCATTCCATAAGCTGGATCCATAGATTAGAAGAATTGCAAGCCGCTGGTAGTAGAAGTTTGGACCTACCCAATTAACCTCAGATCCGTCTAAACTCTGGACACCACACAATGAATGGATGAAGTTATAGAACTTCACCGGGAATGCAAAAAATTCTGGGCACATTTCCTGGGACTGTTCTACCGCATGAATCGAAATCGTTACACCTTTCCATGTCATGACAGGGGGCTCTCCGGGAACGGTGTTACAGGCAGTGTGGAGATGACCCGGGACGTTAGAAACATCAGCTTCTTCAGGGCTTAGCTCCTTTCGAATTTCCTCTTGTATTGCATCAAGTACCCAGATGTGCTCATCATGTGTAGCAATCTAAAAAAAGGCAATGAATAACTTCCCCCACACAAAGAAGGAGAATATACCCTTCTTCCAGTGTTCTTAAAATTCCCTGATTGAAAAACCTTGCGCATCCACAGGTGTTCACACTCTCCAGGCTTAGTGCTGGTGTTTGCAGGGACTCCTTTTGCCAGGAATGTCGAGAAACTATGCTGAAGCATGTGGAACTTGGGGAAGCACCATGACTTTTGGCCATCCATAGTGCGTAGTGTGCAGAGTGTTTTTCGTAGTGGCTCAGAATGTGTGAGATATGATTGGGGGATCAGTACACCCTATGAAACATTGTTAATATAGCAAACCATGTTTGAAATGAGGACATACTTCCGTCAGACGCTGCAAATTGTGAAGCATTGCTTCACCCAATTGAATCCTTTTCATATTCAGTGACTCACACTGGAACAGGATGTTAATTATACTCATCACTCGAACACACCATACCAAAGAAGAGAACTCCAATGGGAGGGCATGTAGCCCGTGTAAAATAACCTAGTGGCAGAAGCCCTCAATTTGTAATGCAAATAATTTAGCAAAGGATAATGAGACTCACCCAAAGTAAATGGTCCAATCTAGTGCCATCATTAAAGTCATTGAATACGCTGCCTGTTTCAAAACTCTTGAGCCCTTTCCACATAGGCAGTGAACATATTCTATTTCAAGGCTAAAATATGGTTTAGTATCCCTCAAAGTGAGTACACTCACACACTCTCGAATCGTGCTATCACTTCCAATCCTAGGAGGGGGATGAGGGTTTGAATGATTGGCACTGTGTGGCCTCCCCAAACTCCTTCTTGCCATGTATGCAAGATGTCGAATGAAATGGCCCAATGCGGATCGGAGTTGTGAATCTGGTTGAACACACTCTTCGAGTCCCAGTGAGTATGACGGGACCAATTTTGGCATGTTCCATACCTCATGTGCTCGCAGCCCATAGCTCTGGAGTAATTCCTCTGCCGGTCCCTTTGCCATTGTTTGAGCCTTTCGAATAATTTGGCTAGTTTCAGATTTGGAGCAGCGAGGATACTTCATGTCCAGTCGGTGAAGTGCATCCCTTGGGACAAGGCAGATTGTGCAAGGCTTGAGTGATTTAGCGCCACGCATGGCTAACATGGTCCAACTAACAAATATGCATTAGACAGCTGGCCGAGAATAAAGTGTTTGACTTACCCTTCTTGGTTGTTGGCGATTAGGCCATATACAAAAGGAAAAACTCTCCGTAAAATATCATCGGCACACCTGAGCTGGACACCCCAATATGCCACATCATGCAGAGAGCTTAAAACCTCACTCATTGCCTGTTGATAGATGTATGACTGAAATGTGGCCCAAGCTTTTTGGTTACACTTTTCAGCTCCGCTGCCTTTCACCTACATCAAGTTCAGCAAAGATACACTCGTAAATGAAAAATAAATACACTTGCCTCAGGAAGCCAGCCAATCAGACAACCACCACCTGTTCCCTTAGCGTTGCGGATGGAGTGGGGGAGAATGGAAAGTCTGGCAATAACAGGGTAGCCAGTCACTGAGCCAAAGGTAGAGAGTTTCGACTTATCTGCATAAATATAGATGCCCAGCAGAAAACTATCAACATCTCCAATTTTCCTTGCAGCATGATCCTATCTAAATGATATAAAATATTGATACAATAGCGGCTGGTACACTCACCCATGCATCCCAGAGTTCATCCCCAGTCCATGGCTCGTCCACGCACCGAATCCAGTTTCCATTTTCTTTCGAGAAGATCTTCTCAGGGCACCAGTGAACAGAGCCGAAAAGGAAGGGATCCTGAAGAACTCCCTTTATCCAGCTCATTATCGGTTTTCATATGACTTCGATTGTTCGTTCTAGATTCCCAAGTTTGACGGTAAGGGACTTTGTTTCAAACTGATGAATGACAGTCAGCCTGTGGAATGGTCAATTGAAATGATGAAAAGACTTTCCTTGGTTGATAAAGTACTAGCGTTGTAGGAGAAATAACGGTCACACTATGGAAACCCATTATGGAAATATGCCAGATAAATCACAAAACCTCATACGACAAGTAGATATGAGAAAATAGAAGGACCTGAATTTTAACGAATTTTAACGAATTTTAACGAATTTTTATGACTATACGCGATAAATCGAAAGAAAGAAAAATAGCAAAAATACTTCAAGCTTACCATCAACGAGACGGAATTCTCGGGGAATTTATAGCAAATATTAAACCAAGAATTAGGACAATCGACCAAGATTTGACTATAAAAACAATCAGGGAACCTCCACGGAAACTACTTTCCCACGTCCACACACGTAGCCAAGGATGGAAGTACCACGGAACAAGGATTCCTCAGGAACTAATGCAAAATTCAAAGTCATGTCTATAATAGGAAATGTAGATGTCCCCCAAACGGACCCAATAAAAGTAATTACAGGGGAAACTACCCATAAACAACAGAGATATGACTAAAACTCCTGCAAAATGAGGACAACATCTAAAAGGCAAGCGCGAAGATTAACCAGTAACGACCGAGACAAGCTTGATAGCCCATTAGAAAGGAAGGGATCTAATCTTAATCCTCCCAAATTTTCATAATAAAAGGATCATGCATTAATGAGATATCCAATAATGGGAATAGCAACATCAAAAGTCCGAGCTCAGGGAAAAGACGATGTTTGCGTAGGATCCATAATTAAAACATACAACGAAATTTACACGGAAATTATGAAAAATGGGGAACTATAGTTATGCAAATTTTCAGCCCAAACGGTCCAGCCGTTGTGAAGTTATACCCATGACAGGAATATAGAAATCCGCATCATGTGTAATGACACGTGAGGGTGGCGATGCGCAGGGAACCAGCCATCAGAACCGAGATCCGCACTTCAGCAGATCGCGAAGACCAATTTCCGTCCAAATAAGGAAGAGCCTGGTCAAAACAAAGCATGGAAAGTGCAAAACAACCTTAGATCATGAGGGAAAAATCTGAAATAAATCACAGAAGCCCATATGAAAGAAATAAACACCTGCGCATATCATAAATCCCGAACAATTAAACGGAAACGGCGCCCGCATATGAACGACTATGGGAACGATGCACATGATTACCAAATGTGTGTGCGAACTTTTGCTAACTCAACGAATACCAGGAAATAGGACATAACCTTAGTACCATTGGAAAGGTGGGAATAAATGAAAATTTATGATACCAAGAACGTGAGAAAACATCCAGAAATGAATGAGATACAAGGACATGAAGTTAGAAACCTGAAAACGCGTGGGAAGACAGCTTCAAGAGGTCCAGAGTCCTAAATAAAATACATAAAAATATGATATCTTCAAGGACGACCTACTATAACAACAAACAATACATATGGAGGATTAGGATGTGATAATACAAAGGGGAATCAGGGAATATGAACGAAATTCACGAAAACCACTAAACTACGATGGACCATGGCAGGAATTTTAGGGAACGATATTCTAATAAAGTGGAGAGCTATAACACATTCGTTTGAGTAAATCTTGACTACTAGCAACTTTTTCTTTCAGTTTTAAACCTGAATAATTCACTCATTTACCATTTCAGTCTCATTTTAACTAAATGTCACTAAATAAAAATGGAATAAATCAGCTGAAGGTCTCAGCACAGCCGTACGCATAGTAATGCGAAGTTTGAATTCAGAATCATCGAGTCATAGCAAATTTAATGGTATATATATAGGGAATTTGAAATAGGTAACTGCGACAAATGCAGCGCAGCCAAGTTCTAATTAACCATTAAAATAGCTTAGGCAAGGGAGGACAATAAGGATTCTAGGTGCAGTCTGACTGCAGTAGAACCGCAGTTCAGTGCAGCAAAAGCACAGTAGAACTATAGCGTGAAAATTTCATTTTTTATTCAGTTTGAGAAAAATACACTGTAAATAAATCCTGTAAATAGAAGGTAGAGCGTGAAAAAGGAAGGCAACCCAAGGAGTATAAAAGGGAGACCCTTTCTGCGACTTTTCGCCCCCCTTAGAGAAGTAAGAAAATAGAGTATTATTTTTCTCAAGCATTTCTGGTTGTCACTCCAGCGCGAAAAAGTGATATACAGCTAAGATTGCCACTGTAGTAAAAGGCAGCAATTAAGGAGAGAAATATTAAGTAAATATTTCAACAGGAGAGCTGGTTAACACTCCAGATTTCAAAGTGTAAACACAAAACAGTTATCTTGCTACTGTTAAAACAAGCAATAAAATAAGACAAAAATAAAACAAACCCAAGGGACACTCCAGACACAATCCAAATCCATTAACTGAATAGAATCTTTGAAACTTCACCAAGTAGAAGATTAAATTCAAGTTAAATTCCAAATTAAACAACGCTACACAGAATTACACCTAGACAAATTAAGAAATTTCAATAAAGAAACAGCTCCGCAGGGCTCGGTTTATCTGTAAGTCAATTCCCAGGAACTTTAAAACTAACCCATAAAAATAGAATTAGCCAAAACACTCGGATTGGTACTATATTGACAATAAATAATACTAGTACACTTCCCCATCCTAACTAAAGAACCAGGGAACAGCTTGGTGGTGGTCTCGTTTGAACCTCCCAACTGACCTTCCTTTGTTCTCTCTTTCAGCGTGATCGAGTATATTGAACATTTGTTTCGAATTTTTTAGCGTAATGGGGGAATTTGGGATTTGCGCATGTTGCTGAAGAAATATGTCAATTGCCTCGGCCTTGACAAGGTTTCGGACACAGTTGTCTGCAAAGATAAAGTCTTCAAGGGATGTAAACAGGTGATAGGGCTCCATATCGCTCGAAATCTGCGATAAGCGGGAAGTTGCATCCAACATCTCAGGACATCGAGGGTGACACTCAACACGTATCCAGGAATCCTCACTTGGCAATAATCTAAACAATCCATAAATATATGTATAATATAAACAGAAGACTTTGTGCTATGCGAATGAACAACTTACTGCATATCTGAGTGTGGGTGTCCACCTGCCACACTTCCCTCCTGCATAGGCTCTTGACTCCACATCAGACTGGGGGGTGATGTTTCAGGACCCCCAGAAGCTTCCATCTGAGAAGCTCCAGCCTGTGTAGGCACAGGAGTAGTATGGGAATAGCCAGCAGAAGGGCTGTTTGCTACAACCAAATGAATGAGCAATGTTCCACAATGAAATGCGCCAAACTTACAGGTAAAGGTGTCCTCTCTTCTACACTTAAAGCCTCCCATTAATTGTTGGTTTTCTGATTCTTGCATCTCCTTCCGAAGCATAGCAACCTCACACTGGTCATCACAAGCATCCTCATGTCTTTTCGGACCCTGAGGAGTGATCTTTCAGCCACACTTTGAGCAATTGACTGTATACTCAACATTACGGGAGCCATAGGAGGCCATTGATATGCTAGAAGTAGAGGGAAAGTGCATCGCACTAAAGGTGTGCAGTGATTTCCCACGATCTGAGTACCTCTGTGTAATTAACGAATTCCCACCACACTCCGCAGCACTCCTGGAAAAAAGGTATATTGCCCAAGCAAAATAAGTAATCTACGATCACTGCTTCTTCCCCCTCTGTTTGCCTCTGCCTCGGCCCTTTGGGCGTCCTCTACCCTTCCCCTTGTTTGCCGCTCTGCCCTCATGCAGATCTGATGGCTCTGGTCTCCTAGCTGCATCATGGTTATGAGCAACCTCGCTCACCAGCCTCTGGCTCCGTAATCTGCGTTGCATGCTTTTTTGTGGACTTTCTTGAAGTTCTGAAGCACCTAAGTCCAAATCTGATGGGCGATGCGATGATCCTTTGGCTTCAGGCTCATCCAGAGAGAGGCTGTTCTCCTGCTGAGTGGTGGCATTGTTACAAGTTGTGGCATCATTAGGAGCCCCATTATTACTGACACGGGGCCCATCTTCACTGCCAGAAATCAAAGTGAGAGTGTCATCATCGCTAATGAAAAGGGGCAGTATTTGAGGCCCTTGACTTCCACGATGTTCCTGCGTGATTGTGAGCAAGTGTTCCCTTCAAGTTATGTAAAAGGTCACCCACAGAGACTGATATATGAGCTGAACCACCACCTGGGAGAATCCTGCCCCTCATGCTCTCCTCCAGCTGTCTCTCAAAATCAAGATTCATTTCCGTTTCGTCATTGTTCATCTGGATGGAAGTACATGTGTGCGATTCTACACCCTGATCCTTGAACAAGAAGATATTGTGATTGTCCATCATCTCGTGGAAATGTTGCTTCATCCCTCAAGGCAATGTCTCTTCAAAACTAAGGCACTTGATGATAAACTTGCGCCACTTGTGGAACTTGCATTCTGCATCAACGTGGTGTTCAGGGGGCAAGAGGGCACTCCAAACCTACTTGGGATTTATAATTCAAACTCTGACTAGTAACTCATTGCTCACCGACACAGCAGACAATGCTACAAGTCCAGGGGTAACCTCGACTATGTTATACTTCTTCGCTGTACAATTTGCTGCACAGTGGTTCCATGCCAATTGATCAAGAGTGATATCATCGCCATCAGTATTAAACAGTGGTGTACCAGTGGCAAACAGTAGTGCCCTGATTCCCTTTGTATCATGAGGTGAGTGGACGCTTATGCTTGAGTGATTATAACTACTTTACCTCGGTGACATAGGGTGAGTTCATCAGGAACCGTGGATCATCTTTGTGTTCGGGGGGGAACAAGACTGGGGGATTATCTGGATATTTCCCTTTTGGGTCCCGGATTCCCCGTAGTACTTTTGCCATTTCACATCCCCAAAGAGGCCCCTCCATCCAATCCCAGAACGGGAAGATAAGCCTACCGGTTAAATCATTCTCGAGGATCCAGTGCTTTAGTCGATGCCGTATTTCACCCGTGCTGTTGGTAATCTATGTGGCAAAGTAGTTCAGGATTGTAGTATGCAATGCAATGATAAGCTGCTTTACCCTTTTCTGAATCGCCCATTGAGAAATTTGATTTCTTATCAAATCTGGTAGCATTGGCCAGTCTTGGAATTCACGTAGGTGGCCCTCCTCGATAAATTCACAATCCCATCGCCTTTCTGGGTTCCATTCTGCACTTAGGTGAACCCGGAACAGCTGAGGACCAAAGTATGCATTCACAGTGAATGCATAACGACGGGCAACATCAGCAATATGATGCTCATCGTTTGTCATTTTGACAGAAGGTTGTTGAGGTCCCGGCGACTTTTTTGGCACTAACACCTCCTTAAGTGTTGCCTTCAGCCTCGCGATTTCTTGGTCCTTGGCCTCAAGATCCTCAGGGATGCAAACACATCTCGATGTCAAGCCATACTGTGTTATTGAAATAGACTTACAGCATGCAGCATGTCAATTTCTGATGCATCTATTGTATCAAAGGGCCATCGTTCACCTGTTACATCTTGACCTTGCAAAATGGGTTGAGATTGGGACTCCACTGTCAGCATTTTGGGCGAATTTAACACAAGAATAGTCTCAGCGAGAAGACAGGATCTCAGCCAGAGCACTTCTGCCTCTTTACATATGCACAAGCGAATGCATTGAGTCAAAAATATCTTTGAAACATGGCATCGGCACAAGAGTAAGTGCTTGGCACATGGTTACACCCTACTCTGACGGGCAACTCCGATAACTCCATATTTAATCCATAAATTCCGCAGCATCGCCTTCCAGAACATTTCAACCATGTCCACCTCTTGCACCCCCCCTTTCATCAAAATGACCGAACTGGACTCTAGACCAGACATGCCCATAATCATCAATACTGTCCCTCCAAACTTTCCTCCAAGTGCTCTGGAGTCAGGAGAGCAAATAATCCATCTTGACGCTGGTGCGCACAGCATGGTTGTGGGGCATATTGACCTCATTCTTGCCAATCTCTATCGAGGTATGTAAAGCCAATGTGAGCAGCTTTACGCAGTTGCTCAACTATACTTCCTAGCATCGGCATTCATTGCGTTGAAGACTGGTGTTGACGCTTCCCAAGTATCGCTCCTGCCGCTTTTAGTAGGTGCCTGTATCTCAAAATTCCAAATTGGTGCTATTCGACTTGAGCTTGCACCTGGGCTCGATGAAACGCCATCCTTGTCAGGGGGGCCTAACAATGAAGCAGCATTACAACAAGTGAGTTCTCCAACCCCAAGCATAAGTTAATCTGAATGACTGAGTCATCGCGGAAGTCAACCGACAGCTCAGATACCAGCAATGCTGAGACAGCACTCGATCCTGGAAGTAGTTTCACTCTTTTCCAACATACCGTATGAGCAACATAACGGTAGCATTACAGTGTCGTGTTCATTCCACCATGTCTAGTAGTTTCCCGACATGTACAGTCTCACGTAAAATACATCTAGTTGGTCGCCATTCTGCATGCGCGAGTATAAATAGACTTGATTGCCATTCTGCAAGCACGAGCGCCGATTGAAAGGGGGAGGCACAAGCAATAATATGATTATTGGTCCTGTTGAGCAGTGTTGCAACGCGTTACAACATGTTACAACATTGGCTTCACCGTTCTAACGCGTTGTAACAATTGACACATGTTGCAACGTTTCTGGAAATGTCATAACACTTGGGAAACGTTACAACACCGCCGGAAACGTTACAACGTTTAAGCCAAAGTTAAATGCGTTGTAACGCAGAAAAGTGTTACGAGCGTTGCAACGCGTTCGAACGGCGATTCCCGATTTCCGACACTTCGATCTGGGGGATCGGGAATACCCCACTGGTACTCAGCCAGTTAGCAGGGATGTTTTTGCTTGCAGTTAAGAGGTCTTTCCAAGTTTCCAGGACTAGTCTTTCTGGTAGGGCCTTCTTCCCATATCTCTTGCTATTGGTGAGGATTCTCCAAGGATTCTCTCGCTTTGGAGCCTATTGTTTAGGGCGGACTTTATTGTTTTTGATATTTCTATGATATTTTCCTCTGTGCTGTTTATCACTCTGTAACATCTTAGTTTCCATAGTGGAGCACTCCGGCACTAGGAATAAGCCATCCCCATTGTCGGGTTTAGACGCTACAACTGTCCCCCAACCTCGACACCCTCCTGTCTATCCCCCCATTCCCATTTTCAGACGCCTTCTCTTCGCTCTTTCATGGCTCTCCCTGTTCCTGAAGCTACAAGTCCAGCTATGAACATGCCTCCGCGCCTTCGCGAGACGAGCCGCCCTAGCCGCCCCACGCTTGCAATATGTATTGCCAAACTGGTACGGCAACACAAATGGCCTTGACCGACGTATACACTAGTGATTCGACGGTCTGAAAGCCTTCAGAACCGTCCTACCTACTACCCACTATTGCGCATGATATTTGTGGTGGAAAAAGCCTTGGCAATGGACAACATCGCTACGAAGCCTCGAGGGCCATCCCCCCCTAACCTTCTTGTCTCGGTGTCATTCCAATTTTCCGGGTTCCCTCTTACATTCCTCCTTCACAACATACCTGCAGCTAAGTTTGGCAGTCGAGCCGGTCTTGGCATCACCTCTGTTCAGCGCGGTTTCTATCTTAGTTCAGACGCTGTACTTCGGGTAGCTGGTGATGACACAACCGCTTCTCGGGGCCTTCCATAAAAACCATTTTTCAGCGATATTTCTTCCAGTGAACCCAGTAAACAAGTGCAGTTACTCAATTCCCCGAACAGCATCTAAGAAGGTTGACTCGTACCTCCATGGTATCGATCGGGTCGGTGGAGAAGTTTGTACTATACTATGTAGTTCAGTGGGAGTACTAACTGTAACGATGACTTTCTTGGTAATCACAGATGTAAGGCCGGAGTACTCGTTAGGATAGAGAAAATGTCAGAACGGTGATAAAATTACACAAGCAAGTTTTGGGCTTCTCAGATCGATGCCGAAGATTACTAATCGGCACATTGGTCAGCACCTGGCATCGCAATAGGCTATATCGGAGACGAGGCATGCTGTCCAGTGTTTCAGGTCTATTTGGCACCACCTCGACACCCCAGGACTGTCACTGGCATCGTATGTAACAGGGGAACACTTTCCGTTTTTTCCATTCGGGCTGCTCCACCTATCAAGCTCATCTGAAACCGTAATGTTACCAAAGTAACTATCGCAAGGTTCACCAGTCAGTTCCGACCCGAGTGAGATGTTCCTCGTGTCTGTGTCAAGCTTTAAACTCGGGCAGAAGTCCTCTGTTGGGAAAATTAACATTGGTTAAAGCAAATGTCATATCGGGCTTCACTTCACCTAGATAGTCTGGGAGAAAAACCCAAACCGGTGGTCCCGTATCGGTCTTCCACGGTTGGTAGTTTCCGCACGTGACCATAAGAATGTGGATAGCTGCGATAATATTGGGAAGTAGAGCGATTGCGATCAAGGCATTCCAGAATCGCATTGTGATTATGCTGGCAGGTAATGAGTGTTAGCAGCTATGTGTGCGACGTGAATTAAGGAATACCTGCCTTGCTGCCAAGCTGAACGCTCTAGAGGAAGGGGGAAAGGGAGGGGAACGCAGCTTTCAGAGGCTATATAGGAGGGTTCCAGTATCATCTGCTCAGCCCTTGAAGAATGAAAAACAATCTTCCCTAACAGCCCTTTCTCTGCACGCTGGCATGGTGGGTCATCAATTGTGTTGGAAACCATCATCCAATCGTAAACATATATCACTCGTAGTGTGGGGTAGGTTCATAAGAATGTCGCGATGCCAGTGATGTATGCAAACTTAGCAAGTGACAACAACTGCATGTACGCTTCTGGGCCACAGACCAGGAACAGCACTTTGTCGGGCAGTTGTGGAGGGGATGAAGTGGTGAGAGGGGCGCGACAAGTATGAGAAGGGATTTGGCCAAGAAAGAAGTGAGGCATCACTGTACGCAGAAGAGGATGGATATGGACCACCGACGAAGACTTTGAGGGTAAGAGCACATAGATGAGACGGAAGGTCGGTGTGGGCTTTGGTCGGGGCCGGATTAAGTAGAAGTTCATGGCTAACTGTTCCTTTAAATTTAGTGCTCTTCCATAACTTCTTAGCACTACAGTTCGGCTTGTGTGCCGCCTTTTATTGATTCAATTGCTATTCGTTGTACAGGACACATGAAGAAGAGCTCTTGCCTTGCAAGGCAGTAGCAGGGTCGATCAAGACAAAATAGTGGAAAAGAAGAGTACTGTGGCTGCGCAACTGATCGAAGGATACTTCAAGCTGAAAGAGGGGAGGCTTCAATGCTGAATAACGAAAAGGCTAGGCTAACTGGATGAGTAGGTGATTAAGCGTAGCGATAAGAGTGAGACTGCAAGTTGTAGCCGGTTGAGACAAAGTAAACAGGAAGCACTGCCAGAAAGGTTCGGTGCATTGTAACCAGTGGAGCATAACGAGCTAGAAGTCCTCGTTAAAATGCACCGCGTTCTCGCCTCTAGCGCCGCGTCCATTCTCTTCAGCGCGACGTGATTTCTCGTTTTGTTGTTCCTTATCTTCGACTAAGGCTGGGAATTCACTCGGATCTGTGTATGGTGTGAAAGGCCCGCCCATGGTAGCGGGAGTAGCAGTTCCTGCGCTAGACACAGGCGACATCTCCACATCTTCATTGATCCCGCTAGTAAGAGCTTGTGGGTTAGCAGGTGTTGTCGGAATAACTTCTGAGGATTTTTCGGAGGAAGGTGGACGACGAATCTCTAGAGGACGCGAAGGAGGGGCGGCTTTGAAAATCGAAGGAGGCGGTACATGAATGGGAGCCTGAAGTACCGCGGGCGCCACCTGTTGATGCTGCGCTTGCTCGTGAGGAGGTTGGCACTGGCTAAGGTAGGAAGAGGGGAGCTGCACAACATAATGCGAGGCGCCATGCTGGGTGGGGTCAACCACACGAGCTGGTGTATTATTCGGCACTTTGTATCCAGGGCGGATGGGCGGAAGGGGGGCGGAGACGCCTGACTGGCAGGGGAGTCCTGAAAATCAGCGTAGCGAGTTTCGTTGGAGCCAGGGATATTAATGACGTATCCACGTCGTGCAGAACCGCCGAATTGTTGCTGATACGTATCCCTTCGGACATCCTGAGTGTGACTAGATGTGGCAGGCAGCGATGAGAACGAAGGCTTGGGGAGAGATGCATTAGTATAGCGGAAATCGTTAGTATTGATTGACTTTTGCTGGAGCGGGCTCTCAGGGTGAGCTTCTTGCCTCGCAATAAGTTCACGGATGCGCTTCTCAGACGCCTATAAATCGAATCACTGGGGCAACAGACGAGGCATCAAAGGTGGGTGCATACCGTTTGCTCGTTCTGTGTCTCGTCATCTGCATAAACAACCTTCATCTTGGACGAGTCCCAACCAGGGACTGAGCGACCGTTCAATTTGTCGATGGACTCTTCCGCTGCTTGTTCGGATCCCAGCCTAAAGGAGATTGAGCTACGGAATCAACTAATCAGAAGCTGAGCTATTTACCTGACAAACGCCACAACGCGACTACCACCATGCTCGTCGTTGGAAGGTTTGCGGAAGAACCGCGCGCTAAGAACAGCGTGAGGGCTAAATAAAGCTTCGACAGTCTGTCCGTGCCAGATGATGGAAGGTTAGCCAAGTATGAGGGATCGAGGATCGTGCCCAAGCTGGAGTACTGACGGGAAGATCAATGTTGCCGGGAAGGCTGAAAAAGAACACACGAAAATGATATATTAGCCTAATCCCTAGCAAGTTGAACCGCGTAACACACCCATCCACAATTAAATGAGTCTTGAGGCGCGGCTTCCCTTGAGCGTCAAAATCTGGTTTCTCGGCATTATTTGCATTCGCACCGATTCCGCCATGCGTTAGAGGGGTGACAGGACTAGCCAGTCCTAACTTCGCGAGTTGAGCAAACTGTGCGGGTGATCCAACTCCAAGACCGGTTCCTCCATTCGGTACGCGCCCCTGAAGCACCCGCACGTCATTACTCCCAGATCCGGGAGGACGAGGACCGGAACTTGGTGTCCTTGTGGCATTGCTGAGACTACGGACGGGAGTCACAAGAGACTGAGTGGCATGACTCTGGGTGTTGTGACCAGTGATATTCGTAGAGTTATCTCGAGGATTAATCGTAAGGCGAGCATGGGGATTAAGCTGGTTACTTGCGGCAAGAGCGACGAGCGTTTCAGCGTTTTCATGAAAATGAATAGGTGACTGAAGGATTTGGGATGCAACGTTGGGGTGGCTGGGCCGGCTCTCAGTTGAGTCATTTGGACGTGGTAGCATCTTGGGGCTCTAGAGACAAAAACATGCTCTGGGGGTGAGTCGGCTGAGTAGAGGTTTCCTGAAAGCTTACTCTTGCAAAAGAAGGGTGTACGTCGCTGAACTGACGAAGCCAAAGAATACAGCTCTCAGCCGCCTCGATCGCCTCAAACCTAGCGTCGAATTGATAAGATCTCTACGGCATGATCCTTGTTCGACTTACAGAACAAATCCATAACAAGTCCCGCTCTCCCTAAGCATCATCCTCACACTGGCGATAGGGCCAAAGGCCGCACACAGTTGGTAGAGCTGAGTTTCAGTGAATGAAAGCGGAAGATTGTTGATATAAACATTTGTCGTCCTACAGATTTCTTGTCAGCGTCTCCCAATCAAAAGGAGACACGTCCTACTTGTTAGGATTATACAGGGGGTCGACCCGAGAGCCAGAATGAGACTGATGAGATGACTGCTGTAGTTGTTGCTGCTGCTGAGTATTTGATCCCACTGTATGACAGACTAAGGTTAATCTTTCAACCGGGCATGACAAATGGTGATGCCGTACAGTCCTCTTCTCCACCGATGTTATGATCCAACGTACCCGCACCTAACACCGGCATCCTTAGCGCAGCGCCAGGGCTAGGCACTAACCCTAGGCCCACACCCAAATTCATACCGGTTCCACCAGTGCTTCCCTTCGCGGGGGCAGAGGAGTCAGCGCCTCGGTGGGTTTGATGCTGCATCTGATTTGTCTGGAGCTGGTTGAGAATTTGAAGCATGGCGAGTTGATTGGCAATGTCCGCTTGTTGGTTAGACTGAGTTTGAGTTTGAGCTACTGTGTCAGAAACACTGTTTCCATTCCCGTTAGGTGACTGGTTTGTCTGTGAACCCGTGAAATTAAGGCCGAGCTGGTTAGCAGCATTGAGACCGCTGGTATCAGAAGTAGCGGAGAGCCCGAGAGCAGTTGAAGCGAGATTCATTTGAAGTGCCTGAAGCTGAAGCTGGGCGAGAGCGAGCTCTTGAGGGGTAGGTTGACGACTAGCGGCTGTAAGAGACGGGAGTAATCCAGTAGCAAGTCCCAATCCTGCCAAGCCTAACCCCGGGGCAATGGCTGAATTTTCCAAGGCGGGCACAGAGGTGCCTAGTGTTAAACCTGGAGACGTGGCCTTGGGCAAGGTTTTTCCCAAAATTCCATCCTTCTTTGCCACGGCAAATCCTTCCACCCCTCCGACCCCCAGGACAGACGGTATGGGATTCTTCTTCGCAATCTTTCCGTTCTTCCCTAGGCTCAGGTCGCCAGTAAGGAGGGACGTTGCAACTTTCTTTCCACGAGCGCTTCCGTGGGTTTGTATAGTTGCAAGCTTGAGCTCCAACTCGCGCTTTTGGGCCTCTATTTGGAGTTGGTCAGCATGGTGCTGCTGAATCAGGGAAAGCTGAGCGGCGGAAAGACCTCTGGAGCGTGTGGGGACACCTTCGTAGTCGTCTTCTTCGGGTGACCATTCAGCATCACTGTCCCCGTCATAGGAGAGGCGCGGATGGTCGAGGGAACCGGGAACCGCTTCAGATCGAGGGACGTTCTTGCCGCGCTGGGAGATACTTCTTTGCGGTGATACAGGTGACATAGAGACATGGCGCAGATGAGACGTGCTCGGAGGTGTTCTCAAATGGGAGACGTCGTCGACGGGTTGCTCAACATGGGACGTGTTGCTGTTGCGTGCACGGTATTTGGTGGATTTAGTTTCTGATGGGGGAATAGTTGTTACAGGAATGTTCAAGGGCGGGGCAGGAGTGGGCAATTGTGATTTATTTGGAGGTTTGAGCTGAGAGGGTGAATCATTGTTGGAGAATTGAGGCGATGAGGATGATGGGAGTTTGGTTGTATCTGTGGAATTCTGAGCAGACATCTTCTGACGGGCCTAAGCAAAAGGGTAAGCCTCGACAACAATGCGCCAGAAGGGTGTTTGCTGACTTGGCGTTGGATTAGTACAATATTTATCTGCTTCGTTTGTTACTTTCTCAGTCAGTGAATCGTAAGTTTATGAGGAAGATGCAGCACGTAGGAAGCGTCACATACATATGATGTTGGTGTGAAGAATCTGAAGTAATACAGGGATTAGAGTGTCTATGTCCATCGTAAGGATAATCTTGGGGCCAAGATGTGTCACTTTGACATACCGTTCAGTTGATGTGACTATAGTGCAACTGCTGCTGTCCTCTTGGTGAACAGTAAGAGGGGACTGGCAGACAACCGGTCTTCAACAGTGCGCAGGGTGAGCTGAATGAGGATGAGCGGTTAGTCGTAGGTGTGAGTGTGTTAGTAGTGAGTATTTGGAAATTTCTATGCATCAGGATTCAGGATTGGGCTGGGACCGGATCGGAGGAGCGAGATGTGAGGAACTCACGATTTAATAGGGTCAGTTTCTAGGTATTAGCGTGCGCGGCACGTCGTTAGTGGCTAGAATTTATGTTAGTAGAGCTACACAGAGATAGGGAATTTGGAGGTCGAAAGAGGGACGAAGGAGGATCGAGGGACAGAGGAGGTGTTTATATACATCGACACAATTTTGGTCCGATCTGATAAATTTCGGGAAATCCAAATCTTCCATCGCTGCACACGCCCTGCGCGTGTCGACAGACGCCCAGGGCAAACAGAAGGACAGAAGAGATTTGTTGAGGAGGTGGAGCGCATTGAGATGCGGAAATACCTTTTGTAGGTTCATATAACTTTCCTACTAGAGTCCGTACGTGTATTAAAATAATTCTCAGATAGGCAGGCTCTCCACGCGAAACGTTGCGTCTGGAAAATCAACCAGGTACATTTGGAATTGTCAGACCGTGATTCTGGTCGTGCCACTTACCTTCATTATCACCCTCGTCAGCGAGTGGGCATACACGTTGGGTTTTGGTCCTCTGATCTCCAGGCTGATACCGTGGCGCACGGACTAAAATAACAGGCAATTCGGTTCCGTCGAGGCCACTTCACGTGGAGAAGCTTACCAAACCATTCAGTTCTTATCTTCTCGGTTTGCACTCCCACTGAAATAATCAACTCAGAATCGTTGCTTCAATATGAAGCTGGTAACTTGACGTTCGGCCTCCGAAAACTCGTTACTACTAGCCTCTATGACTTCGTAACATATACTACTCCACTTATGTGTAGACCCACTTCAATTTACAACCTGGCCTGCGGAAGATATTCTTTTTCCCTGGTAATTCTTTAGCTGTGGCCACGGCTCGCGAGCCGGCCAGCGTCCCTCCTGCCAGATGCTACCCATAGCTTCAAGCATGCTGACAGCTGGTTCTCGTGGCCAATCTATGACAATTTACAACCATCAATGACATGGATGTTAATGGGCCCCACTGAGATGTCGGATACCGTCGATTAGTTGGGTATCCACATCTGCAGGCTTCGCCCTTAAATACATGCGTGAGTGGCAACAGTGATACGCGAGAGACAAAAGGAAATGAACTACAAAGGTAACTGGACGCTTTGTGGTCCAGTACCAAGTTGCAGGAGCGCCCCGACGCCTCTCCCAAAGCTCAATTTGTCCGGTCCGAGCTCCTCCAATCCGGCGGTGACGTACCGGGTGGATTACCGCCCCTGACCGCCTGTGGCGTTGGACTGCTAACTTCAACAATGGACACACCAAGTTGCGTTGGCTCATCCGCGGAAATAAAGCCAATCCCTCGCAAAGTCACTACCAAGCACCCACATTCCAGACGCCCAGCGCAAGGTGACCGAATGGTACAACGCCTTGCCACAGCTTCAGCTCGCGCGGCCGTCGGCCGTAAATGGGTGAATCAATTTGCACGGCTTGATTGAGTTGGTCATTAATCCCGTCTCCCTGTTAGGATACAATCATCCAGGGCATGGATGAGAGCAGGACATGGGAATCGAGGATTTCTCTCCCATCGTATGCTGAGAGTGTCTCTCAGTCGATTGCGTTGTAGGTAGAGCTGGCCAAGCGAGCAAAAAAAAAAATACCGAGGAACAAGCCTGTCGTTTCGTTTGATGATCATGGTCTATGTGGTCGACCATTCCTCCTGTCATCTCTAAACTTTGAGCGTTTTTAGGCAAAACTTGGTGCGGGGAGAGTAGCCAGCGCCAGCGCAAGCGTCAAAATTCAATATGCACGGTTTACATCGTGGTCAGCCGTTGATCTTGTTGAAAATGTAGAACAGGCCAGAGTTTGGTGGGCGCTCCTAGGATGGATTGGGAATTGATCCCTAAATGCTTCGAGCTGTGGGATCTCCGAGAAAGTCCTGCGCGCCGATGCTGCTTGCGGCAAGTCTCTGACACTTCGTACGGTGTCGTGTGTTGAGTTCATCACTGCCTGAAGCGCTCCACACTTGGTGAAAGTGGAAATGTCCACGGGACTTATGACGGGGGAACTGTGAAAAAGTCTGGGCAAAGGAACGACGGGAATATATGAAAGTAGACAAGTGAACATTCTTCGACGCCGTATCCTATTATGTAACCTCAAGACGTGAATACTTCGCTGGTCTGAACTCCCAAGAATTACAACTTCATCGACGTCATGTCATTAGTTCGGAAGGCGGTAGCTGAAATAATATAATCTTGAATTCAGAATTGCGAATCCTAACAACAACAATGAAATCTCCAACGTAGTGAAACCTGTACACAAGCGAGAGTGGCGTGCCGACATTTGATACATGGTAGGGGTTTAAACAAATTTTTCGTTTGGAGCGAGCATAAATAAGGGCATCCAAGACCATTCTTTCAGAAAAAATCAAATGTAAAACATCCTCTGGCGGACAAAATTACCGGGGCCGTTGCCCCAGATTTTTTCGGCCTTCTCATAGACTTGACGAGCCGCCTCTTCGGAGTTGGTGCTTCCACCAATAGAAACATTGTCCAAACCATTCAGAAGATCGTGGAGATAGCATCGTCCGCGTTCGCAAGCAAGATCAGCATCTACGTGGCCGGAAAGGGAATAAGTAACATGATCAGGGCTATGATCCATGACGCACAGAATGCAGGGGGCACCAAGCTGACGCCACGCGTCGCTCGTGCAAAGGTGTAGCTCAATGCGTGAGTCAACGTTTGGAGCTCGTCCTGTTAGGATACGTTAGAACGGGCATCCCCAGAACTAGAACATGTGAATGCCAACAGACCGCTTTGAAACCACACTCGTCAATTAGGACAGTATAATGGGTCTGAATAGAACACTCAGCAAGTGAGCGCAGCCGGAACCACAGAAAGCACTTACAGGCCGCGCTTGACCCTTGATACCAGCGTGCTAATATTACGAGAATTAGAAATGCAGCGTTTTTTTTTCCCGTCGTCACCACCCACCGATTGGAGGAAAAAGTCGAAGGTGTAGACGCCCGTTACACCTTGATCAACCACGGTTCCTGCCCCAACGATTCAATAAACAGTGAAGTATTATTGGAATTATGTGGCCTACCCGCTTTGGGATTGCTGTTGTTCCGTTGATCCGTTCCGGCCTCATCCACAGGGTAAAAACGGGTATGGTGTCTGGAGTGTCAGAGAATGAGACAAGAGTGCGCCATCCTAACAGTGATTTGAATACCTCTTCCCGGCAACAGCAATCGTCAGTTTTGGCTTGTACACCTGACCTTGAGGAGTTACACGTCTGAAAGCATCCCTGATCTGCGGTAACTCTTCCCGGAGGACCGTCTGGAATTGTCCTTCCGAGACGCCTTCGACCGCGGGTCAGGGGTCGGTTATGTAGGAAGAAGTTGGGTACTTACCATCTCGGAACAAGATGACGCGTTCAGGAAGTTTGTTGGTCTTCTGTCTGTAAGCTGATCAAGTTTTAGCGAGAATTCAAACAGACCAAAAATTGAGATGAACCAATTAGACGTTCTATGACCATTTCAGACAGTTTAGTGATCATCTGGAGAGGCTGTGAGATGTTTTCAAGACGCCAAGTGGATCGGTCTACCTCTTTCTTGGTCTCCTGTAAACGCATGGAGGCAGGGTATTGAACGAAGTTGGCATCTGTAGATGATTTAATTCAGTCTGGGCAATACCATCTGTTTGCATCAGTACTAACCTATGTTCCCAACGACAGCGGCTATTGATGGCGTGCCCTTTACACTGCCAGGGCTGGGATGCGTAACATCACATCCAAGCAGCATCGTGGGCCGCTGGTTGAGCCAGGAGAGTGGTCCAGGTCCGCTGAGCACATGATTGGTGCCCCCCAATTTAACGTTTAGCTTTAGAGCAACATTCGCCTGGTACTGAAGGGCCCCTCCAGCCCTTCGGAATTTGCTGGCGACGACGCACACTGTTAAGACATCCAGTTGCACATCGCACAGATATCTTAGGAGCAGTTAGCCAAATAAATCTCCAATCCGCAATCGACTTACTTGATGGCAGCGTACAACGCCTTATCATCGCTACCGAGTATCACGAGCACAATGTCTGGCTTGGAGCCAGACTTGAGCGTTCTTTCGATGGCGACCTTTGAGTTTTTTTTCCCGGGATCGTTGGGTGGAACATTGATGTGGTGCTTGGTCCAACGAACGTTCGAGATGTTCATACCGCATTTGCCGCACGTGTCAGTGAACTCGTTCAGTAACTAAAGTAGCAGGTGCGTTGAGATCATGAACTTTCCGCAAGTCTGAAGAGACCCACCCTGCCCAATTCGGGGTCATCCTTACCACTGAACTCAGACCTTCCTCCCACACCAATTGACAGTGCCATACAATTACGGAGAGGGGCTGCTACCACAAACTTAACATCCTTCATATTCCAAGCAGAGTCCCGAATTTGTGTAGGATGATTTCCCAAATACTTGATCTGTGGAGGAGGAAGGACACGACCTGGGACAACAGCCATCTCTTGTCCCAACAAGATGCCAATTGCGTTGAGGCTGCTATCAGGGGATGGAACAAAGCCCATTTTGGCCAAGCCAGCTTGAAGTATAACCCTCTGGTTTTCGGCAGGTGAGCGGCACGCTACATCGATCATGTCTCGAGTCTGATCGGCCAATAGCTTTCCGCGATAAGGTTGGTCGGGCAGTATATCGCATCTGTATAACCATAGTCAGATCCCAGGTCCGCGAACAGACTCCAATTACTCACAACTCTGCAGGAACCATGTTAGCCTTGTCCTTAGTTCCGATATCCAGAAGTGGGAGCTCGCTGGGATACTTGAGGGTAATATTATATTGTTCTACAACGTGCAAGTTGTCAGTAAAAAATTCCAATATCCTGATGGTTAGAAGCACTCTTAAAATAGGTGGAAACGGAAATCTTCCCCCACTTCTCATGAGTAAATACAGCATCCGTTGCACTTTTGCTGCCCACTCGACGAACAGTCTTCTTATAGCCAAGCTTTTCCGGAAAACATTTCGTGGTGAAAGCACGAAAGTGACTCATGGCATAAGCACTTACATGAATTGTCTTCACTCGCAAACCATATATGAAGTGGTTGGCATTGCCTCCTCGCGCACCGTAGAACGCCATTAGCGCATTGCCCAAGTTCCCCGGAGCGTAGAACGCAGTCGTCGCGACCTGAAAACCATGGTTTATCCGAATGCTTTTCATCACGAGAAGCCACGTACATTCAAATTTACCGCAAGTTGATTGTAAACAGGACGCACGGAAGAGAAGAATCCTACGGTATATTCGTTTCAGCACGCAATCTGAACTTGAATAGCATCATCCCCAAACAAACCGCGATATGCGACGAGCAATCTGGAGTTTCCCAGATAATTTGCCTCATTTTGAGTCCTAATAGGGAAGAAGTAGCGATTCTTTCCCACGTTAATACCTCCATTATGCGTCGCGAACTTGGCCAGCAAAATATTCAAAGCCGCCGTTCCAGGATTAATATCATAGGAAACCATATCAGGGTCCCCACGAACGTATCTTGATTTGAACAATTAGCTATCCAGGTGAAAAAAGGATAAAGTGGCTCGTACTTCTGCATATCAGCAATATCGAGCTCTTTCACAAAGGTGATTGTAACTTCGTAGGCTTTCGACGTTGGATCATCTTCGGAGGCATCCTCGTCATAATGCTTCACGACGATGGTCATATAACCATCGGCATCCATGGGAATCGGCGTGGCAGATATCAGTTTGGCACTGCCGTCGTGTGCACTGTACCGTGCATAGGGAGAGAATGCCACAGATTTCTCAAGCAGCTCGTAGATCCTCCTCTTCACTCTTCGAGCGCCAACAGCGGGTGTGGTCTGTGTTCCAGTCGTGGCAGATGACCTGAATACCGACAAAAAGAAAACACACCTTTAGATCATATTCATACAACTTTTCAGGAAGTTTGGTCAACGGAAAGTAGTTGGCCCGAAGCTTGATCGGAGTCCCAACTTTGCCAAAGTCGGGACGGGTGGGAGGCTGTTCACCGTGCGTTATTTTCAGTTTAGAGAGGCCACTGACAAGGCTGTCCATGGCGCTCGAGGAGAGTCTCGCATCAATATTAGCTGGAGGTAGGTTCAAAGGCTGCACGGGCGGTGCTAGCAGAGAAAAGCGATTGCGATTAATCAGATTTAGCAGAAGCTTGCAACCAATCGAGTTGATGGTTACCAGGAGGTCCACCTCTTCCGGCTGGCGCTGGATAGCAGGGATGTGAGGATAAAAGAAACAGACCCCACAAAAAAACGTGGCTCACCCGGCGATCCTCGTCCTCCACGGGGAGGCGCACCTAGGTCAAGTCAGTGAGTCATGTCGCATAAATGCACAAGGTAAAGAAAACAACCTCTAACGGGGCTCGGGCTTCCACGTCCCCTATCGCTGAAACCTCCGCGGCCTCTCCCGCCTCCTCCTCTCGGACCTATGCACCAAGCGCTCATCAGTGTGAGGCGCTCAGAAACAGCTCGAACGCCACTGCGGCAACTTTGACCGAACCTTGTCCTCGACCTCCCCGATCAGTCATATAGGCTTCTCCTGTTGTTAAAAGGTGTAAAAGTTGTGTTTTAAGCAGCTTCCAGAGAATATATGCGGAGGTTATCTGCCACAAAGAAACGCGCTCTTATATGGTCTTTGAGTCCGATGGCACAGCCACAAACCCCGATCACACAGTCGCTTTGAGGTCGCTATCACCAAGAGCGTGCTCTCTCAAAAGTGTATGATTAGCAAACATAACAAGTAGCAGAACACTACACAGGATCTAATGTAGGTTAGGGAGGAGGAGGTCATCGGAGGAGCATAAAGATGGATCCTATCCACGGGGGTCTTTAGCAGGGGGTCTTTTCCGCAGCAGCGTTCGCACCCGCCCGCGTGTTACGTCGCCTCGCGCTGCAGATTCAGGGAACGGACCACGGGCACCAGGAACGTCACGAGGGACGATAGGTGAAGCACTTGTCAAACGTTCTGGATTCGCACCAGTGTTTTCGTCTGAAGTACTAGGTGTTTGTTCAATCGTTTGAGCATTCGCTGGGGAAACAGTGAGACTGCGAAGGATGTGCTGCCATCTACGTCGTGCTTGAGTTTGGGGACTTGGTAGAGCAGGTGTCAATGTGGGAGTAGATTCGGTCATAAAATTGCGAGGCGTAACAAGCTTCGCTCTGGAAGCAAACTCTCGCAGAAGCGTTCCCTTCTGTCGCCAAACCTCACGAAATAGGTCCTTCTTCATCGCGTTGAAGGCTTCCTCAAACTAATCGAATATTTAACGGTGTGAAACATTTATGGAAACTTGGCATGATACTTACGCTCCATATCTTGTTTGTGTATTCAAATTTAGGGGTTTGGAATTTGAAATCCTCCAAATCAGGTATCGTGGTAAGGGTAAGAGGACCGTCGCGCTACAAGGAGGATGTCAACAGGAAGTGAAAGCTACCTTAAGTCCCAAACACTTGCCTTATAACTCAGCACGCACAGGAGACTGAAAATGGATCATCAATGCACGATTAGTGCTCTACCAGGGTTGCAATCATACCTGGACACTTGGATGTGGAGGAATGTTCTATTTTGCCGAGCCCGCACTCGCATTTCTTCCACGTCAGGGTTCTCCAAAGGGGGGTCATTTGGGTCCGTCGCGCCCCACGTGGCTTGTGCTTTGTGAAGACGCTCCGACGAAGAAACCTTCCGCAGCTTTCGAGGTCGATACTCCGCCAACCCAGACCAGGATTTTTGCTGAAGATTCTGTTGTGATGATGAGCGAACAAGGGACTTATGACTAGAGGGGCGATCCTGGCCAGGGGGGTCAAAGGATCTGCGAGAAGCACCCGGCGTGGCGTTTCCTTCGTCGACGAATTCCTGTTCTTTGGAGTCATCCCGCTGTGGCCGCGAAAAGATGTACGCTTTTATTCTCCTGCCTGTCCGCTTTTCGATTTGGAGGCGTAAGGGATGAAGGCGAAGATCAAATAATTCGATTATAGAAATGCCTCCTACGGCCGGCAATGAACTCCAATCTGCTAGTAGGAATGGCGCACCCTGGTGCCGAAATTAATCGTTTTCCCAGGAATTACAGGTAGGAAACATGCGCACCGTTGGTTCGTATTTGACAACCATTTCTGAGAAGACTGCATTCGGTGACCCATTAAGGCCTTGAAGATCATCCACTAAGACCCGATTACTCATAGAACTATCTGTCCGCGTGAGCCATGAATATTGCACCCCACGAATGGCAAGCTTCGCCAACAGAGACCCGTTCACATCCAGCATATTCCACGAGATGTCAGAAGAGACTGCATCGAGACGAATAGCGAATGTTTCTAGATTATCTGAGTCCTCCCTCCTGGCCTGTACACGCGAGATGCCCTCGAAAATGAAACCGAGCTCAGTGGCAAGAGAGTATATCTGTGATTTGATTGCTAGTAGGTCAAGTTTGCCATCCTGATCAAGCTCGTCGAAATGCAACTCATATCCCTCTGCGACATGTTGTAGTTGGCGAAGATGCTCTTGCATATTACCCACCACGTTGGCGGTCAAGTTTCTATCCTTGAAATCGTAAAGATAAACAAATCTTTCGAACGCCTCGTTGTGCTTATTCTGCATAGGATCATGATAAAGAAGTAGGTCCCTAGATAACAGTCATTACGGATCGTTGGCACGAATGAGATACGTACGTAACGATAGTGTAGATGGCCGCGAATTCGTTGGATTTAGCCGATACCGAAAATCGAGGGATATGGACACTAACACGGTCCTAATAAAGTACGAGTCAATGGGAGTCCCGTGCATGATCCTCTTCGACACACTGTATAGTTCCGGATATGCTCGCTGACTTCGGTGATATTGTGTAAATGCGATAATGCCCCATTTTGCACGCGAAGTCGATTGAATTTGTCGTAGTGTAAAGTCCCATCAGACTGCGATAACAGTCGTGAAAATCCATCATGGTCATAGCGGTAATCGACAATGACTTCCAATGGAACGACTAAAGAATCCTGCAGGGTGGGATCGAGGACTTGGTCATTAGGTGCGAAAACTTGTAAGCCAGTGAGTTTGACATAATTCCTGGAGGCGAATATATTGGTTGGAACCAAGAGACCGTGGAGACGAGGGCAATACCTTTGCATAATTAGGCCATGTACAACATCATCGATACTCTGGCGATCAAGGATAGGGATATGCTGGAGAGTGGCCGAGTCGACTGGGAAACGCTGTCACGCCATAATTATGTCGCGCTATGGGGTGATACTCACCAACGGCGATCAGATTACTGTCCGGATTAAGTTCGCTTCTCAAAATCACTTGAGGCTTGAGCAGGAGAACAAAATCATTTCTTTTTGCTACGACCCCGTCTGTCCATCCCTGAAGAGGATTTTCTGGAGTACCCTGGTCTCCTGCGGTGCCGTATTTTTGAGAAGTCGCAAACTTCTTTTCCTGACCTCGGGTTTCGTTAGCAAGGATTCGACGCAGCACCTTCGCAGGGCCCTGCGACCCCTTTGGTGCAGGTTGTGCAGTGTCCAAAGGCTCCGATATGCGTTGCTCACGGATATACTTCAATGCCCTGAATGTAGAGAGGACGTGAGGCGAAATCCACGACACTTGATCCACGGGACTAACCTTGTTGCCATACGGTATTCAAAAGCCCGTCGGTTCCGAGAATACCAATAATAATCGATCAGGATCTTAAGGGGCATTGAGAAGGTCAATGAGGGCGAACCCAAAGGCGCTGACGTACATCTCGTATTGTATTACTCAAGATGATTCGTGGGCAATGAACTTGATATACGTTCAAGAAGTCACTCCAGTCCTCCGCACCCAAACCGGGCCCGTGGGTATGACGTAAGGGACGTCGTGATGCGCTATCTAACAGATTGATGTAATCCGTCAGCGAACGTATCCTTTTTTCAATGTCCCGCACTGCCGCGCGCTGTTAGAATGAATTGAGAGAATCTGACAAATGGTGTATGAATGCACGATGGACTTACCGCGTCAGTGACACTGGATCCGGCAGAAGGATGGACAATACCCTCCGCATCGGAGCGTATTAGGGATGTAAGGCGCTCAAATCGTCTCTTAAGTTCATCGAGACGCTTGCGCGCAAGATCAGCCTGTATCTCCTGGATAGCTATAATCTAGTTAGCTCATGAAGAATTATTAAAAGGGAGAACTCACAATCCTCCATTCCCTGTAAACAATGATGACTGTCCTCATTCCCGAAGGGAGATGGATGTGTTGGATGCGCAAAATCTTTCAAGGGAACTCGCTTCAGATATGTGAAACGAGGACAGAAGCCACAGGGTAAAAGCCAAATTTTCGGTGAAGGATCTGAAGGAACCCAGTCCGTCTCGACGAAATCGTCGAGATCGACCCATGGAGAAGAAAAAGGCTCGGGGTCATCATCGGGAACTGAAAAATCAGGGTCTTCCGTTGTCATGCTTGTGGAAAAGAGTGCCTTCTGGGGTTCCGCAAATACCGCACGCACTGCCCGTAGCTCTAAACCCGTGAGCACAACCTCAGAAGAGTAAAAAGGCTTGTGAGGGACAAGCATTGTCTTCCCGGTAGAGTTCTTTTCAATGAATAGCTCCTCTCGCTGGTGCATGTCGGTCTGAAACTGGTTCACCATCACTTTGATACCGACACACGACGTGAGTCCCTCTTTCCACCCCGCCTTTTCCTCCTGATTATAGACATGACTAATCAATAAAGGCTCCAGGGTTATGCGATATTTGATCGTTGCCAGATGCCGCGAAAATTTGGGTGACGGGGGCCTCGCAGAAGAGAAAAGTGCGCCTTGACGGATCGGCGAAGACGCAAGGCTCTTGAAAAGATCCCACCATGACCAGAAATGTGTGAATGTCTTTGGTGACAAATGGAAGATGCTGTATGCAGCGTGCTTGTTGTCTCCATCCCGTGCTTCCTTCGCTTCGGCAGCGGATGCTAGAGAAATAGCAAGATGGATAAAGCGAGATCGGAATCCAGCGTAGGAGTCTTGTGTGGGGTCTGAACATGATTGAGGGTCGCGAAGTTTGACGTCATAATGGGGACGAAAGTGGAAGATTCGCGCCTCCTCCGAAATTGGACCGTTGTGTGAACCATCCACGCTCCTCTCGAACAAGAACCCCATACCCATCCGGACACCGTTATTGAACTTCGCCACGACCTTCCCTTTAACAGGGCGACGTCGAGACGGGTTCGAGGATGATGAATGCACTTCATCGGCAGGTTCTGTAAGCCCAACCGCCGCAGCATCACTAAAGCGCTTCAGACTGAAAGAGGGGGACACGTGAGCCTATACTAACAAGGATATCAAACGCTTACTCAGGGATGACAAGAAGCATTTGGCTGCTCCGAAGTTGTAATGACTCCTGATCCTGTTCGCTGAGTCCAACGGTGAAAATTGGGCTGCCTTTCCACTCCATCACGAGGCCAGCTCCCAACCCATCGATTATGTAAGGATTACGAGTGCCTGCCGTCTAGTCAGCAACTGAGCAGAATGCTGATGTACACACACCTTTAACGTGGATATGGACGTCCCCAATGAAATTAGCCTTCAAACGCCAATGAAAAATGAGTCGCAGCTTGTCCCAAAACCCAAGAGCAGGCGAAGGATCTCGTGGAGGTGGCGTGATAGAATCGACAACCTGCATCACATCTGCCATCATAGGGGCCAGTGACATCCCCCAAGTGAAATTGGTTGTGTGGGGCGTTGTAACGGTAATGGTGGGATGGGCATAACTCTTGACAGGCATAATGGTTTTTGGAATCTGGATTTCAAATGCTGGAAAACCTAGGCGTTCGTCTTCCCGGTAAATAACGCAAGGCACAAGCGTAACACTTTCCGAAGACGCATATTCCTCGCAAATCACCATGTCTGTCTCAAAACGCCATGCAGGTCCTTCATCCTCTTGGCCCTTGCTGGGAATATTGATGATCGGGAGAGGATAATCTCGGATCGAGAGCTGAATCGAATTAGAAGTCCAGGTTACTTGGAACGGAATAAGCAGTGTGAACAAAGTGGAGTGCGGCAGTCCCGACCCAAGATCGCTCATAAACGTTCTCAAGCCACTTTCACCACCAAATGATGGCGATCCTATACTGACGAATAGCCTCGTAAAGCTAGCCCGACAAAGAGGTACCACCTTCTGGGTTGGGATCGTTTGAATGGTAGACCATGAAAAAGGGGGGCAGGTGGGGTCTTTTGAACGCTTCAAATGAACTCCCTCCCGACGGACCTGTTCAGCGTCGGCAGCTTTGAAGCGCTGAATCCAGCTCTCGGAATCATAATGAAGCAATCGGACCCAGGCTTCCGAAGGTTCTACGGTGTGGCTCTGGCCAAAATGCCACTCAAAACCTGCTCGACGGTTGGGTGCTCGTTTGCTCCCTGCGCTCTGAATGGCAGCCACCTTGGCTTCGAACGCTAACGCACGTTCCAATCTTGATTTTTGCTCGTCAAGACCTGCTCGCCATATCAAATTCAATCGCGCTTCAAACGGATCATCTGCGGCTTCTATGGTGAGAAACTCCACACGTATGGAAACTTTGGGCGGTATTCTTGCTCCTTCAGGAGTCGGAAGAACTATCTCTGCAACTTTGCCAGCTGCGGCATCCCGACGGAGTTGTTTGATTGCCTTGATCATAATAGTAATGCCGAATATGAGGGTGTGCAAGTTGTATCTGTAGGGTATTCGCAGACGCGCCCCACCCAATGAGCAGTCAATGATGAAATTCGAGAGAAGAGGCGATAACGCCTCGACTTCAACGCTCAGGCTCTTGACCCTAACAATCTCCTCCCATTTCCCTTCAAGGTGACCTTGGGCGCTAGGAACCCATAAAAACGCAGACTGTGATGTGAGCCTGGCTTTAGAGCTCGCAGCCCAAACAAGACCAAAAGCGGAGAAGCGCGAATACACCCGGGCAGAATTAGGGCAGATGCAAAGACCTTGGACATCTTTAACGTCAATTCTGAGGGAGATGTGGGGATGCTGGTTGTGATCAACCCCACGGGGAGGGAACAAAGCAGTATGATATTGAAACTGGCGAAGAGATAACAGCATTGAATATATTATGGGGAGTTGGAGGCACCAGTATACACGGGGTGATTCAGCCGTGATATGGATTTCCTCAGAGAAACCTCCATTTGTCAATTCGCGGGAGGTGATCGGTATCCTAATTGTCGTGAGGGGCAGGTCAAGAAATACGCTCTCATGTACTTCCACAACACCCTCAGCACTGCGCCTGTCAATGGGACGACAAGGGAGTTCGTCGCTGGTATCAGAGATGCTCTCCACAATCCAGCAGCTGGGATGGATGAATTCGAGCCACAGAAGGGCAACTCGAGTCCCCGATTCCGCCAAATCCAGAGTTTGGGCCACCGCCTCGTTATACAGGTCCTCCTTCCTTACGTCCAGACTCTGGCGGGCACTGACACCCCGGGTGGAGACTGATTGCGCCATCCTCTCTGCTGATACATGCGGTGCTGTCAAGTAACAATATTCAAAAACCAGCCCAGTCTGCATGGCGACACCCCTCCGAAGGGGCATTGTATAGCGAATGTTAGGATTAATATCCTCCTCCGACACGGCTGCCCGAATGACACCAATCCAGCAATAAAACATCACTCCAGGAATCAGTTTGGACATCACACCACCCGCAAAGTGTGAAGTTGGTGGAACGCTGAGGGCCCGGGCGAGGACAATGAAGGACGGGAGAAACGGGGGATATCGTAGATCCAGCGTCACTTCGTCCACACGAGCTTTGGCCTCCGTAAAGAAATCAGGTATTGCAAAATGATGGGCTTGTTTCGAATTGAGCCGTCCAAGGGCACGTCCCGACATGCCAGCCTCGAGACCATGAATCGCCAGAACACGCTCCATTTTGGGGGGAATAAAGGCAGATGAAATATAGGTCGAGCCACTGGGGAAGGAACTAGAGGATTCTGCGGAAGAATCGTCGTCTTCCTTTGTCAAATTCCATTCAGCATCATCCATTGGAGATTTCGGATCGATGACTACAGACATTTCCAAGGGAGCAAGCGTCACTGATCCTTCATACAGGAGTTGTAGAGAAACTGCCATTTCATCGCTTGAGGCTCGCGCGAACTCAGATCCTTCATCCCGCTTCACCATTGGTTCTTCAAATGTGGACGACACATGCACTTCGATCTGATTCGTGGCCAGATAGACGTCGAATGCGCTCAGGAAGGGATTGTCAAGGTCATCGCATTGCAGCTTAATCTGGATATCCGTGACTGCAAGGTCCACCACAATGCGGGGCAAGTGACGCGCTAAGACAGTGCGTGGAGGCGGCGAGGGGCCTGAGTCGTTATTGTCCGGTAGCTCCTTTGGAGATGTTTTGAACAGATCCATGGTGGCCCTCAAGTCCTTAACTCGTTCCGTGAAATGAACATGCTCGCCTCTAACTTCCGCCACAACCAATGCAGCATTGTAATCCTCCCCAAACAGTCGCCCTTTTGGTAAGCCAACAGCGTCCCACTGAGTGGCAATCATATCAATGCTAGATTTGCCAAGTTTTGCAAGCCGCAATGACCGGACAGATGTCGAATGATGCTGGACACGGAAAATTTCCACAGCAGAGAGTCCGCACGAGATGGAAAAGACACTCGCATCCAGTTTAGAGTTTGGTTTCGCTGGCCTACCAATCCAGTTGCGGTGCATAGGATTCTGAGTGGGATCACTCAACCCAACCTTGAAAAACATTCTCCGAACAAGAGAAGAAAGAACGGTCTTTCTGTTGGAGGGCGCATGTTCGAAGGTATGGCTCACTTGAAGTGACGAGAGTTTTAGGTCTAAGGCCCCTAGCATGCGAGAGATATGCTAGAACGTCCATTCGATAATATAAGACCCCATGCTGCAGTGAATCAGAAACATGCCTGCCTGTTTGTGAAAGCCCTTGCTCGCTCCCGAGTCCGGCTGAGGGACGATCGATCCAAACTTCTATACCGAAATAAAGTTATATTTGAAACAACGTTGCGAAATTATACCCACCCCACGTCCTTTAAGCGACAAGTAGGAATCGTTTACTGGGGCAACTCCAAGCACGCCCGGGGACTTGGTGCCCTGGGAAGGGGTCACAGAAGAGAGAGCACGGGGCCTAGTTTTTGTACCCCATCTGTCGGTTATGGAGATTAGCGAGTTCGACTGCAAATGTATGGCTGGGACGTGTAATGACAAGGTCAAACTGTTATCCTCGATGCCGCTTGGGGAAAAAGAAAGCGAAAACCGTAGTTTGGCAGGCATGGGCATTGAAATGGCCGCTTCTGAGGCCTGTAAGCCATGAATTGACGGGACAGCATTGGAAGTGAATGACCACACCGAAGGTGACCGAGGTGGCGACGCAAACACGTTGTTCGAAGGTGGTTCAGTAACTCTGGACTCGGACATGACGACAGGGAGGCCATCCACAAGACTGAATTCGTCAATTTTGAATCCAAGCTCCAAATGACCTGATGTCCCCAACCATGCACGGCGGAACACTCGCCGTGAGCTCCCAAACAGTTGATCACTCCACTGGTAGAGTCGCTTGTGCCGTCTTCCAGGAAGCTCCTCCGTCTCTATGGGCAATTCAGACAATTCGGATTTCGATTTGGATAATCCAACCTTCGCCCCAAGGGTTACCCCGTTCACCAGCAGGTGAGCACCAACAGAACCTGAGTGAGTGACGATTACACGATCCAACTCAAAATCTAGCAATCTCATTATGCGTGGTAAAAATTCAATGACCTTCCGCAACAGCACGACGAAAAATTTTCGAAAAAGAGGTCGGAGATGAACATTGAACCACGGAAAGAACAAGATGTCGAGCAGACCGGATTTAGGCATATACTTGGCGTTGAGAAGGCCGGATCCAGAGCGTACTGGTGCCGAAGGAAAGACGGTGGGGGGAGACACTTTGATAGAAGTCCTTTCAGCGATTGTGACGGCCAAGCCTTGGATCTGGATGTGCACATGCTTGGCAAACGAGTTGGTTGGGGAATGAAACGAGAACCCAATGCGATCAATGGAGACGGTGAGAGTCCCAGCTTTAAAATGGATGCCACGGATTGATCTGGGGCTAACACTTGTGAAGCGAATGTTCGACTGGAGTGTCCCGAGCAGCCATGGGAGGAAGTATCGAGTGATGAAGAACAGAGAGACTCCGAGCGTAGAAACAATGAGAGGCCACTTGTAATATATCATCTCCGGAAACCCCAATTTCAAGGCACTGAAGCACTATGGCCGCATTCAAGACGGTGAACCGGGTGATGGACCTGCAGCTGGACTGGCTGGGCGTGGGAACTGTGCGTGTGACCAAAATGCAGACACGTTGTCTGCTCGCTCTTCGCCAACATCAATTACGGGCCACACCTAATAGGTGTACCGTTATACGCCGAAGTTTTGGCACCGATGTACTCATACATCCGGTTACCAGTTTATCACAAGCGTATTTGACTTTTGGCTCTGTCTTCCAATCAATCCCTTTGCCTGAATTTCTGCCGCCGCATGCTGCCGCTATTATTGCCGCTACGATTGTGTTGAGGACGTGTGTCACTCTCCCTCTAACAATATGGGTGTGTCTACTTTTTTGTGACTTCCCCAACACTGTACCGACCTGAACGCAGTCAAGACGCCGGGTACGGCGTTTCAGAGACGAAGTCCTACCCAGATTGAAAGACGCGAAACTTCAATATGCTCGAGAGTTTCGTGAACTGAAGAAGGAAAAGAATGCGAAACTTGCTGAAGAACTGTTCCATGACTTCAAGAGCCAATATCAACCGAAGGTGAGGGCCTAGTTGCTGTTTAATCTGTAGATGCCCATGTCTGCCTCCAAGTTAGCCGCTTATTATGCGCGATTAGTGGAATATCATAGTTGTTCTCCACTCAAAACCTTATTAATCCCGATAGCAATGCATTTTCCAGTCTTCATTGTTTCAAGCCTTGCGCTCCGAGAAGCATCCGTTCCGCCGACGCCACTGTTATACGAAACCTTCTTGAGCGAGGCTTCACTCGCCCAATCAGATACATTCGGCTTCTTCCCGATAGCTATCGGAGTCACTTCACTGATCAACTTTGAGGTTTCGCGTCGGTTTTTTTTCGCCCCTCCGTGGCGAACAGCCCAAAATGACTCCCATTGTCGATAACGTTGTTCGTGGAGCAAGCTTGGTCGTGGTTGCTGCTGGAATGATGGCCCCAAATGTAGGTGCTTCTGAGCTCTCCTTCCGAAGTTGCACCCCTGATACCTGTCTTACGCAGTCGGTGACTTTATACTGGCTTACCTCAAGCTTCTACACATTGGGACAGACGATCGTCCTTGGATTCTTAGACAAAAGCCCGAGGCCATTGGAAATGCCTCCCCTGGAGAGGAACACTCTGCCACGATCCTCACTCAACAATAAAAGAGGTTCAGGATAGACGTATCTGAGAAGGCCAAGTACGTGCTCTGTTTTGGAAACCCTATCGAATGATTACACCCAGTGGTTGAGGCACCCTCCACATGAGCGCCGTATCAAATGGCACAGGGGTGGAGCCCATGAATGTCATTCTTGATCTAATCTGATTCCTTTCTCCTACTCTCTTCGTTGGGAGGTGCGCTGACTTTCTCTACAATCACGTAGTAACCGGGCACAACAAACTCGATGAATAAATAGAAGAACAATGCCATTCTTAGATGTTCGGGTAGCCTCATCTGGAGGCCGTGGTGCCGATTTGCAGCATAATTTATGACTAGGTGTGAATTGCTCAGGATCGATATAGACTGCACTTTGCGGCATTCTAGCTCTATCTGCGAGGACAGATATAGCTGTGACCCTAAGTTTTCGGTAATGCCTCGCCAGATGAATAAGTTGAACAGGTAAACCTCGTCATCGCAAGTCTTTGAGGCCCTTTCCTCCATTCCAGTTCCAACGACGTTCGATACTTCTCCAACTCATGAAGAATACCATCGGCATTGTATGAATTTATGGAACACTGCATGGCTGATCTCCATCCGCCCTTGTTGTACTGTCGTTTGGGCTTTTCCGCCACCTGCACTGAAGTCTACCACTGGGAGCTATTAAAGGATTGTTCCTAAAGGCGCCTCAGCTCTCTGTCCTTCACCTCAGTGGTACTCTCAAAGATACATCTCGCAGCGCCAACTGAGGACCCGTAACGGGACCATTCCCCACCGCAGTCCAGTCCTCCCGGCCGCACCAAGCTGTACAGACGCTCCCAATGCTCTTTATGAAGAATGCGTTCGTTCGGGTGCGTACAAGTGCCCCACCCCTACCCGATACTGTTCCCTTTTATCTCTCTTCGTGAAGGCACGAGAAGAGTGGGGTTTGTTTCCATGTCTCCGTGCTTTCTTCGTGGTCTAAACAGGCAAGAGAAACACATACGTCACATGTCACATCTACTGAACGCACGATCCTGGATTCCTGGTACGAGTACTGCTTTGAAGTGCCGGATCATTTACGGGCTGCTTTCCCAGAACTTACACCTGACGACACTCACAAAGAGTAATCGTGCGTCATGGTGTCAGCCATGCTGTGCATCATACTCGACCGGGTCGAAAGGTTTTAGACTTGACCTAATCCCACCCATTAATCACAGCGATGGCACGCGATGAAACTGCTGGATTCCGCGCCCCCGCAGCGGCGAGGGGAATTTTGCAGGCGTGCTGTCAAAAAATAGCCGCTTCTCGACATACCTTTCAACAACGTGATTGAACAAAGTGTTCTCTATTCTTATGCTTCCGCTGCCGCCTCTGCCTCTGCCTCTGCCTCTGCCTCTGCCTCCGCGCTGAGTGGGCGGGGAAATCTTGTCTGCGCAATGACACCCATGACTTGCAGTCCCAGACTTGCCAAGTCACTTGCACGAAATTATCTGCTGTGAATCGGAATGGACCTTTTGCGTGAGCCCGTATCACCCAGCAAGACATGTGTTTATGGAGGCCGAACGCCTTAACCTGCACCACCCATGCAAGCGTCCACCTCACCATGTCCACGATTGGAAATGCAGTGAGCGATCACCACCGTCAAACATTGCCAGCGCAACCGCATATTCAGCAACTGTCATTGTCATGCAACAAATATTGTATCCCCTTCATGCCTCGTGGTATCATCCTACCGATGGATGAAAGGGATGTGTCCTAGTGCCAGTTAGTGTAATACGGCCACACACCGGGGAGTGTGGAAATTCTGGATAACAACTTAACAGGCTGAAACAATGATCGTAAATCATGTGTGCAGAAAAATCTGGTCAGCATGCTCGTGTGGCCGGATGGCGTATTATATAGCATGAGACGTCCGTCCCAGATGACGGATACTGAATAGATCCTCGATCAGAATGCTGAAGACTCTGCCGAGGCTCTTGGGGTAAAGGTCCAGCGGCCGTAGCTTTGCCATTAATTCCGCAGAGCGGCAATGCGTGTGTGCGCATGCGTTCGAAGGGCAACCGAAACTCGATTCACAGAACCCAACACAAAGCAATTTCCCGCTATATAGGTACTCCGTAGCGTGTTCTGTCCAGATCATCCAAAGCGTGAAGAACACCCCTCTCAGTCCTGCTTTACCAATTTCAGGGCCCCCCTCGCTGCCGTTTGCGCGAACGGGGACCTACCGGACCGTTTAGGGACGAATATGCAGCTTCATCATTCCCCCTTACCCCTTTTCTTGGCCTCGCTAGTGTTACCAAATAAGGATGAGCGCGTCGCATCTTCAAGATTTTCCCCAATCTTGTACTCTTCACCAAAGATTTTTTCTTTGTTTCCGTGTACATATTCCAACAACCCATTGGCGCTTCTCAGAATAGAGTGATTCTTTGATCTTTATTTACAGTCCACTTCGTGACTAGCTTGGTGCTCGGCATTTTGCGGTCGAACCTTGCAACCACAGAAGACCCACGCAATCAAGGAGAAGAAGATCCCTCCTCATGCAGAATCCCCACTCGTCTTAACCCTTTCTCGCGTCTTTCGTCCAAGTGAAAAAGTCAGCGGTTTAGGTCTCTTCCTCCCCTGGCACCGTTCTGGATTTTGAGTTGTCTCACGGCACCCGCCTCTCGACGGCCAACCAAAAGCCAAATGCTTGTCAAGCAGTACTGTCCCCAACGAGATAAGAGGATTTACACTGATCCTTTAGCGTCCGCACTGCTCCTACGCTGTACTGCCGAGTTCGATACATAGGATCGTACCTCGCTCCTGCTCGTCCAGACATCCCTAGGATCGCCCTGTCAGTTCATGTGGCTCAGCACGCACTGATATGAATAAGATATCGCTAGAAATTATTTGGACATTCCCATAATGTCTCTGGATCCTACAGTGCCAGATTTTTCAACTCTGTCGATCTTCAGTTGGCCACCTGAATGACAAAATAGGCATGCCATTGGGATACCACTTAACACTTAACTTCCCCTCCCTTCTACTTTGCATCCTCGTCCCCTGGTCCCAAACGGGCCCGTTAAGAAGTCTTTAGGTCGCGTGGTCGCTCTGGATCACGTCATGCCCCGGGAAATCTAAGGCTTCGTTCGGTACAAAGACACAAGTTTCTTTTTCCTGTTTCTTCGTACTGAATGAAGCCTAAATAATCTACCGGAGTCTGGATCTTCCGCGAGATTCCAATGCCGGTTGCATTTGTTTTCTCATCTATACGCGCACAGGATGTCACGAGATGCAGGCGATGAATTATCATCATAGCGAACGACAGAAAGGGAAAACCAACGTAAAGGTTGTTAGAGGAGGCTCAGATCCACCGAACCGTACCGGCACAATAAACACGATAAGAATCCAACATCGTACATCTAAGATCAGATAGGGAGCTCGAATTACAACACCGCGCGTCCACGGTCTGAGAACTCGTCCAGCCTTGGAAGCAAAGGCCAAATTGTATACTCTCAGCTGGCTCTTACGCAGAATCTCCAAGACCAAGTTTGTTCCGGATTCCAGCACGAGTCTGTCTGGCGAGGCGCGGATGGCTCTTTCTACCCTTCGCATAGCGAGCACCGAACATGTCTACGAATACCTCCTCAAGAATGGAGACAGTGAACCAGCAGTTCTCCTTTTGTGTTCGTCAGTAAACAACTAGCCGAGAACAGTTACCGCTCACCGCGAATAGATCGTAGGTACTGCACCCCCCAAGGACGATCTCGAGCACCCTGCCAAACTTGAGCAGTGGGATTGGTTGGGGCAGGTCCAGTCGTGCTTCCTCGATTGACTTCCCGTCGCGGAGCAGGTGTGAATTCTCGGACACCGTTACCTAGGCGAAAATAACGATTTAGTGAAAGGGGCATGATCATTGTCGTGGCAAGGAAGGGGGGAGGGGGTGAAACCCACCGTATCCATTGCATCGGACTTTCCATGGCACAAACTGAATTGGAACAGCGAGAGGGCACGATCCCGGAAACGGTCAACCCGAAGGACGAAATCTGGCATCCCCTCCCGACTGACTCGTAGGATAAGGAACCGGTGTCGTACCATGCCGCTATCCCTGAAACGACCAATAGAGACAATCTTTGCATACTGTGCGTGCATGTCCCTACGCACTTCATGGAAAAAGACGTGTGCGGAATAAGTGGTGTAGGAACTTGGAAGTGCGTGCGTAACTACATCGAATGAGCATGCGACCGGAGCACGACGACGATGGAAAATACCTTTATGACTTCCTAGCTCTTCGAAAGCTGATGCATCCACCCACGGCCCATCTTCACCCTAGGACGTTGTAATGAGAGCTAAGATGGTACTGGAGAATCAGCCATACGCACCCCCGCCGTTGACGTATCCGCATCAGTGCTAAGCTGACACTCCGCATGGACAGCTTCCTCCCGACTCTTGCCCTTCTTTCTGCTACGAATGATCATCGGAGCGAATCCCTGAGGCTTCGGCAAGAAAGGTGTAGCACTCTGTTTCAACCACCGGGCGAGCAGTTCCGTCCCACTGCAAAAGAAACGTGAAATGCTCCTCCCATGACGATCATGATGTCTAGTAGAATTATGCAGGACAAAAGTGGACGGTAATTGGGTCGCAGTGGAATTGGCGGAAGGGACAATGACGGGTGAGGGCGGTCGGAAGTGTATCTCTTGAGAGTTGGTTAACATAGGTTGATCATCACCGGGAGAGCCGCCGAGAGAAAGGTTGAGAGAGGGAAGAGTGACAGTGTCGAGTGGGTTCGCAGGGATCCCACTTTCACTAGCAGTAGTGGCGGAGAGTGTTGGCATATTGAGGGTTAGATGAAGGAGGTTTTCAGATGAGAGACCTCTTTCACCTTCCAGCACCTGAGATATACCTGGGGAACCGCTGGGGGAACTAGGAATGATCAAGAGGAGGACATGAACATTTGAATACAACATGTGGGAGATTGAGATTGACAAATTGAAGCTATGTGGCGGGGGAGTGAAAAGGATATGGTTGATCATATACTTTACGGGGGGATGCTGATTTTCTGTCTCGCCCGACCGCCCGACATTGCCCGTTTCAGAGGTGTGCGTTTCCTGAAAAGCATGGGAGCAGATTGGTGAGGCGAACGATCAGGTGGAGTGGGAAAAATACTTCAGTTAACTATTTGAAATTGGAAGGATTGGTTGCATATGCACATGGCCCTGGCACCCAGGCCTGTAGAGATGAGTGCGATATCTAATGATAATATAATGTGATATCGTACTCAGAGTGTCGGGCTGCAATGCCATGATTATAACACTCCTGTCCCTTGGCGGTAACACCAATGAACCACATGGCCGCTGACCATTTAGTTTGGTTCACCGCTTTGAAATCGCTGCTTTGATATCGTCTGCCAAACCCTGTCTTTTAATTTGAGTTTTCAAAAGGACGCGTGGAGTAGGGCGAACACCTTGAGGAACAGTTTAAATAATAGAAGCCGGCTAGGCTGAGGGCACGAGCAGCTGTGTACGTAATGGTAGTACATTGGTTGGGGGCATAAGCACACTCATCATCCTGGCCCAGAATGCCAGACCGTCTTTTGCCGAGAAAAATACCAGGGGGCATCATTGGTTCACCAGAAAATAGTTGAGATTACATCTACATACATATATAGACCGTTAAATTGATTCGAAGCAACAGGATTGTGAGGAATTGCTCGGGCCACCCAAATTCCGACGGTGTCGACTCAAATGTATTACTTCTGAATTGAACCCCCCCCGGTACAGATGGGCCATCTGTGTCACTTAACCCTGTGTCTGGGGGTTGTATATACCAAATAGGGCAACGGTACACTCGCAGTACTCCAAGTACTGAGATGTATAAGTAATGGATGCCCGTGCATATTTATATACTAAGGAAGAAGCTGTGTGAGGCAATTCCTGTACGATTGCACGCTTGGTAGTTTATGCTCGTGCTGTGCAAGTCGTGGGGACGCGCGCGACGAAGAGGCTGTGCATGCTGAGAAATGGGTAATGATTGTGTAAGGTTTCAGACGATACATACTTGGCATGACCCGTGCGACCTCTGAGAGAGCGCCAGCGATCATCGCAACTAACTAGGCCCAATGAGGTGACGATGCCGATTTATTACGGATAATCCTGCAACTTCTTTTGTGATAAATGCTGAGTGTCCTGCTAACCATAATAAAATGGTTCAAGTTTTTCCCCCAACAAGTGGTGTTCCGCTCCGCCCGTTCAAATGCTCCTCCCTTATCCTCGCCAAGCGCTCATTTGTTGCCGAGGAGAGCAACTCAATGTTCACACTGTCTTTCCTAGCCACAGCAAGCTAGTGGAAAACTTCCGGCAACTTTCTACTTCTGGGAGATGATGACGTGAGCAGAGACTGGCTGGAGTACAAGAAGCGAGACACCGCGTAGGGGAAAGGGGTGAGGAGCAGGCGACGCACGACTAGATATTCATGATCGATTCTGCTCCGTCCGGATCAAGACCAAAGGAAATGACCGTCATGCCCCGTCGAAGAAGCATGAATAGCTGCAGGCAGAGGGTTGGCTCGCTGACCCTTGGGAATGAACAGTTGCAGATAATCGAGCTTGGATAATGTGCATAGCACCCCAAATCTTCTCGCCTGCGTCTGTGATCGGGCATGACGGTTGGCCATCTGAGACCTGAATCGGAAGGTCGCAATGGAAAAAGTAAACGGGCACAGTATGTCCCTGAGGCTTGCAAGACTTCACTGGATGACTAGCAACAGGAATGTGAAAAAATATCATCTCAGCGCGGGGGAAAGCAGTACAACTCGTTTGGCCGTCGCATTTGCTGTCATCCACTACTTTGCCTCTCCTATGCTGGGCAATCTACAATCCTTTTTTTTCCCTTCACTTCTAGTTCTGCCTGTACTAGCTTCATGTTAATTTTAGCCTGCTTGATCTCACTCCCTTGTGCATTTGCACCCCCTTTTTCGAAAGAGACGCGTTCATACACTGCTCCTCTCAGAAAAGGAATGGCCACCAGATAGGGGCGTCTGAAACACGTGAAAGAGATAGGGGCTTTACCAGCCAGCACTAGTGGCCTCTTTTATCCGGGATCAGGGTCATGGAAGTCAAGATTGTCGAGCAACCTCTACAATTTGATGTGAAGTGAGCCCAGTTTCGAGCTGCCTAGAAATCTTTCATCAAGGTTCTGTAGTTAGGGGCGTATCTGACGATTGTGACAGATATGGAACTTGATTGCGATCACGATGGGCCAGCCGTAGTTGGACAACAAAGGGTTTCGTGGTCGCGGTCTCCGGCGAACGTCGGGTGTTGAGTATACCATCAGGGATCACTGAACAGAGTGTGCAGCGGAGGACTTGAAACTGAGCTTGAAGAATACTGGATGAAGTTAGATGGCTGTCAAGTGCATGTATAGACGCCTCAAAGTTATCAATTCCGAGAGAACAATCAATTCCTCATCAGAGGAATCCCAGCACTGTTCGGATTGTGCGAGTACCTGGTATGGGTGCTGATGTAAGCATCCTGAGCAAGCGCCCAAACCGAGCTGCCTGAAGCAGGCCCACGACCATCTCGTGCTGCGGGGAGTCAAGCGATTTTTCTATATATTTTATTCGGGGAGCTACCAGAGTCTCGGCAATCGAATGCCAGGTCATCAGCTTCGGATGCACTCCGACTCAAACTTTGCACCTTCGATTCTTGCTGGTACTAATTCCCGTGAATCCCAACAATATCTGGCATTTCCGACAGCGTTCACATCTGTGGTGCCCTCTAACAGCGCGGCTGGGCAACCATATTTCCCGTCATCATCTACAGATAACCAGATTGGGCTTCTCTCCGGAACGGGTACAACCGTGTCGCCCGCCTCAGCTTACCCCGCTTCTGCGGAAACGGACGACGTAAAGCAACAACACTTTCTCTCCCCCCAAGATACACTTCATATTAAGAACATGAATACCAATTCAGCCGGCTCAAGCGGCTCGCTAACGAAGCGCCCGGCATCAGGTCCTGATCTTAGGAGTTCAGATGGTAACCTGCCCAATAAGAAGCCCAAGCTGGAGACCGAGGCTAGTCGGAGCCATCACGACGATCGGGATGGGGAAGAAGAGGACGTGACTGTCTCGACCCAGCCACAAGTCAAGGTTAAGGCAACAAGGGGCTCGAGGTCAGTAACCAGCGTATCTCACCTTCAGTATCTAAAATATATGCAAAAACACTTTAGAGCATGTACTGTTTGCCGCCGGCTGAAGATGAAGTGCGTTGGCGCAGAAAACGGTCCACCATGCAAGCGTTGCATCGCGGGGAAACATGAATGTATTTTCGAAGAGTCCAATCGCGGCAAGCGATCCTCTAAAAAACACGAAGTCCTTACCAAATCAATCAAAAAAATGGAGCTTACTCTTGAAACTGTCATGAAAAATTTAAACAACCCCGCGCTGGCATCGCTTATAACACAGAGCAATACTACGACATTGCACGCTGCCTCCACCGACGGTGTTGCTGAGCGCTCGCATAGTCGGAGTGCAAGCCCAATCGTTCAGGCTAGCAATGGGCCACACCACGCACCCCGAATAGCGATGGACTCTCCACTAGACGTGGTGAATGTACACATTCTGAGCCCCGCGAACAGCACGACCACCACTGGACGATCGCCTCTTCCATCCACAAAATCCGTAACATCATCCATTACAAGAGTTGCAGATGCACGTTCTCCTTCCTCAGTCGCCGGCGCAGCCCGCTCCATGTCAATGTCCCAACAACCCCTTAGCCCCCAATTATCTTCCCACCTCCCAGACAATAGCCTCAATCCATTGGGTCTTCTGGCAGAAGCGAGCCTCAGCAACCGCCGGTCGATTCAGAAGGCTGGTGGGGTTGACGACGATACTGAAGCAGCACATATGGTGGAGCAAGCTGTGAATGGGTCTATGGACGAAGATGGAACAGCCAAAACAGGCCCGTATGCTGCTCCTGGGAGGAAAGTGGGCGTGGCAAACGATTCGTACTTCCGTCCGAGTCCGATTAGCATTCTGCCGTTGAGAAGGTTGTTTATTGAGCGACAGGTTCAGCCAGAAATGCTTGGATTGGTCACGACAGAGGAGGTAGTTGAGTTGTTCAAAATGTGAGTTGACTTATCCCACCTCCCCCAGTATGTGATTGATGTCCAGCATGCTGATTTTTGTGGTTTGGAAAAATAGATACTTCGAAAAGATGAACCGCCATTGTTGCTTGCTTAGTCAAGACTTTCATACTCCCTCGCTTGTTTGCTCCAGAAGTCCTTTCTTACTAACAGTTGGTAAGTAGCCGTGACCCCATTCATATTCTTCGCTCGTTTTAACGGATTTCATTTATCCTCGACTTAGTGTGCTCGATCGCATCTAAATTTTACACTCCCCGACCAGACTTGCATCCGCAGCTTGTCAAAATCTCCAGGAAACTTGCATTCTCTGTCCCTGAAAGAGGGTTCAAGAGTCTTGAAATCGTCCAGGCTTACCTGTTACTCGCGCTCTGGGGATGTGGGCCCGTGGATAGGTATGAACAAGATAAGACATGGTTGTTGTTGGGTTTGGCAATCCGGATGGGGACCGATTTGAATTTGCATCGGAAGGTAGCTGGATTACCGTCCGATGCCCCTCCGGCGGAGTGGAGAGCGAGAGAAAGGGAATTAAGAAATCGGGAGCGGACCTGGATGTAAGCTATCTATCCTTTTTTGTTTTCGGTATGAACCTTGGAGGCTATTTACTCATTGCGATTCTCAGTTTGTGTTACGTGCTCGACAGAAGCTGTTCTGCTCAGATGGGCAAACCACATTCCGTTATTGAAGATTATATCATTCGGAATACCGCAACGTGGTATAAACTACCCGAGTGCAGAACAACCGATGCTGGCCTGGTTGCGTACGCGGAATTGCAACGTATCATGTCGAGAAGCTTGGATTTTCTCTACTCTGGTACCTCGACTACTTCAGGATTGCACACGAACACCGATTATCTTTTGGTGATTAAGACTATCGAGAGTCAAATCTTGACCTGGTCGGATTATTGGGATTATCGTAATTTGTCCAAGAATGGTGAGCTGCTGTCCATCTCTGTTGTTATGAGGAAACTACGCGCAACAGTACCATTGTTGACATCACCCCTTCAGGCGGTATTGACGTGGAGCGAATTACAGCGGCTGAAGGATCATATGTCTCAACTATGATACGATTTTATCTTAATTATTCGATGCTTGTAGTAAATTCCTTTGGGCTTCAAAACGCGCTGGAGCATGCACCGCTGGATACAGGGCACTTCTTTGGGAGGTGTTACTCCTCTGCAGTGGCCTGCGCAGTCATCGTGAGGGATGAGCTCGGGCCGCAAGGTTACCTGAGGTATTCGCCTGATTCACATTTTGTATTTTCCAGTTATGTGGTACTAATGTTGCTCAAAGTAAGTTTATCAACAATTTCGCTCCTCAAATTACCTCCTAGCCGCTGATGGGACCCTTGTCAATCTCCTTAGCTCATTAGACCTGAGTTCCAGGCGTTCATGGAGAGTGAGCAGCGCACCTTAGCCCTGGTTCTCGGTGTTGCCGATACCCTTGATTCGGTCGCTATTTCACCCACGCATACTCCCGCTCTCTACAGCACCTTCCTCCGAGCCGTCGTCAACTCTCGTGCTACCAGCGCTCCATCTAGTCCTCCCACTGCCAACATCCCAAACCCCAGCACTCAGCCGCAATACCTTCAACAACAGCAAGCACAAGTCAAGGGTGCAACCTCAAGTAGCCAGCAAGCGACAGGCGGTGTCGTGGAGCCTCAAGTCGACCGGACGAGTGGTCCTGCTGCGGGGATCTTTGGTGATGAGCAGCAGTTTGGAGATGGCGCGCTTGGCCTCAAAATGTTCCCCCCTGCCACTGGCAGTTCTACGATGGTGAACGTCGTGCCAAATGGCACGGTTGCTGGTCTCCCGGACCTCCCTTGGACACCATCTGGCCCTGGAACGACATCTGGTCTTCCCGGCCCGAGCACGGAGACGGATATCCAGAGCTCCATGAATTTCCAGATTCCTCAGAGCAGCATAGATGACTTCGGAAATATGTCAATGGACACCATTCTTGCTGGAGGGTTCTGGGACAACGTTCTTGTTCCTGGCTATTCCAGTGGCTTAGAGGGTTTAAGTGGTGGGTTCGTGTTTGGGGCTGGCGGGAGTGGGTTCATTACGCCGAGACGTCAATCGCCTGAGCCAGAGACGCTGATCCTTGGTGGTGTGGCTTCCTCGTCTGGGTTTCCGCAGGCATTCCAGCCGCAGCAGAATGGTACGATCAACCTATCACCCAAAAACCCTTCGTGAACGGAAACTTTGACTTGAAATTATTCCCATCCATCATCTATATGTATGTTTAGGATGATCTATGTGACCCGACCCAACAAATTACCCTCTTGTTCCTGTTATATCCGGTGTTTCTGGTTGTGATATCCCTACTTTGTTTCTAACGTCTGCACCATCTTGTAACAACATCGTTGTATGCAGTTCCAGATTTATACGGAATTATGATAAGCGACCTACTTTCCAACCTGAATGGACACGCAATCAAGGAGTTCGGACCGCTAGAAAGGCAGTGAATCCATATTTTATCCCGAACATTTCGTACGCGCGGCAAACCGAAGATCAGGGCTAGATGAATGGTAATACTTCAAGCAAAGCTGAGTCGTGTTTCCTCCACAAAGACGCGGGTCGAAAGGCTTCCGAGGGTGGCAGCATGGCAGAAACCGAACCTTGTCTCAAATTGATGGTGTCGACGGGCACACGTACAGACTTCGGCGGCTTCTGCATGCGGCAATACTGGTGAAAAGATCCATCATTTGACATTGGACATGCTCCGAAAGGAAGTCACAATGTCCAATGCGTCTAACGGTGGCGGGAGGGTATGCGGGCGAGGTATGTCGGGAGAACACAATTTAGATGATCCATCAAGAACACCAGAGGCGCCTTGTGATTCGTGCTGGTGAGGCCCAGATGGCTCAGATGCCGATGTCGACTCATGAATGATATAGGATTAGTTCTGCGGCCAAAAAATTGGCAGTCCACGTCCAGCCGTTCGAACATGAGCCATGACTCGAACTTAAGGTCCTGTGTTGCAAACAAAAAATCAGCGCTCGTCCCTGATCTTCAAATACTGCAGCCTGGGAGCAGCCAGCGAACGCAAGATCTCTTTGGCTTTCCCTTGCCTCCAGGTACAAGAGATACACACTCGAGTGGAGCAACGACCTGATGCGATCCCCAATCGGTAGTGAAATAAGAACTTCAGCTCGGGACACGTATTGATCAGATTTCCCACCCCAGCTCCAAGATATTCCAAATCGGAAAAGCGCAAATGAGTTATGCCGGAGAAATGGCTATATTGAGTTTCTCGGAGACGGTCTCACAGTGGGAAACCAATCGCAGAAGAGTCAAATAGAAAACCTTCCGACAACTCAAGAATCTGGAGCTGTGACATTAAGACAAGTGAGGGCATTGATAAACTCTCAAGTGATAACATCGGTCCATGTTATCCAATCTTGAACTTTGGAACGATCACAGCAGGTGCCTGTCTGCAGACGTATTCGAAGAGGAGCGAAACGAGAGCGGCTTAGGAAGACTTCCGCCATCGTCGGGTAGCTGGACTCAAGAAATCAATAAATATTGAGCTCCACGAGGATTAGAGTTGTGTTGATCTACTGAGCCAATGTCTGATGACTTACTATTTGGAGATTCGCAGCGCAATTGCCCTCCATCGACGACAAGTAGTTGACACGGATTGGCGAAATCTGCATAGATTTTGCATTGGGAGACTCTCTACCAGATGTCCAGGACTAAGAAGGAAAACGTAGAGCAGAATCTCGTCAGGGAACCGATCTATACGCGCAGCTTGGCCTGAAGTCACGCTTCGCCACGACTGTTTCTCTTCTGCAACATCCATGGCAACAGAGAACCAGCAGCATTGAAAGTAGGTCCCACACCGCTGCAGCAAATATTTGCACCAATACGCATCAAGTCATAGAGGCTAGAGTCCTGCCTAGCCTAAGTGCGCAACTGGCGCCAGGCAACGCCTGCGCGGTAGTCCCCGACGTCACGCTTCAGCTGACAAACATCCGCTGCCAAGCGCAAAAGCTGTCGAACCAAAAGGGAGCAATGGTTCTAGTTTCTTGCAATGTCTCTGTCGCATTGGAGCCGGGGCACCCCCTTCGTCTCGCCGTCGTACATACTCTCTCAATCTTGTCTCAGACCTCAGATACATCGAGTGGGTCACTCTTCGATCCCTCCAAACCGCAGCCTACCCGCTTGCGGACAAGTACCATCCCCGAAAACGTTCCTGTTTATATGAAAGGCTCTCAAGTTCACCTGGGTGTGTTGGGGCTCTTGAATGGTCGTCGAGTCGATGCTCGGAAAGTCTTGAAATCTGGGGTGCTGCAGGAATTGACAAGGTCTATCCGAAAGGTCAGTGGTTCAGATAACCTCATTCAAACATATGCACCGCAATTATTTTGGGCAGAATATGGAAGCATTAGGGCTGCACACTTTCTCTGGCCCTAGTGCAGCCAACGATATAATTGAATGTGGGTGTCATGAGCCGAGAACCTTTAGCTCGCCCATACTGGTCTAGATTCGTTGATTCCGAAAGGGCCGTATCCCACACCAATGTCGGGGCGACATGACGAGCCTCCTGTGTTCTTGGAAAATATTCTTCTCAAGATCTGCTTTCACTCAAGAAATTTGGGTGTACGATAACAATTCTGCACATACATGAGAATGACGTTCAGTGATGCACTTCATTAGCAAGACCCGTTTGACTCGCATATTTCTGTCGCCGACTTGCATCCATGGAACAGGCTCACAATAAAGTTCTTTAACATTCATCTGATCAAGTTAAGTTGACCCCTGATGACTACAGTTCCCTTACTTATCCCTTGAGTCTCAGACGTTATCCGCTTATTTTTGGACAACGACGCCTGGTGAGCGAGGGAAAAAAATTGTTACATTTCAGGCTTTCCTCACCTCTTTTGAAGAACCTAGAGCAAGAGATGCCGTACTTAGGGTCAATGGCCAAGTCTATTTCGTCTATGGTTTTGCGTTCCGACAGCAGAGTCTTTCGTTCACAAGCAAAGGAGGCGTTTAAAGTGGGTCACTTGATTCTACCTTCATCATCGATGCCGAATCACTTTTCAGACCCTCCTACAAACCCGAGAGCGAGGTGTGAATGCCTCCTGGATGTCTCTATCCTCACTCAGAAAATACAGAGGCTCAGATCCCGTGATTGACGACAATACCGCCGAGGCGTATCGGATGTCTCTTCCCATGAATAATAAGAAAGCAGATTCTGATGATACCCAAATTAAGGAATTCGAAGATACTATTATTGATGCAATGCGTAGGCTTTATCATCTGAGCATCAGTCCTAAACAGTTCAAGGTATTCTCCCGGATCGTTCACCTGGCTCTTGATAATGACTCTGCTCAGACTTCATCTGTCGGACAAAAGGACAACATGCAAGCCGACGATTTTGGATTCGAAGATGATCCCTGCGTGGACAGCCTAGACGACACGCCCCTGAATGACAACCTTGTGGAAGAACTGGAGTGTGTCCTTCCTGTGGACATCCCAACTGGAAGCAATTTTCAACTTCTTGATGTTCCTCTCCATGCGTGCTTTCTTCGTTCTGATTTTCACAGGATTGATCAGAATTCCGCTTTCGAGGACGATGTCACCGATGACTATGGATCTGATGCTTTTCCGGATACAGTCCCCGATTTATCTCTTGAAACATCGTGGGAGGCAGATGCTAGTAATTTGGTCGGCCCCGCATCTGGTTATCTTGACATGGGAACGGATGACTCTTTCGAGGACGCTTGCTCTGACGTGCTATTCACTCCGCCCCGGGTCCCAGCCAGTCCGCAGGTTGTCTGTCCCCAAAACCATATAAATGAACTTTCACAGCTAGACCACAACGCAACTAATACCAAGGTCCACCACCAAAGACCTGATTTGGTTGCGGACGATGAATTCTCTGACATCATGTCCGACCTGCTTCTTACACCCATACATTCTCGTTTCGCTAGTCCACGAATAGTACCCGCGTCGCCTCACTCACTCGACATAGATTCTGACCACTTCAGCTTTGATCTCGAAAGCGTAGGTTGTTTTGTTGAAATCCCGGGCGAAGAGACTTGGGATGAAGGGATCGAAGATGGAGAAGATATGGTGGTATTGGGATTGCCTGCTTCGCCCCTCTCATCACTTTCATTTGGTTCAGGGTCTGGATACTCATTCTAACCGGGCGCAATTGTGTTTATATGTACAGAGGAAGGAATAACGCAGCAATTCACATTCTACACTCTGGCGACTTTTGTTCACCAACCTTTTCGAATTCCATGCGGCTCGCGTGGCTGACTCAGAGTGTCCATGGGATTCTTTCCGACTGGTTCAGAAATCTCATCGAACAAGGTTTGAATATCTGCGGTTTTATGGCACTCTCAACATAGGATAGCAGCCGGAAGACCCAGTTCTCCAGGACCTTAATCGCGCAGGAGAGGTTCATCTGGATCGAAGCCAGTATTCTTAGTGTACGAGTGGAAGCCGATAGGACTGGTGTTTAGGTCCGAAATAAGAGCGCAAGTGATCGCAAAACTTGAGCCGAATGCGGGCCTGCGGCCACGTCGCAGCAGACACCCTAACCCGTAGAGACGAGAGCGTGAGGATTGCATCTGAACAGTATGTGCAGCACACCCTTCTCCCCCAAGTTCGTTCAGAATTAGGTAGTTGGGGTGAAACCCTCCAAGAATCTTTCCGAGACATCGGTCCGTGAGGTGTACATATACAGCTGAAATGAACGTCGTTTTTTCGAGTTGCAGCATCCAAATATATCCAGCCAGGCTTGTTTGCCAAGCCGTCCATAGTGCGGGCAGACCTTATTTACCCACTAAGTTTACCTTCCATTGCAAGAGCAGGGGAAAGTGCAGTAAATTAAACCGCTAAAAGCGACATGCAGAACCAGAATATTTGGAACTCCGTTTGACACGGATTCGACCACCGGGCTGAACAAGCACATAAACGTCGTCAATGATGGGTGTACGCGTGAGCGCGTATGCGCCAAGCAACGATCCAGGAAACGGGTGGAACAAGATAGATCCACGCTAAAATTGCAAATATGTAAGCTCTTTTCTCTTCCCACGCTCTTCGTCATCTCTCAAGCTCAGCCCTCTTGTCCTTGATCTTCGATTTACGTTTCGCAGGCGACTTCTCATTTGAAAGGAGTGACCGCAGCTGCCTCCGATATACTGCTCGCTGACTTTTAAGCCGTAAGTAATCCGACGGCCCAAATAATTACTTAATAGACAATCCCAAACCCCTAATCCGGTATCCACCTGTCAGATTGGGCCAATGAATTACTTTGCAAGCTCCATGTGCCAGGCAATCTGCCCAATTAATATTTATCTGATTTGTCACACCGTTCGCCAGTGCAGTTATTGCACTGTAACTGTAAGTCCCTCGAGGAGTGATCACAGCCACCAGTAATAAACCCTTCATGTCGGCAAATCGTTCATGGACTGACAATGCGAGCGTGCTACAGTAACGTATGTGGTACTGCCAGATCGATGGGTCCGAAACAGTGAACTTCTGGCTCTTCGCTGCTCGGCCTGCACGCCTTCATGCCTCTACGTATAGTATGATGTTCCAACGGTGCAGGACCTCATCATCAATTCCCATCTCGAGCTGAATCTGAACGATGTTAACCTTTTAGGTGGATTGGCAGACCCTGATTCGTGGGACACTAAGCCCGATCACGAAGTACAAACTCAATAGAGTCATCGCCGACGGAGTCTGCTGATTTGGCTTCCTGTCTTCCACTCGCGTGGTCCGTACGCCCACAAGGGAACTGGTACATATAAATCAGCGCTAGATTCGCGGCGTATCATCTCGTCAGCTTCCCCTACTCCGTTCCATCCCACTACTAGGAGATTTTACGCTCCTCCCTTGACCACACTGATAAAATGAACGTGAGCTAGAATTCCGTCACTAGCAACTTGGCTCCACTGCTTACTGGTCTTATATAGATTCCCACACCTTTCGCTCGACGATTCCCCTTTGATGTACTCTGTGGGATCATATCTCAACTCGAGAGCGGCGATAGATTAGCTTTCAGCCTGGTCAATCACAGTTGCAACCGCGAGGCCAGCAAGTACATCTGGCGGACGGTGAACATTGGCACCAAGTTGAAGAATCATTCTATTCGTGGCCTAGCTGCTGCTGCGGATGTGATTCTTAGCGATCGTCCCAGGGCACACTTCGTTCGTGAGCTCAATATCCATCATTTAGAAAATTTAATTTCGCTTTCAAACGGACCAAATGATCGAACCGCCTCTATCGAAAAATTTATCCGAGCACTTCATTTTACTCCCAACCTTACCCGTCTCAGTTTCACTGGATGGAGCTTTGGACGTCAGTTCGCCTGTTCACTGGCCTTGGCCCTCTCTGCGGAAATATTTCCCTTCCAACTGGAACATTTCTCTACGAACATCTCAGTGTGTGACGGTTTGGAAGGCTTCCTGGTCAAGCAGTGGAGTATTCGTTCGTTTCATCAAATATACGACCCTCAAACGAACGCGCGACCTCCTTGCATTCCGGGCGGTATCTTGCCAAACCTGGAATCCGTTTGTGACAGTAGGGTTTCCGCTATCATCGATGTCGTCAAAGGGCGTCAAGTCCAAAGCATTTCTACGTCCACCAGGAGGGAAGAAGACGTTGATAGTCTTCTTCGTGGGCTGACTTCTTCTACGAGTCGCTCATCCCTCAAGACTCTCCGTCTAAGTGCGGATGAGATCGACGTGATAACTGATCTTCTCTTCCGGATCCCTTCCGATCTTCCTAACCTTGAATGTATTGGTTTCGATTTCCAGAACGCTTCCATATCCTCGACGGACTGGGATCCCTTCATGTTCGATTCCATTTTCGAGTTCGAAAGGCTCCGAGAGTTTCGGTGGTCTGGCGATTCGATCCCAGAGGCTCTTTGGAATCCTGTCAATTGCTCTAATGCGGCACTGAGACGAGTGGAGCTGGTGTTGATGGGAAGCGGTGGGGAGAGCGTGGTTCACGTGCTTACACGGTCGGATGAGAATTCACGATGGAGATTGAGAGAGTCGAAAGCAACGGGAGTACAAGGATCACCGAGAAACCATTCTTGTGCGTTGCTGTGGAGCTGCGCAACGAAGAGACTCACCAACACTTCAACCCCTTCCCTATAGGATATCAATAGATTTCCCTTCAGCGTTGGGCGAAGGTGCATATGTTTCTTGTTTATTACGATAAGGACACTTCCGTCATTTTTGAGTCACGGACGATTCTGCAGTTTCGCTCCCCAACTTCGTTTCTCCCTCATGGAGCGTTTGTTGACCCATTTCCTACTCTCGTACCTGGTTTGTTTCATTTTATTGTTCTTTTCTCCGGCTCAATGCAATGTGTGTATAGTACACCCGATATAACCAGTGGAGGCCAGCTGGACCGCCAGTCTTTTTCGCTTTCATACCATTTTTCATTTGGGTGAATGTGTATAGTGCATCGAACAATTCTGATTTCAATATTGTGCAGAGGGGATGGTCATATCATTCAAGAAGAGTAGGCGCCGCCTGAAGCAGCAGAACCCGCCGCTCATCTCGCCCCGTCTTTTCTGTATTTTCAACTGGGTGGGCAAACTTCAGCTGGGTTGATGGTGCGCCTTGCTCAGCCAGGGGTCGGGCCCTATAGGGTGCCCATTCCGCGTCGCCAAGCCTACCCAAGGGGTGGTTTTTACCAAAGGGCCTCCATATTGATCTGGGGGCCCTTGCCGCCGCTACCACCACCATACACCAGGGGCCCCATGGCCAGCCGTTGGAATGTGTTTACTGAGAACTCCTGAAATGTTTGCCTCACACTCCAGGTCGCCGATGTCATCCAGAGTAAGATCAATGTTTGGAATGGCAACTTTGGATCGTGCGAGAAAGAGTCATGTTAGGTTGTGAAGCGGAGGGTCAGGAAAGTCGATGTGTCCACTGTCATGAGCAAGTTACTGGACAGAGATGTGCATGAGTCGAATTTACCAAAGTGACCGTATTGACGGCATTAATAATTTAATTGTTCTCCATCGTCTGCACACTTGTGATACGCGGAGATTAAGTTTGGGGTCCTTTGCTGCCAATGAGGTCATGCTCCACTTGTTCAATGCCAAGAAAAGATATTACCGGAAGGGCCGCCATGGTTCAGGGTGCGCCCTGACAGCTTACGTCATGCACGCGTCATGCGTTGCTGAAGAGAAAAAATGCAAACACAGATCGTATGCATCGTACGGAGTCCTCGCTTGCGAGGAAATCGAAACCGAAAAGTTCTGGCGGTGCAAGGCACAGTAGGGTATCTAGGCCTTGCTTTTTCATCATGGTCCCTCACGATTTCCAAAGGCGACCTCTCGGTTGATAGAGACATTGCAAAGAGTGAGGCTCAAGACGCAGCGCCGACAATAAATACATACGACCTCAGCGTACATGGATGTGCAAGTTGGTGATTGAGGTGCGTGCGTGTTTGCTCACGTGGTGGCGTCGGACGGACTCGTCTTCGGGGGTAGCTTCCCCTCGCCTTTGTCGCGCGCGGGCTTGTGCTTTGGCTTGGAGACCTCGTCCATGACGGTTGAACGATTGAGGATTCTCCGTCCATGGCCTCGGTCTTCTCAACAATTTGCGCGAGTTGGGACATGGAAGAAGCGCTCGCTTGCGCTGTGCGCTGGTCGGAGTGCATCGAAGATGCCTCGGACTCATCGACCAACTTAGTCTGCCGCGTAGTGAAATTTTCTCCCTTCGGGGCCTTGTCGCACAGGTCCAGGTGAATAGACTTGCGCGTCTGGACTGGCTTCAAAAGGCTCTTCACGCGTTAGTCAAATTCCTAAGGTTTATGGCTCGCTCCTTCCTGTATTCTTCAACTTCCACCCTGAATGTTCCTCGGGCTGAGGGAACATCGAATGCCTTGCTGAAGGCGTGACATTCGATGTCAATACTTTCTGGAAATACACGCCGGTTTCGTTCGTGAACGTTGTAAAATGGAATGAAGGGGCTGGCGGAGTCAAGGTTGGGCATGCGAGTACAAAGATGGAGGTAGAAATCGGGGACCTTGGGTTACGGAGAAAACGAATCCAATCAGGGTCGAAGAATTTGCAGGACCCGCTACGGAGTGAATACGCTATTTTAGGATTCCCCTGGAACCGCGTCGGGAACGTCACCAGGCTCACCAAACCGCTCATGTTCACTTCTCCAACGTATCGATCGCACCGTTAATATGGATTGTCCGCAACGACATCCAACTCTCCATATGTTCTGCGAGCGACCTCTGTTACGGTTCTCGGGGGTCGCGTTGATCCGTGAACCGAAGTTGCTGCCAAGACCGCGATGTCTGTCATTGACGTTAATATGCGCAGGATGGTGCGTGTCAGCTCGACGGTGATAACGGCTGTTGTGTTCCTATCGACTTTGACACCAGCCTCCAGGGAAGGCCTGTCCAAGTCCCGCGTGCGACGAACACAGTTATTCCGGGTGCGAAATAGCGGTATTATATTTATGTAAACAAGGATCTGGCTTCGTGAGGTGAGGACGCCAGCCTCCACACAAGGAACTCATAAACCCGAGGTACCAACAGTGCGGTCGATTAGCAGGCAGCTTCTGGAAGAACGTTTGTCGGAGGCGGCAGATGGCGCTGAGTAATATGAAGGTGAGGTGCAGGGGAAAACTGATACTATGTGTTCCAGTCGACTCCACCAAAGGAAGGATCGCACTATGAATGAAATATTCACGAGAATGAGTCTGCTTTCATAATCGTCATCGCCACCACTGCAGGGGTGTGACTTGAAGCGAGGTTTATGCGTGCTTTGCGATCTTTTCTCAATCGTGTTTTGATAACACGATCAATGAGTTCGCGGACATATGAGGTACAAGAGGGTCGACTCCGTGTTTCCAGCACATCAGCTCATCGCCTTCCCTATCAAGGGAGCTGTCGAGAAGCTGAATACTCTCCAGAGCAATGCAGCAACACTGCAGGCTATACGGGCATCTGGCGCCCCTACAAAAGCCGAATATGCTATCCCCGAGATGATAGGATTTCTGCGTCGCATTGGGTACACCGTATGCATTTTGTTATGTGTTGGTTTCAATTCAATCAAATTTTCTTTGCCGACGTGTTGCAGCCCGAAGACTTGAATAGACTCAATGTCATACATGTCACTGGAACAAAAGGAAAAGGATCTACTTGCGCCTTCGTTGATTCCTTATTGAGACATTCTGACCCTTCTTGGAAAGTTGGTATGTGGTCGTACACCTTTAAAAGTGACCGTATGATCTATCGATTGACATTTTAGGATTGTACACATCTCCCCATCTCATTGCTGTCAGAGAGCGTATAAGAATCAACGGCGAGCCCATATCAGAAGAGCTATTCGCTCGATACTTTTTTGACGTATGGGACAGGCTCGAGAACACAACGATCGTACGTCGCCCAGCCAACACTCGCAGTTCGGACAAGAGTTTTAATTGCCTAAGAGATTAGCAGGAAACACAGGAATTTAGAACCCCTAAGCCTATGTATTTTAAATTTTTAACCCTTGTCGCTTTCCATGTATTTATGGAGCTAAAAGTAAGCCTATCCTCCGCTTCCCAATCTTCTACTTCTGAGATTCGGAAGGTCGATGCCACAATTCTAGAAGTTGGCGTGGGCGGTACGTACGATAGCACAAACATTGTGCCGAAGCCGGTTGCCACTGGCGTCTCGGCTTTGGGCATCGACCATGTGTTCATGCTTGGGAATACACTGCGTGAGATTGGGTGGCAAAAGGGGGGCATTTATAAAGTGAGTTTCTAGAGTCTTCGTTTCCCATCTGACCAATGTTGCAGGAGGGAGTTCCGGCCTTCACCGTGGAGCAACCTGCGGAAGGATTAACGTCCCTCGAACAGCAGGCTAGGGACAGGAATGCGTCTTCATTCACCGTGTTATCAACAATACCCCAATTATCTGAACTGAAGTTAGGTATGAATTTACCAAATTTTGGATCAATCATTTTGTCGACACCCGTCCTCAGGTTTGCAGGGCCAACATCAGATTCAGAACGCCACTCTCGCCATCCACCTAGCACATCACTTCCTGGGTGTTAAACGTCCGAATCTGGCACCTGCACTCCCTGCACCATTGTCACATCTTTTCATAACCGCGCTGGAGAAAACACGTTGGCCAGGGAGATGTCAAGCGGTAGTCGACCCATCTCGCCCAGGGAAGGAAGATGGAAGCGGTTCGACGACCTGGTTCTTGGACGGCGCACATACGGTCGAAAGTTTGAAGTCGTCAGCCGAATGGTACTTCTCGCCAGGGGTTGGTTTGAGCGGAACTGATAAAAGGCAAATTGAGTAAACTCATTGATGTTTCACATCTTCTGATATTTTCTGTAGTCATACTGGGCCGACGCGAATCTTAATCTTCAACTGCACCAGTGGGAGGTCGGGGAAAACATTTTTGGGGACTTTGCTCAGCACTGCCGATGTCCTGCTCAAAACTCATGAGGGTTTTGCCCAAAACATCGCCGCGAAGGCAGGGTTGTTCGATCATGTCATCTTTTGCACCAACATCACGTACACGGATGGGAACTTCAAAGGCGGTGCGTTTCGTTCTGGCTTAGTAACACGGGTCCGTTTCTGAGTTGAATGAACAGATCTCAGGAGTGTAGCCATGACTGATGCCGAACGTGACAAGCTGACGCCTCAGAGAGAACTCGAGGCAGCATGGAGATCACTTGTCCCTTCCTTCCCCGAGGAAAATGTGCATGTCTTACCGACTGTGGGGCATGCCGTCCAAGTCGTAAGAGACGTCGAAGAGGCAGACCCTTCCGCCAGTCTCCACGTCGTCGTCGCAGGTAGTCTTCATTTGGTTGGGGGTGTGATTGAGGCAGCTGACCTCGCCTCAGTGGCATTGGCCACAAGCCACGTTTGAGTGATTTCTTGTGTGCTCTCTCGTCTTGATATAATTCCATATAGATCATCTCGATATTTTAGTGTTATACACATGGCATGAAATAATGAGTGGATAATTTAGAAACGCTCGGATCCATGTCAAAGAAACTAGTGATGCTTCCGTCTCCGTCCAGCCGTGTTTGGTGGTCCAGATTGCTGAAATTGTATGCACTATGTGTTAAACTTAGCAAGACAAGGAAGTTGTTTTTGAAGTCACATACTTGTGAGTCAAGAAAGGAAAGAAGGCGTCGTCGGAGGCCCTTTGGATTTAAGTTTTGGGCGAGGGCAAGGTTGTAAAAGACTTCAAAATTGATGGGCTAAAATATTGATGTGAAGAAAGAATCAGTGCACGTGAAAGAAGGGATCCTCTGAATCAGAGCAAACCTCGTAACGCAAGACTCGTAGGTGCAGTTTTTTATCATCCAAAATCATACGTTCAAGAAGATTGTCTACAGCAGCGTCGTCATGTAAAGGGACTGAAGAGCTCGTTACTACCGTTTTGGCACGGTATTTATTAGACTTCGCCCTTGAGGGTTTGGCTGAGCGACGAGCAGTGACTTTTGCTGAGTTCACTTGTAGGGTGTTTGTGGACGAGGCTGATGACGTGGACGCTGCATCGTCATCCAGTAGCGGAGTGAATGGATCATTGCCGTGCCACTCTAGGCAGGCGTCCTGGCCCCAATTGTCTTCGCTCCATTGGTGGAGATCATCCAACGCTGGGTCGGGTGTGAGTTGATGTTTGGACTCGGCGGGACTCTTCACTTCAAGGTGAGGTGGGGGTGTATCATCATCGGTGATGACAACGGGAGAATGACTGGTTCTGCTTGGGGTCCCCTTTGTGACAGGGCTGCTTTCAGTCGATGAGAGCGATATGAATGTGACGTGGTGTGGGGAATGTTTAGAGTTGGGGGAGGATGTGGGAAGAGCCTTGGATATCGCATTTATGGATTTTCCTTTCGTGACAGTGAAGAAAGATGCCTACGAGCACTCGTTAGCCTAGCTTGAAGGGATGGGATGTACAAGCCGGCTCACGATATTGTGAGTGGGGGAGGGGGTTTCTGTGAGACCCAAGGAGAGTGGATGAGGCGAATCGTTGCGCGTATAACAAATAATTTCGACAGACTCGGACTCGGTTCCGGTGGATAAAGAAGTACGAGCCTGGCGACAACACGAAGGAGGGAGCTTCTGCGTGGCAGAAAGATTTGCATCCCCAGACGTTGAGGTGGAGTTGTCTTCCACCATCGTCAAGGAAGAATTCGGGGGTGGCGAAGGTAGCATTTGGACTGATAACCAAGCAGGACTGCTTGATGTCGCCGCCTCAGCTAATTTGGGGCCAGACGTAGATGGGAACTCTCCGAGAGCGCTGGGGGCGAGTGCTTGAGTGGGCGGGAAATCTGATGATATAGCGTGAGCAGACAAGAATTCCTCTGCTCGTTTCCTTATCCCGTCTTTGGCACGCGCCAGATTTTTGATAGATGAGAGAGCTTCACCAGAACACCTCGTCCTTCTCCTCTGCGCCTCCCTTGCACTGACGCAATCACTCAACAGGGTACCTGCATGGAGAATCGGCGAATGTTGTGGTTCTGCTTCAGGAACCTTCGGAACTGGCACACCCTCAAGTGTCTGTCTTATTAGGGCTTCGATAGTGTCCCGGGCGATTTCGTAAGATTTGACGCATTTTCCAATGTGCTCTTTTTTCTTGTTGACGGTCTTTTGTCGCGTCCATCTAATGCCACAGCTGAAACAGAGATGAAGTTTACGCCAGTCATCATCACTTATATCCAGCAAGGGTAAAGCTGTGCCATTTTTCCTAGCAGTTGGCTTCTTTGGGCCCGCTGGCATTTGTTTACCAGGCGGAGGGTTGGTACGAGCAGTCACCTTTGTGCTTATTTCCCTGAGAAATGGCGAGGCTTTATTTGTAGAGCGCGTAGTCCCGCTACGAGAGGGAATTCTTCGCAACGCGAACTCTTCAAAACTGATTGTGCGGACTTGTTCGGGGGACGTATATGGGGAAATACTCTGCATGAGTTGATTTGTGCTTGGTGATGGCGGTGTTGGGGCACACGAGATATCTGTATGAAAAGGCTCAATGGAGACTGCAGGGATGGGCGGCTCTTTGGCTGTTCGTCTGATTCAGGATATATTGTACGGGGGTGCCGGCGGGGTTGCTCACTAGCTTGTTGGGCTACATGCTGAGAGGCATTTCGATCATCCGTAGCCACACAATTGTAGAGCTGCGATGCTGTAGCTTTCGCTTTCGCTCGTTCTTCCTTGCGTCTCCGTCGAGCTTGGGCGCGTTCAGGCTCAGAATCTGCGAACATTGACTGAACACAACAACAATTTCAGGCAACATAAGGACTCACCGGATACTACATCCTCACGCGTCACTAGGCCTCCAGATGAACGAGATGGGCTTGCAGTATTTGATGTCGCTGACATTCGTAGGTGAATTGTGCATGAACGAACCCGAAACAGCATCCAAAATTCGGAAGCAAATTACCAAAGCCGGTTCCGACATTTGCGTTTGCTCCACCAATAATCGTCAAAGTTTAGCTGGCCAAGTTTCTCTATTTGCCTTGTCATTTCTGCTTGGAAATAAGCTCTTCTCGGGAAATACATTAGAAATCCTTGAATTCTCTAAGGATCGCCGCGCCATCGTCAGCTTGATGAACGTATTCGAAGCGCTTCGTGATGCTGTCTCTCAGGACCCGTCAAGGGCGGCATCCTCCCTGGGGCGCTTGCAGGAGATTCAGAAGACGCCATCCGCACTGGCTAAAATGATTCAAATTTCTTCAGACAAGACTGTTCCGCTGGACATTCGACGCATGGCAATAATTCAATTCAAGAATCATGGAACTCCCAATTGGAGGTCCAAAATGTGGGTTGTGCGGTAGCTGATTGGGGATGTTCGATGACGTGTAAAATTTCTTTAGTTTGTTCACTCCAGAAGATCGGATAGCTGTGCGGCAAACCTGTGCAACGTTCCTTGAGGAAAACGATGACACGGTACACAATATTGAAATTAGTTGTTAATTACCCTTATCTCATCCACCACATAGGTCGCTCAGTGCAGTGCTGTGATCATTTCTAAATTATACAGAATCGACGGTCTCACAGCATGGTGTGGTGCTATTCTGGTCAATAGTTTTTTGCTCAATGCTCACAGGTCACTTCCAGGCCGCAATTACTTCCCGGGCTCATCTCCGTGATACAGGGGGGTGTCAAGTCTCGCTTCTCGACACATGCACCGAATCCCACAATTTCTTTATCAATCAAACGCACGGTAGCGGTATTGAACCAGGTTTTGAAGGAACTTGCGTCGTTGAAAATTCCGGGAGGCGTGCAGTTCATGGGACAGGTCAGAGAAACATGACCAATGTGGAATTTATCTAATAATGGCACAGGTAGTTACGGAAATCCATCCACTCCTAAAATCCATATATGGCCAGTACGCGACGCAGTTATCTACGGCTATCTCGCCCACTTCTATCAATGAGCCCCAAGTTGCAGCTGATGTCGAGGTCGCACATTACACCTACAAATGTTTGTCCAAAGTTATCCTCTGGGCTTGGAACCGTTCCGGCGCGAAGGATGTGGACAAACAAGAAGTTTGTGACTTCAATCGAGGCAATGGCTTGTCGCTGACTCTACTGCAGATAGATTCCTTTTTTTCCAGCTCTGCTCCTCAGCTGCGGGTAGTTTTTAATTTGCGAGTCAATTTAGTTCTTGCTCTTCGCAGTCGACCTTCAGCACATCCTGATGCCGTTGGTTTGAAATCAATTCAATATCTGACGAAACATCTGAAGGCTTTTGGTAAATTGTTCCGGAAAATGCAACAATCCGCTGTACCCCGCTTCCTTGCCTTACCTGAGTGTGCGCCACTCATTATGTATTACTGGAACAAAGTTATAGAAGCCAACTCTCTGGATCCGTCCGCAATTGGAGGTAATCTAAAGCTATCTGAGTTTTTGCAATGACTAACCTCGTTGTCCCAGAATCCCCTGATTCAGTCTACCCTGCACCCGTCCTGCTTCAAGGAATGGTGCTCCTCAAAGACGCGTTGGGTCAATGGTCTCCCAGTCATCAGAGTAAGCATAATTCACATACAATTGGGAGACTGATATGCTCACATGTGCGCAAGATTTGCTGTCAAAGGAATGGGTTGAGGAGGCGGTCGGGCTGATACTGTTGCGCTTCCTACCCCTCAAAGTGCCGGATCTCGAGAAGTGGCAAGGCGACTCGGAAGAGTGGATCAATGACGAAGACCGAGACACCGAGGCATGGGAGTTCGATATCAGAGTATGTGAACGTTGTTTCCTGTGTGATATTCATATCTATTCATTTATTTCCACCCGGCAGCCTTGTGCAGAACGAATCATTATGACGATGACGAATCGTATGCCTGAATATGTGATCCCTATTCTTCTCAAGGAATTAGAAAGGGCTTACGGTGCGTATGCTCTTGACATGGCTAGATCGTTGCACTTATCTCAATGTAACTTAGGTGCCCAGAATCCCGAAGACCTTCAAGCGATCCTAAGGAGAGAGGCGCTGTACTGCGCCATGGGACGTTGCCTCACCTGGAAAGAGTCATCTTTCAATTTGGGCCAATGGATCAATGGTCCCTTCTCTGCTAATGTTTCCCAAACCAGTCCGAGGTTAGTCATATGGTTCTCACAACTTTTGTACATTTCTGACCTCTGCTTACTTAAAAGCTATCGTATCCTCAAGCGCCGTATTGCTTGGGTGCTTGGCGAGTTCGGTCATGCAGGAACTGTTCCGCCTTTTCATATGCAGAAGTTTTGGGAGATGGTGACGTACCTTCTGCGTGATCGCTCAGAGAGTTCTGATGCCGCAGTCAGGCTCACCGCGTGTCAGGCTATTCGTTCGAGTGTAGATGTATGTAAAGCCTGTATCATCCCAAGCCCACAAGTTAACACATTACGCAGTCCCTCAATTTCGATGCCGCCACGTTTTCCCTTCATTTACCACAAGTTATATCCGGCTTGATGGCGCTTTTGCCAGAAATGGACACCATAGAGAGCAAAACCCGAATTGCAACGAGCTTAAATAATGTCATAGAAACAAATGGAGCTCAGGTGCAGTCGTTCTCATGTCTCTCGGCTGTGACTCAACGCCCAGTGCTAGATTGAACCTTTTATCAACATCATCACGGATCCGATCCCAGGACTTTGTACGTTCACTCGACGCTCATTTCGATCGTTTCGAGTCCCTTTACTGTTCAGCAGGGCTTAACTCCGAACAGAATGCGCTCTTCCAGGCCGCTTTGTTGGACCTCGCGAAACAGCTGGTACAAGTTAGTGACCTAGTTATTAATGTACACGAGCCGTGGAACATTGCTGTTTTGGCAGGCATCGAAGAATTCTGTCCCGCTTCTACATATTGTCATTCCATTGATCCAAGAAAGCATGATGGCGGAGGTATTCTTAAGCATCTATCCTTATTCAACTAGATACTGATGCCCGCCCAAGAATCGTTTACGTCTGGATGAAGACGGGTTAGCACTGTGGCTGACGTCGCTGCGCCATGCATCTTCGGTTCTTCCGACCGCCCCAAATTCCCCTTCCTTCATTGACCTTCTACCAGGAGCGGTTCAACTGCTAGGCGAGAACTTGGACCTCTTGGGTTCTATCCTGTCGATCATTGAAAGCTATTTATTACTGGACGCCGCTAGCGTACTCAAAGTAATACCCACTCTCACTGTCGCGCAGCCGTTGGCTGATGGAAACATAGTCCTCAGCGGCAGAGTTACACAGCGCATACTTACAAAGTGTGAAGTCGGCAAATGGTGTGAATGTCAAGGACGTCATCGATATCATCAATATCATGATCCAGGTGGCTCCATCAGGCCTCTGGGCTGAGGCGATGCATTCCTCCGGGTTATTCGATTATATGCTGAACTCAGTCGTCAGGGATAAAGTCAGTTGAAAAACCTGATTTGCGGATTCACATACACTCACTATTACCTCAAGGGGAATGACAGGCTCTTAATTGAAGAGTTCCACGTCTTTGCCCGTATAATCATACAAGATGTGACCATATTCCTTCGACTCGTCGACGCAGCTCAAGCAAGGACAAATGGGAACATTGACCTCTTCGACAAGCTTCTTGACCAGTGGTGGCGGAAGGTGTGAGACGCGCTCTCTTGATTAAGCAAATACTGACCACGTCATTCAGTTTGATAGCATGGCTGAACCTCAGCACAGAAAACTGACCGCGATGGCGATGGCTAGATTAGTCGCTACGGGGCGGCCGGCTGCGCTGAAACGGATGTCTGGAGAAACCTTCAACCTGTGGCTCGATGTCCTTGGGGAAATGAAAGAAGCCATCGCAGCCGAAGACGAGAAGTATGACCTTTGTTACCTCCGTCTCCCACAGGCGAAAGCTAACCCATTTTTAGCCACCTACATCTTTATTGGAAACAAAATGGTGGAACCATTCCAGATCGTTTGCTAAAGGACTCCGAGGGCTCTCTCGAAGAGGGAAGGCGAAAGGCGGTATGCGACATATCTCAAGCCTCGCATGCAGCACTTTACTCATGTTCGCGTCCAACAGCTCTATGCGAATGATCCTGTCCAGGCAACGCTTCTCACGGCGTACATAACCGCACAGCTACAGGAAGCTCCACGAAATGCTCCGACAGGACCTGATTCCTTCAATGCGCATCTTGCCAAAGCTGATCCACTAGTGCTTGATCAGCTTAAGAAAGCCCTGATGTGACGATTACAGCGATATTGCATTTTGCTCCAGTCCTCATCACCTTACAGCTGTTGTCCCCTCAAAATTGATATATTTTTAGACATCGAGTTGTGCACTGATGAGGTCAGGGGCGAAATTGATCACTTGATATATGTGATTACCTAACTGATTTATCCGCCGGCCCGGGGCCAACAGACCGTTGGCATTCAGTGGACGACATGAGTCTTCGGGCATCCCTTGCGATGGGCGCTTCAAATGAATAGGACCGGATTGAGCTGAATGAATTTACAGTATGGGGAATGTTCTCTTGAGAGGATCAGCAACATCTTTAAATAAGTACTGAATGCTGCTCCTTCAAATGTTCTCCCTTCCAGCCCCTTAGGCAAGTGATCAGCCTCTCTTTCTCCCAAAAAAGAGGGAAGCGTCTACAAGATGGCGTATCCAACAACCAGATCCAACATCCCCACCTTGACTGTCGAGACAGCAGGTGTTTCCTCTAAAGCCAAGACACCAGAAGAGGTTTATGCATCACGATTCGCAGGACCGTCCAAAAAGGAAGGCCATTTGGATGCGCTGGGTTGGCAGACACCAGTGTCTCATTATTGTTTCAATTCACAGACTCTTGCCTAGATGACAATATCCACGCGGTCACTGATCCATTACTTCAAGCAAACACCTATTACAACGCAAACAGTGGCACGATTGATTTGGCTTTTAAAGCACTTGCAAATGCAGCAGACTCAACAGCCATTGGCCGAGTGGTGGATGACTGGATGGGTGGGTGCTCTCGCCATCCCATCAGTCGATCAGACTAACATCTTGTTCAGGCACTGTGACAAGTTCGTGAACGCAGCACCTTCGTTGAGGGAGGATTGACTTCTTCTCCAGCGGTTGTTACGGGGCTTGAGACACTTGCCGACGCCCAGCCATTTCCATTTGTCAAAGGCTTGTATTTTCTTGGGTACATCATGATTGTCACCTTTTAATTCATTTGCCCTTAGTCGCTGTCTTGCTGTTCAAAGGGGTTGTAACTCTAGAAACTCAGCGGCGAGACAATAGTTCGAAGGCCCGTGCTCTCGTACTGCAGCTCTCCGATATGCTGGCGCCCTTCTCCAACTTCACAATGTCAAAGATCCTGAGCTGAAAACTGAAACGGGAGAAAGCGTCTGTGGCCGCATTCAGTCCTTGATGGGGCAAATCGAACAAGACATCAAGGAAGTCGGTAATTTGGTGGACACTTATCATAAGCATAGCTTGACGTGTGAGTGCGTCCGCTGATCGATGGAAATGATTCCTTACACATCGGCTATTCTTTCAGCTAAATTCTTCTTCAGCGGCAAGTATCAGGGACAGTTCAAAGACGCTGGTGAGAAGCTCGTGGTATGCCCCTCAGACTTTAAATTATTTTTCCACTCTTTCACAATTTCTTTCGAAGCGACGAAAAGGTGGGATGTCCCGGGTCTGGTTTTTGCGGTACAAGCAATTTAGAGCTGGCATCCACACCTTTCAGGGGACATCGTTTTTGCACTGCAAATCCACATTACCGTGGGGGTTGATGAAATCCGGGAGCAAGTGCGCAACAGCAACACATTATTAGTGAAGCTCATCAAAATCGTCGAATATAATTCCTCGGAAGAACAAGAATGGGACCGCTCTGTAAAGAATCTTGGAGGGCGCAACAAGGTGCTTGCAAACGACGAGCTGCTCACGATGTTTGCCCAGGAGATAGAGAACTCTCAGTCCTCTGAATCGACGGCGAAGACGACTCCAAAAGAGAAAGGGGAGAAGGGAAATGATGCGGATAAGGACAAACCAAAGGATCCGAAATCCACAGGAAAGGCAGATGACTCAAAGACAAAATCTGGGAAGGATGCATCGAATGTTCTTTCTCTCCTGGAACGGCGGGAGCTCAGAATGCCCCTGCAAGAGATCATCAATTCCAATTTTGCACTATATGAGGGCAAGCTAGAATCTCAGGTTCAACTTCTCTCCGAGGAAGTCAAGCTGTCCACGCAAAAGATTTTGCAACGCCTTGAAACTGGTGCTCACGAGAAAATATTACATCCTCATATTCAAAGAGTCTGGAAGGATATGGTTCGCCACTTCCTGTATACCTTCGCGATGGGCCACTGATGCGGAAAACCATTACGAAACCGTAGGGGTGGCGTTCGAGCGTAAAGGCGCGACAATTCGTTCTTGCTATGCACGATTTCTATGCCGATCGTTATGCGCATGCCTTTATGCTACGAAGGCGTGGAGGCATGACGAACGGTCCCTCACTTCAAATACCCGTTGATGGTGGTGACCAGTCGCCGACAAGTGCACGGCCCCTCAGTCCCGTTGACTCCGAAGCAGCTCATGCTCAAGTCGATATCTCTGACGCCGATATGACTCCAGAAGAGATTGAAGAGACACTGGCCGATAAGTGGTGTCTCCAGTACCTCAATATTACTCACGCGTACCCGATAATGGAGGCGATCGACGATGACGACTCTGGTTATATCAGGACATCGGAGATCAACGATTTCACCTCTTCAACCCCAATGGGGTGGACCCTTCTCCAGTGGTTCGCATACTGGGGTGGAGGTTGGAAACAGCAATCATCAGTTTACGCCCGATCCATCAATGAAATCATAGATTTGATTAAAGACACGTCCCATGATGTACTGGTGGAAAACAACCAGTCTGCGATCAGTTACGTCAAACAATTGGACTGGTCTTCTACCATCGAAGAAATGACTTATGCTGCGACAATGAACACGCCTGCCACGTCGGACAGTCCATTAGATAATTTAGTTGCACGAAGCATGGAGTATAAAGAGAAGAAGTTGGAGTGGGCCCTTCGACGAGTGTACTACACTGTTGATGCGCCAGAATCACTCAAGCTTATTTCTGGTCCGGGAAGAATTGAGAAGGTATAACGTGTCGATATGTTGTGTAGGGTCCTGTGCTGATTCCCAGTGTTGCTCTAGGACATCTTTGCGATTATCTTTCTTATCTTACGGCATCACTACCTGATCTTTTTGAGAGCGACCAAAGTCTGGATTGATGAGCGGGAGTTCCAGGTTGCAACAAACACTATGGCGAATATCGTAGCGGCTATTACTGATCGCGTGACTATTTTATCAGGCAAGGCACTTGTCCAGTCACTCAGTGGCCTTCTGGCTGAAATAATCTTGTTAGCTTCGTATCGACAGCAAGGGTTGGACGAGCAAATTCAACTCTCGCGATTTCACGGTGGCATCGTAGGTCCCACGTTCGACGTTCGCCGCAATTACTGATCGTTATCCTCTTACAGTACCAGTTTGTGCCGGATTCTCAAAACTCTCAAGACATTGAGCTACTCTGGCTGGACGATGGTGCTTTGTCTGAATTGAAGGAGAAGATACTCAGCAAAGAACAGGACCTGAAACTCAGATATGGAGCATGGTCGTTGAATTTACAATCATACTCGAATCCTCGTGCACCAAATGTGCTTCCGGATGAGGCATCGGACGATTCCCGGATCAAGGTCATATCGAGCCAGGCGGAGGACGTGGACGACGGGGAAGATGATGAGAATGATGATGGTGGGTGATAAAGTTTAAATCAGGTGAAACACATGCTGACAGCAACGTATGCTCTAGGTGACTCTCATGCTCCCGGTCCCGCGAATATCAAGGACGAGGTTAAAGGAATGACAAGCGACAAAATCGTGGCTCAGGCAAACAGTTCTGCATCTGCTCTTCTGAAAATTTCAGATAGTTCTCCGAACTTCGGGAAGCACCTGAAGCACGTCATACATGGTTTAGAGGCCATCGCCAAGTCAGGACCATTCTCATTCATCAAGAGTGCGTGAAATCTCCTGATGACGATTTCCAACTCACGGCATGTTACAAGGTACCGTAAAGGGAGTGAAGCGTGTTTTAGTGTCAGAGTTTAAGAAGGAAAAAGTGAATCCTTGGATTAAGAAGCTGCTTCGCGGCCTGGTTTCCATCATCAGCCCATTATTAGAACTCTATTTTTTGCAAGACACTGGTGAAGCCACGGAGGCAGGAGCGTCGTTCGGGGGACGTTTGTTTGACCTTCTCTATCACATTTCGTTTGACATCCGTAATGCGGAAAAAACCATGGAAGCCCTCAATACTCAAGGTTAGCCTAGTTTTGTTCGCCCTGCCATGGCAGAAGTGCTGACTAAGCATCCAGCAGAGAAGGCAACTGGTGACAACCCCGCCGGCAACCCTTCCCCGCTTTCTGAGTTAACAACTCCGGCAGCTTTGGATGGCGTAATAAACAGGCTGCAAATCCGACGTCGTGACATTGAAGCCTGTCTGGCCTTGCACAACGAGCGGGGCTTTCGACGTCTGCTCGTTGCTCAACAAGTTGTCATTCGTGACATCCAAGAGCAACGCAAAAGATTGTTGCCCCAGTATTTGCGCTGCAGACAAGCAGTCAGGAAATCATTCATCGATCTCACTGCGAAAGGGCTGGTCTTGGGACTGGCTTCTAGAGAACTTAGTGATGCCGAACGGATGGAACTAGTAGCAATCACCCGCGAAGTGCCAGATGTCGATCTTGAATATTGGAATTCATTATCCAAATTGCAAAGACGTAGGACAAATGCGCATGTGTAAGTTATTGTCCTGAATGTCGCAACCCTCTTCACGTTCCTCTTCCTGAAACAGAACTATCCGATGCGATGGATGCTCAACCTGCCCCCTCGTTGGGCATCGCTATACCTGCTTGACGTGTTACGGTAGATCTGATCTTTCACTTTGGGTTCTAACCCATTCAACGTTCCATTTGACCCCCAGATTTTGACCTTTGTGCCGACTGCGAACGTAAAGTTCACTCGCCCGAGCCTGGCACGGCGCCCATGGAGATACAAAATCATTTGCCTTCTCATCCCTTGATGAAGATTTGTCGGCAGGTGTGGATCGTTTTGGATCGCGACCGGGACAGGCTCCGGAAAACGTTCGGTCGTCTTGAACTTGACGAAGATAATATAAGTGATGATGATAGCGACGAGGACGAAGATGAGGATACATCCGGTGGGACAGTCCGTTTGTGAGCATAAGCATCCCAAGTAACCTGATTTTCACCAGAATTTGCGGATGGGTCTGAGGATGTAAGCGACTATGAGGAAGCCAACGAAAATCCTCCCGAGGAGGGAGGAAATAGTGACGACGAGGCTGCTGAAGTTGACGACGACAAAGCTGGCGAGGACGCGGAACCGCCAAGGGCCGATCTCACCACAGACGAGGCAGCAGGTAATGAGGGTATGTATCTTCATCCGGAGCACTCGGCAGCGAAACTGAATGGATTCAAACAGGTGAGATTGATGCCAAATCGGATGACGACGCGCAGGAGCCCGCAGCGACTCACACATTCCAGTGTCATCGTTGCCAAGAAACCAAGACTGGCACTCGCTTTGTGACGAGTGGTTACTACGAGCAGCCTGATGGAGACTACGGAGGTTCCGTAAATTTTAAACTCACTGGGGGCGTCGTATCTGACTAAGATATCATTTCATTTCAGCCTTCCAGTTTTGTCCGTCTTGCGAGGAAACCATCATCAAATCATACGATGGCAAAGCCCTTCCCATTGTTTATGCATTTCTCCTAAAAGTCACACTTCCCGAAGTCCACCACGGCAGTGGCGATAATGCGACTGTGGCCACTGAAGAGGAGCCAGACAACCAAGCAGAAAATCAGGAGGACGAGGTTACTCGGAAACTTCGAAGTTTAGACGAACGACTTGGTGCGCTAGAAGGGAAACTCGATCATATTTTGTCAATTCTTGCCGCAACGCATGTTGGCACCACAAGCCTTGACCAAACCCAAGCATCTCAGCCCCAGGATGACCAGGCATGATGGAGATAGGGTTTCGGGACGCCCGGAAAGGCGCCCTCGGACCTTTCAGCATGTAGTCTTGTCACGCAGATAATTGTACTTCGGCTTGGTGTTACACATTCTGCTACGTTTATGTGGCTCTGAACCGAACCGAACCGAACTACGGCACCCCTAGCTAGCACAGCCATGGGTGGGTGAGGGTGGCAACCTGCGATTGCCGACCCCCATTCAGGGGCTTGGGATTTTTTAGGGGATAGCACATGATAACACAGCTTGTGCATTATTGCGGTGCAGAATAGTACACAGGATAATTTTGCTCTAAACGCAGTGACTGCTGGGCAGGTGACACAACCACATGTGTTCCCATCAAACGGAACAATCCCCGCTGATGCAGTCAGTCCCCCTTGCGATGGGCGCTTCAAATGAATAGAACCGGATTGTGTTGAATGAATCCATGGGGGATGTTCTCTTGAGAGGATCGGCAACATCTTTAAGTACTGGATGCTGCTCCTTCAAATGTTCTCCCTTCCAGCCCCCCTCCCAAAAAAGAGGGAAGCGTCTACAAGATGGCGTACCCAACAACCAGATCCAACACCTCCACCTTGACTGCCGAGACAGCAGGTGTTTCCTCCAACGCCAGGACACCAGAAGAGGTTTATGCATCACGATTCGCAGGACCGTCCAAAAAGGAAGGCCATTTAGATGCGCTGGGTTGGCAGATACCATTGTCTCAGTATTGTTTCAATTCACAGACTCTTGCCTAGATGACAATATCCACGCGGTCACTGATCCATTACTTCAAGCAAACACCTACTACAACGCAAATAGTAGCACGATTGATTTGGCTTTTAAAGCACTTGCAAATGCAGCAGACTCTACAGCCATTGGCCGAGTGGTGGATGACTGGATAGGTTGGTGTTCTCGCCATCCCTTCGGCTGACCAGACTAACATCTTATTCAGGCACTGTGACAAGTTCGTGAACGCAGCACCTTCGTTGAGGGAGGATTGACATCTTCTCCAGCGGTTGTTACGGGGCTTGAGACACTTGCCGACGCCCAGCCATTTCCATTTGTCAAAGGCTCGTATTTTCTTGGGTACACTATGATTGTCACCTTTGATTCATTTGCCCTTAGTCGCTGTCTTGCTGTTCAAAGGGGTTGTAACTCTAGAAACTCAGCGGCGAGACAATAGTTCGAAGGCCCGTGCTCTCGTACTGCAGCTCTCCGATATGCTTGGCGCCCTTCTCCAACTTCACAATGTCAAAGATCCTGAGCTGAAAACTGAAACGGGAGAAAGCGTCTGTGGCCGCATTCAGTCCTTGATGGGGCAAATCGAACAAGACATCAAGGAAGTCGGTAATTTGGTGGACACTTATCATAAGCACAGCTTGACGTGTGAGTGCGTCTGCTGATAGATGGAAGTGATTCCTTACGTATCGGCTATTCTTCCAGCTAAATTCTTCTTCAGCGGCAAGTATCAGGGACAGTTCAAAGACGCCGGTGAGAAGCTCGTGGTATGCCCCTCAGACTTTAAATTATTTCCACTCTGTCACAAATTCTTTCGAAGCAACGAAAAGGTGCGACGTCCCGGGTCAGATTTTTGCGGTACAAGCAATTTAGAGCTGGCATTCACACCCTTCAGGGGACATCGTTTTTGCACTACAAATTCACATTACCGTGGGGGTTGATGAAATCCGAGAGCAAGTGCGCAACAGCAATACATTATTAGTGAAGCTCGTCAAAATCGTCGAATATAATTCCTCGGAAGAACAAGAATGGGACCGCTCCTTAAAGAATCTCGGAGGGCGCAACAAGGTGCTTGCAAACGATGAGTTGCTCACGACGTTTGCCCAGGAGATAGAGGACTCCCAGTCTTCTGAATCGACGGCGAAGACGACTCCAAAAGAGAAAGGGGAGAAGGGAAATGATGCGGATAAGGACAAACCAACGGATCCGAAATCCACAGGAAAGGCAGATGACCCAAAGACAAAATCTGGGAAGGATGCATCGAATGTTCTTTCTCTCCTGGAACGGCGGGAGCTCAGAATGCCCCTGCAAGAGATCATCGATTCCAATTTCGCTCTATATGAGGGCAAGCTAGAATCTCAGGTTCAACTTCTCTCCAAGGAAGTCAAACTGTCCACGCAAAAGATTTTGCAGCGCCTTGAAACTGGTGCTCATGAGAAAATATTAGATCCTCATATTCAAAGAGTCTGGAAGGATATGGTTCGCCACTTCCTGTATATCTCCGCGATGGGCCACTGATGCAGAAAACCATTACGAAACCGTAGGCGTGGCGTTCGAGCGTGAAGGCGCGACAATTCGTGTTGGCGATGCACGATTTCTACACCGATCGTTATGCGCATGCCTTTATGCTGCGAAGGCGTGGAGGCATGGCGAACGGTCCCTCATTTCAAATACCTGTTGACGGTGGTGACCAGTCGCCGACAAGTGCACGGCCCCTCAGTCCCGTTGACTCCGAAGCAGCTCATGTTCAAGTCGATATCTCTGACGCCGGTATGACCCCAGCAGAAATTGAAGAGACACTGGCCGATAAGTGGTGTCTCCAGTACCTCAATATTACTCACGCGTACCCGATAATGGAAGCGATCGACGATGACGACTCTGGTTATATCAGGACATCGGAGATCAACGATTTCACCTCTTCAACCCCAAAGGGGTGGACCCTTCTCCAGTGGTTCGCATACTGGGGTGGAGGTTGGAAACAACAATCCTCAGTTTACGCCCGATCCATCAACGAAATCATAGACTTGATTAAAGACGCGTCCCATGATGTACTGGTTGAAAACAACCAGTCTGCGATCAGTTACGTCAAGCAATTGGACTGGTCTTCTGCTATCGAAAAAATGACTTATGCTGCAACAATGAACACTCCTGCTACATCGGATAGTCCATTAGATAATTTAGTTGCACGAAGCATGGTGTATAAAGAGAAGAAGTTGGAGCGTGCCCTTCGACGAGTGTACTACACTGTTGATGCGCCGGAATCACTCAGACTTATTTCTGGTCCGGGAAGAATTGAGAAGGTATAACGTGTCGGTATGTTGTGTAGAGCCCTGTGCTGATTCCCAGTGTTGCTCTAGGACATCTTTGTGATCATCTTCCTTATCTTACAGCACCACTACCTGATCTTCTTGAGAGCGACCAAAGTCTGGATTGATGAGCGGGAGTTCCAGGTCGCAACAAACACTATGCTGAATATTGTAGAGGCTGTCACTGATCGCGTGGCTAATTTATCAGGTAAGGCACTTGTCTAGCCATTCAGTGGTCTTCTGATATAATTTCGTTAGCTTCGTATCGACAGCAAGGGTTAGACGAGCACATTCAACTCTCGCGATTTCACGGTGGCATCGTAGGTCCCACGCTCAACGTTTGCCGCAATTACTGATTGTTATCCTCTTACAGTACCAGTTTGTGCCGGACTCTCGGGACTCTCAGGACATTGAGCTCTTCTGGTTGGACGATGGTGCTTTGTCTGAATTGAAGGAGAAGACACTCAGCAAAGAGCAGGACCTGAAACTCAGATACGGAGGATGGTCGTTGAATTTACAATCGTACTCGAATCCTCGTGCACCAAATGTGCTTCCGGATGAGGCATCGGACGATTCCCGGATCAAGGTCATATCGAGCCAGGCAGAGGACGTGGACGGCGGGGATGATGATGAGAGTGATGATGGTGGGTGATAAAGTTTAAATTAGGTGGAACACATGCTGACAGCAAGGTGTGCTCTAGGTGACTCTCATGCTCCCAATATCAACGACGAGGCTAAAGGAATGGCAAGCGACAAAATCGTGGCTCGGGCAAACAGTTCTGTATCTGCTCTTCCGAAAATTTCAGATAGTTCTCCGAACTTCGGAAAGCACATGAAGCACGTCATATATGGTTTAGAAGCCATCGCCAAGTTGGAACCATTCTCATTCATCAAGAGTATGTGAAATCTCCTGATCTTTTCTATGACTATTTCCAATTCACGGCATGTTACAAGGTACGGTAAAGGGAGTGAAGAGTGTTTTAGTGTCAGAATTTAAAAAGGAAAAAGTGAATCCTTGGATCAAGAAGCTCCTTCGTGGCCTGGTTTCCATTATCAGCCCATTATTAGAACTCTATTTTTTGCAAGACACAAGTGAAGCCACAGGTGAAGCCACAGAGACAGGGGCGTCGTTCGGGGGACGTTTGTTTGATCTTCTCTATCACATCTCGTTTGACATCCGTGATGCGGAAAAAACCATCGAAGCCCTCAATACTCAGGGTTAGCCTAGTTTTGTTTGCCCTGCCATGGCAGAAGTGCTAAACATCCAGCAGAGAAGGCAACTGGTGACAACCCCGCCGGCAACCCTTCCCCGCTTCCTAAGTTAACAACTCCGGCAGCTTTGGATACCGTAATAAACAAGCTGCAAATCCGACGTCGTGACATTGAAGCCTGCCTAGCCTTGCACAACGAGCGGGGCTTTCGACGTCTGCTCGTTGCTCAACAAGTTGTCATTCGTGACATCCAAGAGCAACGCAAAAGATTGTTGCCCGAGTATTTGCGCCATAGACAAGCGGTCAGGAGATCATTCATCGATCTCACTGCGAAAGGGCTGGTCTTGGGACTGGCTTCTAGAGAACTTAGTGATGCCGAACGGACTGAACTAGCAGCAATCACCCGCGAAGTGCCAGATGTCGATCTTGAATATTGGAATTCATTGTCCAGATTGCAAAGACGTAGGACAAATGTGCATGTGTAAGTTATTGCCCTGAATGTCGCAACTCTCTTCACGTTCCTCTTCGTGGAACAGAACTATCCGATGCGATGGATGCGGAACCTGCCCTCTCGTTGGACATCGCTATACCTGCTTGACGTGTTACGGTAGATCTTATTTTCACTTTGAGTTCTAACCCATTCAACGTTCCATTTGACCCTCAGACTTTGACCTTTGCGTCGACTGCGAACGTAAAGTCCACTCACCCGAGCCTGGCACGACGCCCATGGAGATACAAAATCATTTGCCTTCTCATCCCTTGATGAAGATTTGTCGGCAGGTGTGGGCCGTTTTGGATCAGGACCGGGACAGGTTCCGGAGAACGTTGGGTCGTCTTGAACTTGACGAAGATGATATAAGTAATGATGATAACGACGAGGACGAAGATGAGGATACATCCGGTGGGACAGTCCGTTTGTGAGCGTAAACATGCCAAGTAACCCTGATTTTCACCAGGATTTGCGGATGGGTCTGAGGAAGTAAGCGACTATGAGGAAGAGAACGAGAATCCTCCCGAGGAGGGAGGAAATAGTGACGACGAGGCTGCTGAAGATGACAACGACAAAGCTGGCGAGGACGCAGAACCACCAAGGGCCGATCTCACCACAGACAAGGCAGTAGGCAATGAGGGTATGTATCTTCATCCGGAGCACTCGGCATGTGAAACTGAATGGATTCAAACAGGTGAAACTGATCCCAAATCGGATGACGACGCGCAGGAGCCCGCAGCGACTCACACATTCCAGTGTCATCGTTGCCAAGAAACCAAGACTGGCACTCGCTTTGTGACGAGTGGTTACTACGAGCAGCCTGATGGAGACTACGGAGGTTCCGTAAATTTTAAACCCACTTGGGGCGTCGTATTTGACTAAGATATCATTTCATTTCAGCCTTCCAGTTTTGTCCGTCTTGCGAGGAAACCATCATTAAATCATACGATGGCAAAGCCCTACCCATTGTTTATGCATTTCTCCTAAAAGTCACACTTCCCGAAGGCCACCACGGCAGTGGCGATAATGCGACTGTGGCCACTGAAGAGGAGCCAGACAACCAAGCAGAAAATCAGGAGGACGAGGTTACTCGGAAACTTCAAAGTTTAGACGAACGACTTGGTGCGCTGGAAGGGAAACTCGATCATATTTTGTCAATTCTTGCCGCAACGCATGTTGGCACCACAAGCCTTGACCAAACCCAAGCATCTCAGCCCCAGGATGACCAAGCATGATGGAGATAGGGTTTCGGGACGCCCGGAAAGGCGCCCTCGGACCTTTCAGCATGTAGTCTAGTCACGTATTCGGCTTGGTCTTACACATTCTGTTATGCTTGTGTCGAACCGTGGGATACCCTCATTCCTACTTGGAGTGAAGTAGTCCTACCAGCCTGTTGGGGAGCTCACCACCACGATCACCAACATAAATCGATTTTTCGTTTGTGCCCGCTGGTGCTGCTTTCTTACGTGCTGAAGGGCAGAGGGTGATGAGAGTATACTTGAATATTAGATCGGATGCGCCAGAAGCTTCTAGATTTGTGCGTGAACTTGCTCGTTATTTACTGACGGTGGCCGAAGTAAACGAGAGTTGTGTCCAAGAATTGATTCGAATTTGATGATCATGCAAAGACACCAAGAACGTGTCCTAGGACGAAACTTTGGATGATCAGAACTCACAAGATGTGACGTGTCAGCCGAGTTCGAGGCTATGTATGTACGATGAGCCTCAAGTTATTCTTCATCCGCTTGAGCATCATGGGTACCGGGTGTAAGGAGAGCCATGTTGTTCAGGAAGTTGAACACATGTCCACGATATTGACTCTTGTGCTGGGAGAACATCGATGATGCACAGACGCAGATGCAATTAATTGAAATACGTTCCAATTTGCGGTATATAACTTACATACAGCCTACCAACTGCATTCAACTCCGGTTGGAGCTGCTCAAGACAGCTCATTCGATGACGTTTGATTCCCGGGTTGAACATCCTTCCACTTACATTAGCACTCATCATGTATGCTTTGAGCTGATCACATGGTCGGCCATACAAGTACATCCTAGCTTGACGCAGCTGTAACGGCGAACAGGTATACTTCTTTGCCCCATGCTTCGTTGCCGGGGTGCTCAGCCTCCTCCCTCTCTAGTCATTCGAGTGGCGTCGCGCGCTAGCACACTATCCACCTCCATCTTATGGCCACGCATATCTAATTTGTCTCATTCGACGCCTCGAATATGTGTGTAACATAAGTTTAGTGCAGGTCGACAATGCAATGCCGGTTTGAACGTTTATCTGAAAGCTGCGTGATCTTATTGCATCTGGCTTATTCACCCCCTCGTCGGTGGTTCTGACCCTTTGTCTTCCTGTATCCCGCGGGACGCCTGACACTCATCACGACCCATTGAAACACTAAATGATATACTCTTCAAATACTGCGCAAAATTCTAGACGGTGTTGTGCAAAAGCCAAGGGAGGCCGCGAGTAAGCCATAACCGGCGCACTGGAAAAGGCGAAACAACTTGGCGAATATCCTCGTGACTCGCCCTGAGCCGAAATCGAAATCGAGTTCCACCCCTGCTGGACTGAGGGCGGTATAGAGCACCAGGTGGCACTTGATGGCCGTTCAAGAATTGCTGGGAACGAATCGGTCGATAACGCCATGGGGGCCCGAGTTCTTCTCTACCATTGAGCCATGTTGACCCGTAGGAAGCCATTAGTGGGGTTCTCGTTGCGGCAGGAAAACGGCAAAGCTCAACCTTTTCTTCTGAGTTGCGTGGCGAAAGGTCGTAAAATGGGCCTTGATCCAGAACCCATCTCCAGAGTTATGCCCTGCATCTGCCTCAGAATGGTGAGCATAAGCTGTGCCGCCTTCTGACGAGGGAAGAGTGGCCCGAGCGAATATAGGGTCAGGGATAACACATGAGTGAGTCGGAGGGACAGTGGGATTGATGATCCAACGTCCGTCACCCGATAAACCGCGACGCACTCGCATGGTTCCGTTGACCAAGTAACGGTCTGGGTCTCATCGAAAGTACCAATATACTGTACTAGCACGACCAACAACCGGTGTAACGCGAGGGTCTTGGATTGAATTGAAAATTAATGCAACTGAATTGATTGGCAGCCTCCGGCAACTCCCGGAGGCCGTGGGAACCGGTTGTTGGTCGTGCTAGTACAGTATCGTGCTCCTGGAGAGAAACCAAGTGTCCGACGGTTCGGAATGCGCAACTTGTTGCCGAATTGAGAAGATGGGGAGAGAGGAGAGGCAAGACGTTGAATAGATGGATGCCCCAAAACAGATATGAGCGTCATGTTGTCGTACCAAGGGTTGTCAAATTTTTGCAGGACTCGTACAACACATAATCCATCATCCGAGACTGCGGATCCAGCAAAATATATATGAACCAGTGGGAAGAGTGCCAAGATCCACAGGGGTCATGCCGTCGCCGAGGATCGTTACAGTCCCATCGTTACCCTCGGTGGCGACTCGGCGGCTGCCGTGGACGAATTCGGTCCAGACTGGTAAATTGGCTCGACGGTGCTGTAATCGGCAGATGGCCATCGAGGGAGAATGTCATGATGTCATTGCGAACATCAGGTCCTTGGATTTCAGCTTCGTAATTACGTTCCCATTTGTTGACTGCCTCTGGTGGTTCACTCAACTTTGCCTGCATGACGTCTTGGGCGCTGAGCAAATCCTCGCCTAATGGAATGGTGCCAGTACTGGCACCAAAGAACTCGCCAAAAGCGGAGTCGGAGAGATGGCTATAAAGGGGCGATGAGGGTTGGGCGAAAGGAAGTTTCGATCGATAGAGTTCCCATGGTGCATCCGCAGCAGTGCGAGCTACCCCCTCTAAACTTCTCAGGAGGTGGATTGAACTGTGATCCTATCGAGAATGACATCAGACAAGTTTCGGATGAATGCTTGGTTTATACTGACCTTGAATTGAAGTAATTCGTCAGGAAATAAAAACCTTCTATCTCGTCTTATGGTCTTCTCCTCATCTTGCAAGTGCATGAAAGTCAAAATGTACCTTTGCGTGATGAAGGAATTAAACTCGCTCTGCAATTCATTGGACTTTTGTGAAAAAAGTTGTGAAGGGTCCAAGTGATTGAGTAAATATTTAATAACATAGGAAAAGCGCCTCTGATAATCCTTCTTTTTCACCATAAATTCCTTCCATATTCTTCTATCTCCTAAAGGGGGTTTCGTAGGTATTCCGAACGCATCCTGCTCACAATAATTCTTGAAGAGTCGAAGGAGCGGCAATCCAAGGAAATACCCTTTCACGTCATCAATGAAAAATACTTTGTCCTTTTCATCACCAATTGGTTCCCCCATGATGAATTCTTTTGCTGATGCGTGATAAAAGGTGACACCCTCTGTGTTCCCTGAGGGAAGATTGACGATGGAGCTGATTGGTTCCAATGTCGCACGGATTTCATCTTCCCCAATCTTGAAAAGCTGTGACATAAAAGAGACGTTCATCGGCATGCGCGCTGCAATGATCGCACCAACCACCAAGCAATACTTCTTGGCTGCATCTGAGTGAATTCCAGATGAATCCGGCATGTAGGCTTGTCGAAGTATCCGCAAGTACTCCTCCTTGAGGTTGGCAGGTAGGTTACGGAGGTTGAGCAAGTCCTTGAACACCGACTGCAGGGTGCGACCATGTCCGCTCTGCTGGCAGACATAGCGAACACGGGTAGACGCCATAATAGGCAACCCACGACAAGCTCGAGCGAAAGCGTCAAGTTCCCTCTTGTCTGGTTTCCACGAATATTTGTCAAAGAGGTGCTGAAGGCCTTCTTCCACCATACGACGGACCATCTGGAAAGCTTCCTCTACAACCTTGTCCACATCTTCACATAGTATGACATGACCCTTGGCCCGAGTTTCATCCCAAGCTGAAATGACTCTTGGCTCAGAGCGACAACTAACTAACACGGAAATTATCGGTGGTAGCTCCTGGAGGAAAAGTACTAATTTCATCAGAGATCCGAGTCTCTCCTGATCCCCGCACTCATCCAGACCGTCCAAGATGATGACGAAGCGATGCTTGTCTGAAGAAAACACACCCTTGAGCTCATGCATCGGCTCAATTATCAGAGTATTGATTTGTTTTTCCAGAGGGAGATTCTGAACAAAGGCCAAATCCGGTTGCCGAAGGCGTCTGACAAGCGACAATTTGAAGTCTTCATTGAAGGATGCAAGTTAGCAGGCAAGGGTAGAGGGGAACAGTTCGATAGAATCCAAGCCTGTTCCTGCTTGGTTCTTGTCCCAAAAGAATGACGCGGCCAGCAGACCCTTCTCCATAAGAGTGGATGCGACACTCATAGATATCGCAGTCTTTCCCATCCCAGGAGATCCTCGTAGCCAAACGAATCGGTCCTTAGCTTCCTTCAGGTGCTCGAGTAGGGATTTTTGAATCTTATCCCTTGTGCCTGGTAGGCACTCTGACTTGCTTTTCACATAAATGTGCTCGGCCGGGGCTCGCCTAAGTTTCGATATCTCGGCTAGGAGCATCAGTGATTAAGCAATCCATAAGTATGTAGGCAGACACGTACATTGAACCGATGCATGCTCAGTACGAAGCAGGATTAAAGTCAATGATCTTAGCTGTGGCGGGCATGGTAAGTCAGGACCCAGCTATTCAAAAAATCTCAAGCATGCAAACCTCGAATCGATGAATAGCATCATTCAGACAGTTCTTCATACCGATTATTTGTGGTGTGATGTCGGACGCTTGGAGGATCTTTTCCCAGCGTTTTTTTCTTTGGACCCATTCGATCCCTTCTACTTGTTTTTGCAAAGCCCTATGAAGAGAATGAGCGAATGCGAACGAGAGAAGACGAGGTGCGTACGTGCAGATTTCCTGCACTAGGGACCTCAGCTCAGGTGGAGTTTCCCCAGTCCATTTCTGGAGGGGCTCAACCACCGATTCTTGTGTTTGCTGTATCACGATGCATAACTGGTCGAGTTCCTCGGTACTGCCACTGACATTCTACATGTATGCAACAGGTATGGCAGCGATCATCATCAAGAACATCAAGATGATTCACAAACCTCATATATCTCAAAAGCGTGTTTGGGATCTGATCAAGATTAGCGATCTGGACGAACTTGAGACCAGCGGCCGCAGTTTCGAGAAGTAGTTTGGTGGTGCCGATGATCGTTTTCTTCAGATCGCCATCGGATTTACGAGGTACTGATTTCGCTGGCACCAATGAAGTAGCTGGGACTGACGATCCAGGTTCTTGTTGCGTGTGGATGCTCGGGTAATCGTTATCAGTGGCAAGTGCGTTGCCCATCACTCGTGGGAAATCGGTATTCACTTCGGTGGGAGGGGACAGGATAGCATGATTCGTTTGTGGATGTCTGGACGGGAACAGTCGGCATAGAATGTTTGGATTGGGATGTGCTTGATTGTTTGAGACGACTAGGAGCGGGACTGGGACTTCTCCGAAATGGCCTAAGTAGCTTGTCTCGAAAAGATGTCCGTTGCTCCGTGGCATTATCTTGTAAGGTGCCACTAGGAAGTGGGAGAGCGGGCGCTGTAGTAGTAAGGGAACCAGAGTGCAGTCCTGCGGGGCTGCCGTGCCAGTCTTTGTCGTTCGTTCTGTCATACGCAGTGGTAGGCCCAATGATCTGGCTGTTCCAGTTGAGACCTGCGACCGGTCGTCAGGAGGCTCAGAAGGGCCCCGCGGCTTCTTGAACCAGGAGAAAAGGCGGTGAGATTTGGGCATGGTGTCAGTTGCGTTGAAAAAGGCGTTCGTCAGGGTCGCAATTCAAATTTACTTCAGGCACGGTGGCGCCGCGCCGCACGATTCCTTTCAGCTGCTCCTTTCCGTCGGGAGACAGCTCTGGGTTAATGTCCACGACTTGGGCCAACTCTTCTGGCCGTGTCTCTTCCCCTGGCGGCGTTTCTGCGGTCTTGGGTCCAACTGGGGATTTGTGGGCCTAGGAGCTGGACTCAAGACAAAGTCGACGGGTGCTGGTAATGGGTCGTCGCCCGGGTCTGCAAAGACATCAAACTGGGGTGGCGGTAGAGTACTAGTAGCTTTCACGCATACCCGCTAACTATGAATCCTCCCTACACTTGTGATCCGCCGTGCCAACAGGCCGGTTCCAAATGAACTAGAGCATGTATGTGTGTGTTCTGGTCTGCATAACTCCCTGCGTCAGGTAGGGTCTTAGAAGCAAATAAGGAGTCTGATCTGAGCCCGTCCTCCGTCGACAAACGGTCCACACCACTTGGAAGCACATTGTTTTCGCTTCTCCCCGATCCTGACCATTCATATACACGATATTGCGCGCGCGTGCATGCATCAATTCATATATAGCGATAACGCTTGTCATGTATGAACCTCATCCGGCGCTTAGAGTATTCAGCACACCTATGAGAGCTCGTTGCCACACGCATCTCGTTCTTAGCCAACTGCCAAGAAATAACAATAGCCGAGACTGACCCGATTCGATACGATAATTCCCTGGTGCACTTCGTAATCACCGATCTGTGATTGATAAGGCGGCCACATTCGGGAGCCGCTCACTCGTGAGCGCTTGTCCCTGAGTTCAAATTGGTGCGTGCCTCGGGCGAGGCCAGGCGTTCCGGATCTCCTTAGGTAGGGAGTTCTACTGTCATGCGAACCTGGAGTCTGACTTTATTCAAACTCCGCCGACAGAATCCAACTATGACCCAAAAGGATGCTTTTCATGGACAAAATAAGATGATGGTTACGGAAATTGATTCTTCGAGCCTAATGTGATGTTGCTTCCCTTGTAAGACATTAGGGGTGAGGGTGCGCATGTCAGAGTACACAGTTTGTGAGTGGAACCCGGGGATTGGCCACATAAACACGCAAAGGAGAATTATGTTTGATTCGCGAGAGTGTGTCAATCTCGAGCGAACAGTCCATCCTTGCGAGTCACCGAAGTTCCGAGAGTCGTGAACCGCATCCACAATCAACCGCGTATGCAAATCTGACTCAAAGGTAAAGTGAAAGCTTTTTTCAATCGAATTCTCCGGACAGTGACTTGCTGCCGTGATCCCTGGATCCTGCCTACCGTGATCCCCCAGTTAAGCTCGATTATCGGTCGATCTCGAAGAGCGCTTCCTGGCACATGAGTCCCCATCAAGTGGGACAATCCCGGCTGGATGACGTGCCGGTACGCGCATCATGCTTACATCAATTGCTGATATGATACCGATACCATTGCCTATGTTCCGCTTACACGCATCTTATTTCTTTATTAGTTTTGTCTGATATCATGTTATTACTTTAGCTACTTATACCGCTGCGCGGTTACAATGTTATCACCAGTAGTGAGATCTTCCCCCACTCGAGTATCCCCCGCTGAGTGCCACATAACTTACAGCCTTTTCCAGCTTTTCGAAAAAATCTGTCCGATCAAAAATAATCGTTCGTGGTGCCCGCCATTACATACCTGATAGAACGAATGACCTTTTCCCGGAAGTCGATTTCCGATGGAGCCTATAGGGCCGTGTATGCCAACAAGTTCGCTTGTCTTGAGCCATTCGGGTGTTGGGGGCTGATAAGGCAGTGGCGAGTGGCAAGACAATAATACCGCCGTCTACTCCGAACAAATTACTATGTCGGCAAACTTGAGCGATGTACGGGGCTTCAAGACGACAAGACGCGCTTCCTCTGGGAACTGGCCAACTTGACGGGGTTCGACTTCACGCCGACAATGGGTACGAATCACCCAAAGTGTCGATGGCGTGTTTGAAACCGTCTGTCCCCAGTTCCGGAATGGAAGGAACTCAAACCTTAGTGTCGGCTAAAGCCACTCACTGCAGCCCTGTATATACACGTAGAGAATGTATAATCAACACATCGGGTTACGAATCGAGCCTGTTTCCCACGCGCTACCATCCGCGCGGCACCTCTCAGGCTTTTCTATCTATATATTGCTTGTTTGTCATAGCAGCTGGAGTCCTGCCTAGCTTCTCTAGTCTTTGACTGTGTTTTCACCCGTTGACTATACCTGCCTTCGATATCCCAACAGACTATCTGGCCCTGTTTTCGATCAATGGTCCGCACTTGACTTGGTTCTCGTTCCCTGATGCTTGAGTCGACCTCCCGGCGGTGGGCAAGGCCTGCGGCTGCGACTGCCAAGGCGTGTGCTCGCTGCAAATATCTTCCACCGGGTACCCAGTTTGGCTTCTTTCGATCGACGCCTTGAGGCTTAGTGCCGGCCTCGGCCATCCGATCCAGCGTGGCACTCTAACAGTCCCTCGCGGAGAGCACCCACAAGCACTTAGTTGCAAGAATAGGGTGTGTAAGCACGGAGAAAGGGATGGCCGGAAAAATGTATCTAGAGGGTGGGTTGAGGACGCGAAGTGAATGGAAAACATGATTTGGTTGCTAAAACACGACGGCACGGATACAACGAAATTTGGCACATATCCAACAGGCGAGAACAGTAACAAGTATAACAAAAAACAACAACAAAAATCGATCCAAGTCACTTGGAGGATAAATTGGGCATTGATATCCATTGAACTGGGGAAGGGTATAAACCGTATCGCTTCTTCGTCTTTAAGAGGAATCGGCAAGCCTCTCAGACCCATCACATCGAAGCCTGTCGACCGATGAAATATTCACGATATCCTTTTCTGCTTCAAGGTCTCGTGTGATTCGACGCATGATATGGAGTGGTATATCTATGCCACTGCAGATTCGACTCTGGGGAATCCCTGGCCGCTTGTCCGTGAGAAATACTGACCTTGATCACAGTGGTGTGTTGATCCAGAATGTCGAGAAGCTTAAGGCTGTTTTCGGCGTCGCCGAAGATGTTTCCAGCGTCGCCAAAGATGCTCGCAGCGTCGCCATAGGAAGGAAGCCACAAGTCCAATGGTCACAGACGTCGAAAACGACTTGCTGGATCAAGCATGGTCCTGTCCAAGGGAAGTTGGTCTGGAGGTTTGTCTGGAGGCGTCAAGGCCATCGTCTTGAACCGAGTCATTCAGCACCTAAGAGTGATAAAGTGAATCATCTCTCACGATTCGGCGTTAGGATGAATATCGACAGGGTGATGCAAGGGCATGCGGGGTGGGTACTGCGTTCTGCGGCGTTACTCTGCGCGGTGCGCAACACCGAGTCTGGTTCATCATTGGATTCGGGCGAGAATAGGCGCTTGGAAACTACTCGCGAGCGACAATCAGGGTAGATTCCTGTGAATGACGGGAAATGGCATGCTCGCAAGCAAAGGATGGAGAGAAGCTTTTCAATCGTATGATCTTGGCTATGAGGGGGGATCGAAACAGGACGGATCATCCGCCACTAATATTTGCTTTACTCAACACGACGAAACTCAAGGGCTCTGGCTCACTTTGTTGCGCCAACACTGGGCAAAGCGGTAAATGATTTTAGACGAGTAATCACTACGCGGATGCTGAAGACATAATATTTGCCTGATGGTCGCCTTAAAAGAGTCCACACTGTGGGCGTCTTGGCCTCGACAAACCATATTCCGAACGCAGCGGACGCGAGCTAACATTCTCTTCTCCCATAATTTGTTGAACATGGGGCCGCCGCAAAATTAGCGCCCAGTGGCACATCGGACCGGATAAGGACGGGAAGGTGAGCTGCCCTGACTACATAGACTAGGCAGGTGACCAGCCTTTATAGTATAGAATGTTAGACCTGGTTTCATTTGGTGAAGCAGACCGAGGCCGCCAAACTAGCCTGTTGGGGAACACACTGTCACCAATCGCCAACATGGATCGCTTCAATTTCGTTGGCACCTGACGGGGGTAGTTGGTACTACTTCCTTACGTGCTAGAGGGCAATCACTTCACATTCCCATGGAGGAGTGTGATGAGAGTATACTTGAATGTTGGATCAGATGCGCCAAAACCTTCTATATTTGTGCGTGAACTTGCTCGTTATTTACTGACGGCGGCCGAGATGAACGAGAGCTGTGTTCAAAATTGATGCGATGTGAACTTGATGGTCAGTGACACCGAGGGTGTGCTTATGTGAGAAAACTAGCGTAATAGAGCGCTCAGTTCACGATAGTGCAACTATAATTGTTCAAGATGTTACCTAGCGTAATAGACTAGCGCTAGACAATAAGACGTTGAGTAAAGGTCTAATAAGACCAAGAAATGAGACCTCACCTCAGTTCACGATAGTGCAACTGAGGAGAGAGAGAAAACAGTCGCGACGAGTGGCTTTTAAGCCTACAACGCCGCCTATCAACAAGAAAGATAAATTGGGAATAACGGACAATCCTCTGCGGCTGGTGAGTCCGTGCGCCATAATGGTGGGACGTCGACCTTGTCTCTAATAACTTATGCGCGCGTGTCCTAGGACGAGCTTTGGATGATCATGCAGAACTCACAAGATGGTGGTGCATCAGCCGAGTTTGAAGGCTATGTACATGCAATGGGCCCCAAGCTGAATGAGTTATTCTTCATCCACCCGAGCATCGGGAATGACCCAGCGTTGAATTGGGGCGCCCAAGGCCAGGATGGGGCCAACAAAGAGGTTGGTGCCTCATATGGAGGTATGTTGTCTGGTTCTAGTTAATGTTGGGCGAAGACCAAGACGTCAAGAGAACGTTGTTAGCCGACGTGGGACCAAGCATGTCAGAACCGCACAAGCCCTGCATGAATGAGCCAATCTTGGCTGCCATGCTGGTACGCGCTTCGTTTATACAGCAAGCAACAAAAAATTAAAATCCAACCGATCGATCAGATCTGGAAGAATTACCCGGATCAAAAACGGCAGAAAATAAATCGTGGTGGCTTACTAGCTTCCTAAACAGTCAGTTAACCTGGGTTGCTCATCAAAATCGGATCGGCGAGTTTTGTCACCTGCTTAAAGAGGTCTTTCCAACTATGGATTCTCCCTATTTTACATAAGATCGCGGCATTAGCACGAGTGTCATTATTAGATACCATGACCAAAGTACATGATCAAGAGAAGCAAGGACTTGCCTGAGCGTTCACGATATCAAAGTGTCATGTCATTAGATATTGTGCACTCAACCCTGGGTGTGCATGGCAGCAACGCCACTCACGAAGCACTGTGTAATAGGAAAAATGAAATCCCGATGATGGCAACACATCATTGGCTAGCCAACCATTGACACAAAGGGCCACACACACACTCAATGTATATGTGGTGTGTGTTATGTAAGGGGTCTTCGGAGTAAACACATGAAAATAAGGTGAGCAATGACCAGACATCTGTAAGTGTTGGGATGACGGAGGATGGGCCGGCGGACTAGCGGGTTCAATGGGTGCGGGCGCCCAAAGTGAATAAGGGTCGAATCGATCCATCATGATGGGAACTCTTCTCTTGACAGGATTGTCTCAACAACATCATGCACGGAATTCTTTTAAGTACCGAATGCAGACCCTTCAGATATTCTCTTTACCACACCCCTTTCTGCAAACAAAGAGGAAAACGTCTACAGTATGGCGTATCCAGCAACCAGACCCACCGTCGCTGCTTTGACTATCGAGACGGCTGATGTTTCCTCTAAGGCCAGGACACCAAAAGAATCGCGATCTCCAAAACCATCCAAACAGGAAGACCGCTTGGACGCACTGGGTTGGCAGACACCGGTGTCTCATTGTTTTTTTTTTTCATTCACAAACCTTCGCTTAGATGACAATATCCATGCGGTCACTGACCCACTACTTCAAATAAACACCTACTACAACGCAAACAGTAGCACGATTGATTTGGCTTTTAAAGCACTTGAAAATGCAGCAGACTCTACAGCCGTTGGCCAAGTGGTGGATGATTGGATGGGTGGGTGTTCTCGCCATCCCTTCGGTCGATCAGACTAACATCTTATTCAGGCACTGTGACAAGTTCGTGAACGCAGCACCTTCGTTGAGGGGGACTGACCTTTTCTCCAGTGGTTGTTACGGGGCTTGAGATACTTGCTGACGCTCAGCCGTTTCCATTTGTCAAAGGTTCGTATTTCTTGGGTACACCATGATTGTCTTTTTGATTCATTTGCCCTTAGCCGCCGTCTTACTATTCAAGGGGTTGTGACTCTAGAAACTCAGCGGCGAGACAACACTTTAAAAACCCGTGCTCTCGTACTCCAGCTCTCCGATATGCTTGCGCCCTTCTCCATCTTCACAATGTCAAGGATCCCGAGCTGAAAACTGAAACGGGAGGGGCGTCTGTGGCCGCATTCGGTCCTTGATGAAGCAAATCAAACAAGACATCAAGGAAGTCGGTAATTTGGTGGACACTTATCATAAGCATAGCTTGACGTGTGAGTGCGTCCACTGATAGATGGAAGTGATTCCTTACACGTCGGCTATTCTTCCAGCTAAATTCTTCTTCAGCGGCAAGTATCAGGGACAGTTCAAAGACGCCGGTGAGAAGCTCGTGGTATGCCCCTTAAACTTTCAATTATTTTTCCACTCTTTCACAAATTCTTTTGAAGCGACGAAAAGGTGCGATGTCCCGGGTCTGGTTTTTGCGGTGCGGGCGATTCAGAGTTGGCATCCACACCTTTCAGGGGACATCGTTTTTGCACTGCAAATTCACATTACCGTGGGAATTGATGAAATCCGAGAGCAAGTGCGCAACAGCAATACATTATTAGTGAAGCTCATCAAAATCGTCGAATATAACTCCCCGGGAGAACAAGGATGGGAACGCTCCTTAAAGAATCTCGGAGGGCGCAACAAGGTGCTTGCAAACGACGAGCTGCTCACGACGTTTGCCCAGGAGATAGAGGACTCCCAGTCTTCTGAATCAACGGCGAAGACGACTCCAAAAGAGAAAGGGGAGAAGGGAAATGATGCGGATAAGGACAAACCAACGGATCCGAAATCGACAGGAAAGGCAGATGACTCAAAGACGAAATCTGGGAAGGATGCATCGAATGTTCTTTCTCTCCTGGAACGGCGGGAGCTTAGGATGCCCCTGCAAGAGATCATCGATTCCAATTTCGCACTATATGAGGGCAAGCTGGAATCTCAGGTTCAACTTCTCTCCAAGGCAGTCACACAGTCCAAGCAAGAGATTTTGCAGCACCTTGAATCTGGTGCTCACGAGAAGATATCACATCATTACATCCGAAGAGTCTGGAAGGATATGGTCCGTCACTTTCTATATATTTCTGTAACGCGCCACTGACGCAGAAGTCCACTATGAACCTACAGGGCTGGCGTTCAAACGTGAAGTCGCGACAATTCGTTCTGGCGATGCACGATTTCTATGCCGATCGGTATGCGCGTGCCTTTATGCTACGAAGGCGCGCAAGCACGGAGAACGGTCCCTCACTTCAAACACCCGTTGATGGTGGTGACCAGTCGCCGACAAGTGCACGGCCCTCGGTTTCGTTGACTCCGAAGCAGCCCATGCTCAAGTCGATATCTCTGACGCCGATATGGCTCCAGGAGATATTGAAGAGACACTGGCCGATAGGTGGTGTCTCCAGTACCTCGATATTACTCATGCGTACCCGATAATGGAAGCGATCGACGATGACGACTCTGGTTATATCAGGATATCGGAAATCAACGATTTCACCTCTTCAACCCCAAAGGGGTGGACCCTTCTCCAGTGGTTCGCATACTGGGGTGGAGGTTGGAAGCAGCAATCCTCAGTTTACGCCCGGTCCATCAACGAAATTATTGTATTGATTAGACGCAAGTCCCACGACGTATTGGTGGAAAACAACCAGTTCGCGATCAATTACGTCAAACAATTGATGTGGTCTTCTACTATTGCCAAAATGACTTGGGCCGTGACAATGAATACTCCTGCTACATCGGAGAGTCCATTAGATAAGTTAGTTGCACGAAGCATGGAGTATAAAGAGGAGCAGCTGGAGCGGGCCCTTCGGCGAGTGCACTACAATGTTGATGCACCAGATTCACTCGTGCTTATTTCTGGTCCGGGAAGAATTGAGAAGGCATAACATGTCGACATGTTGTGCAGAGTCCTGTACTGATTCCCGGTGCTGCTCTAGGACATTTTTGCGATTATCTTCCTTATCTTACGGCACCACTACCTGATCTTCTTGAGAGCGACCAAAGTCTGGATCGATGAGCGGGAGTTCCAGGTCGCAACAAACACTGTAGCGAATATTGTGAAAGCCATCACTGATCGTGTAAATATTTTATCAAGTAAGGTATCTGCCTAGTCGATGACCTCCTGGTTGATAAAATTTTGTTAGCTTCGTATCGACAGCAAGGGTTAGACGAGCAAATTCAACTCTCGCGATTTCATGGTGGCATCGTGGGTCCACGCCCACTATTTACCGCAATCACTAACCGCTATCTTCTCATAGTATCGGTTTGTGCCGGACTCCAAGAATGAACAAAAAATTGAGTGGCGTGGGCTAGATGATGGTCCTTTTTCTGAATTGAAGGAGAAGATATCCAGCAGCGAACAAAACCTGGAACTCAGATACGGAGAATGGTCGTTGGATTTACATTCGTACTCGAATCCTCCTGCACCAAATGTGCTTCCGGGTGAAGTATCGGACGAGGGGAAAGACGACGGGGAAGACGATGAGAGCGATGACGGTGAGTGATCAAGTGTACGTTAGGGTGGACCACATGCTCACAGCAAGGTATGCCCTAGATGACTCTCGTGCTTCCAATGCTGCGAACATCGAAGAAATCATGGCTCAGGCAAACAGTTCTGCATTTTCCCTTCTGAAAATTTCGGATAGTTCTCCTGACTTCGGAAAACACATGAAGGACGTTATACATGGTTTAGAGGCTATCGCTATGAAGTCAGGACCATTTTCATTCATCAATGGTGAGTGAAATTTCCTGGTTTTTCTGTGACAATTTCCAACTCACGCCACATTACAAGGTACGGTAAAGAGAGTGAAGCGTGTCTTAGCGTCAGAATTGAAGAAGGAAAAAGTGAATCCCCGGATCAAGGAGCTCCTTCGTGGCCTTGTTTCCATCATCAGCCCATTATTAAAGCTCTATTTTTGGAAAGACGCAGGTGAAGCCACAGAGACAGGAGCGTCGTTTGGGGGCCGATTGTCAGACCTCCTCCACCACATTTTATTCGACATCCGTGATGCAGAAAAAGCCATAGAAACCCTCACTACTCAAGGCAAGCCTAGGTTTGGTTCATTCAACCACGGCGGAGTTGCTGATCAACCATTCAGCGGAGAAGGCAGTCAATAATAACCCCGCCGACAATCCTTCCCCGATTTCTGAGCTGGCAACTTTGGATAGCGTAATAAACAGGTTGCACGTCCGACGTTGTGACATTGAATTTTGCCTGGATTTACACAACGAAAAGGGTTTTCGACGTCTACTTGTTGCTCAGAAAATTGTCATTCGTGACATCCAAGAGCAGCGTAGAAGATTGTCGCCAGCCTATTTGCGCCGCAGACAAGCGGTCAGGAAATTATTCATCAATCTCACTGCGAAAAGCCCGGTTCGGGAACTAGCCTCAAGAATACTTAGTGATACCGAGAGGGCGGAACTGACAGCAATCATCAGTGAAGTGCCAAAGGTCGATCTTGCACGTTGGGACTCATTGTCCAGACTCCAAAGACGCAGGGAAAACGTCCATGCGTAAGTCAGAGCTCTGAATGTCGCAATCCTCTCCACGTTTCTCCCTTTCGAAATAGAAATATCGGATGTGATGGATGCGGAACTTGTCCCCTCGTTGGGCATCGCTATACCTGCTTGACGTGTTACGGTATGTCCGATGCTTCACTTTGGGCTTTAACCTATTCAACGTTCCGTTTGACCCCCAGACTTTGATCTTTGCGTCAACTGCGAACGTAAAGTTCACTCACCCGAGCCTGGCACGATGCCCATGGAGATACAAAATCATTTGCCTTCCCACCCTTTGATGAAGGTTTGTCGGCAGGTATGGGCCGTTTTGGATTACGACCGGGACTGGTTTAGGACAACGTTTCGTCGCCTTGAACTCAACAATGATATAACTAATGACGATGGTGACGAGGACGAAGACAATGGTACATCCGGTGGGTGTGTCCATTCGTGAGCGTAAACACGCCAAAGTAACCCCGAGTTTCTCCAGGATCAGGATTTGCGGATGAGCCCGACGAAGTAGACGATTACGATTGGAAAGCAGACGAAAAGCCTTCCGAGGAAAGAGGAAATGGCGACGACTCCGCTGCTGAAGATGACGAAGTTAGCGAGGATGCAGAACCGCGAAGTGCCAATCTCACCACTGACGGGGCAGCAGGCAATGAGGGTATGTATTCTTATTCAGAGCACTCGTCCGCGAAATTGACTGGATCCAAGCAGGTGAAACTGATGTCAAATCGGATGACGACGCACAGGAGCCCACAATGACTCACACATTCCAGTGTCATCGGTGCCAAGAAACCAAGACTGGCACTCGCTTTGTGACGAGTGGAAACTATGAGCAACCTGATGGAGACTATGGAGGTTTCGTAACTGCTTAAACCCACTTGGGGCGTTGTATCTGACTAGGAGATCATTTCGTTTCAGCGTTCCAGTTTTGTCCGTCTTGCGAGGAAATCATCATTAAATCATACGATGGCAGAGTCCTACCCATTGGTTATGCATTTCTCCTCAAAGTCACACTTCCCAAAGTCGATTGTGGCGGTGGCGATGATAGGACTGTTGCCACCGGAGCGGAACCAAGCAACCAAGGTGAAACTCAGGAGGACGAGTCCCATCAGGTAACTCGGAGGCTTCAAAGTTTAGACGATCGACTTGGCGTGGTGGAAGGCAACCTCCATCAGATTTTGTCCACTCTTGCCGCCATGCATGTTAGTATTACGAGCCGTGACTAGGTTCAAGCATTTCAAGCACAGGATAACCGAGAATTGGATTTGGGAAGATGGAGTTTCTAGGCCATAGAAGATAGTGCGGGAATGTGCAGCAAGCAACATCCGCAACCCACGGACTCTTCCTATGTAGTCTTGTCGCAAAGATGATTTTGCTTCAGCTTGGTCTGATATATTCTGCTATGCTTATGTCGAACTGTGGGATCTCTTCATTGAATATTGTCTCGCTGATTCCTCCCTCGCGCTCTACTTGAAGTGGTTGTCTGTTTCACTCGTGTGAACCCAGCATGTGCAAATATCGTCGCTGCCCGGGATCATGGGTGGATTTATGGCGATGTCGAGATGTTAACCCTTGCCCTGATCGTATTTCATACCAGTGGATTCTGGAAAAATATAAGACCCTCCTTGACATTCCAGTTATGTCCATGGGGAGCTACTAGGAGATATTTTTGTTTATGCACTCACTATGCAACGCGGTTTGTACCGTAAAAGTTCGTAACGATTAGATCTTCCGCCTCTTGTAAGAGCCTCGGATCGAAGCTGGCACTCGTGTGTCAGGTTGTAGGAAGGTTTTTGGAGTAGCACTGGCGTGGGGAATGACACCATTATAGTGACCGCGCGCGAAAGCCCTACTGCATTCTTAATTCCCCAGATACTCCACCCGCTCGGACGCTCGAGTCCTCCCAGGAGAACGATATATTGGCTTTTGATCGGACCAACACTTTCACCTGGTCAACAGGAACACCGGTTCATCCCGCGTTGTCGTGTGTAATTCCAATTCTTGGATTATGATTCCCACCGTCCCCCACTTGCAATACCCCATACCCAATCCTATATCCACTCGACAGCCGACAGAAAGCCAAACAGTATGTGCACATCAGACGTGTGTGAGACCATTATTAATAATTTACGATGTCTCGCCGGGCATACTAGATGAGGCCTCACTGGCGCCTATCTCCCGCCGCAGGAAGAACCCCACTAGTTGACCACAGCTTCCCAGAAACATTAACATGGCTCAATGGCAGAAAGTCGAGGCACCCCCCGGGCTGCCAGTTGACCGTTTCCGAAATGCATGATACGGTCATTTGAGTCCTGCATCAGGGACAAGACACGATTTCTACCCCGGGGTCAAGCACCATCTCTCGTGGAATATTAGCCAAATGGTTTCGTAGATAACAGACAAGTAAAACTATTTCGACGTGGCTTCAGGTTCGACTAGAACAGAGTGGATGATCAAAAGAGTTCGTACACACCGCTGTGAAACACAGCAGGGTAAGAACGCTTTCCATTCATCACTCACAATCCTGTCACGGGTGCCATCGTGGTGTTCGAAGTGATATAACGCCGGTTTCTCCCTGCAAACGAAAACTCGAATATCCAATCCACTTGACCCATGGCCGACATTTGCTGTGACTTGACGATGGCGATTGGATGACAAACGTACGTCTCGCCTCGATTGCAACCCTCTACCATTTTTGGTATAAAACGTAAACAGACACGGATGCGAGATTGATCGGAACAAGGCTGGTCATTTGGTAGCGGGTGGGCTTGCTAATTGCGGCTTACGACTCCTCTAGAGACACTGTGCTCGTACCATCTCGTAGTGAACCTTTGCGTGAGGAACACCAGCATAAGGAAGTTTCCAGGCTCCGAAACGCCCCGCCACGACCGGACAACGCACAGGTCCATCGCCAACTCTATGAACAGGAGCGCGGTAAGCGACACAAACATGACAAGCAAAGTGATAAGGCACACTTATGAGTAAGGCGGAGGTGGCGAGGGTGGATTGACGGCTTCCACGGCAGACTCTTGGCACCCACGAATGGGCCGGTATAATTCTTCGAGTCTTTTCGCCGAAGCAGCGCCTGATGACCACGTATCTCCTACCTTTCGTAATATTTCTATGCACCTGATCACACCCTGACCCGGACTCTCATCCCCATAACGATAACCAGGAGTGTGCGTGGCATTCAACAAATGTATCTTGCCGGCAGCATAGACAATTTGCACGACCGTGTTGTCTGCCAAGTTGAGTCCATAATGGTGGTCAAACACCTCGAATAAGGCGGTGATCTTGAACGCTGCCGGAGGAGCAGACAGCTTTGCCTTGCAACAGAGCCTAGATATCCGGTTATAGGCTTCCCCGCTGACTCCAAGCGAACTTGAAGATGGCGAAGTGAATGTAATCGCTTTACTGTCCTGGAAGAACGGCTGATAGAGCAGAATGCTTATCCACTCGAAGATCGCCTTGATCATAATCACTTGAACACTTGGAGGGTTCTCCTGATCATGGATATCTCCGCGGAGGCTTTGAGGAAGATAGGTGGTCCACATATCAATCACATTGCTGACGGAGGCATAGGTGAGATGCGTTTGGTGTTAGAAAAGCAAAAACAAACCTCATTTGCTCAACCCGAGCGACGTCGATGTCAGTTCTGCAGAGTCCGTCATCAAGGTAAAGCACTTCCATGATCAAGGATGCAATTTGCATAAGGCCAACGTGCGCGACGAATGCTTCGTCCTCAGGCAAGACGGAACCAGACAGGTTGAAAAGCCTAGGATCTAGTCCCGCCTCTGGGAAAGCGCTAGCTTTGCAATTGGCCGCCTCAAATGAAGAGTGTTTAAGGCATTGACGGCGGCCCACATAGAGACTGCACGCTTTGTCCTGTGTCTAAGCTGAGGAAACTGGAAAGCTGTCAAGTCATTGAGAACACACCAAACAGTACAGATTCCAGAAGACAAATGAGAAGCGGATCTCCTCACGATTAGCTGAGCGTCGACCAAAATTTCCTCCATCCAAGCAAACTGCAATTTGAGATTAGGCTTAGTTCTACCAATATGGAGGGGGGGGAAACCCACGAGTCTGCGACACACGAATAGCCGTTCCTATTCAATTTTGAGTGCATGCTTATTTAAGGAATCTTAGGACACAGACGAACCAAGATATGTAAAACTGAGCCCTTCAAAAATCCAACATCAGACTGGTTCCTAGGGTACATGATTTTCTCCTTACCTTGCTCGGCCACTCCGCTATGAAATGCGGAAAGCATCGCCAGTGCCTGCACTGTTGCGAGGGTAGGAGCATTGCACTCGGCATCAAAATGCTTCTTTGCCTCCAAGGCAAAGAGCTTTCTGTACTCCAGTGAACGATGGTCCCTCTCTGGGGAATATCCCAGGGAGTATGCAATAATGACGTTATACAGCATCGCCGAAGCGTGATCCTTCTGAGGCAAAATATTGCGTTCCGAGCTGCCCAAAGCACTTCGCAGGTCCCGAAGAAACAACCGGGGGCAGATGGCCTTATGCCAGCTGCATTTTATCTGAAAGAACCTGGACAGGATATACGCTAATTCTGTGCGGGTGAGGCCAGAACCTTGAGGAAGGCAGGCGTCCCAATTCGGAGGAAGCTGAAGAAGGTCATCGTAAGGGACATTGGGCACGCTCTAATGCAAGTATTCTCGTATCAAAAACTGCATCATAAGCGTGTGTGTACGAAACTTACTCTGGGAAACCTCAGTCGTTCCTGCGACACGCGATTACGAAGGGGATACGGCGAAACTCTCCTCTCGTCTCGAGGTCTAGATGGAGCCGTGAGCGCTTCCCCAGAGAAACGTAGAACCTAACGCTCACCCACGGGAACACGCTAAAAGCCCTCGGCGGGGGCTGGACGCAGACTGGTTGAGTTTACTGAGCATGAGGTATGGCCGTCAGGACCGTCTGCGACCAGCCGCTTAAAAGCTGTTACTGGCGGCATTGAGCGCTAGATGGAAATCGACGAATTGGGTTGGTTGGGGGATCGTTTGTTTGGGGTTTCGTGACGAAGAGCGCCTACATCCAAATGATTTACCCGCTAGACTCCACGGGCCCACGTGGAATTGCGGAAGTTCCGCTAGTATTTCCGCTATCTGGTGGTGGATTTGTTTTATTACCCGCGGCACCTCGTTGTCACGTGGCAGAGCGGCTATCGGGGATCGTCAATACAAGGTCTTTCCGCTATCTGTGCTGAAGCGGAAAAGAACCGCCTAGGGATTTCGTGTCCGCGCGGGGCCGCATGATCCTGACTCTATTTGGTCTAGACTGAAACAGGGCGCGCGCAAAACAGCGCGATATAATGATCTCTTGGAGGCGAGCATAGCCGGTGTTGCTCCACATGCTATCCTCACGGCAAGTCTATCTGAACATCTGACGAGATGGAAATAGACCGCCAAATTAATGAGTGGATACACCAAAACATATGTAAGTGCATGTTTCGCGCTTGACGTCCAATAATGACCAGGACGCATTTTTTTTTTCTGCCACTCACCCCAGAACCACAATGATCGTGTCGATGGGATCGGAAACATTCCTCGTGCTGGAAGGCCTGTTGTCTGGGGACCGCGGCCGCTGGGCGGTAGGCCTGTATTCCCAGGAATTGTCTTTCATTCGCCTCGTTTTTGTCCCTTTCCTCGCTCCTCTATTTCATTATTTCATTCGGCGGCTTGTCACAGGTCCATCCCCGAGATGTAGACAAATGGATGTGGAGAGAAGATATTCGAACCCTAGTCGCTCGCTGATCTCGGCCTCATGTCTGTGTACATCATTTCTCAGGAGATACACCCACGGGCGTTACCACCTGATGCCTCTAGATGTGATCGGGGTTAGGGAAATGCCTTTTTCATGAGGCTTTTGACTTGGCAACTGTGAGCTATGGGCGCTACCGGCCGAAGGAACACTAGTTATCTGGACAGCTGGAGCCGCGTCAGGAATGCATATATCCTTCATACCCGAGTTTGTGCAAGCGTTCAACTTTGCCCTATCTAATGAAAATAGTGAATATGCGCACAATATAAACCTCGGATGCGATCCATGTGTTATTCACCAAGGCGAAGGCGCAGCTGAGTCCCTATGTGAAATTTGCGGAGCGACTCCACAGCATCACTGAAATCGATGGTTTCACCCCAGAACAGAACTGCGAAATACTCCGAGCTCCATCACCTCCATCGTCTGGTGAATCGCGAGCCATGTTGTTTGAAGTCAGGACAACTCGGGCCGATTTATATCTTCCCACCTCAGCAGTCATCATGTTTACTGGTTGATTGTGCGTGGACGACCACGTTCCTCAGGAATTAATACATGATGGTCAATTTTCAATCGATGATCACGCTGCTGGGTGTGTTGTCGACGAGTCCACTCAGTTGATGAATTCAGACCCTTTTGATTCTCATCATTATGACTAGCCCGAGACGGGCATAGCATGAGGGATAATGGCCACTAGACCGACAATTGTTATCAGTGGTGCATACACGGAATCCATAGTATGACAAGGCTATGCTAAGATGAAAGCAGACATGTGAGGAGGTACGGTGGTGTCAGAATAGGCGTGCGCATGTTGGGACACGCTGCCGAAACGGCATCACCATTGCTACAAATGGCAATTCAAATACTTAGCGTTTGTATTTATGTCAGTTATGAAGGAGACGCCCTCGGCTTTGGCGTGACAGGTTGTGTGACCTCGCTGTTTTCGATCGTGCTCAAAATTTAAAAACCCCTCAGAGCTAGCGCTCTCCAGGTGTTAAGCCTCTTTTCTACTTGAGCTGTCTCCACCGTCGTGCCCTTCCAGATCCGCGCGGCTCGCTCATGAGAGATGATCACCTTTTGTTGGCAGTAAAAAGGGGCTTAATTGTATTGCCGAACCGTGTCAATCACTATTCCATGGCGCACCTCAAAGGGCAAGCCGTGCGCCTCCTTTATGGACACATGTACAAGTCGCCTATGGCATCACTTTTTCATTCCGCACTGTATCGTTCGATTAGGTACAATTGATCCTGAGCTTAACCCCACTAGTAGCCAAACCAACTTATTGCTGCGCCTGCTCAGTGTTGTATTTCTTTGACTCTTAGCCTGTCCTCTATTTCTTTATTTCCGCTATCTCTTCCTCATTCCGTTTTCCCTATCCCCTCTTCCATTCCGGCCGAAATCCACGAATGACTTATATAAGCCTATCAAATTTCCACGGTGTAGCCAGGAAATCCCCCTCACCATGACTTCGACCGCACCTCGACCTCGCGGCCCTTATCAACGAGACGTATGCGCGGAGTGCAGAAAAGGGTAAGGATCAGCGAAAGACCTCATCAAGCGGTCATCGATGCTGATACCTTTACTTGCAGAAGGATCAGATGTTCGCCGCGCGATCCAAGAACGGGCAAGTGCAAAAATTGCGCGCGTACCAACAAAGAGGTTCGGAATCTTCCGCACAGGGAGGGGGGGAGAAAACTCTAACATGTTGCCGCCGTAGTGCATGCCTCAGACCACTGGGAGAGCCAAAAGGACCAAGAGCGACAATGCGCTCACTGTAGAGGAAGTCTCGTCTCCACCATTGGCAATCAGGAAGCAAGGCAAAATCCTCTATTTTCGCGTCTGTCGTAGTCGTCCTCATACACTGTACATGATGCAACTGAAATAGATCTTTTATTAATTCATGACCAAAGCACGAATTCCAGTTCAAGGGCACTCGACCTGGTCCCTGTCCTTCGAGACATCGTGAAAGATGTGCTACACGACATCGAGCTTGACAAGAGCATCGAATGGGCGGTCGAGTTCTTTGAAGGTGGGTTCGACGCAAAACATTCCGGAATCATTTAGCCAGGGCGGCTCGATTGGGACCTTTCCGTTCTGACCCGGTCCGATTGTGCCACTGGGCGCTAATTTTGCGGCAGCCCCGTATACAACAAATCATGGGGGAAGAGAACGTTGAGGAGCTCGCGTCCGCTGCGTTCGGAATATGGTTTGTTGAGGCCAAGACGCCCACAGTGTGGACTCTCCAGGCGACCATCATTCTCTTGGATCATTTTAAAATGGCGGGGGACAGTAGAAGTACGTTTTCCTTTTTTAGTCCTGTCTGTCCGTTATTTTGATGTCACCTTTTAGGCAAATATTTTCAAGGTGTGTCGTCAGCATCCGCGTTAGCGATTACTCGTTTAAAGTCATCTACCACTTCGCCCAGTGTTGGCGCAACAAAGTGAGCCAGAGCCTTCGAGTTTCGTCGCGTTGACTAAAGCAAATATTAGTGATGGGCGATCCGTCCTGTTTCGATCCGTCCGATAGCCAAGGTCATACGATTGAAAAGCTTTCCTCCATCCTTCGCTTGCGGGTACGCCACTTCCCATCATTCGTAGAAATCTACCCTAATTGTTCGCTCGCGAGTAGTTTCCAAGCACCGATTCTCGCCTGGTTTCAACGATGGGCCAGGGGACATCGGACTCGGTGTTGCGCACCGCGCAGAGCAACGTTACAGAACGCAGTGCCCCACCTCGCATGCTCTTGCATCACCCTGTCGATGTTTATCCTAACGTCCAATTGTGAGAGATGATTCACTTTATCACTTTAAGGCGCTGAATGATTCGATTCAGGACGACCCAAGACGATGGCTTTGACGCCCCTCCAGACAAACCTCCAGACCAACTTCCCTCGAACGGGACCATGCTTGATCCAGCAAGCCATCTTCGAAGTCTGTCACCATTGAACTCATGGCCTCGTTCCTATGACGACGCTGCAAACATCTTCGGTGACACTGGAAACGTCTTCGGCGACGCCGCAAACAACCTCAAGGATCTCGGCCTCTCTTTCTCCTTGATCAAAACACCGTGGATAGTATTTCTCACGGACAAGCGACCAGCAATTCCCCAGTGCGGAATCTGCAGTGGCCATTTGACGTATAGATATACTACCCATATCAAATGTCAAATCACACGAGACCTTGAAGCAAAAAAGATGTCGTGAATACCTCATCTGTCGCTTCGATGTGATGGGTCTGAGAGGCTTGACCAATTCCTCTTCAAGACGTGATAAGATTTATACCATTAGCTAGTTAGGTGGATATCAATCCCCCAAGTGACTTGGATTGGCCGGATATTTGTTCCCTCTGTTGTTGTTTTTTTTTTTTTTTTTTGTGTTATACTGGTTACTTTTTTCGCCTGGAAGTTGGATTATGTGCCAAATTTCATTGTATCCGTGCCGTCGTATTTTAGCAACTAAATCATGTTTGCTGTTTACGTCGCGTCCTCAACCCTTTGTTTTACAAGCCCCCGCTTCGCGAGTTTACACACCCCATTCTTGCAACTAAGTGCATGGGACTTCAAGGCTCCTGAACCTGTCAGGTTTTCGTGACTCAGTGTGGGTGCTCTTCACGACGAACTATTAGGGTTCCACGCTGGATCGGATGGGGGCCGGCACTAAGGCGCCCCAAGCCTCAGGGAGTCGATCGAAGGAAGAAAACGAACTACCCGGTGTAATTCGCAGGAAGATATTTGCAGCGAGCGCACGTTTTGGCAGTTGAAGTCGCAGGCCTTGCCCGTTGCTGGGAAATCGACTCAACTTGCGTCGAGCTAGGAACAATTAAGAATCAAGTCAAGTGCGGATCATCGGTCGAAAACGGGGCCAGTTAGTCTGTTGGAATATCGAAGACAAGGCGGCGTCAACGGGTGAAACACAGTCAAAGGCTAGAGAAGAGTGGAACCCAGTAACATCAGGTGAAAATGTCGTCTCAACTTGGAACATACTTTCAGAATCTTCCGTGAGACCTCTGATTCAGGCTACGTTTTTCTTTCTTTTGCTTTCTCAGCCCTCTCGAGGCTACTTATAGATTCACTGTTATCCAGTGCAGCACGTTGAAATTTCTATGTCCAATCGTTAGACTCAGTGCGGGACATAAACACGAGGGGGGGGGGCAGGCCAAACAGTGAAGCTGAGATACATTATCAAGCTACGTACACATGGCCTTGTACGGGGGAGCGGAGAAACATGTCGGTATTGGGAATAAAACAGACTACATCGAGATTAGGTTGGAGCCTGCGGTGCGAGTCATCGTTTTGATGCAGCGAACTGCCAACAGTCAAGGGACGCGCGAGGTGGATTTAGTCCATGTGCCAGCCCAAGGGGGGCAGCGGTAGATATTCCTGCGCATATAGGGACATCAGCACTGGTTTGAATACGAGCGAGGAGGAAATGTGACTTACGGCCAGACCTGCTGGGTGGACATCACGCAGTGCAACTGATCTGCAGAGCTGATGCCCACCCTAACACAGGAAATGGGTATGACCAACGAGCGCGAACGCCCGTGGAAGCATGGTACATACCAGCGCCACTGGAGCGCCCCGATGGAGTGCCCCCCTCCCTCAATAATTGGAAACGGACCGTTTAACACCTGGAAAAAAATTGCACAAATGAGTTTGGAGAACATGGCAGTTACGGGCATGACGCGTACGGCTTATGCGCCGTGGGATGCTCCTGTTGGAAATGTGGACCGGAGCCAGTGTGTATTCGAACGCCCGGAGTCGGAGCAGATAGTCCTAAGATTCGGCACCATATTGTCCTACAGTGGAGCGTAATACGCGCTGAATGAAGAGCAGGCCAAGACAGAGGACGCAGTGATTGCCCCAAGTTGCAAGGCGACTGCCATGAGCGAAGTGACAGAAAGGACCTATAACAATAGTCTAGCCATAAGCAGCCTCAAGGTAGTTCGTTCCGATGGAATGTTTGCACCCGGAGAGGAAAGGCTGAAAGCCCCAAGCAAGAGTATGTTGAACCAATGAAGAAACAGACCTGCTGAAGCTGGTAAGAGAAGGCCGTTTTCTTGTAACTGCGCAACCATTCGAGGGGTTTGCACACTCGATCCGTTTGGGTTGGCCGTTCCTCGGTCATAAGGCACACCAAGAGACTAATTTGTAGAACGACTCGTCATAGCCCCATAGCCCATTATAGGAGTAGTTGGTTCGGGTCCAAACAGTCGCAGAAAGCCAATAGAGGGGGGTAGTTTGGATAGTCAGGATCGCCGGTGAGGAAAGGGTCCCAATTTACAAGCAAGCGGAAATAGCTAGGCTGGATGAAGATGGAAAATATTAGTCGAAAGGCGAAGGTGGCGTCCTTTAAGTCGCTAGGTGAAGGTCGTTGACTCGAGAAGGCGATAAACGCGATACAAGGAGTCGCGCGTGGGCTCAAGAAAGCTGGAGAGTGAGTAAAGTAGAGAACCCAGAGGCGGCCAGTAGTTGAAGAGTTGTGGAGTGAATGGCAACCTGGTGGGCAGAGGGGCTTTGAGGACGACAAACAATTTGGGATGACTTGAGGGTAGATTGGCAAGGACGAGCATTCGAAGGGTAACAGGGGAGGAGGGATCGACGGGATAAGGCGTACAAAGGAAAATTCCGAGGGTGGAGCTTATGAAGGCATGCACAACTGAAAGATGCTGAGGGATGAGGAGTGTGTGTTTGGAGCCACCGAGGCGCATCGAAGGCCGTGGCCCATGGCGAGGAAGGGACGATGGCGAGAAGGGAAGAGAGGGGCTGATGGGGAAATTTGAGGCTCAAGTCGCTCTTTTATGCATTTCACGCCCATTCAATCCTCGTCTCGCGATGGGTACCCTCCAGCATTGAATAGAACTTCCAAATTGGACGGTTTTCTTCGTCGAAGTTCCAACCAATGATATGAACATGATCATAGATCGCAGGGCTGACATTCCACAATTTTTGCGATTTCTCGTCTGCCAGTGCACCGTTCGACTTCGTTCAACCGCGAAACTGCTGTAGAAGTGCCCCGCTGCAATTTCCGTAGACGAGAGATGAAGGGACGAGCCAAGTCAAGGCAGGGTGGATGAAAGAAGGCGTGATGAAAAATCACACACCCCCTTGGCTAGGAAACATCCGCCCATCAAAACGATGCATCAGGACATTACTCGAATTTGTTATTTACGGATGATTGACCCAATTGGTTCCGTACAGAAGAATCCTTGCGTCCTGACGAGGTCGTAGCCCTCAACCACTGCTGTGCTGGGGTACAAAGTCCGTCGTGTTCCGATGACGTCGGGATTTCAGGCGAAGAGAGTGGTGCATAATGGAGTATCGCCAACATCTGTTCCTTGCCAGGTCCGGCCAGAAATGAACTAAAAACTCCTCGCGGCCATTTTCACCGACGCTTCCGCTTCCGCAGAATGAGCGCGTCAGCTAATCGGGGGTGCTACCGTCAGGCAGTGATGTTATTCATTAGATCGGGTGTCCAGATCTTCTTGCCCGGTTAGTTATTTTCGGTTTTTTTTTTTGTTAAAGATCCTCCGACGCCCTTTCATCAGCTGCAGGCATACCGAGAGCGTGGAAGGGCTGGAATTGGGCTGGACGATGAGGAGAAGTCAAACAATGCCGCGGGGGATGCGCCGTTGGACTGTGGAAAAATTAGAATATCGAAATTCGCCAAATAAATATTGATATGCAACAAAGCTTACTGAGCACTTACTTAATTGTGCTAACTAATGGGGAAGGTTCATTCCTGTCGGCTGCCCTGTGCCGGATGAATGGTCCATAGATTCCACCACGTGTCTCGTTGCTTCAAGGCAAGCACGATCTGAAGGCGCGTGCACACAGCACCAGGCAGGTCAATATCGCAGAGAAAGGATGTCAAGAAAGCGTGATGGCCAGACACGGGAGCCACCATTTGGGTGGAAATGCAAGGGAAAAATCTTGTACTGAGCGCTTAACTCACTGTGTGGCGAGGTAATTCCATGGGTTTCTCCATATTTGGTCATGACGCACCATGATAGTAACGCGTTTGAAAACAACGTTGCTTAGAGGCATGAGAGTTGGAACGCTGATGAAAGGTTTGACATTGGCCTTTTTTGATCGCGTGCATCGGGTGAACCTAACGAAATCAGTTCCTTGACTATAACAGATTTTCCATTCCTGGCTCGCGTCTTCACACATTCAGTGGTTTTTGGTGCCGAGCGCATCAGCCTCTGCGATTATGGAAGCCTCAGGTACACTCCACAACGTCAACGCCATAGTTCTCACAGCATCTCGACACACTGAGACACAGGAATATCAAGGACACGGTCTCGGAGGGGGCACAGGTTGCTCAGCATGTAACCAGCATCTCAGACATCCATCCGAGCTCTCAATTACCTGCAGAAGCAGAAAATCATCAATCATCGCGAGTATTGGATACAGCCCTTGATCCAAGGACTGGTGCCGTATCCTAATACTCGTGTATGCCTGATGATACGATCTGCCTGGGGGGAATACGGGCGTCTCGGACTGTCTCATTATACCCGCTGGAGTAGATCTCCTCACCCTTAGGTCCTTGTGGCCCAGAGAGACACGCCTATCCCAACAATCCTCTTATTGTCCCAGTGAACAGAAGAGATGCAAACATTGGCATCACATTGGAAATGATAGCGTCACTCAGTTTTTGAAGCGGCCTTATTATGTGCAGCAAGTTCTATCAGCTTGGGCAATTGGAAATGTCCCAGGATCTCAACTGGAAGTCGCAAATCTTTGTGGGGATGGACGATCCCCTGGGCTGGGCCGAAACCGTTGAGAAGCATTTGCCAGAGAGCGTCACAGCATGCGCCCCTAGGAAAAGGCCAGGGGTTGTAAAATCCGTGCCAGATACACACTGAATACTCCTTTGCCGAAGGAGCTTTTAATCCCGGACACCCATTGGATTTCTTGACTTCCTTCCAATCGCGACCAGGAGCGATAAGATGATTCAGATGATCGCCCGCCTGAAATGATTCTGTTGGTATGTTCCTAGGGCCTTACTTTGTTGTGGGAGATGCAGGCCCCTCCTACGTCTCATCAAGAGAGATATAATCAACGAGTGTTGCGTGTTGCGGAGCATGAGTGACATGGGGCGGTGTGAGAACAGAAATGAATGTGGCGACTCCAGTGCTGTAAACGGAAATCCCTCAATGCTCATGCTTGCTTCCGCGTTCGACTTTGGACGATGACGGCACGTTGGTTCGCCCACCAAGTAATGTTGTTGCGCGCACTGTTACTGTTGTGTTCCCCTGGTCTGAACTCGGGGATCCCTCATCTCCTAGTTGAGAAATGCTACTCTGACTCTGTATGAATCTCCTGCGCCTGCGCAGCCTCAGTGGACTCGATGCACCACCCGCATTCCAGGACTCCCCCTTCTCTACCTCTCCTATCCTATAGGGTGCTTAGAAGCTGTTAACCGGCGTGCGGATGTCAGCGCTCAACTTCCCCTGGACTCCGTCAACTTCACCCGCATACACCGGCAGGTCCTACTCCCCGCCCGAGGTAGTACATAGTACAAAAGCTACATTGGACACGTTTGGGCGCTTACAGACAGCTGTTGATTCATAGACACGTAATCGCTCGCAATTTCAACTTCATCAGTAATCACGGAATCCGTGCACCATTTCCTCAACCAGATCGTAGACGCTACCTCACGCACCGGCCACGTTACACTATCAAAGCCTCAGGAATACCGCGGCCAAGCAGGTAGTAGAATTGGCGAGTATCTTTCCATCAACCATACCTGTATTGTGAGCCTCACATTACATCAGTGTGAAGACTCGCTGAACTCAGATTACGTATGAGCCAGTGCTCCTTCGAAAACGTTTCTATTCTCCGTGAACATACGTGGCCGGCACATCACTCGTCAATTTACTCCCGCGACATAGCTCTTCGAGATCGGCGAATGCCGATAGTCAGGTTCGTCAAGAAACTCACTACTATCTGGAACACTATCACGGGTTTACATGCGCGGTTGATTGTGAAAGTGGTTCCCGACTCTCGGAACTTCTGTGACTCGAGGATGCATTGTTTGCCTACCATTCGAAGGAATAACCCCCCATGACCTCCTACGCTCTCTCGCAAATCAAACATAATTCTCCTTTGTGTGTCTGTGTGGCCAATCTCCGCTTAGGTTTCACTCACAAAAGTGCGTACTCTGATATGCGCACACCCTCGCCCCTAAAGCCTCACAAGGGAAACAACATCACATTTAGGCCCGAAGAATCAATTTCCGTAACCATCATCATATCTTGTTCATGGGAAACATCCTTTCGTTGGATTCTGTCGGCGAACTTTGAATAATCTGCCTTGCTCTGGATATCAACTTACGTTCGGCATGCGGCCAGCACCGAGTCTGGGGTTGATTGTCGACCGCACTTGCTAGGATGTTGGGTCCTACCCCCTGGTTCGCCGTTCCATTCGGCCAATCCTGAAGAAATAATGCGCTCATCCTACTTAGTTGTTACTTGAATGACTGCGCTGGTATGCAAGCAATGAAGTTGTCTTCGTCCTAAGAATTGTGGCCCGAAAACAAGGCCGACAAAGAACACTACATATCTCAGCAACCGCACAAGCTAGACACTTGCGGTTTGCTGTAAGATGTTCATATCTTTATTCCTTTTTGGACGATAATCATCATTCTTTTTTTTGAGAGTTCAGGTTTTTCACCTTTGTGCGCATTTTTGGACAACGGCTGGGCAGAATGGGGTGAAACTTGGGCAGCGGGAGGTTTGGCCCCATATCTCGGGGCTTGTCTTTTTTCTTTAGTCGATAGGTTCTGTGTTTCGTTCTTTATCGTTTACATGCTCCCCCAGGCAATAATACTCATCGTGCATAATTTACTTGACAATGGCACAGTAGAATGGGAATTTAGGTAGTAAGCAGTCGTGGAAGGCATGCCCCTTTGACCTTTTCACTCTTCCCACATCGCAATCCGCCGGCCAGGGAAGTGTTTTCCGCCTTCTGCCCAGAGCACCACCAGGTTAAGTGTGGATCGTCGGTCGAAAACGGGGCCAGATAGTCTGTTGGAATATCAAATGCAAATATAGTTAAATAAGGCAGCGTCAACGAGTGAAACACAGTCAAAGGCTACTAGAGAAGAGTGGAATCCCACTAACGTCAGGTGAAGGTGTCGTCTCAACTTGGAACATACTTTCAGTGAGACCTCTGATTCAGGCTACGTTTTTCTTTCTTTTGCTTTCTCAGCCCTCTCGAGGCTACTTATAGACTCACTATTATCCAGTGCAGCACGTTGAAATTTCTTCGTTAGACTCAGTGCGGGACATAAACACGAGGGGGGCGAGCTCAACGGTGAAGCTGAGATACATTATCAAGCTACGTACACATGGCCTTGTATGGGGAAGCGAACAATAGTGGAGGTATTGGGAATAAAACAGACCACATCGAGTTTGGGTTGGAGCCTGCAGTGCGAGTCATCGTTTTGATGCAGCGAACTGCCAACAGTCAAGGGACACACGAAGTGGATTTAGTCGATGTACCAGCCCAAGGAGGGCAGCGGTAGATATTCCTGCGCATATAGGGACATCAGCACTAATTTGAATACGAGCGAGGAGGAAATGTGACTTACGGCCAGACCTGCTGGGTGGACATCACGCAGTGCAACTGATCTGCAGAGCTGATGCCCACCCTAACACAGGAAATGGGTATGACCAACGAGCGCAAGCGCCCGCGGAAGCATGGTACATACCAGCGCCACTGGAGCGCCCCGATGGAGTGCCCCCCTCCCTCAATAATTGGAAACAGACCGTTTGACACCTGGAAAAAAATTGCACACATGAGTTTGGAGAACATGGCAGTTAAGGGCATGATGCATACGGCTTATGCGCCGCGAGATGTTTTTATCACTCCTGTTGGAAATGTGAACTGGAGCCAGTGTGTATTCGAACGCCCGGAGTCGGAGCAGATAATCCTCAGATTCGGCACCATATTGTCCTACAGTGGAGCGTAATACGCGCTGAATGAAGAGCAGGCCAAGGCAGAGGACGCAGCGATTGCCCCAAGTTGCAAGGTGAGTGCCATGAGCGAAGTGACAGAAAGGACCTATAACAATAGTCTAGCCATAAGGTAGTTCGATCCGATGGAATGTTTGCACCCGGAAAGGAAAGGCTGAAAGCCCCAAGCAATACGTGGCAGGAGATATGTTGAACCAATGAAGAAGCAGACCTGCTGAAGCCGGTAAGAGAAGGCCGTTTTCTTGTAACTGCGCAGTCATTCGACGGGTTTGCATACTCGATCCGTTTGGGTTGGCCGTTCCTCGGTCATAAGGCGCGCCAAGAGACTAGTTTGTAGAACGACTCGTCATAGCCCTATAGGAGTAGTTGGTTCGGGTCCAAACAGTCGCAGAAAGCAAATAGAGGGGGTAGTTCGGATAGTCAGGATCGCCGGTGAGGAAAGGGTCCCAATTTACAAGCAAGCGGAAATAGCTAGGCTGGATGAAGATGGAAAATATCAGTCGAAAGGTGAAGGTGGCGTCCGTCGCTAGGTGAAGGTCGACTGGAGAAGGCGATATACGCGATACAAGAAGCCGCGCGTAGGCTCAGGAAAGCTGGAGAGTGAGTAAAGTAGAGAACCCAGAGGCGGCCAGTAGCTGCACAGTTGTGGAGTGAATGGCAACCTGGTGGGCAGAGGGACCTTGAGGACGACAAACAATTTGGGATGACTTGAGGGTAGAATGGCAAAGACGAGTATTCGAAAGGTAACAGAAGGGGGGGGAGATGGATGGGATAAGGCGTACGAAGGGAAATTCTGAGGGTGGAGCCTATGAAGGCATGCACAACTGAAGGATGCTGAGGGATGAGGAGTGTGTGTTTGGGGCCGCTGAGGTGCATCGGAGGGCGTGTCCCATGGTGAGGAAGGGACGATGGCGAGAAGGGGAGAGAGGGGCTGATGGGGAAATTTGAGGCTCAAGTCGCTCTTTTATGCATTTTACGCCCATTCAATCCTCGCCTCGCGATGGGTACCCAGCCAGCATTGAATATAACTTCCAAATTGGACGGTTTTCTTCGTCGAAGTTCCAACCATTGATATGAACATGATCATAGATCGCAGGGCTGACATTCCACAATTTTTGCGATTTCTCGCCTGCCAGTGCACCGTTCGACTTCGTTCAACAGCGATACTGCTGAGAAAGTTCCCCGCTGCAATTTCCGTGGACGAGAGATGAGGGGACGAGCCAAGTCAAGGCGGGGAGGGTGAAAGAAGGCGTCTTGAAAAATCACTCACACCCCCTTGGCTAGGAAACATCCGCCCATCAAAACGATGCATCAGGACATTACTCGAATTTGTTATTTACGGCTTATGTATTCACCTAATTGGTTCCGTGCAGAAGAATCCTTGCATCCTGACGAGGTCGTAGCCCTCAACCGCCGCTGTGCTGGGGAACAAAGTCCGTCGTGTTCCGAGGACGTTGGGACCTCAGGCAAAGTGTGTGGTGTATAATAGAGTGTGGCCAACATCTGTTCCTTGCCAACTCTGGCTAGAAACGAACTAAAAACTCCTCGCGGCCATTTTCATCGACGTTTCCGCAGATGCAGAATGAGCGCGTCAGCTAATCGGGGGTGCTACCGTCAGGCAGTGATGTTATTAATTAGATCGGGTGTCCAGATCTTCCTAGCCGGCTAGTTTTTTTTTTGTTGAAGGACCCTCCGACCTAAGGGTTCATGAAGCAGCCCTTTCCATCTGCTGCAGGCATACTGAGAGTGTGGAAGGGCTGGAATGGGGCTTGACGATGAGGAGAAGTCTAACAATGATGGACCGTTTGACTGTGTGGAAAAATTAGAATATCGAATTCAATTCACCAAATAAATATTGATATGCAACAAAGCTTACTGAGCACTTGGTTAATTGCGCTAACTAATGGGGAAGGTTCATTCCCGCCGGCTGCCTTGTGCCGGATGAATGGTCCACAGATTTCACCACGTGTTCCGCTGCTCCAAGGCAAGCACGATCTGAAGGTGCACAACGGCGCCAGGTAGGCCAAGATCGCAGAGAAAGGATGTCAAGGAAGCGTGATGGCCAGACACGGGAGCCACCATCTGAGTGGAAATGCAAGGGAAAAATCTTGCACTGGGCGCTTAACTTACTGTGTGGCGAGGCAGTTCTATGACTCGTACAAGGCTTCCCCATATCTGGTCATGACACACCGTAATGCGTTGGAAACAACGCCACTCGTAGGCATGAAAGTTGTGACGCTGATGAAAGGTTCAACATTGGCCTTCGATCACGCACATCGGTTGAACCTGATGAAGTCAGTTCCTCAACCGTATAGCAGATCTTCCATTCCTGGTGAGCGGCGCGTCTTCACGCATTCAGTAGTCCTTGGTGCCGAGCGCATCTGCCTCTGCGATTATGGCAGCCTCAGGTACGCCCCGCGACGTCCACGTCGTAGTTCTCACAGCATCTCGACACAGTGAGACACAGGAATATCGGTCTCGGAGGGGGGACAGGTTGCTCAGCATGCACATAAATGTTCATCCCGGCCATCCATCCGAGCGCTCGATTGCCTGTATGCCGGCGATACGATCTGCCTGAGGGGAATACGGGCGTCTCGCACTGTCTCGTTATACCCGCTGGAGTAGAGAACATATCAGATCTCCTCACCCTCAGGTCGTTGTGGCCCAGGGAGACACGCCTACCCCGTCAATCCTCCTATTGTCCCAGTAAACAGAAGAGATGCGAACATCGGTATAACATTGGAAATGATAGCGTCACTCAGTTTTCGAAGCGGCCTTATTATGTGCAGCAAATAACTTGTTCTGATGACTGCCATCAGCCTTGTAAACGGAAAAATCTCAACTGGAAGTCGCAAATCTTTGTGGGGAGGGGCGATCCCCTGGGCTGGGCGGAAACCGTTGAGAAGCATTTGCCAGAGAGCGTCACCAGCATACGCCCCCAGGATAAGGCCAGGGGCTGTAAAGTTCGTGCCAGATACACACTGAAGACTCCTTTGCCGAAAAGGCTTTTTAATCCCGGGCATCCGTTGGATTTCTCAACTTCGTTCCAATCGCGACTAGGAGCGATAAGATGATCCTGACGGTCGCCCGCCTGGAATGATTCAGTCAGTATACTCCTAGGCCCTTACTTTGTCGTGAGAGATACAGGTCCACCCTCCGTCTCATCAAGAGGGATATAATCAACGAGTGTTGCGTGGTTGCGGAGCATGAATGACTTGGGGGCGGTGTGAGAAGGAGAAATGAATGTGGCGACTCCAGTACTGTAAACGGAAATCCCTCCATGCTCATGCTCATGCTTGCTTCCGCGTTCCCTCCTAGTCATAGACTTTGGACGATGAGAGTACGTTGGTTCGCCCACCAAGTAATATGTTGTTACGTGCACTATTGTGGTCCCCCTGATCTGAACTCGGGGATCCCTCATCTCCTAGTTGGGAAAAGCTACTCTGATTCCGTATGAATACCTGGATTTCCTTCTGCGCCTGGGCAGATTCGATGCACCACCTGCACTCCAGGACTCCCCCCTTCTCTATCATCTCTATCCTACGGGGTGTATAGAAGCTGCTAACCAACATGCGGATGACAGCGCCCAACTTCCCCTGGACTTCGTTTACTTCCCCCCCGCGTACACCGGCAGGTCCTACTATTCCCCACCCGAGGTAGTACAAAAGGTACATTGGACACGTTTGGGCGCTTACAGACAGCTGTTGATTCATAGACACGTAATCGCTCGCAATTCCAACTTCATCAGTGATCACGGAATCCGTGCCCCATTTCCTCAACTAGATCGCAGACGCTACCTCACGCACTACACTACCAAAGCTTCAGGAATACCGCGACCGAGCAGATAATAGAAATAACAACTTTAGTGAGTTGCCTTTCCATCAACCATACCTGTATTGTGAGCCCTCACATTGCATCAGTGCGAAGACTCGCTGGACTCAGCACACCGTCTGAGTCTCTCTATCCCCTCTCCGACCTATTTAGTCAAGCCAAGGAAGCCCGGCAGCTGGCGCAGGTATGCCTAAGGACCTTGGAGCGTTACAACTCTACTGGAAATCGTACAGCCTATCACGCATTCACTGTCGAATGACAAAACATTCGTAATTAACGTGTAGGCCAGAGCTTCCTTCGAAACGTTTCTATTTCCCGTGAACAATACGTGGCCCGTACAATCAACTCGTCAATTTACTCCCGCGACATCAAATGTGAGCTCTTTTCGAGAACGGCGAATGCCGATAATCGGAAACTCAAGTACTATCTGGACGGGTTTGCATACGCGACTCTGTGACTGTTTTGCCTACCATTCGGAGGAATATCCCCCCAATGGCCTCTTGCGATCTCTCGCGAATCAAAGATAATTCTCCTTTGCGTGTTTGGTTTCACTCACCAGTCTGGATATGCGCGCACCCTCTCCCCCTGAAATCTGTCGGCGAGGTTTGAATGAAAAGTTTCCAGGTTCGCACGACAGTAGAACACCCTATTTAGGCTCGCATAATTTGCCCTCGCCAACTTATGTTCGACGTGACGTGCGGCCAGCACCGAGTCTGGGGTTGATTGTCGACCGCACTTGCTAGGATGTTGGGTCCTACCCCCTGGTTCGCCGTTCCATTCGGCCAATCCTGAAGAAATAGTGCGCTCATCCTACTTAGTTGTTACTTGAATGACTGCGCTGGTACGCAAGCAATGAAGTTGTCTTCGTCCTAAGAATTGTGGCCCGGAAACAAGGCCGACAAAGAACACTACATATCTCAGCAACCGCACAAGCTAGACACTTGTGGTTTGCTGTAAGATGTTCGTATCTTTATTCCCCCGAGACCTTTTGGACGATAATCATCATTCTTATTTTTTGTGAGTTCAGGTTTTTCACCTTTGTGCGCATTTTTCTCGACAACGGCTGGGCAGAATGGGGTGAAACTTGGGCAGCGAGAGGTTTGGCCCCATATCTCGGGGCTTGTTTTTTTTTCTTCAGTCGATAGGTTCTGTGTTTCGTTTTTAATCGTTTACATGCTCCCCCAGGCAATAATACTCATTGTGCATAATTTACTTGACAATGGCACAGTAGAATGGGCCGAAATTTAGGTAGCAAGCAGTCGTGGAAGGCATGCCCCTTTGACCTTTTCACCAAGGAAGACTGGACAGCTGACTCTGGGTGCTCTTCCCACATCGCAATGGACCCGTCAGCCAGGGAAGTGTGGATCGTCGGTCGAAAACGGGGCCAGATAGTCCGTTGGAATATCAAATGCAAATATAGTTAAATAAGGCGGCGTCAACGGGTGAAACACAGTCAAAGGCTACTGGAGAAGAGTGGAACCCCAGTAACGTCAGGTGAAGGTGTCGTTTCAACTGATACTTTCAGAATCTTCCGTGAGACCTCTGATTCAGGCTACGTTTTTCTTTCTTTTGCTTTCTCAGCCCTCTCGAGGCTACTTATAGATTCACTGTTATCCAGTGCAGCACGTTAAAATTTCTATGTCCAATCGTTAGACCCAGTGCGGGACATTAACACGAGGGGGGCGAGCTCAACAGTGAAGCTGAGATACATTATCAAGCTACGTACACGTGGCCTTGTATGGGGAAGCGGACAATAGTGGAGAAACATGTCGGTATTGGGAATAAAACAGACTACATCGAGCTTAGGTTGGAGCCTGCGGTGTGAGTCATCGTTCGAACTGCCAACAGTCAAGGGACACGCGAAGTGGATTTAGTCCATGTGCCAGCCCAAGGAGGGCAGCGGTAGATATTCCTGCGCATATAGGGACATCAGCACTGGTTTGAATACGAGCGAGGAGGAAATGTGACTTACGGCCAGACCTGCTGGGTGGACATCACGCAGTGCAACTGATCTGCAGAGCTGATGCCCACCCTAACACAGGAAATGGGTATGACCAACGAGCGCGAACGCCCGTGGAAGCATGGTACATACCAGCGCCACTGGAGCGCCCCGATGGAGTGCCCCCCTCCCTCAATAATTGGAAACAGGCCGTTTAACACCTGGAAAAAAATTGCACAAATGAGTTTGGAGAACATGGCAGTTACGGGCATGACGCGTACGGCTTATGCGCCGTGGGATGCTCCTGTTGGAAATGTGGACCGGAGCCAGTGTGTATTCGAACGCCCGGAGTCGGAGCAGATAATCCTAAGATTCGGCACCATATTGTCCTACAGTGGAGCGTAATACGCGCTGAATGAAGAGCAGGCCAAGACAGAGGACGCAGTGATTGCCCCAAGTTGCAAGGCGAGTGCCATGAGCAGCCTCAAGGTAGTTCGTTCCGATGGAATGTTTGCACCCGGAGAGAAAAGGCTGAAAGCCCCAAGCAAGAGTATGTTGAACCAATGAAGAAACAGACCTGCTGAAGCTGGTAAGAGAAGGCCGTTTTCTTGTAACTGCGCAGCCATTCGACGGGTTTGCACACTCGATCCGTTTGGGTTGGCCGTTCCTCGGTCATAAGGCGCACCAAGAGACTAATTTGTAGAACGACTCGTCATAGCCCCATAGCCCATTATTGGAGTAGTTGGTTCGGGTCCAAACAGTCGCAGAAAGCCAATAGAGGGGGGGTAGTTCGGATAGTCAGGATCGCCGGTGAGGAAAGGGTCCCAATTTACAAGCAAGCGGAAATAGCTAGGCTGGATGAAGATTAGTCGAAAGGTGAAGGTGGCGTCCTTTAAGTCGCTAGGTGAAGGCCGACTGGAGAAGGCGATAGACACGATACAAGAAGCCGCGCGGAGGCTCAGGAAAGCTGGAGAGTGAGTAAAGTAGAGAACCCAGAGGCGGCCAGTAGCTGCAGAGTTGTGGAGTGAAAGGTAACCTGGTGGGCAGAGGGGCTTTGAAGACGACAAACAATTTGGGATGACTTGAGGGTAGATTGGCAAGGACGAGCATTCGAAGGGTAACAGGGGAGGGGGGATCGACGGGATAAGGCGTACGAAGGGAAATTCCGAGGGTGGAGCTTATGAAGGCATGCACAACTGAAAGATGAGGAGAGTGTGTTTGGAGCCGCCGAGGCGCATCGAAGGCCGTGGCCCATGGCGAGGAAGGGACGATGGCGAGAAGGGAAGAGAGGGGCTGATGGGGAAATTTGAGGCTCAAGTCGCTCTTTTATGCATTTCATGCCCATTCAATCCTCGTCTCGCGATGGGTACCCTCCAGAATTGAATAGAACTTCCAAATTGGACGGTTTTCTTCGTCGAAGTTCCAACCAATGATATGAACATGATCATAGATCGCAGGGCTGACATTCTACAATTTTTGCGATTTCTCGTCTGCCAGTGCACCGTTCGACTTCGTTCAACTGCGAAACTGCTGTAGAAGTGCCCCGCTGCAATTTCCGTAGACGAGAGATGAAGGGACGAGCCAAGTCAAGGCAGGGCGGATGAAAGAAGGCGTGATGAAAAATCACACACCCCCTTGGCTAGGAAACATCCGCCCATCAAAACGATGCATCAGGACATTACTCGAATTTGTTATTTACGGATTATTGACCCAATTGGTTCCGTACAGAAGAATCCTTGCGTCCTGACGAGGTCGTAGCCCTCAACCACTGCTGTGCTGGGGTACAAAGTCCGTCGTGTTCCGATAACGTCGGGATTTCAGGCGAAGAGAGTGGTGCATAATGGAGTATCGCCAACATCTGTTCCTTGCCAGGTCTGGCTAGAAATGAACTAAAAACTCCTCGCGGCCATTTTCATCGACGCTTCCGCAGACGCAGAATGAGCGCGTCAGCTAATCGGGGGTGCTACCGTCAGGCAGTGATGTTATTCATTAGATCGGGTGTCCAGATCTTCTTGCCCGGTTAGTTATTTTCGGTTTTTTTTTTGTTAAAGGATCCTCCGACCTAAGGGTTAGCCCCTTTCATTAGCTGCAGGCAGACCGAGAGCGTGGAAGGGCTGGAATAGGGCTGGACGATGAGGAGAAGTCAAACAATGCCGCGGGGGATGCGCTGTTGGACTGGGGAAAAATTAGAATGTCAAGTTCAATTCGCCAAATAAATATTGATGCAACAAAGCTTACTGAGCACTTACTTAATTGTGCTAACTAATGGGGAAGGTTCATTCCTGTCGGCTGCCCTGTGCCGGATGAATGGTCCATAGATTCCACCACGTGTCTCGTTGCTTCAAGGCAAGCACGATCTGAAGGCGCGTGCACACAGCAGCAGGCAGGTCAATATCGCAGAGAAAGGATGTCAAGAAAGCGTGATGGCCAGACACGGGAGCCACCATTTGGGTGGAAATGAAAGGGAAAAATCTTGCACTGAGCGCTTAACTCACTGTGTGGCGAGGTAATTCCATGGGCTTCTCCATATTGGGTCATGATAGTAACGCGTTTGAAAACAACGTTGCTTAGAGGCATGAGAGTTGTAACGCTGATGAAAGGTTCGACATTTTGCGTGCATCGGGTGAACCTGACCAAATCAGTTCCTTGACTATAACAGATTTTCCATCCCTGGCTCGCGAGTCTTCACGCATTCAGTGGTTTTTGGTGCCGAGCGCATCTTCCTCTGCGATGATGGCAGCCTTGGGTACGCCCCACGATGTCAACGTGGTAATCTTCACAGCAACTGCAAACATCTCGACGCGGCGAGACACAGGAATATCAAAGATATGATCTCGGGGGTACAGGTTGCTCAGCAGGTCTTCGATACGTAACCATAATCCATCCAGGCGCTCATATTCATATCCTAGTACTCGTGGATGTCTGAGGATACGATCTGCCTGGGGGGGATACGGGCGTCTCGAAGGACTGTCTCTTTATGCCCGCTGGAGTAGAGAACATACCAGATCTCCTCACCCTTAAGTCGTTGTGGCCCAGGGAGACACGCCTATTCCGTCAACCATCTATTGTCCCAGTAACCAGAAGAGATGCGAACATCGGCATCACATTAGAAATGATAGCGTCACTCAGTTTTTGAAGCGGCCTTATTATGCGCAGCAAGTTCCAGCTTGGGCAATTGAAAATGTCCCAGGATCTCAACTGGAAGTTGCAAATCTTTGTGGGGAGGGACGATCCCCTGGGCTGGGCTGAAACCGTTGAGAAGCATTTGCCAGAGAGCATCACAGCATGCCCCTAGGAAAAGGCCAGGGGCTGTAAAATCTGTGCTAGATACACACTGAAGACTCCTTTGCCGAAGGGGCTTTTAATCCCGGGCACCCGTTGGCTTACTTCCAATCGCGACCAGGACTGATAAGATGATTCAGATGGCCGCCCGCCTGGAATGACTCCGTTGGTATGCTCCTAGGCCCTGACTTTGTTGTGGGAGATGATACATGCCCATCCTCCGTCTCATCAAGAGGGATATAATCAACGAGTGTTGCGTGGTTGCGGAGCATGAGTGACTTGGGGCGGTGTGAGAACAGAAATGAATGTGGCGACTCCAGTACTGTAAACGGAAATCCCTCCATGCTTCCGCGTTCCCTCTCATAGACTTTGGACGATGACGGTACGTTGGTTCGCCAACCAAGTAATGTTGTTACGTGCACTGTTGTGTTCCCCTGATCTGAACTCGGGGATCCCTCATCTCCTAGTTGAGAAATGCGACTCTGTATGAATCTCCTGCGCCAGCGCAGGGTCAGTGGACTCGATGCACCACCCGCACTCCAGGACTCCCCCTTCTCTACCTCCCCTATCTTATAGGGTGCTTAGGAGCCGTTAACCGGCGTGCGGATGTCAGCGCCCAACTTCCCCTGGACTCCGTCAACTTCACCGGCAGGTCCTACTCCCCACCCGAGGTAGTACATAGTACAAAAGCTACATTGGACACGTTTGGGCGCTTACAGACAGCTGTTGATTCATAGACACGTTATCGCTCGCAATTTCAACTTCATCAGTGATCACGGAATCCGTGCACCATTTCCTCAACTAGATCGTAGACGCTACCTCACGCACCAGCCGCGTTACACTATCAAAGCCTCAGGAATACCGCGGCCAAGCAGCTAGTAGAATTGACGAGTATCTTTCCATCAACCATACCTGTATTGTGAGCCTCACATTGCATCAGTGTGAGGACTCGCTGAACTCAGATTACGTGTAAGCCAGTGCTCCTTTGAAAACGTTTCTCCGTGAACATACGTGGCCGGAACAATCACTGGTTAATTTACTCCATAGCTCTTCGAGATCGGATAGTCGAGTTCGTCAAGAAACTCACTACTATCTGGAGAACTATCCCGGGTTTACATGCGCGGTTGATTGTGAAAGTGGTTTCCGACTCTCGGAACTTCTGTAACTCGAGGGTGGATTGCTTGCTCACCATTCGAAGGAATAACCCCCCCATGACCTCCTACGCTCTCTCGCGAATCAAACATAATTCTCCTTTGCGTGTCTATGTGGCCAATCCCCGCTTAGGTTTCACTCACAAAAGTGCGTACTCTGATATGCGCGCACCCTCGCCCCTAAAGCCTCACAAGGGATATCAACTTATGTTCGACGTGCAGCCAGCACCGAGTCTGGGGTTGATTGTCGACCGCACTTGCTAGGACGTTGGGCCCTACCCCCGGTTCGCCGTTCCATTCCGGCCAATCCTGAAGAAATAATGCGCTCACCCTACTTAGTTGTTACTTGAATGACTGCGCTGGTGCGCAAGCAATGAAGTTGTCTTCGTCCTAAGAATTGTGGCCCGAAAACAAGGTCGACAAAGAACTCAGCAACCGCATAAGCTAAACACTTGCGGTTTGCTGTAAGATGTTCATATATTTATTCCCCCGAGATCTTTTTGGACGATAATCATCATTCTTATTTTTTGTGAGCTTAGGTTTTTCACCTTTGTGCGCATTTTTCTCGCCAACGGCTGGGCAGAATGAGGCAAAACTTGGGCAGCGAGATGTTTGGCCCCGTATTCCGGGGCTTTTATTCGGTAGGTTCTGTGTTTAGTTTTTTTTTATCGTTTACATGCTCCCCCTGGCAATAATACTCATTGTGCATGATTTATTGACAATGGCACAGTGGAATGGGCCGAAATTTAGGTAGCAAGAAGTCTTGCCTTTCACCCTGGGACTTTATCGATAAGTCGCATTTTTGGCTTTTTGTCATTTACATCTTTGCTGTGGCATGCACAATTTTCTCGACAATGGTTGGGTGGAATGGGGTGAAATTTGGGCAACAAGGATTTCAAACTGTATAATGAAAGACGCCAATATAGATGATGCATGGCAGGCACGCCCCTTTGACCTTTTCACCAAGACTGGACAGCTGACTCTGGGCGCTCTTCCCACATCGCAATGGACCCGCCGGCCAGGGAAGTGTTTTCCGCCTTCTACCCAGAGCACCGCCAGGTTAAGTGTGGATCGTCGATCGAAAACGGGGCCAGATAGCCTGTTGGAATATCAAAGGCGAAAATAGTAAGGCGGCGTCAACGGGTGAAACACAGCCAAGGGCTACTAGAGAAGAGTGGAACCCCAGTAACGTCAGGTGAAGGTGTCGTCTCAACTTGGAACATACTTTCAGAATCTTCCGTGAGACCTCTGATTCAGGCTACGTTTTTCTTTCTTTTGCTTTCTCAGCCCTCTCGAGGCTACTTATAGACTCACTATTATTTAGAGCAGCACGTTGAAATTTCTTCGTTAGACTCAGTGCGGGACATAAACATGAGGGGAGCGAGCTCAACGGTGAAGCTGAAATACATTATCAAGCTACATTACACATGGCCTTGTATGGGGAAGCGGACAATAGTGGAGAAACATGTCGGTATTGGGAATAAAACAGACTACATCGAGCTTAGGTTGGAGCCTGCGGTGTGAGTCATCGTTCGAACTGCCAACAGTCAAGGGACACGCGAAGTGGATTTAGTCCATGTGCCAGCCCAAGGAGGGCAGCGGTAGATATTCCTGCGCATATAGGGACATCAGCACTGGTTTGAATACGAGCGAGGAGGAAATGTGACTTACGGCCAGACCTGCTGGGTGGACATCACGCAGTGCAACTGATCTGCAGAGCTGATGCCCACCCTAACACAGGAAATGGGTATGACCAACGAGCGCAAGCGCCCGCGGAAGCATGGTACATACCAGCGCCACTGGAGCGCCCCGATGGAGTGCCCCCCTCCCTCAATAACTGGAAACGGACCGTTTAACACCTGGAAAAAAATTGCACAAATGAGTTTGGAGAACATGGCAGTTAAGGGCATGATGCGTACGGCTTATGCGCCGTGGGATGTTTTTATCACTCCTGTTGGACCAGAGCCAGTGTGTATTCGAATGCCCGGAGGTCGGAGCAGATAATCCTAAGATTCGACACCATATTGTCCTGCAGTGGAGCGTAATACAAGAGCAGGCCAAGACAGAGGACGCAGCGACTGCCTCAAGTTGCAAGGCGAGTGCCATGAGCGGAGTGACAGAAAGTACCTATAACAATAGTCTAGCCATAAGGTAGTTCGATCCGATGGAATGTTTGCACCCAGAAAGGAAAAGCTGAAAGGCCCAAGCAATCCGTGGCAGGAGATATGTTGAACCAACGAAGAAGCAGACCTGCTGAAGCCGGTAAGAGAAGGCCGTTTTCTTGTAACTGCACAGTCATTCGACGGGTTTGCACACTCGATCCGTTTGGGTTGGCCGTTCCTCGGTCATAAGGCGCGCCAAGAGACTAATTTGTTGAACGACTCGTCATAGCCCCATAGCCCATTATAGGAGTAGTTGGTTCGGGTCCAAACAGTCGCAGAAAGCCAATAGGGGGGTAGTTCGGATGGTCAGGATCGTCAGTGAGGAAAGGGTCCTAATTTACAAGCAAGTGGAAATGGCTAGGCTGGATGAAGATGGAAAATATTAGTCGAAAGGCGAAGGTGGCGTCCTTTAAGTCGCTAGGTGAAGGCCGACTGGAGAAGGCGATAGACGCGATACAAGAAGCCGCGCGTAGGCTCAGGAAAGCTGGAGAGCGACTAAAGTAGAGAACCCAGAGGCGGCCAGCAGCTGCAGAGTTGTGGAGTGAATGGCAACCTAGTGGCAGAGGGACCTTGAGGACGACAAACAATTTGGGATGACTTGAGGGTAGAATGGCAAAGACGAGTATTCGAAAGGTGACAGAAGGGGGGGGAGATCGATGGGATAAGGCGTACGAAGGGAAATTCCGAGGGTGGAGCCTATAAAGGCATGCACAACTGAAAGATGCTGAGGGATGAGGAGTGTGTGTTTGGGGCCGCTGAGGTGCATCGGAGGGCGTGTCCCATGGTGAGGAAGGGACGATGGCGAGAAAGGGAGAGAGGGGCTGATGGGGAAATTTGAGGCTCAAGTCGCTCTTTTATGCATTTTACGCCCATTCAATCCTCGCCTCGCGATGGGTACCCAGCCAGCATTGAATATAACTTCCAAATTGGACGGTTTTCTTCGTCGAAGTTCCAACCATTGATATGAACATGATCATAGATCGCAGGGCTGACATTCCACAATTTTTGCGATTTCTCGCCTGCCAGTGCACCGTTCGACTTCGTTCAACCGCAAAATTGCTGGAAAAGTGCCCCGCTGCAATTTCCGTGGACGAGAGATGAGGGGACGAGCCAAGTCAAGGCGGGGAGGCTGAACGAAGGCGTGATGAAAAATCACTCACACCCCCTTGGCTAGGAAACATCCGCCCATCAAAACGATGCATCAGGACATTACTCGAATTTGTTATTTACGGCTTATTGACCTAATCGGTTCCACACAGAATCCTTGCGTCCTGACGAGGTCGTAGCCCTCAACCACTGCTGTGCTGGGGTACAAAGTCCGTCATGTTCTGAGGACGTTGGGATGTCAGTCGAAGAGTGTGGTGCATAATGGAGTGTCACCAACATCTGTTCCTTGCCAGCTCTGGCCAGAGACAAACGAAAAACTCCTCGCGGCCACTTCCATCGGCGCTCCCGCAGATGCAGAATGAGCGCGTCAGCTAATCGGGGGTGCTACCGTTAGGTAATGATGCTATTCATTAGATCGGGTGTCCAGATCTTCCTAGCCAGCTAGTTATTTTTTGGTTGAAGGATCCTCCGACCTAAGGGTTCATGAACTAGCCCCTTCCATCAGCTGCAGGCATACCGAGAGCGTGGAAGGGATGGAATAGTGCTGGACGATGAGGAGAAGTCTAACAATGCCGCGGGGGATGCGCCGTTGGATTCTGTGAAAAAATCAGAATATCGAGTTCAATTCGCCAAATAAATATTGATATGTAACAAAGCTTACTGAGCACTTAGTTATTTGTGCTAACTAATGGGGAAGGTCCGTTCCCGCCGGCTGCCTTGTGCCGGATGAATGGTCCACAGATTCCACCACGTGTTTCGCTGCTCCAAGGCAAGCACGATCTGAAGGTGCACAACGGCACCAGGTAGGCCGAGATTGCAGAGAAAGGATGTCAAGGAAGCGTGATGGCCAGACACAGGAACCACCATCTGGGTGGAGATGCAAAAGAAAAATCTTGCACTGGGCGCTTAACTTACTGTGTGGCAAGATAATTCCGGGACTCGTACAAGGCATCTCCATATTTGGTCATGACGCACCATGATAGTAACGTGTTTGAAAATAACATTACTTAGAGGCGTGAAAGTTGTAACGCTGATGAAAGGTTTGACATTGGCCTTTGATCGCGTACATCGGTTAAACCTGATGAAGCCAGTTTCTCAACCACACAGCAGATCCTTCATTCCTGGCTCGCGCGTCCCCACGCATTCAGTGGTTCTTGGTGCCGAGCGCATCTGCCTCTGCGATGATGGCGGCCTCAGGTACGCCCCACGACATCGACGTCGTAGTTCTCACAGCAACTGCAAACATCTCGACACAGTGAAGCACAAGAATATCACTTGGAGGGGGCACAAGTTGCTCAGCATGCCACTAGATGTCTTTGATACGAAACCTGCATCCCAGCCATCCATCCGGGCGCCCATTTACTTACAGAAGCAGAACGGACCAAACATCGCGAGTATTGGATCCAGCTCTTGATCCAAGGACTGAGCCGTATCCTAGTACTCGTGGATGTTTGAGGATACGAACTGCCTGGGGGAATATGGGGCTGTCTCCCGCTGGAGCAGAGAACATATCAGATCTCCTCATCCTTAAGTCGTTGTGGCCCAGGGAGACACGCCTGTCCCAAAAATTCTCTTATTGTCCCAGTAAAGAGAAGAGATGCGAACATTGGCATCACATTGGAAATGATAATGTCACTCAGTTTTCGAAGCGGCCTTATATGTGCAGCGAATAACTTGTTCTGATGGCTGCCATCAGCCTTGGAAATTGAAAAATTCCCCAGGATCTCAGCTAGAAGTCGCAAATCTTTGTGGGGAGGGATGATCGCCTGGGCTGGGCCGAGACCGTTGAGAAGAGAAAGTTACCAGAATGCGCCGCTAGGATAAGGCCAGGGGTTGTAAAATTCGTGCCAGATACACACTGAAGACTCCTTTGCCGAAGGGGCTTTTTAATCCCGGGCACTTATTGGATTTCTTTAATCGCGACCAGGAGCGATAAGATGATTCAGATGGTCGCCCGCCTGGAATGGTTCAGTTGGTATACTCCTGGGCCCTTACTTTGTTGTGGGAGATACAGGTCCATCCTCCGTCTCATCACGAGAGATATAATCAACGAGTGTTGCGTGTTGCAGAGCATGAGTGACATGGGGCGGTGTGAGAACAGAAATGAATGTGGCGACTCCAGTACTGTAAACGGAAATCCCTCTGTGCTCATGCTTGCTTCCGCGTTCCCTCTCATAGACTTTGGACGATGATGGTACGTTGGTTCGCCCATCAAGTACTGTTGTTACGTGGTCCCCTGATCTGAACTCGGGGATCCCTCATCTCCTAGTTGAGAAAAGCTACTTTGACTCCGTATGAATCTGGATTTCCTTCTGCGCCTGCGCAGCCTCAGTGGACTCGATGCACCACCCGCACTCCAGGACTCCCCCTTCTCTACCTCCCCTATCCTATGCGGTGTTTAGAAGCTGTTAGCCGGCGTGCGGATGATAGCGCTCAACTTCCCACGGACTCCGTCAACTTCACCCGCATACACTGGCGGTCCTACTATTCCCCGCCCGAGGTAGTACGGTACATTGGACGCGTTTGGGCGCCTACAGACAGCTGTTGATTCATAGACACGTAATCGCTCGCAATTTCAACTTCATCAATGATCACGGAATCCGTGCACCATTTCCTCAACTAGATCGTAGACGCTACCTCACGTACTGGCCGCGTTACACTATCAAAGCCTCAGGAATTCCGCGGCCAAGCAGATAGTAGAATTGGCGAGTACCTTTCTATCAACCATACCTGTATTGTGAGCCTCACATTGCATCAGTGTGAAGACTCGCTGACCTCAGATTAAATGTGCTCCTTCGAAAACATTTCTATTCTCCGTGAACATACGTGGCCGGCACATCACTGGTTAATTTACTCCCGCGACATAGCTCTTCGAGATTGGCGAATGCCGATAATCGAGTTCATCAAGAAACTGACTGCTATCTGGAGAACTATCCCGGGTTTGTTTGCTCACCATTCGAAGGAATCCCCCATGACCTCCTACGCTCTCTCGCGAATCAAACATAATTCTCCTTTGTGTGCCTATGTGGCCAATCCCCGCTTAGGTTTCACTCACAAAAGTGCGTACTCTGATATGCGCGCACCCTCGCCCCTAAAGCCTCACAAGGGAAACAACATCACATTAGGCTCGAAGAATCAATTTCCGTAACCATCATCTTATATCTTGGTCATGAAAACCATCCTTTCATTGGATTCTGTCGGCGAAGTTTGAATAATTTGCCTCGCTCTGGATATCAACTTATGTTCGACGTGCGGCCAGCACCGAGTCTGGGGTTGATTGTCGACCGCACTTGCTAGGATGTTGGGCCCTACCCCTGGTTTGCCGTTCCATTCCGGCCAATCCTGAAGAAATAATGCGCTCATCCTACTTGTTGTTACTTGAATGACTGCGCTGGCACGCAAGCAATGAAGTTGTCTTCGTCCTAAGAATTGTGGCCCGAAAACAAGGCCGACAAAGAACACTACATATCTCAGCAACCACATAAGCTAGACACTTGCGGTTTGCTGTAAGATGTTCATATCTTTATTCCCCCGAGACCTTTTTGGACGATAATCATCATTCTTATCTTTTGTGAGCTTAGGTTTTTCACCTTTGTGCGCATTTTTCTCGCCAACGGCTGGGCAGAATGGGGCAAAACTTGGGCAGCGAGATGTTTGGCCCCGTATCTCGGGGCTTTTATTCGGTAGGTTCTGTATTTAGTTTTTTTTTTCTGTCGTTTACATGCTCCCCCTGGCAATAATACTCATTGTGCATGATTTATTGACAATGGCACAGTGGAATGGGCCGAAATTTAGGTAGCAGGAAGTCTTGCCTTTCACCCTGGGACTTTATCATAAGTCGCATTTTTGGCTTTTTGTCATTTACATCTTTGTTGTGGCATGCGCACAATTTTCTCGACAATGGTTGGGTGGAATGGGGTGAAATTTGGGCAACAAGAATTTCAAACTGTATGATGAAAGACGCCAATATAGATGATCAAGGCTGGTTGCGTGACAGGCACGCCCCTTTGACCTTTTCACCAAGGAAGACTGGACAGCTGACTCCGGGTGCTCTTCCCACATCGCAATGAACCCGCCGGCCAGGGAAGTGTTTTCCGCCTTCTACCCAGAGCACCACTAGGTTAAGTGTGGACCGTCGATTGAAAACGGGGCCAGATAGCCTGTTGGAATATCAAAGGCGAAAATAGTAAGGCGGCGTCAACGGGTGAAACACAGTCAAAGGCTACTAGAGAAAAGTGGAACCCCAGTAACGTCAGGTGAAGGTGTCGTCTCAACTTGGAACATACTTTCAGAATTTTCCGTGAGACCTTTGATTCAGGCTACGTTTTTCTTTCTTTTGCTTTCTCAGCCCTCTCGAGGCTACTTATAGACTCACTATTATCCAGTGCAGCACGTTGAAATTTCTTCGTTAGACTCAGTGCGGGACATAAACACGAGGGGGGCGAGCTCAACGGTGAAGCTGAGATACATTATCAAGCTACGTACACATGGCCATGTATGGGGAAGCGAACAATAGTGGAGGTATTGGGAATAAAACAGACCACATCGAGTTTGGGTTGGAGCCTGCAGTGCGAGTCATCGTTTTGATGCAGCGAACTGCCAACAGTCAAGGGACACGCGAAGTGGATTTAGTCCATGCGCCAGCCCAAGGAGGGCAGCGGTAGATATTCCTGCGCATATAGGGACATCAGCACTGGTTTGAATACGAGCGAGGAGGAAATGTGACTTACGGCCAGACCTGCTGGGTGGACATCACGCAGTGCAACTGATCTGCAGAGCTGATGCCCACCCTAACACAGGAAATGGGTATGACCAACGAGCGCAAGCGCCCGTGGAAGCATGGTACATACCGGCGCCACTGGAGCGCCCCGATGGAGTGCCCCCCTCCCTCAATAACTGGAAACGGACCGTTTAACACCTGGAAAAAAATTGCACAAATGAGTTTGGAGAACATGGCAGTTAAGGGCATGATGCGTACGGCTTATGCGCCGTGGGATGTTTTTATCACTCCTGTTGGACCAGAGCCAGTGTGTATTCGAACGCCCGGAGGTCGGAGCAGATAATCCTAAGATTCGACACCATATTGTCCTGCAGTGGAGCGTAATACAAGAGCAGGCCAAGACAGAGGACGCAGCGACTGCCTCAAGTTGCAAGGCGAGTGCCATGAGCGGAGTGACAGAAAGTACCTATAACAATAGTCTAGCCATAAGCAGCCTCAAGGTAGTTCGATCCGATGGAATGTTTGCACCCGGAAAGGAAAAGCTGAAAGCCCCAAGCAATACGTGGCAGGAGATATGTTGAACCAATGAAGAAGCAGACCTGCTGAAGCCGGTAAGAGAAGGCCGTTTTCTTGTAACTGCACAGTCATTCGACGGGTTTGCAACACTCGATCCGTTTGGGTTGGCCGTTCCTCGGTCATAAGGCGCGCCAAGAGACTAATTTGTTGAACGACTCGTCATAGCCCCATAGCCCATTATAGGAGTAGTTGGTTCGGGTCCAAACAGTCGCAGAAAGCCAATGGGGGGTAGTTCGGATAGTCAGGATGGTCAGTGAGGAAAGGGTCCTAATTTACAAGCAAGTGGAAATGGCTAGGCTGGATGAAGATGGAAAATATTAGTCGAAAGGCGAAGGTGGCGTCCTTTAAGTCGCTAGGTGAAGGCCGACTGGAGAAGGCGATAGACGCGATACAAGAAGCCGCGCGTAGGCTCAGGAAAGCTGGAGAGCGAGTAAAGTAGAGAACCCAGAGGCGGCCAGCAGCTGCAGAGTTGTGGAGTGAATGGCAACCTAGTGGCAGAGGGACCTTGAGGACGACAAACAATTTGGGATGACTTGAGGGTAGAATGGCAAAGACGAGTATTCGAAAGGTAACAGAAGGGGGGGGAGATCGATGGGATAAGGCGTACGAAGGGAAATTCCGAGGGTGGAGCCTATGAAGGCATGCACAACTGAAAGATGCTGAGGGATGAGGAGTGTGTGTTTGGGGCCGCTGAGGTGCATCGGAGGGCGTGTCCCATGGTGAGGAAGGGACGATGGCGAGAAAGGGAGAGAGGGGCTGATGGGGAAATTTGAGGCTCAAGTCGCTCTTTTATGCATTTTACGCCCATTCAATCCTCGCCTCGCGATGGGTACCCAGCCAGCATTGAATGTAACTTCCAAATTGGACGGTTTTCTTCGTCGAAGTTCCAACCATTGATATGAACATGATCATAGATCCCAGGGCTGACATTCCACAATTTTTGCGGTTTCTCGTCTACCAGTGCACCGTTCGACTTCGTTCAACCGCGATACTGCTGAGAAAGTTCCCCGCTGCACTTTCCGTGGACGAGAGATGAGGGGACGAGCCAAGTCAAGGCGGGGAGGGTGAAAGAAGGCGTCTTGAAAAATCACTCACACCCCCTTGGCCAGGAAACATCCGCCCATCAAAACGATGCATCAGGACATTACTCGAATTTGTTATTTACGGCTTATGTATTCACCTAATTGGTTCCGTACAGAAGAATCCTTGCGTCCTGACGAGGTCGTAGCCCTCAACCGCTGCTGCGCTGGGGAACAAAGTCTGTCGTGTTCCGAGGACGTTGGGATCTCAGGCAAAGTGTGTGGTGTATAATAGAGTGTGGCCAACATCTGTTCCTTGCCAGCTCTGGCTAGAGACGAACTAAAAACTCCTCGCGGCCATTTTCATCGACGTTTCCGCAGATGCAGAATGAGCGCGTCAGCTAATCGGGGGTGCTACCGTCAGGCAGTGATGTTATTAATCAGATCGGGTGTCCAGATCTTCCTAGCCGGCTAGTTATTTTTGGTTTTTTTATTGTTGAAGGACCCTCCGACCTAAGGTTCATGAAGTAGCCCTTTCCATCTGCTGCAGGCATACTGAGAGCGTGGAAGGGCTGGAATGGGGCTTGACGATGAGGAGAAGTCTAACAATGATGGACCGTTTGACTGTGTGGAAAAATTAGAATATCGAATTCAATTCACCAAATAAATATTGATATGCAACAAAGCTTACTGAGCACTTGGTTAATTGCGCTAACTAATGGGGAAGGTTCATTCCCGCCGGCTGCCTTGTGCCGGATGAATGGTCCACAGATTCCACCACGTGTTTCGCTGCTCCAAGGCAAGCACGATCTGAAGGTGCACAACGGGGCCAGGTAGGCCAAGATCGCAGAGAAAGGATGTCAAGGAAGCGTGATGGCCAGACACAGGAGCCACCATCTGAGTGGAAATGCAAGGGAAAAATCTTGCACTGAGCGCTTAACTTACTGTGTGGCGAGGCAGTTCTATGACTCGTACAAGGCATCTCCATATCTGGCCATGACACACCATGATAGTAATGCGTTGGAAACAACGCTACTTGTAGGTATGAAAGTTGTTACGCCGATGAAAGGTTCGACCTTTGATCGCGTACATTGGTTGAACCTGATGAAGTCAGTTCCTCAACCATATAACTGATCCTTCACTCCTGGTTTGCGCCGCGTCTTCACGCATTCAGTGATTCTTGGTGCCGGGCGCGTCTGCCTCTGCGATGATGGCAGCCTCACGTACGCCCCACAACGTCAACGCCATAGTTCTCGACACAGCGAGACACAGGAATTGGTCTCGGAGGGGGCACAGGTTGCTCAGCATGTAACCAGCATCTCAGACATCCATCCGAGCGCTCAATTGCCCGCAGAAGCAGAAAACCATCCATAATCGCAAGTATTGGATACAGCCCTTGATCCAAGGACTGGTGTATCCTAATGCTCGTGTATGCCTGATGATACGATCTGCCTGGGGGGAATACGGGCGTCTCGGACTGTCTCATTATCCTTAGGTCGTTGTGGCCCAGAGAGACACGCCTATCCCGACAATCCTCTCATTGGAAATGATAACATCACTCAGTTTTTGAAGCGGCATTATTGTGCAGCAAATAACTTGTTCTGATGACTGCCATCAGCCTTGGCAGTTGAAACATTCCCCAGGATCTCAGCTGGAAGTCGCAAATCTTTGTGGGGAGGGATGATTCCCTGGGCTGGGCCGAAACCGTTGAGTAGCATCTGCCAGAGAGAGTCCCCAGTGTGCGCCGCTAGGATAATGCCAGGGGGTATAAAATTCGTGCCAGATACACACTGAAGACCCCTTTGCGCAAGGGGCGTTTTAATCCTGGATTTCTTTACTTCCTTCCAATTGCGACCAGGAGCGATAAGATGATCCGGACAGTCGCCCGCCTGGAACGATTCCGTTGGTATACTCCTAGGCCCTTACTTTGTCGTGAGAGATACAGGTCCACCCTCCGTCTCTTCAAGAGGGATATAATCAACGAGTGTTGCGTGGTTGCAGAGCATGAGTGACTTGGGGGCGGTGTGAGAAGGAGAAATGAATGTGGCGACTCCAGTACTGTAAACGGAAATCCCTCCATGCTCATGCTCATGCTTGCTTCCGCGTTCCCTCCTAGTCATAGACTTTGGACGATGAGAGTACGTTGGTTCGCCCACCAAGTAATATGTTGTTACGTGCATTATTGTGGTCCCCCTGATCTGAACTCGGGGATCCCTCATCTCCCAGTTGAGAAATGCTACTCTGATTCCGTATGAATATCTGGATTTCCTTCTGCGCCTGGGCAGCTCCGGTTGACTCGATACACCACCCGCACTCCAGGACTCCCCCTTCTCTATCATCTCTATCCTACGGGGTGTATAGAAGCTGTTAACCGACATGCGGATGACAGCGCCCAACTTCCCCTAGACTCCGTCTACTTCCCCCCCGCGTACACCACTATTCCCCATCCGAGGTAGTACAAAAGGTACATTGGACACGTTTGGGCGCTTACAGACAGCTGTTGATTCATAGACACGTAATCGCTCGCAATTCCAACTTCATCAGTGATCACGGAATCCGTACCCCATTTCCTCAACTAGATCAGCAGACGCTACCTCATGCACTGGCCGCGTTACACTATCGACGCCTCAGGAATACCGCGACCAAACAGATAGGAGAAATAACTTTGGTGAGTACCTTGCCTTTCCATCAACCATACCTTTATTGTGAGCCCTCACATTGCATCGGTGTGAAGACTCGCTGGACTCAGCACACCGCCCGAGTTTTTCTATCCCCTCTCTGACCCTGTTTTAGTCCAGCCAAGGAAGCCCCGCAGCTGGCGCAGGTATGCCTAAGGACCTTGGAGCGTTACAACTCTGCTGGGAATCGTACAGCCTATCACGCATTCACTGTCGAATGACAAAACATTCGTAATTACGTGTAGGCCAGAGCTTCCTTCGAAACGTTTCTATTTTCCGTGAACATACGTGGCCGGTACGGTCGACTCGTCAATTTACTCCCGCGACATCAAATGTGAGCTCTTTTCGAGAACGGCGAATGCCGATAATCGGAAACTCAAAATACTATCTGGAGAACTATCCCGGGTTCACATACGCGACTCTCGGAACTTCTGTGACTGTTTTGCACCACCATTCGGAGGAATAACCCCCCCCCCCCCACCAATGACCTCTTGCGCTCTCTCGCGAATCAAAGATAATTCTCCTTTGCGTGTTTGGTTTCACTCACCAGTCTGGATATGCGCGCACCCTCACCCCCTGAAATCCGTCGGCGAGGTTTGAATGAAAAGTTTCCAGGTTCGCACGCCAGTAGAACACCCTACTTAGGCTCGCATAATTTGCCCTCGCCAACTTATGTTCGACGTGACGTGCGGCCAGCACCGAGTCTGGGGTTGATTGTCGAACTGCACTTGCTAGGATGCCGGGCCCTACCCCCTGATTCACCGTTCCATTCCGGCCAATCCTGAAGAAATAATGTGCTCTGCGCTGGTACGCAAGCAATGACGTTGTCTTCGTCCTATAAGAATTATGGTAAGTATATTCTGCACAGCCCTGTTCCCCTTACGAATCGTACAACGTGCTCGCTCTTCTTCATGTGCTGGTCAAGTTGACACCCGCTCGTGCACTCACAGAAGTATCCGAACTGTCAACGTTGGCTGTTCGTTCGGGCCAAAAAAAATTTGGCAAGGGGCGCGCGCGCGCGCTTAGGATCGACAAGCGGTAGGATCAATTTTTTAAAATTACTGTTTTCATTTTCATGTACTCCTGAATTGAATCAACACACTCGTAGCCTCGGGTGGTATTTAACGATGACCACGGTAGTACTTCGTCACGGCCCAAAGGTCCCCGCCGGTGTCCATTGCTTAGCAAGAGCCTAGTAAGTGAAAGACTTACTTTCTGATTTTGCGTGGCGGATTGTCACTGAAATACCGATGTATTTATTTGTCTCAACATCGACCATCTTTGATGAATACTCATGGTAGACGCTGCTTAACCAATCCCCCTAAACCTAACCCATTATAGAAAGATGGGGGGGAGTCTTGTTACTTTGAACGCCGGAGTTCACCGGTAGGCTGCTTGATTCTGGGGTGGGAGTTCCCACGTTTGGAGATAAGATATATAGATAAGGAGTATCAGTATGTGGCGCGCGTTTATTGAATTGGTTATTCGAGTTCTTCTGTAAAGGGAGCATATAAAGAAGCTCAATGTGGTGAGGGAAATATGAAATTGCAGCCGAAAGTAATGCCCCGCGTAGATGTTAGATAGGTGCTTTCTTCTTCTTCTCCTTTACTTACTGTAACTGGTAGTACTAGAGATAACTTTGCTTGTTGCTCCGGTAAGTCGACAAATAGGCGCAATACTGGGTCGGTCTTAGTAAGGCTAGCTGGTAGGTTGCCGGAGAGTTTGAAAATATGGGGCGGTGGTGGAGGCGGGCAAGTTGGCAGCAGCAGCGCTGTGGAGTTTCGTAGTACACTAGTACTAGTCAGGACTCGATCTAGGAACCCCGTAAGGATTATCGGTGCAAAGGGAAGGTACTTATCGTGTACAATGCATGTCCGCGTGTAATGGATCGATCGTGCTCACGTCCCCACGCGCGCGCTCTTGTTTTCTATATAGTCGTCAGCAGAAACAACTAGAAGGATGGATATATATGTATTGAAGAGAAGTGAAACCATTGATGAGTTGCATACTGGACACTGCAAGCATAGGAGGAAACAGAATGCCCCTTGTGATCAACTTGATGAATTCTTTTTTTTTGTCCGCGTGAGGTTGATCGAAACGTTCGCTCGCCATACTGGCATACATGCATGTAACAACGAGCCGATTGAATCAAAGGAACGTCCGTCGTTTGCAAAATTGCGGCATTCTGATGTTGATCCGAAGTCCGGGATCGATTGGGATAAGACAAAAGTTGTAATATATGAGGAAGCTGAGATCAGAACCATGTAGCATCAAATACACTACTACATAGTGCTGGTTGTTCGGAGTTTGAATCTTGGTTGGGGAGGATGTTTGGATAGATATTGCTATAACAAGGGTGTGGCGAAGGCCGGTTCGGGGCGAACCGAAATGAAACCAACACGGCTTCAGACTTCCCTTTTAGGGTGAAATCAGTTGTGGCTTTTTTTTTACTCTCCAACTTCCCACGGTTTAAGCGCTGAAAAAGTCGAGCAAAAGGAGTGGTCATCACATATTCGAGAGATGGACGTGCCGTCCAGTAACTCGTCATCTTCTTCTGTCCCTCCTACGACCACTCGTGGAATGGAAGCGGGAAACCCTCCATCGCCGCCACCACCACCCTCAAACGACATCGACGATATCGACGACACTTCTTCACGACCCATAAAACTCCACATCCCACGACACTACTACCTCCTCCCAACGACCACTTCCCTAACAGGTCTAACCCTAGGCTTCCTCCGCTCAGCTCGCAAAACGTCCTTCCAATACCTAGTCGAACATGCTCACAATCCACCCAGGACGGTTCAAGGGTGGTACTTTTATCACAAGCGGAAGAATTATAAAGTGATGTGGGAAGGGATGAAAGGAGGGATGAAGGAAAGTGGTAGGTTTGGGGTTGGAGGTGTTTGGTGGGTTTTGATGGAGGAAGGGATGGAGAGGGTTGGATTGGGGGAAGGGAAGGAGGTTGTGGGTGGGTTGGGGATGGGCGGATTGGCGGCTGTTGTTTGTAAGTCGTTATTACTATTACTATTATTGTTTTCCCCTCTTTTCCGGTTTACCGGAGGGATTAATAAGGGTGCCGGGGGGTTATATTATGATTTTGTAGACCGGCTTCCGAGGAGGGCGGCGATGCAAGTTTTGATGTTAGGCGGGTTGGGAGGGGGATTGATGAAGATGTTACGTTTGGCTCAGGGGAAGATTGGAGGACATGGTGATGATGATGATGCCGTCGGCTGATTCGGTGTTGGGGGGGTGCGAATTCAAGTCATGGGGGACCGTAGCTAATAAGTTTTGTGCGCACTCAGGCACAGTACAAGCGCGCTTACATAGAATGTGACCGCCTTATCAATCACAGATCTCGGTGATTACAAAGCGCACTATGTAGTAGAATGTTATCGTAATCGAATCCGGGTCTCTTCACCTCTCGGCTATCGTTATTTTTCTTGGCAGTTTGGCGAGAAGATGAGGACCAGTCATAAGATGAATATTTTAAGCGCCGGATCAGCAATGACACAAGCGTTATCGCTATATGGATATGAATTGATCTATCATGCACGCACGCGCGCGCGTAATATCGCGTACATGAGTGAGGCAGGGATCGGAGAACATTTGTTGTGCTTCCAAGTGGTGTGAGAATAATAATGGAGACCGTTCGCACGTTTGGAGCGTTCTTTTTTTCTTTATTTTTCTTCCGGAATATGTGGAGGTGACCCCGTTGCCATTAATAATAAACTCTTCCTTCTCGTACGACCCTTGCTACGTGCGACGACCTGCTCGCTTTTCGCTTTTCGCTTATACATATAGCCCCTTTGAGGTCGACGGGGAACCATCCCGAGAGAGAGAGAGAGAGTTCTATAAACAACAACCTTTCAGTGGCTCTCTCACACATCCGCGTGTTTTGAAGTGCAAAAGGGAGCATAATACATATCAACACCAAAAACAACTCACTTCTTGAGCACAATACGCTATTCTAGCTCCCCCCCCCTTTCCTTTCCCTCACAAGTACTAGAACTGTTTGCCACACTCACTCACTCCCTCTGCCACATTCCCAGGTGCTGATATCATCGAACGTGTTTGGAATTGTCCCCCATACACAGCTAAACTGTCTCGAGTTGGTGTGGCTACTAGTTCGGAGAGTTTGTGCCCATTTCAACTCGTTATCGCAACTCCGTCCCCCCCCCCCTTCCTCCCCTTCAAGTAATCGGAGATCATTCGGACATTCTTCTTAGAAGAGGAGAGGATGGACCATATCAGAACAGAAGCATCCGTAGTCGATCATGGTATGTGTTCCATTTTAACATATCTTGTTTGGTTTGGAGCTCCCCTCTTTTCTTCACTTTCGCTTTGCCCTCTCTCCCGTTTACCGCCCATCACAACAACAACAACTGCTACCGTCCTTCGCTTGTCGGTCGTCCTTCCCAAACCCCCCTCCTCACCCCCTTTCTTTTTTCCACTTTTCAACCATCATCATCATCCCCCTCGTCCAAGTGCCCTTACCTTTTTGGGGGGCACTCAGTAGGGTTAGAAAAACACGGCGGCTGATTTGCTACGACGTTTCATTGTGACAGGGACTCCCCCCCGTCGACATCATCATCCCATGATCCTCATCACCCTCATAGGCCTTCTCTAAGTAGTACAGCTAATTCGTAAGTGTGTGTGCTTTCTTTCTTTCCCTACTCTTTTTTTTTTTTTTTCCTTTCTCCCAAAATCTCCCTTTCGCTTCGACGGGTTCATATCCGAAAAAAACTGTTAAGCTCATCATTTCCCTCTTCATATGAACTGTTAAATTCGGAATCGAAACCACGAAAAAAAAAAACACTGGCTCGAAACTGGAAACGATCGTGTTTGTCGAATTCAATATTGCATGTTGCCATGTGGACGTGTCGGTCGCATCGTGCGTGGGGGTTGTTGTGTGGGGGTGTTTTTTGTTGCGCGTGTGTGTGTGTTCGTTGCGTGTGTGTGTGTGTGTATGTCCGTGTGTTATGTGTTGTTCGCGGGATGTCTGTTGTGCGTATGTCTCAATCGTCTCACCCCGCGGCTGAATTATTTCCACACTTTCCCCGATTTTCCGGCTTCCAACGCCCCCGCTCCTCGACCCCCCTACCCTACTACCCTCTCTGTCCATGTCTTACCCTACCTCACCTTGAAAAAAAAAACACCTTTCTTCAAACGCCTAAACACACACACACCAAAAAAAAAAAACATTTCAACTGGCTTAGCTTCTTCAAATCAAAAGCCATGCTGCGCCTTTGGCCTTCCACGCCTACCGGTCATTCAGATCATCATCTACTCACGCCAAAGGCTAATAACCAATCGGGAAGGTTGCAACACGAAGTGAGCCCTTTCGATGCATCGTTCCGATCCGTTAATATTACGTATTCCACCCCTCGTGCTCCTACTGCTGACTCTGCCTCCATCAATAATACCGCTCCTTCTACTCTCACCACCACCACCACCACCACCACCACTAGCAGCAGTAACGCTTTGCCTTCTTCCCCCACGTTAACAGATTTCAGTGTTACATCCTCCGGATCATCACCCTCATCCGGCTCATCCTCTTGTTCATCCGGATTCTCACATAATACGACAAGTACCGCCATCACGGCAGTGAGTGCTAAACCAGGAACGTTATCAATTCCTGGATCTGAAGGTGGCGGAACATCATCTCCATCGACTCCCACTGGTCCCACAACAACTGGGGCTGTGCCAACCATCGTTCGCCCGACATCACCCATAAGCGGCGCAATCGGGAGTGTTGGTGATTCTCCTTCTCCTTCTTCTTCTTCCTCCACTTTTACCAGTACGACGGGTCGGTCGACTCCTAGTTCCATCGGTACTACGACTTCGCTTGATACGATTGGATCGGGAGGTGTGACTGGAGAAGCATCGGCATCTGCATCGTCGTTATCATCATCATCATCATCATCGATACCGACTACACCGACTACACCTGGATCTACGAGAGGTGGCGTTTCGGCACAACTACATCATAAATTGTTGAATACGAATATTACCATGCCGATGTTGGCTCTGCCGAGCAGTGCTTTGATGAGAGGGAAGAATGGAGGTGGAGGTGTTGGTGGGAGTGGGAGTGGGAAGAGTTCGCCTATTAGTGGAACTCCCCCTTCAGCTGGGTTGGTGAGTGGGTTTGGATTGGGGGTAGGTGGTAGTGGTGGTAGTGGTGATGGTGGTAGCACGGGAGCCGTGGGTGGAGTCAGTGGGAAGTTGTTGAGTGGTGCACCTGCTGCTACCAAATTGACGACGAGTTCGGAAGCGGACGATTTCAGTTCAATGATGGTCAAGAAGAGGAATGATCAGTCGAATTTGCAGCAACAGGGTGGTCGATTGTCACCTCAGGCTGCTGGAGGTGCGACTTGTTAATTTCTTCTCTCCCGCCACGAGTATGACTAACTAAACTTTGTCACGACAACATCGTTCACAGCGATCACGACCAACTTGACGAACGACCAAACGTATACTCAACAGCAGCAGCAGCAGCAGCAGCAACAACAACAACAATCATCAACCTCGAGTGCGAACACAACCCCTAAAGGCCAACTCCACGTAAAACTGATTCAAGCACGAGGATTAACGGTTTCTTCCATTCACTCACGCCCTTACGTCGTTGTGCAATTCGAGCAATCCGAGTTCGTCTCGAGAGAACCGATCGAGAGTGAGAGTGAAAAGGAAGTGAAGGGGAAAGCGGGACCGTTATCGAGGACGAGTAGCGGTATAGGATTTGGACTGGGTGCGACTGGTAGTGGGGGAGCAGGTATGATCACTAAAGCGTTTGAAGCTGCTGCGAGGGCTAGGGCGGCGCTTGGGAGTAGTACGTCGAGTAAGGAAGGTGGGGATGGAATCGTGTGGTTTGGATCTGGATCTGGGTCTGGATCTGGATCTGGACATGGATCTGGACATGGGTCAGGGACGCCGACTGCAACTGGATCTGGAGCGAAGACGCCAAAGCCGTTGTTTGGAAGTATGTCACCGCATAATCCAGTTTGGAAGCATGAGGTTTCTTTGTGAGTCCACCTTTTCCGTTCCGTTAGCTCTTCGTTTTTTTTAACTCGTTCTCATTTCTCTCTTCTTGCTCCTTTGGCCACGCCCGTCCACTTTGGTCTCGTAACATTGACAACCCGCGAACTTGGGTGTGGGTGTTAGCGATGTGACGTCTGACCAGTCATTGATCACGCTGTCGATATACGATCGCGAAGTGGTTGGAGAACGGTTCATTGGAGAGGTCAAGGTAAAACCTGTGTTAGTGCACGATCATACGGTTGATCAATGGCGCAAGTGAGTTTTTGACTTTGATTCCGGATTCCGGTTGTCTTTTTTGTTTTGGTTTTTTTTTTTTTCATCTGGGTGGTGAATGGGGCCGCCTTTTTTCCCCCTTTATCGAGGAGATTCTCCCCACTCGCTTCCATTCATTTCTGAACCAACTTGGCCTTTTATATTTATTCGTCCTTTTTTGGTTACTTGCGCTGAACGAATACTGACGTCTTCGCCTCGGTTATTTCATATTCTCCACACGACTTGGGACTCACGCGGTCACCTCTTTTTTTTTTAACACTCGTTTGCGCAGGCTACACCCTCGAGAGCAGAATGAAATCGTCACTGGAGAGATCCGTCTCCAAATCACCTATGAGCAGTTCAAGGTATGTGATATTTTACACACGTTTCACTTTTCTTTCCTTGGCGTCTCTTTGCGCGGCTTGCCTTTTCTGAATCGCTCGGCTGACGATAACTCCTCTTACTCTACCTTCCATCTCCTTCCTGCGACGTTGTCTGTGGTTGTCTGTATAACGACATGTCGCCTCCTTGCACCACCGTTGGACGACCACCTTTTCGTCGTTATCATTCCACTCCGCCTTCACATCTCACATCCTCTTCCTCTTCCTCTTCCTCGTCATCGTCATCGTCATCATCGTCGTCATTGTCACCATTCGCTTCGTCGCAATCATCCTCGTCAACCACCACTCCATCGACACTTTCATTGCATCAACAACGTCAACAGAATAAGCGTGCTCTCACTCCTCGCGACTTTGAGTTTATGAAACTCATCGGTCGAGGAACGTTTGGAAGGGTGTACCAAGTTCGTAAAAAAGATACAAGACGGATCTACGCGATGAAAGTCCTCTCCAAAAAGGAGATCGTGGATAAGAAAGAGGTCGCGCATACCATCGGGGAGAGGAAGATCTTGCAGAGGTCCTTGGAATGCCCTTTCCTCGTTGGGTTGAAGTTCAGTTTCCAGACGGAAACGCATCTTTATCTTGTCACGGATTTCAAGAGTGGAGGAGAGCTGTTCTGGCATTTGCAGAGGGAGACCAAGTTCTCTGAAGAAAGAGCTCGGTTTTACATCGCTGAGCTTGTTCTGGCGCTTGAGCATCTGCACAAGTACGATATTGTCTACCGGTGAGTTTTTTTTTTTTTTCCTTGTTGGCTGGTTGGAGATTATACTGAGGGTGCGGTTGCCGTCATCGTCGGTAAAGGGATTTGAAACCGGAGAACATCCTCCTCGATGCAACGGGTCATGTAGCCCTATGCGATTTCGGTCTCTCCAAACCGGACTTACCGGCTGACCAACTCACGAACACGTTCTGCGGAACGACGGAATACCTAGCGCCCGAAGTCCTATTGGACGATCATGGGTATTCGAAACTGGTCGATTTTTGGTCGTTGGGCGTGTTGTTGTTCGAGATGTGTTGTGGGTGGAGTCCGTTTTATGCGGAGGATACGCAGCAGATGTATAAGAACATTTGTTTTGGGAAGATCAAATTCCCGAGGGGGGTCATTGGAGATGATGGGAAGCAGTTCGTCAAGGGGGTGAGTTGGATTGATTCCACTTTATTTGCGCTGTTTTTTTGTTTTTTGTTTTTTGTTTTGTTTTGTTTTGGAGTTTGGAGTTTGGGCGCTTCCGTTGGTCTGCTCTTTTTGTTTTGTGGTTGTTGCCAGTACCGCGGCGCCTGCTTTTGGTTGGGGGTCGCGTGGAGGCGGCGATGCGTTTGTGGAGTTCCGCTTTTTTTTTCCCTTATTTCAGTGCAGTGCACTTTTTCAATGGCGATATTAACGGATGGATCTTTACCTCTAGTTGCTCAATCGAAACCCCAAGCATCGCCTCGGAGCCAATAGGGATACGGCAGAACTGAAAGAACACCCGTTCTTCAAGTCCATTGACTGGGCTGCTCTTGCCGCTAAGAAAGTGACGCCACCGTTTAAACCCGTGGTGGAGTCGGACGAATCGACGGCGAACTTTGATCCCGAGTTTACGTCGGCTGATTTGAGAGAGTCGGGCATGGATATTTTCGATGATGACGATGAAGATGATTCATGGGACGTTATCGGGACCATGGGTGTCCATGGGACTGGGTTCCCCAAAGGCGTCACCGTCAATGTCTCGGGGCAGCTGAACGGTGTCAAGACGAATGGTGTTGGTGCAACGAACGCTACTGCTAATGCTGGCAACGTCCAACAGCAGTTACAACTTTTGCAACAGCAGCAGCAGCAGCAGCAGCAAGGACAACGACCTGCGGTAGGAATCAAGGCGGCAGAGAAGAGTCGTGTGCCGAATAATACGCCGTTGTCGAGTAGCGTTCAGGAGCATTTCAGAGGGTTTACGTACCAGGGGGAGTCGAATTTGGAGGTGGTCTTTGGGGACGGTGAGGGTGAAGGGGGTGGATCGGGGTCGGGGTCGGGGTCGGGGTCAGGTTCGGGAGAGGATGAGATCGATCTGGTTGACCTAAGAGGTGGGATCGGGGGGAGAAGCGGGGGGTTGGATGATGATTGGGAGGATGAGGAACCTGGTGGGCGGTACAGGAATCGGCAGCGTAGTTTCGAATGAGAGGTGTCATTTGTTGTTAAAAACTTCGCGCGCAGCCTTTTCCTTTTTAGACTGCCCTCCCTCCCCTCTCCCTCTCCCTCTCCCTCTCCCTTTCCCCGCTTTTCATTATTCAGTATTTGGACTCTCCCGCAATGTTTTATAGGCCGCGTAACCCCCCCTTGCTCCGCTCATCGCATTTGAACCACCAGCTCCGGATTCCTCTCATCTGCTTTTGCACACTCAAATACCCCCCAGACGTGCACTCTCGTCTCGCTCACCACTTCAAACTGCCCGTATTCTTACACGAACCCGTTGCATCTATTTTTCTCCTACAGCTTCGCACCATTGACGTGCTGACGGACTACGAAAAAAACAACAGTGTATTTCCCTTTTCTCTCTCCCTCTCTCTCTCTCTCGATATGTCTGTCTGCCCACTGCATGTGTATACACGTTTTCTTTTCTTTTCTTCTTCCATTTTGTTCTTCTCTATGTGTTTCTCCCCTCCGTTCCGCTTTTTTTTTTTTGTCGGTTCTTGCGATACCTACTTCATGATGTGGTTAATGATGCGTCACTCGATGAATTAAATTCCACTACTTTTCCTCATGCACCCTGTATCGCTCATCTCTGACTTTGTGCATAAAATTAAAAATTTACTCAAAAGTTATTTTGACCGAGAAAGTCAAGCGTTAGGCATCGTGCCGTTCGACTATAGCTTAATTCCCCCGTACTCATATCTACCTTTTTATCACCGACTTACTTCAACCCAATTAGATGTAGATCGTGCCTTCCACATTCCCCCGCGCGGCCCCGATCGATCGAGGGATGATTTAAAGGCACGAGTTCAAGTTTTTCGTGCATCTGAGTCCCTTCGTCACTTGGAGCTAGCGGCGATGTATGCATGCGGCGAAACATGGATGCGATATCACCGATCAGTGTCGAAGAAGAGGGGCCGCAACTGACTTGATTGTACGAGTTGCATGCATGCATGCATCTGGAAAATATGTCAACAAATAGAAGTTGAACCCCTGAGCAAATTTTTCAATATCTACGGAGCATTATATAGTTAGTCTTGGTCGATCGAGTCAGCAAATGGTTCACTCACGGCCATACGGTATGTGTTGATGTTTGTAAACAGCGAGTTCACATTCAGTACAAGTTCAGGCGCGCACATCTTTTCCTGCCTAGCAGCTACGACGTACGTAGATGGTCGTTGGAATGTTAGCAGCTAAAATGGCATCTTTTCGTGCATCAACGTAAGTGTGGTGCTTGGTCAGGACTACGTCAATCGGTATTATATAAGGAAGTGTGTATAATGGTCAAGAGTTCTATGAATGTCATTGCCGAAATGTGCGTACTACCATGGTGTTTAGATCGAATAGCCATTCGTAGGTAGGATCCTAGCCTCTACTAGGCAGTGCAAGAGGGTGGTAGCGCGAAAGGCACTAAGATTGACTCATTGTGTTTGAGGAATGATCCCATAGGGCAAACCCCGATACGGAGTTATGCCAGGGATTTATTTCTGTTTGTCCACATTTGCTTCCGACTCGCAGACAACACCTGACAACAAGCACCACCTCTTCCGCACTGATTGCACAAAATAGAGTACAACAACCTCCGCACTGATTCCCAAACTGCGGCCCAACCAGTCAACAACAAATAACAACAACGCTCAGATCTCAAGGGCCACAAAACTTTAAGCGCCAGCAGACAATATAGTATAGGCAAAGTATCATTTGGTTTTTAGGGGCCTCTTAATGGATGGGAGCATAATACCACCACCACCCCCTCCTCCTCCGCCGCCGCATCTCCTCCACCACCACCAACAGCAACCACAGCAACACCATCAGCCACCACAGCAGGTATTTGTGCCTGTTGCGAATAATGGACCTGCTGGGCCCTCTTCTGGGGCTGTCGGTAACAATGGACCAATGGTGGACAAGGTGATGCAGATTCCGCCACAGATGCAGCCCCCACCGTTGGTATCGCCACCGCCGATGGAAAGCTTCGATGACGGGGAAGCAGAATACGAGGGGCCGGTGAGTAGATGATTCATTCCCAACCTGTCGATTTTGGATTGACCGAGACGCGTGGTTCGACGGGAATAACGGACTGATGTTTGGTGTTTTGTCTTGTTTAGCACGATCACAATGCTGATCAAGGGCTCGCGGCGCTAAGGGACCCACCGGATGGACAGAAACCTTTTTATCCGTATTCGACGCTTATTAGGTAGACCTCATAGGAATGGGTTTGATGCGCTCGTTTGTCTTATCTGATGATATCTTAATAGATATGCTATAAAGGGATCACCGGAAAGCCGTCTACTGCTCGAAGACATTTATGCTGCAATTGGTAGGCGTTCGATTATGACTCGCGCGTGTAACTGGGTGTTGAGTAGCTCACCCTCCTGTTGGTTTCATTAGAAAAACGATTCCCTTACTTTACCACTGCTCCTGCAGGCTGGAAAGTACGTCAAGACCTCCTTCCTTGCTCGTTTCATATATTTTTAGCCACATTATGTAGAACTCGGTCCGACACAACCTCTCCCTCAATCCTTGCTTTGAGAAAGTCGCTCGTCCCCTTACGGATCGTGGGAAGGGTGCATACTGGACCGTCAACGACAGGGTAGATCCTAAATCGAGTTCACACCGCGATCGAAAAAAGAAACGTCGAAGAGGCTCAGAGGGATCTACGGGTGATTCAGCCGGAAGGAGTGGCCAGCAGTTGCATATTCCCGGTGCGCCCCCTGGCGCTATCCCGGGTAGTCCGGGGATGGTACCCGCAGGTATGGTGCCAGGTGCTGGAGTGGCGGGGCCGTCAGGTACGAATGGGATGCCCCTACCCGGGCAACCGATTATGTTACCGCCGGGGGCGGAAGTTCCGAAGGATGGCGCGATGCCGTTTATGGCGCCGTTGTTTGACGCTGAAGGGAACCGAATCGCATTCGCTGCTTGGCCAGGGTGAGTTTGAGGAGCGCTGTTCTTTGACATTCACTTAATCCCAACGTGGGGTCTCCCTCCCTTCCTCCTGACTAATTTTCGAAACCAGGTTCGGGCAAGGTGGATTCCCCATGATGGCGGCTGGCGGAAATATGAAATATGTCCTAGATCCTAACGAGGATGAGTTGACGCCCGAATTTGACGAAGATGGACAGCCGATATGGCGGACAATATGGCTAAATGAGTTGGTCAAACTTCGGCGAGCAACGTACGAGCAGGACTCGACAACTGCCAATCCGGAGTGGTATCGCGCCATGGTATGTCATCAGCTCACAGAAGATACCATCGTGCTATTGATATAGATAATTCGCTGCTCTTTTCGCAAAGGTGGAACGCGTTCGTGCTGCCTTTCTTCAACCAGAGGGATACATGGAAGAAGGTGAAGAGCAAGATGAGCATTCCCGAGAGGAGCAGGTTGCTCCTCAATGACGTACCAGCTCAAGCACGTTTGTTTTGGTCAAGCTCTCTCGTAGTCATCTTGTATTTTAATCGGAGCCACTTGGTGTCATTCTTCCTGCCAGGGCGAGTGGCTGTAATGTGTATCCAGTATGTATGTATCGACCTATTCTTTGATAGTGGGGCTTCATCGCTTGGAATACAATCCTAACTGATGCTGCCGCGCAGGATTCTTCGCGAGGACTCTCCCATTGAGACCAGACACCATCGCTTACAATAACCGGCAGGAGTCTTATTTGCTTCGGATTTGTTCTGCCAATTACCATAGGCTACCCCTCCCCCAAAGCCAGAGATGCTAGTACTCGTCATGAGTCCGTCATAGCTCAGCAGGGATACCAACTGTAACGACAACTGTAAGACATGAGGAGAAATTGATAATTAATAAATGATAACACTAGACAATGAGCGGTTGTCAAGGGGCGAGAATGTATGCTGGCAATCACGGCAAGGTCATGGCCCGTGCGTCCTCGGTCATCCAACACCACAGTCCCCATTTCCGGTGCACGAGTACTCTAAAACGCGATTTCTGAATTTCGAAGTTTGTTGAAAATGGCGATGACCGTTTTGAGCGTATTTTACCACAGTTGGTGGCTCACATCGATCCTTATGGGTTGCACAAGTCCGTTATGCAGGTCCACGTATCGAAGTAGTTGCATTTCCCGTTCGCGTTCTGGCAAGGTTTGAGCACATAAGGGACCGGCTTCCCATTAGCGATTTGCTGGGTACACTGGCCAAATCTTCCATCCGAGCTGGTCCACTCATGACCATCCAACGTAATGGTAGAGCCGCAAGGGCTCGCGATCACTGTGGTCGAGTTGGTGTTATTCTTCTGCTGCTGATAGAACAAGGAATTCGGGTTCGATGTATCCTGGCAAGTGTCTGTTGGGCAAATACTGGTCAAGCAGGACCAAAATTCATTTTGGGCTTCGGCTCACTTTGGTTCTCGGGAAAAATACCCGTAAAGAATACAGTATTATTTGCAGTTTGCCAATCATCACCTATGTAGCAAGCGACCAAGCCACTGTGGAAAGTTGCTGCAACGATCGGAATTAGAACGATTGGGACAAAAGCATTCAAGTTCCAGAATCGCATTGTGACTTTGGGTGAAATGCTGCTATTATACTGGCGGGTGATATACGTGGCGTGAGTAGGTACGTAACATGAACCAAGGAGTACTTACCTCAGCCTTGAGCGTATAGAGCTGAGGAGAGAAGGGAGAAGAACCCATCCCTCAGAGATTATATAGTAGGATACTCCAGTAACCCATCAACATTTGATAAGTGAAGAATAATCTTCCCTGCAAAACGGCAACAGTACTCTTTGCGTGTCCAAGGCGTCGTACTCATTGCTGAAATCTGAGAAATTTCAATTCGAGGGAGTTGCATTTGGGTTGAAATATTATTTCCTACATCAATGTGGCAGACCTACGCAACTTACATCACAGTCAATATTCGTGCCTGTCAACCATATAAGCGAATATATAGGGTGTGTGAGGATAACTCCTTCCAAGGGGAAATAGCATACGAAAAAATCTGGTGTAGTCATGTAGTAGAATTGACAATATAACAATCTACACTGACCATGCCCAGTCAATATTCCAGTGCCTTCCCATCGTATCAACTATGTAGGTTGGAGATAGCCGTGTCTTATTCTTAATATCTACGTCCATTATTGTCCAAAGTATTGGTACATAGCAGTGTTCTTGTATGGGTCTTGGTCTTCCATAGATGAGTTGTATGGCGTAGAGAGGCAGGTAAATCAGGGAAGTACCAAGGGAAGCGAAGACAATGGAGGGAAAAGTTAGGGTGGTGAGGGGGGTGACTTATGGTGTTTGGATCCCGGAGAGGTCAGTTGGATGGTCGTTCCCAGAACTTTTTCATGCTGCGGAAAATTCATCTTCTAAATCTAAAACTCTGCCACTCTCAGCGCCATTATAGTCAGTCCCTAGCCGTGAGCAACCCAACACGATGCACAGGCACACAAGGAAAAGGAAGTCATCAGTGCACTATGAAGGATCGTTGTGAGAAAGCAAGAGACGGTGTAAAGGAGTTGCACATGATCTTAGCTTCTGTCGAATTAGTTACATAGTTCTTAAATGAGGTGCTGGGGATGATTTCGCATATCAATTGGAATGCCGTCCACGCCTCAATTCCGCGTGGCTCATTCTGAAAATAAGAGGTCGATATTTGAGACTGGCGAAAAGCACTACGCATTCTGCAGATGGTCTAACGACCATCACTGACCGAAATTAATGATATCGTGGCTTGATTTCTGATGGGGTGAGCTTGGGAAACCGGTAATTGGAAACAATCAGCGATCGAAAAATGGCAAACGCGTCGCCATTCCAAAATACCGAGTCGAACCACTTCCATGTATGGGATTCCGAAGTGTTTGAGATAACGGAATCATTATAGCGCGTAGAATTGTGGGCAAGAGGTGGAATTAAAAGGTCTGAAGAGACCAGCACCCCAACAAGGAATTGAACTCTGAAAGTGGTAGATCCCAAGTCCATGTGATACTGGAGATTGAAGAGGGATGAGGGTCAGTGACCAGCAAGAGAAAGAGTAACCGAGTTGAATTGGACTCACATCGATACTGGATGGTGAGGGTTAGGTATAATATTCCAAGCTTACCAAGCTACTGTGCGCCCGGAAATAGACTTCAAACATAACTTAGGCGGCAACTACCAAATTTAGCGCCAGGCTGAAAGTGCTTGGAGTCTCCGGACAGATGGAGCCGGCACTTGGCGTAGAAACGGAGAATGTGCTTGTCAGTCTTCCTTGTGGATGTGAGCTCCTCCGGAGTTGAGTCATCGAGGTCATGGAGCTAACAGGTATGCCATCTAAGAGCGCGGGTCGTGACGGACGACCGTTCTCGCTCTCTGATTAGCTCAAGCCTCGCTCTTTACCTTAACGCCGAGTTTTTACGGTTCCGAGATGGATCGAAGGATCGACTTTCGTGAGTGTTGGAGAGTCTCTTAGAATGTCTTTCGGACTTGTGGATGCTAAGTACATCGCCAATATATCGCGGTCTTCGACAACGGGAATCGGCTGTTGATGTCCAAAATTTGGATTGACGTCCCCGGTACGTTTTGACATCGAAGGCTCCCTCAAGCGTCGGTCATTGGATATTCCGATGTACATATACAATGTAGTACGCCATGACATTCAAAAAGATCACTGTCAAGGTCTCACATTTGATCACGTCGTCATGGGCGAGGATTCAATCAAGGAACTGAAGCAGTCCAAAGTTCCCTATAAGGGCGAGCCCAAAAAGTGCACAGCCAAAGGGCTTCCTTGCTTTGTCTATTCCAATAGAGGCTGTAACCTGGATAAAGAAAGCAGTCCCCCACTCGCGTATGCTCTCTGTTTTGATCCCCGATTACGGCGAAGCAACATGCTAGGGAACGCACTTGGCGTCGGTGATGACACTCGGCTATGCAGATGTATTCAAACAAGAGGTACGCGAGATTCTCCCGATTAACCATGCGACGCAATCATATCGCAATCGACTGACTCATTTCATAACGCAGGTACAACCCGAACCTTCATATCAAGCTTAAGCTCTCGCTTCCGGAATCACACGTTGCAACTGATCTCCCTCCGCTTCTAAAGGCGACAGCAAAGGAATAGGCTCAATGAGGCACGCAAGGATGAGCGAACATCACGGCGATGACCAAGGGCACAAGCCCCAACCACTGTATTGAAGCGTTATATATACATTTGTTTCAAAACCAGGGAAACCCCATGTTGTCGCGCTAATGTCACGACATCCTAACCGCTCCAAGGTGTCCGTACTCCAGGCCAGGAACTGTCCCAAGAATCAGCTCCCAGATCCACCCAACAGAATCCGCAATCCTCGCACCATCGCGCCACTTGAGAGACGGATTGCAATGGTTACAGTGTACGAAGAGTGCCTCGATGGGTCCATGGGTCCTGAAATCGTACAGACACTTAAATGAAGCCCATGTCGTATCCAATGTTTATATTAGAGCATCGGATCATGAGAATGGGCTGCAACAGAGGATGGCCCGCATTGGGCGCCAGACCATGAGAGCCTCGACCTGTGTTACAAGAAGGTTGATTATTTTGACATGAGGGACATATCTTGTCTTGCTTTTGAATTTAGTTTCCGTCCTCACCATTCTGATGATGACAAATGCATAGAAGACGCCATCAGAGAGTCTCGAACCGGATACTGGACGAGCGCATTGTTTTGACAACATGCTATTTAACTCCGCTTCAGATCTTTTACTTCCGTATGAAACAGACACCGCTCAGAGATATGCCTGTATTCCAACAGGTGAGTGGTGCGATGTATCGATTATAACTAATGCCCTTGGTTTTTCGTTGGGTCTTTCTTTCTTTTCCTCAGTTCACACAGAAGCAGTGCTCGACCTCCTGCATTTGTGGACAGAACGATTGGATATCGGTCGATCTATATGCACCACCCAACTATGCATGGTTACACTCAACATGATCCATTCAAATTGTGGGTCTTGGTTTTCAATCGATCATACCATTGTTTTCCTGTGCGCGATGCGATGGCTTAGGATGCGTCCGGCCCCCATTCACGGGCGCATTGAATGTGTCGGAAGGAATCATAACGTGTAACTGATTGAGAACGACATTCGTGGGACATCAAACCAAATGGGGAGTGACAAGTCCAGGTTAGGTAAGCCGGAGGTCCCTTTCTTTCACCGCGAGGTTCTGGTGGTGGACAGTCAGTATTACATGGGTCACGATGTCGCTTGGGAGGTAACGTATGAACGTTGTTTTTGACATGTTACGCTTATTCAAAGCTCAACCCTTTCTCCGCTCCCTGTTGTTACATTGTTCGTGCGACACCGTGCAGTGGGTCTCAGGAACGTTTTTGGTCGGGGAGCGTCATATAATGCAGCTGGAGGGTAGCAGTTTGCCTGCAACGGTACACCACCATGTTGCACTCAGACTCTGTCGCAAATGGTGGCTATAGCTACCTCGGTTAATGGATGCTGCTGAAGACGATGACCAACAAAGTACCGCGATGCACTAGAAGTGGCAATGTGCGAGCTCGGCCAGCTGCAGGGCCAAAGTTTCAACCTCTCATCATGGACACGCTTGTTTATACAATGAGAGGCGAGCAGAGTTACCAAACTGGAACCTAGAGAACTCGCATCGAGAATACCTCATAGCAGGGAGAGACAGTGAGCATGGCTGGCATCTTCAGGGAAGAAGATATAAAATGCAGATTCATTCAAGTAGACTGCAAGTAGATCCATGATCACAAGTAGCTGGGCCGGTGTAGTAAATTCCGCCAGCTTTAATCAATGATGAACGTCGTTGAGCACGACGGGATGCACTAGGCAGGGTGCTAGGGACTCACGAGAACCGTATAGTGAAATACCATGTGTTGGAATATCAACAGCTGGTTGGGGAGTTAAAAGACTTTCTTCATTGTGTAATCCCCTTCACATCATTGCGGCTGACAATGCTTAGATCCAATTAGTTTCAGAGTTGTGTATTTTCACCGATACCACGCTCTTAATGCTTTTGTCTTGATTGTCCTTCATCGCCGGTTATCACAGGTAATCGCTTTAAGCGATATTGGCGCCAGTCGTATAAGATACGCTAAGCGCCGTAATTTTTCCCTCCCTCACTGAGGTGATAGAATTTCCCTTAATTTTTTCATGTAACTCAATATTGTAAATGTTGTAGTCTGCGCGTTTAGTTCTCCATATTGAATCTGCGCGTTTAATTATTACCATGTTCACGCAGGTGGGAGCACTCGAAACCATTTCCTCTGGGGAGTCTCCACTTACATGTGGTCGGATATTGTGCTATGACCATGTGACTCAATTGAAAACTGTTCGAAGTCCCTTGAGCTCGACTCCCCCTCTCGCATATAAATCATGCTCACCCCAACTGAGAAATTCCAACGTAATTTCGTTGCAATGCTCCATCCAATATCTCCTCAGTTCTCCGCTCTTCACCAAGTACGAGTACGGAGAGAGAATCCGTCCCTTCCACCTTCAACTCATGCATGTCTTCGTTGCGGCACGCTTCTAACACCTACCCATGGAACCTTTCGCTCACGACGCGTGAAATCAAAAGTGCTCAAATCACGATCTAGGAAACCTCCTCAACCTGACATTCAAACGGCCATGGTTCAGACTTGCGAAGCGTGTCTCTGGACCACTCGATTACGAAGTGGACGCGCTAAAGGAACGTCCCCTTCATTTCCATCAGTGTATAGAATGTCGAAGGGTCGTACAGCGGTTGTATCGCGGCTCGTTGGCGCTGTACCTGCTGGGGAGTCTGCACAAGTTGAAGAAGCTCAATCAGTCACAGCGCAGAGTCACGAGAAACCATCTCATTCACGAGTCACGCCAGTTCATCATCCGCAGAGCGTGCAGAGCATCGAAAAGAGAAAGCCCAATAAAAACGATGAGTACCTGCAGCGTATGTTAGCCCACGAACAAATCAAGGGTACGGCAAATCGAAGCCGTGTCCACCCACAAACGACCAATCGCTTGGACCGCGACGCTCGTCTCAAGCAACAAAAAGATCGTGAACAAAACATGTCTGGTCTTGCGATGTTTTTGAAGCAGCTATAATTTCTACAAGATATTTTATCGTGGCACTCTACTCCGACTCCGTACGTTTTCATCAACACTATCGAGCCTGGCAGAGATATCATTCTTCCCAAGATTTTGGGCAGTATTCGTCTTCCACAAGCTCATCGGTTTGTCCAGAATCTTTTGCTCGAGCCTTGCAATAGCCCAGTTGATTTCCTCCACGGTAAACCCGCTCCAATAAGAGGCAATGTCGACTACTAGCTGGTACTCAGGTGGGAAAGTCCCCGTGATGTCGAGCCTAGAATATATTGGGTGATTCATCCTGGGCTCACGGGATTCGGGTCCAGTCGGGGCTGGGTGGGGCGGAGGGGGCGGAGTGGGAGGGAAGCGGTTTGAAGGTAGCTGGGTGTCCTCCGAAGGACCGGCCGACGATTCGACTTCAGAAGCATCTTCATGCGATTTGTCTGGACGTGGGTTCGGGCCGAAGCGATGGAATAACTCCAACGGGTTCATGTCTCCAGAAAATGGAATTGTTGAACAAAGGACATAATGGGAATCCCCTTGCCCACATCACGTACCTGGCTCCTTTGTACCTCCATATTTGACAGGTGGAACGAAGGCCTCTTCTGCGTAGGTGAATAAGGCGTCAATTTGTGGATCGCTCAAATGGATCGCAGGGCTGGAGGATCGAAGGTGGTCACTGAGGCATCTTCAAACCGCAGAGTGAATCCACCCACAGAGTAGATGAGGGCGTCAGCAGCTCTTCAAGTGTATCACACCGAGCATCGTGGTGTTTACGCAGGTTCTCCAACCATTCCTGCTTCTTCGGCATGAGAAACTTAGGGTCATTTGGATCCACCCTCAAACTCCAGTACGATCACCTGCAGCAATGCTATTACTTCGGTGAATTGACGTACCTCAATTCATGGCTTTCATCCAGGGCATACACTAGTTTGATTACGATGATGACGGCGCTAATCAAGGATACTTCTGGTGGATTTCTGTCCATATGCTTTTCCGAGTCAAACAGTGTAGCATCAAGAGACTGTGTTATGTCCGGGTGAAGGGTGAGAGGAATGTCAAGGACTGATGCAAGCCTTTTTGAGAGTGTATAAAGATATGCTGCCCCGACGGAGATTCAAGCTATTCCCTAGTATTAGCACAGCAAGTGGTCAGACTCACGAGTTCCAAGGAGAGCGCGAACAGCCCGCCAAAGCACGGGTGCTGCATTTAGTTCGGGTATTGCGATCCCGTACTGGAATTTCGCAAGTTTGCCTAGACGCTTAACGTGTGCGAACAGGCGTTCAGGTGAGGGAGGCGGCTGGAAAACAGTTAGGCAGCGCTTCAACGTACAACACTATCATTAGCCATACAGGAGTCAGTAAGTGCTTCTCAGCCCAAGTCATGTGTGTCGTCATGGCCGAGGGCAGAAGATTGATAGCGAAAAAATACGGGATTTTGTTGCACTCGATGAGTCTGGAACATGTTAGCGTTTTTCACAATGATGGCAGAGGATCGGATCAGATTCTCGCCTAATGAAGTCCATATGTATCACTGGGAGGCGCATCTCCCAGCTTGCCAGGACGAGTATAGCGATATTAGCCAATGGTGTCGCCCACTCGTATTTCCAGCGTTTGCCCTTTCGAGCTTCCGCCTTGACTTGGCTTTTCGTCTGTTCTGGTTCATCCTCAGTGCTGTCATCAGCTGATTCAGCCTTACGAAGAAGATCATCATAATCCACGGGTTCATTATCGACCGGTCTCTCATCATCGCCACGGCTGGAGGTATCTCCGCTCGTTTCGTTATGCTCCGCTGGTGGGTTTGGATCATTTCCTTCCGCTCCATTTTCCGAAGGAAGCCGTGATTCTCGCACCTCCATTTCTTTCGCGAACGCCACTGGTTCGGGTGGCGGGGGATTAGGAAGAGACATGAGATATAGGGCCCAAAAATCTCTACAAATTATCTGTGACAGGTTCTAGTGGATCAAAAGTACTTGGACTAAATTGATAACGCACTTCAAATTCAGGGGGCAGCTCCCATTCCTTCACAAGGGCCGTTATTTGATGACGCAACACAAGTTGAGACACCTGGAAGTGAAAATACTGCCTCCTATTCCTGCTATAGACTGGGGCAAAAACCCTATGCGTCAAACACTGAAGGTGCAACTTCAATGAAACAAACCTTTGGGATCGGCGGCGTGCGTGTCTGCTTTCACGTTGAGAGTCTGATCTCTGCCGAACTGACTCCTAAAGCGCTTCGTAGGCACAGATCCCTCGGTGTCCTGCCCTTCAGCGATGAAATCCTACGCGCATGTGCTGCTGCAGCGGAGGTCAAGTCGAGAGTCAACTTCGAGAACTCACCTTCAGTATATGTCCTTCGCTGCACATCAAGACCCCGTGCTCCTTGCGCCAGCTTCGAGTGAGGCAGACAGGGCATTTTTTCATACGTGGCATATTGGTGTTTTGCAGTGAAAATTAGGATACAGACACCCCAGGCGATTTGTCCAGGAGGTCACTGAGGAAGAGAGGTTCAGGGGTCTTTCCGTTTCAAGAGGTACAGAGTAACAGGCTGCCACTATCTCAATGCCTGTTCCCGCGTGTCGCAGCTTGCAACAGAAAGCCACTGCACTTTGTGGCTCCTTGGAGCAGTTGCTGCGGCTGTGCCCGGATGGCGCACCGGATTATTTCAATTTATGCAACGATGGATTGGAGCGGGGTGAGATACACAATCATTGAAGGAATGCATGCAGAGGCATAGATCGTATATGTGCGACTGCTGTCGCATAAGATGAAGCACATGAAGAACGGGGAAGGGCGGAAAATCATGGAGACTTCACTCTTCATCCTCCTCTTCGATCTCATCATCATCATCTGCCTCAGCTTCGCCCTCACCCCGCAAGGCCTTAATTTTCTCCTGTATGCGAGCCTTGCGCTGCTCGTTCGTGAGACGGGGAACCTTATATTTCTTCGATTCAGCCTTCCAGTCCGTGGTCTTCTCAGTAGGCTTGAAGGTGGGATCCTCCCGAATGGCAGCATATGCGTTCGTATATAGCTCTTCGATATCTTCTGAACCAATGCCATCAGCAAGATAGGAAGCGAACTGCCTCTTGAAACTATAGCACTCGTTAGAGTCGCGGGGGAAAGAATAGAGAACATCCAAGCATACCGCTCATCATCTTCCTCTTCTAAGCTTTCCATGTACTCTGCAACATGGCCACCATAAATGTACTTTTTCAGGACTTCAACGTCCAGCTCTTTGCTCTCAATGTCGTAGCCAGGGAAACGCTTCTCGTTGTGGGGGATGTGAATACCGCCATCGCTAGCACCTTTCATGGCCGCAAAGACACGGTGCCCAGTGCTCGTACGGCGAAGCCCTACATCAAGGTACGCCTTGAACGGCCGCGGGCCCTCCTTGTCATCCTCAGGGCGCTCGACCAACTTAATCTCTCCGTCGGGCTCAGTGACACCCTCATACTTGTCTGCCAAACCAAGTTTTGTGAGAGCACGACGTGCAACGAGGAGGCCAGTAGCGTAGGCAGCGGTCCAGTTAGTGAGACCATGGCTGATGCCATATCGAGGCAGCTCCTTTGAGGTAGCTGCTGCAAAAACGAAATCACCCTGAATACGGGCATAGATTATCTGGCAAATAACCTGCTTGTTAGTGAAGCGAACGACCAGACGGTATTTAGGCGAGTTGCTGTTCGGATTCAAGGTGAGCTTGAGATAACGAGAATAATCGTTGCTAAAGATTGTCCATACTATTTGTTTTTTGCTTGGTTAACTAAGCGTTTGCGGGCGTAGTCTATTTAATCTCTGTTAGATCTCATCCTAAGAGTCGTAAGAGCTGATCGAGTTAGACGTACAGTCCGTCTTCCCCTCTCTTCTTCGACGATACTTCACTTGAAAACGCGAGAAGTACGCATTGGTCTTGATGGTCTTGACGAAGGGCTACAAACCGCCTTGGTAAGAAAGTGACTTCAGCCGGTTTAGCGATTGTTTTCCTACCATCTGTGAAATGAGGTCAGCAATACATCCAAAGGTCACGAATTGCATCCATGATGTTCTGTCACACTTTCTGGTCGAGACTCGACAGCAGAATAGCTACAGATACTAGGATGGCTGTAAGGTGTGTTTAGGATGCTTACTTCGTTGAAAATTGACGAGGATTTCGACCTTGAGAGCTTGCTCAAGAGTGTGGCTATACTGCCGTGTATTCAATAACGGCTTAATCCATACATGGAAATCAGTAAGCGCCGTAGCCTGGATGCAATATGCTCTCAGCATCATTCTTCTCTCTCCGCCGCAGACCCACGCGCACGAACAAATAAAATCATTTTTTACGTTAATTTGTGGCCCTGCCAGAGTCGAAGGGGTGTACATTCAGCGAAACTCCGATCCAGAAACCGTCACGTGAAACACCAGCACCTTCCAGCGAACTGAGGCTGTTGATGGACTATTACGGTCAGTACCAGCAAGCATCGGCATATGGGGGAAACTACTACGGCGCAGCGTCATCATCCAGTGCTCCTGTCTACCGGCCAGCCAATGCACATGAATACGATGTTGGTGCAGCCGCCCAACAGAGCGCCTATGTCCCTGGGGCGAACCATGGCAAAGGCGGTGGCTCCGGTGCTGTGGTGCCCAAAGGCTCGAAGCGAACAACCGTGCTGAGGAAAGGGGCTGGAAAAGTGTGGGAAGATCAGACGTTGTTAGATTGGGATCCCGGTAATATTTCGTCTCTGCAGGTGACTGGCAAGTCACTAATCCTTCCACGTATGCAGCGTGGTTCCGCTTATTTGTTGGAGATCTCAGTAATGACGTCTCTGATGAGATTCTGGCCACCGCGTTCATCAAGTATCCTACCTTCACAAAGGCCAGGGTGATCCGCGATCGACTGAGTCAAAAGGTCCCACTCTCCCCAAATCATTGGCCACTACTGAATTTCGAAATTTTCTAGGCAAAGTACGGCTTCGTCGCCTTTAGTGATCCGGAAGACTTCCTCAAGGCATGGAAGGAGATGGATGGTAAGCGCGTGGTCCCTGCTTCATCGAGTCCCTCATTCATGCTTTCAATGTAGGGAAGTACGTGGGTAACCGCCCTGTGAAATTGAGGAAAGCAGACGCCTCCATTAAACCGGTAGAGATTGGCCACCGTAAAGCCAAACAGCTAGAGAAGGATCGGAAAGGGAAAGGACGTCACCATCCGTATTGAGTCGGTGGCCACTATTTCTGAGCTTCGCGTAATGTCACGATAATTCTTCTCGCTACAGCAGATGTTGATGAGCCTTTCTGTATATACCTGCCTCCACAGCCCAATTTGTAGCATTGTTTTATTCATATGGGCCGCGTGTGATCCTCGTGGATTGGGCCATTCTTGGCGTGATGCGGGGTCTGAGATTCCTGACAAATCAGCTTATGAGAATTTGCCACCCATCATGAGGAAACCGTGTCTGTTCGATCCCTTCCTCATCCTACCATGACTCTGAGGGGTGTTGTTTTCCCGAAATGACTATGTAGTGCTGCTGCGAGAGCGGACGTTACAGTACAAGGTTGATGCTTCTGCCGGCTCTAGCTGCAACCATTCTCGTGGTCTACCTGGGGTCGTGAACTATGCCGGCAGCCCTGTTTCCTGATGGAGTTCTGCTCTGTTGATATCCCCTCGTTCTTAAACTTTCTATGCAAGTCATCTTCCCCCGTGTTTCTGCTGCCAGTAGTTTATCTTGTAATCTCGTCGACCTCGCTCGCTCTGTTTCGTGTTTCCTGCCTCACTTCTGCACGCTCTCCGCTTCCCGCCTTCGGCTGTACTTTCCCTGCCCACCTGTTTATCGCTCAGGACATCCCGGTGGATTCGGGGTGTCCTAACCAGCTGCTATTAACCACCACTTTCCTCAAAGCTCGCTCATGCGTGCCTTAGTGTGGACGAACCGCAGAGCCCGATTAACTGTGTAATCTCGTTCTAGATTGGGTGGCAGTTCTATACAGGAAGCATCCATTTAGATAGATTCCAGCTCTGCGAATGTGTAGTAGGATAGAGCCTCCGAGGGCAAACGTTCCACTTCTTCCTGGGCCTCGATCCACTGCAGCACGTTTACCATTGAACTAAAATCTGCCAATCGTCTACTACGCGAACGCCTAGATTCTTGATCGTCAGGCTACTGGACAAGACATTGTTCATCCCATAGCTACCTCCCCGGTAGTCTATCTCCAAGTCCCCTCCCCAACAATCGAAGCACGCTTCGGTTCCTCTTTCAACCCGAGGATGATAATCTGCTCAACGTACACGCTATCGATTTCGCGGGCATACGCATTTTTTCCATCATAAAACTGGAATTTGGCGCCCCCGACAATGTCCCGTGCGGATGTGTGGGATGCCAGATTGTGATTTTGAACGATGAGAGAGGCTTGGCCGTCCTTCGACGGATACGCTATGAATTTACGCCACACCAGCTCGCCCTGCTCAAAGGTGTATGTCTCTCCGTCATCGAGGTACAGTTCACCAGATGCTGTGGATCCTGTCTTGTCGAGGGCAACTGTGAGGGTGAATGGATCCTTCTTCATTAACGAGGATGAAAGACGTGGCCGAAGGCGAGTGGGAACGATTGAGCCACCTCTATACAGGAGCGGAACTTTGGCCAAAGGGGCGGAAACGGTGACATAGCGCCCACCCATGGCGCCCTGATGTACTTGATGGTCGAAATAATCGTAGTAGACCTATTTATCGCCAACAATCTCGATGAGCAGGAGAAATGCCACACCACCCGGGCCGTTACGCACCTGATCATCAGCAAGGTACACCTCCGCACTTTCGACGTGAGGGAGAGTAACAGGTTTCACAAGTAACCCTGACCCTCCAATATAGAATTGGTCATCGATCTCAAAACCATGAGAGTCCTTTGGGAAAACTACATATTGAGGCCTATATGGAACTGATCATGGGTTCCACGTCAATCTGCTGAAATCGCATTAAGCGTACCGCAGAACGGGAATCCCACTGACGCTTGCCTCTCTGAAGGCGTTGTACCACACCGGAAGCAACGAATATCGGAGCTTGAGAATATCGCGCAGCATTGATCGGTATGGCTCCGCAGAGAGGTAAGGCTCACGTCGTTTCGTGTCGATGTGGGCGTGTGCACGGAAAAAAGGCGAGAACGCTCCGACCTGATACCAACGCACGAGCATTTCGGGGTCAGGATTGCCGAAAAAGCCACCAACATCAGCTGAAAGATTGCAATAAATTGAGACTTCGCCATAATTTGTTAAGTGTGCAACTCACAGCCTGAAAAAGTCATGCCAGCGATACCATCACTCAAAATCATACGTATACCTGCAGCCATGTGCTCCCAGGTGCCTAGATTGTCACCCGTCCATATTGCTCCAAAGCGCTGAGACCCAGCGTAGAATGATCGGGAAAGAACGAAGGGGCGCTTCATCGTGCCCGTACGGTGAACGAGGGCGCTTGCTGTTGCCTTATGCTGGAGCAATAAATTGTCATCAACTGCCAATCAAATAAAGGTTTCCTTGTTACCCACAAATAACATTCCATAAATGTTATGAACGTCACGATGCTCCCAGCCTCCATAATGAACGCTATCCTTGGGCATAGTGAGCTCTGGACCGTTGAATACAGAAGGCTTGGGGCATTAATGAGTGTTACAGTCAAGCACGCTACCAAATAAGCCGAACCTCGTTCATGTCATTCCAGATGAAGGTATTATCCGTGCTTTCAGCCCACCTCCAACCGTCGGCGGTGCTGTTGAGGCTGAAAATCCCACGCCACCAATTCTGACATTGGGGGTTGAAAAAATCCAACCATGCAGAGCTACCAGGCCAGCACTGGCCAACAAATATTTCGCCTTCCGCGTCCTTGACAAGAAAGCCTTTGTCTTGAGCTTCGGAAAAGATGGGATAGTCGTTGCTTGTCTTCAAATGTGGATCTATTATAGCGACGACCTAAATAGAATTAGCCTAGACGGGAATAAGAACGGAATAGATAGTTGAAACCTACTTTTCTCCCAGCGGCAGCGAGTTCGTCTGCCATCTCGACAGGATCCGGGAACGACTGATTGTCCCAGATGAAATACTTTTGACCCTGAGAGTACTGGATATCTAACCAAACGACGTCCATAGGCATGTTTTCTGCATCAAATCTCCGTGAAACATCCCGGACATCCTGGGACGAGATGTAGTTCCATCGCGATTGGTGATATCCGAGAGCAAAGTAAGCCGGCAGTGGAGCTGTCCCAGTTAACGATGCGTATTGTGTAAACACAAGATCCGGCGTTGGTCCTGGAAGCAAGAAGATATCCATGATCCCTGATTCTGATATCCAATGCGTTGCTGTCGACTTATTCAAAACAGGATGAAATATGTCGACCCAGGTCTCTGATGCAACCAGATTGAAGACGCCCACAGTGGATTCCGTGGAGTGCCCATGCATGAGTGGAATGGATCCATACAATGACATTGGCGAGTCAGCATCATATCCCCCAATATCGTTGTTGTACAGTCTGAAAGGCTCTGAAAAATATTGATTTCCACCCGTTGTCTCCCGAAGAGAGAGGGATGTAGCGTGTTGTGGTATTCCGTAAACATGAGAGTGGTGGGGGAAGTCAATATCAATAAAAAATGATTCTGGACCTTGAGAGGTGGCAATTAGAGTCAAGAAATACAGTTGGTTGGTGGCGATATCACCTTTGGGTTTTGAATCTGTCCACGCCTTGAATGTCTCCTCCCAATAGCCATCTGCTTCGCCTCCCTCGAACCAGCCGTTGGACTCTGTATTGCCGTGAAGAACTGCTTGATATTCGCTCAGAGCGGTCGACGGTGCTGCTGTTTTGGTTCTGAAATGCTCCAAATGGAGTAGACCTCGTCCATTCAGCACAAGCTCCTCGCGGCCAGCTCTGATCAGCTTCACTGTCAGTGGTGCGTATGATATTTCCAGTTCAACATCGTCATATAATGCTCTAATGCCTGATTCTTCAAACCGCCATACTACACCCGGAGCCATGAGAGTGGGTTCAGCAACGAGAGCCCATGAAGCCGCCTGGTGATATCGCCTTCGCATACCGTTGACCTCATCCAGACGTACCCTGGCAATTCCGTGTTCAAGTACATCAACCTGAAGCTCAAAGCGAATTCCAGGATAAAGTGAGGAGAAGACCTGTGCCGACAAAGAGGCATTCGGTGGAGAGAGGACCACGCTTTCAGGACGAACACTATACGGAGACACCCACTGAGACGATTCAGTCGCCCTTTTTGCAAGTGCCCTACCACGTCGACAGAATCCAACTTGCGGGCACGTCTTGAAGTCACTCGGATCGAAGGCAAATGGAAAGGACAATTGTCCAAAAACAAGTGCCGCTGCAAAGCATGAGAGCAACATCCTGCAACGAGAGATGCGGTGGCGATTGCCGTACAATCCTCATGTCAAGATTCAGGTTGACCAGCGTGCGAAAGGCTTTGTTTGTTTGTTTGTTTAGCCTGTGCTCGCGGCTGGCAGGGCCAGGGGTCTCGAGGAAAATACACGCAAATAAAGTAGAAATAAGAAACTAAGTCCGATTCGGGTGCACTCGTCCTCCTTCGTCCCAAACCGGTGAGTCGTCACTTGCAGATGTTCGGATATTGCGTTGCGAGCGTTGAAAAGGGAAGGGTTCCGCTTCGACGTTATCTCTCGGGATGTCTTCCCGTTGTCTCCCAAGGTGTGTTTTTCTTTTCGTATACTCCGCTCTCATTTACGAGTCCTGCCACCCGCTTGATCCCTTCTTCCTTCCCCAGGAGGTCCGCAAGGTTCAGAATCCCGCCCTCGTCTCGTAGGACGCCTCAGTGGTTGCAGTACAGCGGGCACTCCATGAGGATGTACTCTCGTGTCTCGATGAGAGTGCCGCAGCTGCAACTGGAGTCTTCGCTAGGTAGGAACCGTTGGTAGTATTGGCCTAGAAAGGCGTGTCCGGTGCGTAGTTGAACCAGGCGTCTGAATGTTTTGCGGCTGAGGGCCCTAAAGTGTTCGGAAGGGTGGATTTGTGGTCCGATTCAATTGCACAAGTAGTATTCCGATTGTCTGAATTGGACGGGGTCAGTGTTCCAGCGTTGAGTCTACTCGTTTTTAAGTCAATGGCTGTCGAGGATGCAAAAGGGTAGTCAGAGGGAGGAGTGTACCTTCTTTCGCCAGTGAGTCAGCAAGGTCATTCCCTGTAGTGTTTTTGTGTCCTGGTACCCATTTGATTTCAATACGGCAGAGGGGACGTTCGTCGAGTATCTTAAGAATAACTTCGCGAAAGCGAAGGGATTGCTGGATGTCAAGCCCAGGAGAGGTTGCCAGAGTGCGCTGGAGCGCACCGGTGTTATCTGAGAAGGTTGATAAAGTTAGGTCGCTCTCCTTTAGGAAATTGTTATTAAGCCAAGGGACGAGGTGTTCTGAGCCTTGCACGAGACCCTCCATTTCTGCGTCGCAGACCTCAACCCTCGCCCCCCTCCCTTTCCCTTGAGAATAACGTTGCCGCAGTGGTAGGCTGTGGACCCATATCCCCATCTTCGGACGCCCTGTCAACCACAAGGGACCCGTCAGTATACAAATTAATGTGAGTCTCATCCAGATTTCTTCTGTTTTGTGTTCCTTCGCCCATGGTTCTTGCCCAAAGTGGTTCTGGCCATAGTATAGTAGGTTCCATTTCTACGTCTATTCCTTTCGCCATTCTCCATTTCTTTTCTTTTTTTTTGGGTGAGGGATAGGGATAGAGGGATATTTGTGTCGGGTGGTATGAAAATTTGTTTGTCGGGGAGGGCGTGTGAAAGGCTGATGTCCACTGTCTGACATGAAAAACAAAGTGGCTATGCGGTCAAGAAAATGGCTGGTTTTACATCCGAGATCGATCGGCCCTTTTTCACTTCAACCTCCCTCACTGTGAGTGAATTGCCTAGGTATATGTGTAGGCACTGATCGACACCCACCCGACCCTCAGACGCCAAAAACATGTTGTTGTTTACCGATATCATCACGGGCGACGAGGTCGCCTCCGACGCTTTTCCAACGTGTGTATTTTCTAACGTAGATGGCCTCAGGCCAGACAGAAGCGTCCCGAAACTCATATAACATTTTGATCTGTTGGGATTTTTAGCAAGGAAGTTGATAACATTGTCTACGAGTTTGAAGCAGCCAAGATTACTATCAAGGATGGGGCAGTAGATATCGGCGCTAACCCATCGGCCGAGGAGCAAGATGAAGCTCTAGAAGACGGAGCCCAAGTCGTGAACAACATAGTTCATTCCCATCGCCTTCATCAAACAGGGTACGACAAAAAGCAGTACCTCTCGCACCTCAAGGTAATACAACATCCATTTTATCAAGACCTGTTCCGCTCATCGGCGCAATCCTTCAGGCCTATATGAAAGCAATCAAGGCAAAACTTGAGGTGGAGAAACCCGACCGAGTAGCTGCATTTGAGAAAGGGGCCTCAGAGTACGCGAAGAAGATTGTGGCCAATTTCAAAGATTACGAGTTTGTGAGTAATGACTCCCAAACTTGACTTCCCAATCTGATCGAATGCTGCTGCTTAGTACACTGGGGAATCCATGAACCCGGATGGGATGGTCTTACTCCTGAATTACCGCGAGGATGGCATTACCCGTAAGGATAGCCTTTCGATAAGAATGTTGTTTTCACACTGTCTTACACGGCTTTCACAGCGTATTTCACCCTATGGAAGGATGGTTTGAAAGAGGTCAAGTTGTAATGGGGGATTCGACTCAGCAATCCTTGCACAGTACATGTATTTTTGGATGGCATAATCATAATATCCTTCATCCTCGGGCAATTGTTTATGATAATTTTCGTTTGCCGCTTCAAATACTAGAGTGCGTGCCTTCGCACGCGCTGACCTGCACTGCTTTTCAACACCCCAGTCAGTTGTACAGAAAAAAGTGAACCATGATTAAATCATTATTCCACACAAAAAGAGTGCATAGATGTTCTATGCTCAGGAGAGATCCCGAATCATGATGTCAAGTGTGTGGAGACAATAGCGGAAGTGTTCCGGATAATAGGAAACAAATAAGAAAATGGGAAGCAGAAAGAGGACATCAGGACAGCGACTTGGGGGGGGGGGACAAGTGTACAAGTGAGGATAAGACAAGCGCACTGAAAATTGGTCAATAGTATCGACTAATAAATCTCCTTCCCTTGCCCAAAGCGCCCATGCGGCAGGGCAAGCGGGGGTGCAGCAGCAGTGGGGGGGTCAGACCAAGAGCTGCGCAGTTGGGCATGTGTCTGCTGCATCCCTTCAAGAATGGGCCGCATCGCAGGCTGACATGCCAATTCATGAGTACGACACAGTATTTTAGCAGATGCAGGCTGTGGCTGTGTCATCGGATGCAGCCCAGCAGGACGAGTAAGGCAGGTAGGGGTGCAGATACAAGGGGAATTTTGGCCGGGTAAGCGCTGGGCGCGCATTCAGGTGTGCTTGGACTAAGCGCTGACATTGCGAAGCGCAGAGTCCTTCATATTAACTCCTGAAGTAGTTGGGCATTCACCCCTAAACTCGGTACGTGGATAGATCTAATTCTCCTCTACCAGAAAAGCCCAAAATCGATTCGTAGGTGACGCTCACGTTGGGTTTTGCCAATCTCACTGGATTTTCAGCGTGACTCACTTGATTTGTCTACCAATTGTACGTTATAAATATAAAAGTCACAAGGTCATGAAACCTAAATGGAAAATGAACACGTCAGCACAAGTGGCAGAAATGGCGTAATTTCACCCGGACGGCTGTGCCGGTAATACAATGCGGAATACAACACGTAAGCAAAAGTGGCACGTTTTACATAATTATGGGGGAGGCAGAGTGACCTGCAGTGCAGGTAACATATTGATCTGCTTGTGGCTGTGTGGACCAAGTTTTTTTGCACGCTAAGTCTAAACACGCCAAAAAGTAGGCAGGTCACCAGCCTCTGTTGGAATAGAGCCAAAAGTATCTATAGAGGCTGCTTCAACCTGGCCAAAAAGGTGTTACCATGAATTTCCAACGTCTCCATCAGCAGCGGTATCACAGGCCTGTGAAGACACAGACCCCGGAGTCGAAACATTGGAAGGGCTTCAAAAATCCTGTCTTCATTAAACAACATGGACAAGTCACCTCCGTGCAATTTTCTCCTTCCCCTCCACATTACTATGTTGTTACGGCATCGAGCCGTGTGCAACTTTATGCTCCTAGAACACATAAACTACTCAAGGACATTGGGCGTTTTTCCGATGTAGCCCGTAGTGGGAACATCAGGCATGATGGAAAACTCGTGGTTGCAGGAGACGACAGTGGCCTCATCCAAATTTTCGACCTCCAGAGTCGAGCTATTCTGCGGAAAATGGAAGAACATAAGCAGTGAGAAATCTTCTTATATCAGTTTCTGGGCATATTTTTGAAGTCTTGCCTCACCAAGACCCGTACATATCACAAAATTCTCTCCTTCAGGCACACAGATCTTGTCATGTTCGGATGATACGACGGTAAAACTCTGGGACATTGCATCCGGGAAACCCACTGTTACTTTCTATGATCATTCTGATTATGTCCGAGCTGGCAATTTCATGCCTTCGGACCCCAACCTTATCCTCACTGGCTCATATGATTCCACTGTCTGTCTCTTGGACTCGAGGACAGGGAAAGCTGAAATGACACTTGGGTCGTCAGCAGCGGGCATCGCTGGCGTGGAAGACGCCCTGCCATTCCCGTCGGGAACGCTTGCCTTGTCTGCTTCTGGGCCCATCATGCGCGTGTGGGATCTTGTCTCCGGTGGGAAATGCGTGAAGGCCCTTTCTGGCCACCAGAAGACAATCACTTGCCTTTCCTTTGATGGAAAGGCTAATCGAGTGTTGACTGGAGGTTTAGATCATTTGGTAAAAGTGTACGACGTCAGCTCCTATAAGGTCGTTCATACGATGCGGTACTCTGCACCAATCCTCTGCCTGGCTATATCGGTAGGTTCGCAAGGCACAGTATTGTATTTTATTTCATATGTTGATTGGTATTGGCAAGCCGGATGATACCCACATCGCTGCAGGAATGTCAGACGGGACCTTCTCAATACGTTGTCGACCAGTGAAATCCTCCGAACCTGGATCTTCTTTACCTGAGTTGGGAGAATTGCGCAGTTCCAACTACGAATTCTTCCTCGACGAAATTGACGCATTAGAAGAACTAGCCCCACAGCCGAAGGGGCCGCCTCAACTGAAAGATCCGCATGAGTTCACTCTGAAGATGAGGCGCCGTGGTCCGAGACTCGCGCTACACGATAAATTATTGAAGGAATACAGATATTCTGAAGCATTGGATGTTGTGGTGCAACCTGTGCGTGAAAACCTCTTCGTGACACCTTCATTTAATTTCTCTGGCGCTGCCGTTTTCTAGACTGTCCGAGGGGAATTGACGTTCTCGTTGATAATGGAGTTGATACGACGGGATGGTTTACGAAGCGCCTTGAGTGGCCGAGATGATGTTACTCTCGAGCCAATCCTTCGTGTGGTAACTAAGTATATTTTTGATCCCACATTCGGCAGTGTCGCGTGTGGTGTCGCCATGATGATAATTGGTGAGTTTTTTGGAGACATTGCTAATGTGGCGATGAAGAAGTCGCTTTCACTCACTCTGTGATTCTACTTGTAGAGTTGTACTCGGGAGTATTGGGACAGTCCCCTATCATAGATTCGCTGTTGGTTCGACTATTGGGAATGGTTGGAAAGGAATTATCATTCCAGCGCGAACTGAGATCAGTTCAGGGCATGGTGGATATGCTGATGGCTTCCAGCATGCTCCAAAACGACGAACAGTCAAAGCTCATCACCAAGTGACCTCGATATTCTCATGTAAACGATTGTTTTCCGCTGACATTGCTTAATCAAGTACCTAATCGTATGTACGGTTGTAGTGCGATTTTAATTACATTTGCATCCTAGGCATGCATGGAGAGTAGTCCTTCACGACAAGTTCTGAAATTATGATGATTAATGTTAATGTCAACAACTATCCAAGAATTCAATCAGGCCCTGCAGAATCTCTCTTAGCGGAGGGCTATCATGGTCTTTCACTTCCTCGGTCGAAGCGTCGATATTACTGTAGTAAGCCTTCAGTGTATCAACGATACCATTGATAGACTGGTTCTTTCGTTCAAGCATAGCTCCTGCATGAGAACGAATCTGTGGAATATTGGGCGGATGGTCAGCGAATAACCCAATTATTCAATACAACTTCGTACCCCATCATCCTCCATGCATATCCAGCCTAGGATGTAATCCACTGTTTGAAGAGTGAACAAGCCACCATCCAACCGTCGCAAATACCATAAATCCTCATTCCCGGCCATATCTGTCTGTCCTTCTGCGATAAATGCCCCTTTCTCCGATTCGATTTCAGCGTCGGTGGCGGCGAGTCTCGTGGCATGAAATTCTCTCAGTTCGAGTAGCCGATCAACTTTTTCGTAATCGTTTTCGACAAATTTGCTGAGAAGACGAATTCGAGGTGGGGAATCAGAGACAAGATTGGAGAAGAGACTTGACAAGATGCCGAGGGCGTGGGAGGTATCCTCGGATGTGGGAGTCATGCCCGACTTCGCTTTACTATTTCCCTAAGATAACTTCCGTTAGCTGAAGGCATTACCATAAGGAACCCTTACTTTTTGCATGAAAGCAGGGAAAAGTGATTTTAGGCCAAGGACTTCTACGAACCGCTCACAATTCGTAGAGCCCGCTGGACCTGACATAGCAAAATCCAGGACCTTCATCGACCGGGACCTTGAAAGTTTCTTTTCTCTCATCATGATGACCATAAGCTCCACTGCGTGGCGGGAACATATAAGGGGATGGCGCCGGTATGTACTAGAAATACACACACACCTCCTTCACCATCCAAAAATGCTTTCTTAATCCCTGGCTCAGAAAGAGCAGAACAAAGGGCGTCGAAGACATTTTCCATGAATTCGATCTCATCTGAATCGATGGGATCTCGCTTTCGGAATTGCTGTTACTCAGAGACAAATCCTGCATCAGTAACGGGAATTCTCCCAAAATCCCTCGACCTACGGACAAAACCTGGAGTAAAATGTCAACACCGCCCAACCTATCCAGTCGTGATCTGTTTTCTTTGCTGCTCTGCAAAAGAATAGCCAAGAGCTCAGAAGAATAACTTCGATTTTCATCGTGCTTCTTGGACTGTATCCGGTCCAGTAACCATTTCAGAATGGGAGCTTTTGCGGTGAAAACATCGGCGAGCTCAGAATTGAAGTCGATGATGTGGTCAAAGATGCCCAAGGTGTCATAGATTCCCTGCCGATCCAAGTCCTCTTCTTCATTCATGCGGGTTAGGTTGTCGACTAAAAGTTCCATCGTGGAATGCTCGAGCTTACAGGAACATGCGCATAAGACCGATAGGTATATGGGTGAATAGAAATCCAAAACGTACCAACGTGTCAGTAAGTAGCTTTAATGATTCACTCTTCCTATTCGCTTCTTCTTCCTCCTCGAGCCCCTCTTCGCCCACGTCTTCATCCGTGAACTCATAAAGTAGCGCTATAACTTCCAAGACAATGTCGAGATTTTCGTGGCTGAGAAGGTCAATGAGTTTAGAAAGCCCACCGCTGCTGACCAGCTCTGGGTATGATATCAGCGACACTTCGGCGAGAGCAAACAGAGATCTAATAGCAGCATCAAGGTCGGCTTCCGAATCAATGAACCTTCCCACGTTGTTAATTATCATTTCGAGGGGGGAGGCGAAGAAACACACACTTCGTTGGATCGTCCGGATATTTGGACCTTTGGTCTTGATTCTTTTTTGCCGCTCGGTCGAATTGAAGCAGTAGACGCCGTATTCCTGGGAGATCTAACTCGGCACCCTGGGGGAGTGCTCAGCATAGTGAAGAAGCCTAACGGAACGGTGCCCACATCCTTTGCAGTCTCTTCCCCAGCCGTATCGAAAATGTTAAGAATCTGCTTCTGTTCGTCGGTCAAGCCGCCACCAAAGAATCGACCGTCTTCATCCTCCTCTACAAAGTAATCTGCATCGCCTCCAGGAGCGAAGGACCGATCATCCCCTTCGTCATCCTCGACGTCCTCAACCGTCACAGCTCGCGTTGCGCCTCCGCCCGAACTACCATTTTTCGTTGTGTTTTGCGCCGAATCGGATGGCAGTGCCTCGGTCCTCAGTCGTTTCAGAATTTCTGGGAAGGTGCAGTACTTCCGTAAATATGAGACTGAAGTGGCTAAACTTCACAAAGCACTCCCACCTGGGGTTGGGTTGCCCAGTGGCAGTTTGCGTTTATTGCTGGTAAGTGGCAGTTTAGGCGCCTAGAAGAGCATGCATCAGCTTGAGCATCGTTTCCACCATCTTGGTGACGCACTTTGAACAGAGAATCGATATCCATGATTGCGCAGTTCGATATTAAGATTCTTAACGACGACACATGCGCAATTTTTGGCACCGCCACACCACAGCACGCGTTCAACTTGGCTTATCTTCGGTGAGACACCCGGCAGAGTTCTTGGGCAGTCCAACCGTTGGTCTTTGTTATGAATGTGTTTTCCCACCAGGATCCTCTACTTTAGCAGAGGCGGGATCCTGCCTGCAGCTCCAACAGCATAAGGCAGACGATAGTTATGCATATATGGTAGCATCGTTACGAGTAAGATATCTGGAGTAAGGCGCAGTAGAGCTTAACCCGAAATCATGCAAGAATGCCCAGTCTTAGTCTACCGTACAGGGCTCAGGACTTTGCACTCAGCAACCTGACTATGGAATATCGCTTAGATTCATTACGTAGCGCCGAGCACGGACGCAGAGCAAAACTGCAGTGTCCAGCTTCGGGGACTTTGGTGTATTCTCTGGTCGATCATCTCTTTTTTCTAAACTTCCAGCTGGGGAATAAACACGTGGAACATGAAGAGGGCTGGAGGGCTGATCGATCACTGCGCCAGAATCTTTACCGGGCTCCCATGGATACATATGGTTGGTGCTTCCAATTACAAGCTCTCTGTCAAAAAAACTGTTCATACGCACTCAACTTGTTACGTCCAGACCGACTAACCACCCAATTTAGCAAATTAATAATACCATATGACACGCGGTAAGTGGCCCATATGTGCGCTAGATATAAATAAGCCTCCTCTCCATTCTCTTCAGGCCTTTTTCAAGTGACTGGCCCGACCGTAGCCACGCACGATGCAAGATGAAGAGTGTGTTGTTGTTGTACTCTATTTTGTTACCCCGCAGCCTTGTATCTACGTGGCAGTGCGGCCATCCCGACTCGTTGCATTGAGTGTACATGAGGGGATCATCCATACATGGTGTGGGTTTCTGGGTGGTATTATCGGGTGAGTGAGATCCTCAGGGGTTGTGTCGTCGGGGGGGTTTGTCAGAGTGTGTGCATGTGGGGAAGCCGTGAGAACCCTGGTTGGTTTCTCCCGGAATCAACACAGTCCGGGTGGCGAGCCCTATTCAGTCCCTGTTTGGGTTTAGGTTTGGATCCGAGATGCTAAATCGCGGGATCCTTAACCTCCAATGCCCAGACAAAAGCGATCATGGCAGGAATCTGAGCTCTCTTCAGAGGTCGAAGAATCTGTGGATGCTGTTTGTAAGGAAGTCAAGCGGGAGAAGGATGATAGCATAGCCTCAAAAGCGATTCTTTCCCTGATGAGCAAGCTCGGTGTGACACACAAGAAGCTGGAACTTGATCAACAGGCACTCCCAAGCTTTTCATCTACCACTTGGGATGACGCTTGTGCAGCTTTTCATCTTGATCCTGAAAAGAGTTTTAGGCAGCTGGAAGAGTTTCAAGTCCCAGATCTCATCCTCCCACCCACTGTTCACGAGAGGATCCTTAAGTTGGCTGCCATGATGCTGGATGTCTATAAGGATCCTGAGGATCAGAAAACTGAGGCATCCCATGTCCGCCTTCTTGAAGCGGTGAGTGCAGTAGTTTTATTCATCACAATACTACTGAGACTTCATAGTGGCATGTTCCCATTTGTCAATTGTTCCAAGGCCGTATCATTGATAAACCAGAAGCTCGCTTAGGTGGAACCTCTGTAAGTTCTGGTGGAGGGATAGAGCATGAGCTTTATGCTTTAAACGGTGGAGTCCTTCTGCTAGTGGGAGAGCTTAAGAGTTCTGTCCATTCCAATTTTGTGGATGAGGCACAGGCTCTATTTGAGCTGGAAGGTGAGCTCAGTTGCCCTTGTCTATACCAACATCGACATATTGAGAATGCCTCAGCTGCATTTGTTTATAATCGTGAATTGGGCCTTGATCCACAACCACCTGTCCATGCTTTCTTGACGGACCTAATTACTTTCAAGTTCTTCAAATATGATGGCCGAAATTTTGCACGTCAAGATTCAATTGTCTTACATGATCACCTGGAGTTTGATGCATTCCTATCAGGTATGATGCCTGGTGAGTGACACAACATTTCTGAGCAAGCTCATTCTGATCGCGTGCTACTGCAGTGGCAGAACGAATTTTCTCCACAATTATGGACGGATTTATCGATCATCTTGAAGCAATGGCAGACAAATTTCGCGGGCGAGGAGAGCATGGCGATGTGAGGAATTCACCTATTGTACAGATGAGTTCATACCCAATTATTTTTAGCGCTCAGATGTCAGTTCCTCTGATGCCAAGGTCTGGACCAGAGCAAGTGCACGCGCTACCGTCCAGGCCCAGCGTAGGCCGGTGAGCAACTTGTTTACGTAGTGCTACCACTCCATGACTCATCGTTGATTCCCAGTATGCTCGACCATCAACTGCCATCTGGGAGGCTGCACATCAGAAGGCCGTCCATGCTCGAGAATTTCTAACCCGGAAGTCAGTTCAAGTCACCAAAAGGCAGGCGGAGAAACAAGGTCGGGAAGGTCTTAGATTGCTTGGAGAGAGGTATGTGCCGGTCTTCTATCGATATGGCACTACAAGTTGACAAATGCTAATGAACATGTAGTGTCCGAACCCTCCAAAAGCTCAGCAGTATGGAGGACTGGGACGAGGAACAGCTGCAACGCACGATTAAAACGTTGCTGGATGAGCACTCGTGGGGAGCTTGACGCCGCGGATTATCTCCTTTCACTGTCCACTAGCTGAGTTGGGCCACCTGCTCCAAGCACCCTTTACCCCAAAGCTTGTAACTTACTCATCCACCATCCTCCCTTTCTTATACATACAATTCACATCTGGACGGGGTGGAGAAGATCCGAACGAGAAACGCGTGTATGAATTTAACAAGGTGAACCATCTTCACAGCAACCGCGGTGCCTTCCTGTAAACGTATTCGGTCTGCTCGGACCCTCGTCGACGATGATGAGTACAGTAAGCGTGGAGCTGGTCGTGTGGTGATTGGCCTCGTAAGGCTGCCCCTCGGACTCGAGAGAGATCATCCCACTAAGCACCCCAAAGCGCTGAGGTCGAAGAAGCAGGGAGACACCTCCGGATGGAAAGCTGCGGCGCATTATCCATGACATGCCTATTGAGATTGCCTCTGAGGTATTGACACTCCGATGTTGTTCTGTAGGTGACGGTTCCTTTCACCACCAGGCTAGCAAATCTGTTCTCATCTCGAGCCGCGGGACCTACCTCGGCTCGTGTACGAAGTGTTCGGGCGCTACCTACTATGGCCAAGTGCTGCGGAGTATGGAAGGCCTCGCGAGAGGAGCATGCACCCAACATGCCGCCGGTCCACCCAGATCTCACGGAGCAGAGGTATGCCTTGTTAGGAATTGGGTCTCATTGCCAGGTACGAGTCACTTGGATTGTCTTCACCCTTATCCACAATTTCATGATGCCCTGATGTAGCTTTGCGCCACTTCCACCCTTTCACCCACCGGGTGGTCTTTGCATGTCCGATGGTGTTCTCAATGTCGTGAAAATCAGCGCGCATCACCATTTCTCCCCGCCTCGTGAGAACGTTGTGGCCCAACACGTTAAAAATAGACTGTCGTCGCAGTACTGCGACATTGATGGCGCTCTGTCGTTATTGAGGGTGGATCGCGTTTGTCTCAGACAAGATCCTCTCCGGCGAACCATTCCCCCCCGTAGGCAAGCCATACTGCTCGGCCGAGCGATTCCACTAACCCAGGTCCAAGGACACCCTCCAAAACGCGTGGTTCTTGTTTGCTCGAAGGAGCTTGAATTGTTTACGCCGAAGGCACTGGCGGGTCATGGGAGGCGTATGTTTCCCAACAACGAACAAAAACCATTGGAGGCCACTCGTTCTGTTACTGGTCTCAGCCTCAATTTCTGGACCTTGTTCGCGCTCCCCACGAGAAAGCGCGAGTTTCCTTCTGGTTGTTGTTGTCAACAACTCACTACCGATCACGCACAGGGTACGGTCGAAACTAGAGAATATGGCATTTCTCAAAGTATTTGTTGACCAGGCTGTCGCGGGTGGATTCCCAGCACTTCGGGTGGCCGCTAACATCCGTCCGATTCTGTCGTCACCGATTAACCGACCTGACTCCATGTAGACTGGGCTACAATCGAGGCCACTCAAGCTGTCAAGGGATGCGAAAGGTCCTTCACCGACAACTACCGTTATTACGCAAGGGAGACCATCATATTACGTTATTGCTCCTGGTATGAATGTCGCGATCCAGGGAGGGAGTTCTGGCCCACCCCTCCATCGATTTATAAGAACCCCAAAGTCAAGGTACGACACGCTGGATGTGCATCATGTTTCTCTGACACCTGCAATTAAAGAAAGCGCTCCGTGGAATTTTGACCCCATAACATCGATATGAGCAAATATTCTGAAATCCCTGACGTAATTCCCTTGATGCCCCGCTTCGAGGATATTTCCAATGACCACTCAACGAATAGCAAGAGGGCATGGTCCCTCCATAGCTTCCGTTGAGGAAACGCTGTGTCTCGCTCGATCTATTTTCATGCAACCTTCCAGTCTAAGGTCTCCTGATCTTGGGCAATTTTTTTTTGCGGTGGCAATGGGACGATTTGGGATCACGTATCATGGCATCAGCTGGGCATAATTCTGAGACCATGACGTTTGCACAGCTGCTGGGAAAACATCCATCCATGTTGAATGTGCCACCTGCACTCTACCTGGGCACACAACTATCTTATTTTCTAGTCTTGGTTGATTGACATTCTGAGCAAAAGGCGTAATTGCTTCCGCCATTTTCTCTATAGCCAAGATTCCGCATTTTGAGGGGTATGGAACTTGAATCGGCTAGAGCATCGAGTACAATGAATGGACAATGGGAGTGGTTGCCTTGCGAACCTTGGGTCAGAGATTCGGAAGACATGATTCTTGAGCACATTACCATGATAAGAATATGAAACGAACCTGCGTTAACGAAGACCAACGTCGAGCTTTTATGAATAGATCGGAAGAACGAAGATGTTACGCTAAATAAACTCAAAAGATAGGACCACAGTCATAACGCGGAGGCGGCGAGTCAACCGTTGCTGTCTCCGCAACACCGCCACAGAACAGACAGCAGGGCCATCGATAAACTAAACCCTGTTCCCTCGCAGTTTCCTCGCACAAGCACGAGAGGGTTACTTTTAACGAGAGGCTGACGTTAACGTCGCTGCGGTTCTTCATGAGGAGCATCGACCAGGGGTCGGTATTTTACGCGAGCTCGGCCAATGAATATTTGCATCCCAAGGAGGAAAGGGGGCAACTTTGGAATTACATAGGAAGAAGCACGCGGAAGAAGTTTATTTCTTCGACCCAAAGAGAACATGGAGGCAAACACATTTCTTTTCATTCCTCGTCGTTCCTTTCCTTCTAATCACAAGGTACAGCCTCTCGTTTCGCGCTTCGTATGCCATCTTGGCGTGTATTCCTTGTTTTATGGGTGGTGTTGGTGGCCGTCCTAAGCATCACCGCCAGAGGCAGCTTCTATGACAGCCGCAGACATCACCGTCGTATCCTAGGCGGAATTATACTGTCCAACTCAACGAACACGCTCGTTTCAACTGCCACAAGTACAATCACACAGACCTCACCGACGCATCTTTTAACCGAGAATATTACTGCCACATCGACCAGCAATGTCATAACTGGTCCAACCTCAGTCGCCTCATCCTCAGCCGTGCCTACTTCGACAGGATTATCTTCCAATTTACAAACCGTTTATGATCGCAGGGTTGAGTATATCATTGGTGGATTGACTGGTCTCAGTAAAGTGTCGACGTGGTAAGCCCTATCTCCCTATGGTGATTACCTGCCTTCAACCTTCAATGTATGCAAGGCTCTCAACTCAACAGCCAGATGGAAGATGGCCAGATGTGTCAGTAGCTTGTGCACTTAGCCTCCCCATCATTCTGAAAGCAATTCCGAAAGGGATTATACGTCAGGTTGTCCTGCCCGGCGGGCGAATTGGCCTGCGCAACAACATTGGATCAGAATCAGTAAGCCGCTGCTGTGTAGTCCATTAGCACGAGCGCACTCTAACGATCTCCCAGATGTTCTCGCTGGTGTGTACCATGGCTCGTCGACCTTCGGACGCACTTTCGCGAAGTATGTAAAATCCCCCGATGTCCGCACGGCAATTACTCGGGCTATGGATTGGTGGTTCTTGAATGACTACTCCAATTTGAATTGTCTGGACAATGGCGGAGGGGCAGGCTGTCCCTGTGGGACGTGAGTGCAACCTGTTGATCATTCTTCACTGTCAGCTATATACCTTTTTCATCTCTGCCTGAACACAGACCGGGACTTTGGAATACCAACTGGTATTCCAACATTATTCTAATCCCTGGGCTCGCTGGTCAAGCTTGCCTTCTTCTTCTCCAACAGCCACCGCCTGGGAACCTCACTCAAACGCAGTACTCCAACTGCACTCAATTCACTTATCGATCTTTCAACACATTCACGTATCCAGTAATTGGGGGTATTGGGGCTTTGACGGGTGCCAACACTTTGGATGTAGCGAGTATCGGCATTTCGTATGGATTGCTACTAGGCAATGATAGCGTGGTATCCTCGGCGTACGAGCGCGTCCATGAGGAGGTGAAGATACAAACACCTTTGATGGCGGACGGGATAAGGCCAGATGGAAGTTTTGGCCAACATGCTGGTGTCCTTTACACTGGTAGGTGATTTCCTGATTCTCTCGGATGCATGGGTGATATTCACATTTTATTTCTAGGTAATTATGGAACCTTTTAGTAAGTTTCAAGCATGGTAACGGAATCGTCGTCATCAATGCAACCCTTTTGCAGCGCGAACGATGTTCTCGGGCTTGAATTACAGGCAGTTGGTACTCCATGGACTGCAGGATCCGATTCCAAGAATGCCTTCATTTCATTTGTTGATGGCTTCCAGTGGTCTATATACTGGAACATACTCACTACTGTCCTTCATTGGGATTTTGTAAGATTTTGGACCCCCGCCCAGTTCCAGCGGAACCCTGCAACTGATTCGCATACTTATTTTAGAGCGTGCTCGGACGGTTCATTTCATTCCCCGTAGCGGACATACAGTGAGGACTGCAAACCCCTTTCCTCTCATGTGAACGGTTTGACGAATCCTCTTGAATGAAGGGCCACCGCGAGCATCAGGTTGAATCTCACGCAGATTGAGCAACTTGGAAAGGAATGGCATTCGGATGGGATGGTGGACACGGCGAGGAGACTTAATCGGACTACAACTAATGCTAATGCTGGTCAACTCGTTGGGAACCGTATGTTCTGGGATAATGACTACATGGTGTGTTTCTTGCCTGTTCTAATGACACTTTCAGAAATGTCAACACACCTCTGCTAGATTCACCGCGGGCGGAATTATGTGGCAACGCTGAAGATGTACTCTACACGTACGCTGAACACTGAATGCGTGAGTTGAAAGCATTTATCTCTTGACATGACGCTGACTGGTATTCGCCGCAGTTGAATGATCAGAATCCGTATGGATTCCATTTAAGCGATGGAGTGCTCTACACTTATCTTCAGGGTGGAGAATACGAAGACATCGCCGCTGCTTGGGATTGGAATCTTATCCCTGGTATCACAACCGACTATGGTAACACCCCGCTTTCGTGCGATAGAGCACAAAGTTATGGCGTGGAGGATTTTGTTGGGGGTGTATCTGATGGGATCGTTGGTGTTGCAGCTATGCGGTACACCAATCCTCTCACAAGAAGCTTCAAATTCCAAAAGGCGTGGTTCTTCTTTGAAGAGGTCCAACACGTCCTTGTTTCTTCCGTCGTTTCGTTGAATTCATCACTCATTCGGAACGTCCTCGATCAAAAAGTTCACAACGGTACCGAGGTCTATGTGAACGAACAGCTGGTTTCTTCCAGTGGAAATTACTCTTCATTCTCGTCCCTATGGCATCAGGACGTCGGTTACGTCTTCCAGAATAATTCGTTGGGCGACACGCTCAATCTCGCCCTTCAAGTACGCCGCGGGAGTTGGGCGCCACTTGGTATTTCTACGCAACCTGATGCAGTGGTTGACATGTTCACCGCGACGATCGACAAAGCTCCTGGAGTCACGGACTTGCGAGTTTCATACAGTATCTACCCTGGGGTGAAATATGATGATTTTACCTCGCATCTTCATTCCCCGAACGGTATGGGCGGCCCCCCGCTCGTACTGCGGAACGACGCAACTATCTCGGGCGTTTTGGATAGGACGTGTGAGACCGCAGGAGTAGTCTTTTGGGCTGAAGGTGGAGGGTCGATCGATATTCCGTTTTGGGGCCTCACCTTCACGCTTACGATCGACAAACCATCGGTGGTTGTTGTAAGACCGAAGGAAAACGAGTTTGTCGTCGCAGATCCAAGTCAAGGGCTCCAGAATGCCACAATTACGATGTCTTGGTGCGCCTCTGGTGAAGATCGTGACGCAATGAAGCGCAATAGGACGGTACATATTAATTTCCCCCAAGAGGAAGGATATCGGGGACAGAGTGTCAGGCATTCATTGTTCGGAAGCGATTCATGATTGCAGGCGGCTTGGCTGGGGGCCTGGTTTTTTCTCCTCTTTGCTTGGTTTGTTGTCACTGTCGTCTTGCATATGATCTCGGTTTGCAATGCATCTATGGCAATGCATTGGTTTATGCTTGAACGCCCGGCGAGGTGCGCTCTTTCACATGCACACAAGTATTCCGTGGGGAGGATACGGTAAATGCTGCGCGTCATGATCGTGTTTATCAGTTGTGGAAGTGGCCTGGGTCACCTTCGGAAGCCTCAGTGACGGCATAGAAGTTTGAAAGCTATGAGTCCTTGCTCGTGTTCTGTTCTGCCTGGTGGGAAATGGCAAAGTCCTCCTAAACGCTACTGCTTGGGCATTGTCAGCCTCAAAGCCAGGACAGAGGCGGGGGCGTACAGCCCACTATCGAGTATGGATTGCCTTAGTACTCTCCCGACAAGCAGATTGTCTTCGTTCCCATCAACTGCAGCCCGGGATATTGTTTTAATATGAAGCCAATGACCGACGAAGACCTGTTTCGAGGTGCGATTGTGAGAGCGCATTGCTCGGAAGTTCCTGTGCAGAATGACCCCGCTACATTGGAAGGCATCCCGACTCAAGCCTCAACCTGGGTGTCGTCGCTGGGGGTGTCGTGGCTCGATTCAGAGCCGAACCGAATGGGTCATAAACCCGGCGACAGGATCATTCATACTCTAGCTGCAGTATTGGGGCAAACCACGGTCAGGCGTACATCCTCGAGCGCTCTATGTCTACGGTGTTAAAGAGGTGAAAAATCTAAAAAGGCTATGGGGATAAGCTCAAACGATCGCTGGCCATGCCCATTGTGTTCTGACGATTTCCATAAATCGAGATCAAACGTCATCGTCGAAAGAAAACGATTGGTGGAGGCATCTCCAGCAGGTACATCTCAAGAACGATGGTTCGAGCCAACTCGCGAAGAGCATAGCGAGATAAGAACTTTCTACTCGGTGTACAGCGAAGATCGATCGGATGGACTAATCATCAGCACGATCGAGGAAGGAAAGGAGCGTTACCCTAGGTTGATGGCTCGACTTGAATCTTTCGCCCCTTCTTGGTGGGGCCATTTTATCTGTCCATCATGCGGTGAGGTTCGAACCAACCCCCCTCTCCCTTTCTTCGGAATCTCTCATATAGCGAAACGGATCCGACGTCCCAGGAAACACGATAGACATTGCGTGATCGGACAGGCACGAGCGGAATGCTGCCTGCTCAAACCAACGGATGACTAGCTTCGGTGCTGTGTGTTGTTCACTTGTTGATGAATCGAATCAAACTGCAGGTCGACAATTTTGCGCACTCTCGCTCAAGAAGATCCACATCTTATCGCAGGGGAGTAACTACACAATTAGTCGAGCTAGAACCAGGCAACATAGACGAGATGTTGCAGAGGTTGTTGCTTAGGATATTTAACCTGCTGACTTTTAGGCTGCTGATAGTAGTAGCAGTATGGAGATGTCATTTTAAAGTACGGCTTACGCCGTACTATAACGAAATCAAATATGGTCGAGGGTGTTTGTAAAAGGGAGGTATCGAAAGGGCGAAAGGGTGTTGAGTCCGTAATGGTGATATGCAGTGGACAAATATTGGAGGAAGGTCAGGGAAATGGTTAGATAAACGGGATCGGATGGAAGGAGAAAAGCATAAAAAATGGAAGGGAAAAGAGCTTTGTTGTTGGTCGGTTCACGGGGTGGGTTCCTGGCATGAGTGCTTATGTGGGCGTTGAGATCCAGAAAAGTAGGAGTTGTCTTTGATTCAATTCGGGCAGGTTCGACCAAGAAGATTTCATCATCGTAGGAAAGGGGGAGACTAAAGGTTTTGGACGGCTCTAACGCGTCCCTATCCCAGGGGCATCGCAAGACGGTGAATGCGAGCGTCTATTGCACGTGATGACGTTGTGATCTCATGGAGTTTGGTGACTTCGTTGCGACAACCCTGTGTCAGTTTTTCGCGCGCGGCGGTGACAAACGGCTGAAGTTCCCACTTGACTCCTTCACTCTACTGAGGCATCTTGTCGTAACTGCGACGGAATCTGCCACTCAGCAAACTCGGCGCTTGCGTCTGACCGATCGGCGCGCGTTTAACTCTCACCTCCGCAGACTGGCTGCTGGTTGGGATAAAGGGTCCATAATTTTATCAGAAGAGCTGCCCCTGAAGGGTTCGTATTTGGCAGGCGATGAGCAGGACGTGAACATCCTCAGCCTTCAGGTCCGCGGCGATACGGCTGGTCGCAAACGGAAGCGCGACGAGGAGCATCCTGGCATACAGTCCCTTGATTCAAGTGGTATGTAAGGCACTTGTCTTTTGGCAACCAACTGAACGTAGAGTTGACACACGAAGCTTTCCTCGTTTCCGCCACCACAAAGGCCTCACTGGCTTTGTCATCGTCTCCTTCAGTCAATCAAGAGCTTGAGGAAATATACACCCTCCTTCAGAGAGGAACTGCTCGAGGGAAATTGCTTGCTGAGCGTGTAAGCTTTGAGCATTCTACAAACACAATAGTATTCATCATGAATTACGCTTTGCAGCACATGTCAACCTCCGACGCATTCGAACCAATATGCGAGCACACAACAAAGAAAGACTGTATAAAGGCCCGTTTGGATTCCGGGGAAGTATCATCGTCGAGGAGCCCTTATTGTGAAAAGGTCAGTCTACAATGGCTATGCATCGTGCTACAAACACTCTAATTTTGTTGGCAAAAGGTTCACTTTAAGCCCCTCATTCGTCCGCATACTGATCCCTCGCTGGGTCACTGTTCATATTTGAATACTTGTTACTCAGAACCCACATATGCTATGTCGCCTTCAATTCACCCGCTTCCTGCCATCGCCCGAACATCGAACGCGGCTTTGCCATCGGGTCTTGGCGCAGGCGGAAAAGGAAAAGAAAAAGCTCCATGTCGTTATCTCCACTTTGAAGTCGACTATGACGAAGCAGCAGACGCCAAGGCCCAAACTCAAATCGTCAAGCCACCCAGCAAAAGGAAGTTGGACATTGGGAACGGCCCCTCAGGGCCAAATCAGTCTTCAGTGAGTGAACAGGTTTTCCTTACACTGGACTGTCGCTAAGTCCCTCAAAGCCTCCTCCCCAATGGATTAACTGTGATTTGCGGAAATTTGATGCATCCGTCCTTGGAAAATTCCATGTTATCATGGCGGATCCTCCTTGGGATATTCACATGAGTGTATGTAGCGTACTTTTTGGGGGAGGTTATTTCAACTCTTCATATCCGGTAGTTGCCATACGGTACAATGACCGATGACGAGATGAAGAGCATGCCAATCCCTGCCTTACAGGACGAAGGATTACTATTCTTATGGGTTACTGGCAGAGCGATGGATGTTGGGCGAGAATGCATGCAGGTATGGGGGTGAGTCAACTAATTCAATGAATCTTGGATTCCCATGCGACGATTTTTCCAGCTATACCCGCGTAGACGAGGTTGTTTGGGTGAAGACGAATCAAGTAGGTGTTGAACTGGAAACGAAAATGCCAACTGATTTTCGACCAGCTCCAGCGAATGATACGCACAGGTCGAACGGGCCACTGGTTAAAGTACGTGGTGTTATGTTGGCGTTTTTCGACCTCTGATGCGCGTTCATCCCCAGTCATACCAAAGAGCACATGCTCGTGGGGATCAAGACTGTCCTGGATGAGTCCGGCAACCTCAAGTGGCCATCTTGGGTCAACAGAGGCATCGACACGGACGTGATTGTCAGTGAGGTCCGCGAAACCAGCCGGAAACCGGATGAAATTTATGGAGTCATTGAGAGGATGTGCCCGGGAGGTCGAAAGATAGAAATTTTCGGTCGGAAGCACAACACACGTCCAGGGTTTGTACCGGCGTTTTGACCGGTTTCAGTCCAGCTGATGTAGGCTCCCAGTTGGCTTACACTAGGGAATCAGCTCGGCGACGACTGCATTGTAGATCCCGAGTTGGCAGCACGCATTGAAGCCAGGCAAGTTTCCGACCTGTGCACAGCCCATCTTCGCGGCCCTAATGCTGATCCATTAGATATCCGGGACGTTCATACGCAAATCAGTCGTCGCCCGTCCAGTCACAGTGAAAATAAACAGATATTGGTTGCTCTAGGTTGATCTCTAAGGGTCAGAACGGTGGAAGGAGAAACATGGGGTCGAGGAAGGTTTACGACATGCGGATCTCCTGTTGAGGCCTGGGAGGCAACAGCGAGGAATTGAATGAAAGCTTGGGTTGTGCTGTAACTCGAAGCTATTCTGGGAGGCCCTACAGCCTGTATGATGGGAGCAAGGCTGCAGTTTGAGTAAAACGAAATGTATTCTTTGCTATGTCAATACATGACTGAGCTCGTTGAAACGCTCGGAGAATGAAACTTCAATAGCCTTGCTGTTCGCAGTGTTCAGCAAATGTCAATGCCAACGCTGAAGATATTCTTGAATTCGAAAGGACTCGGATGTGTGAAAGGTGTATCGTACACGAGCATCTCGTCAGGTTCTTCCGAATTCCCTACCTCCGTTTCTTCCCTTTCATTTTGCTTGTCGCAGTCTCAGGCTATTAAAAATGACAAATACAAATTAGGAGAACGTAAGCGCTAAGTTACCTTTGGGACAGTTGATTCAGTATTGTCAGTTGAAGTGCGTTCCTGGTCAGCCTTATTCTTTGTTACGGAGCGAGTAGCGGTCCTCTGCGGTTAAATCAGGCCAAGATCGGTTTGCCAGAGAAGTTGGACCATACGGCTTTCTTTACGACAACCATGTTCTCTTGGGACCTCGATGATTGGTTACGTGATCTCTTTCCACCAATGTCCAAACATTCCAAAGGAACCTCTTCTTCTGTTTCCCTGTCGATGTCAGCTAGCTTCACTTTAGTGGGGATGGGGGTGTCGGCCAACATCTGGTCGGGTTTTGATTCACACTTGAGGGTTGGTGAGTATACAACAGGAAGGTATTGACCAGTATCCGCAATCTACGAGAGGGTGAGAGCTCCAGATGACGAGATTACACAAACACGAACGGGAGGATTTAGGACGTCGAATGCCACGACGCCTGAAGGGGAGGAGGACATCCAGCCGTTAAGATCAATGAGCGTGCGCTGCGGGGCCCCAGCGTGCGCATTTGCTTTCGCCTAAATGAGTTGTTTTAGTGTGGGCGTAAAACGTTCAGTTTGGCAACCAACTTTTGAGTCCAGCTGTTTGGCAAGTTGAGACTCTAACGATTTGATTCTAGACTCCAGGCTTTTGATAGTATTGTCGCGCTGCATGATATTAACGTGTTAGCACAGGCCCTAGGCCGAGGAAACTCACACGGCGAATGTCGTTCCCTTTGGCGACAAGCTGTTGCTCCAGGGAACGCTGACAGGTCTCCATCACGTCCTTCACAACAGCACACTCTGCTTCGCTCTTAGTAATAGACATTAGCCATCGGAATCAAAGTGTCAACGAAACACCAACCAATTCCCTTCCAGCCCGATAACGGGACGCAAATGTGTCGAGTTGGTGCTGAGAATCTGATATGTGTCTCTGAAGTTCTGGAACCAAACGCGCCGTCTCCCGGTATTCTTCCATCTTACTCTGTGATTCTTCTAGCTGACTTGTCAATCGAGCGATGTCGGTGCGGCATTGGCTGATGGCTGAGTTGCGTTCCGCCAGCTTCTCTCGAATCTCATCTTTTTCAACGACTACTGAGCGAAGAGTCAAGTTTGTTTCGGACTCCCTTGCTTTAAGAGACGCCAATTCTGATGCCAGAGAAGTATTCTGAGTCATGAGGCCAGTATGTTGCTCTCGTAGATCGCTGATTGTCGAATCGGCGGAATCCAACTTTGCAGCAGTGACAGCCGACAACTTCTCAGCATCGGCTAGTTTGGATTGAACAGAGGCCAGTTCACTCTGGACCTTTGATGTTGCCTTGGCCGCCTATGCTCGGTAGGATGAAAAGGATAGACGAGAGCTGAGAACTGCAGCCTCACTTTGTCAATCTCATGACTGAAACTTGCGATGATCTCTTCTTTGCGATCGACTTCCGTCTTCGACTGCGAGATGGTGTTCTAGAACACCTGTTTAGTTGAACAATATTGATGACAAACCGAGTTACGGACAATATACTCTTTTTCTTTGCGTGCCAGTTCAGCCGCTTGCTGCTGGACCTCTTGTTCCAATAACTGCAATGCACCATTGAGTATCACCCCCGGGATCGATGTGAATTTTGACAGGAACCTTAATTCTTGTCATACTGTAGAGGGACGTAAGATGCATACCCATGGTGTACAAAAAGATCGCAGACCTCTCCTGATTTGCAATGGTGGCGCTCTCAATGCGAGCCACTAACTTTTCGGCTTCGGATACCGCACTTTCCTTCAACGTAGTGCATTGTATGGCCTTCTCCTGTTCCAATGATAAATTAGTCTGGAGCGTCTTCACCTGGTCCTCAAGGTTGGCTATCTGTCCATTTGCTAAGGCAAATTGCAGTTCAACTCCGCGAAGACGACCAAGATCTGTGTAAATAGCTTTAAGCGCTTCCACTTCAGTCTCTAATGATGTCTTGGAACCAAGGAGCTCTTCGATTCGAGCTCGAAGAGAAGGAATGCAAGCATTTTCAGCCTTGGTGATTCGAAGCTGCATGACCTCGGCCTCATATTCAGTCAACAACTGAATCCTGTGCTTCAGACTAGACTCGGATTCGCGCAAGGCATCGAGTTGGACGCTGACTTCATCATATGATTGTGAGCGGCTTTGAAGTTGAGTCTTCGTTGCAGTCAAACTGAAAGGGCTAAGTAAGGACAAAACCAGAATCTCGGAAGAAGACTCAAGCGCACTGCTGTTGGAGTTCTGACGCCCGAGCGAGCGCCTTATCCAATTCTTCTTTGCTCGATTTCTCTTGATTTCTGAGCCTAATCCTTAAGTCGTTTGCCCTAACAGAGAGCTAGCTTAGCATAGTACCATGACATGCTCAGCGGCACTCACATGCCCTCAGTATCGTTCAATTGGTGCTCCAGAGTAGTAACCTGCGCCCGCAATGCTACTAGGTCATCATTGGCTGATTTGGCCAGGGAAAAGTCAGCGCCTGGGATAGTGGAGCACGAATTGGGATTTCAGTTCCAGAGATTCAAAGGCGAACTCCAGTAAAACAATTTACCAGCCTGCGCAAAGTTCTCCGACAGAGCTTGAAGTTGCTCAGCGTGGCGTGCATTCAGAGTCTCGAGCTGATTGGTGCGTTCCTTCTGCTCCACGAGCTCTCCAGTTGCAGTTTTTAACCTATCTCTAACCATCTCCAACACCTCAGTTTCTTCGAGGAAGTTATCAATGCAGTTAATTAATGCGTAACATTTTAGTTTTGACGTACTGTTGTTATTATCTCGGCTCAGGACTTCAATCTCATCCTGCGCTTCTTTCAAGAGTTGAACGTCACGCAATTTGAAGTTGTAGTTTCCATCGAGGTCGAAAAAAGGTTTGAGGACTTGGGGTGTTCAGTAATTAGGGTCGTAGATGGGGCACTGTAATGATACGCACAACTCTGAGCATCGGATGACTGTCTCCGAAGTTGAGCGATATCGTCCAGCATCTGGGCTAGGTCGACAACCCCAGAGCTTGGCACAGCCGTTCTGAGACTGTCCAGCTCTTGACCCATTTCTTCCAATCTTTAACGAAAAGGCATTAGATACAGACAGATCGCATGGTAAGGTAGCTTTACGCAGCGGAAAATCTTTTGAGCCCAGCCGCAGCCACCTCCTTGCTTTCCACCAGCTTCTTCTCTAAGTCCTTGCAGCGATCCTCCAGATGCCTATTGGTGGCCTCTTGAGACCCGCATCGGGACTCTAATTCTCGGATGGTGGCAGCCTAAGGGACGGAAGCAAGCAACAGGTCAACTATTCTAGAGCACCGGCTCAATGGCATGTACCATTGTCTGATTCTCAATCATCCATGACTCAGCAGATCGCAACGCATCAGCAAAAACAGAAAGCTGGGAAGCACTGTGGTTAGCATTCGAAGCAAAGGAGGGCGCGGGCGACGCCGAAACAGAACTAGCGATGCGAGCGGACGTATCGACCTGAATTTGACTATGAGTCAAAAGTGGAGAATGTGGCAGGGAAGCTCCACTGGTAGGAGCAACCGCTGAGCTAAATAAGGGTTTCCCTTCCGTCTCATCAAGCATCGTGGGCGAGTCGGCACCGGTGGAATCACCTGAAGGAAGGCGAAGCTGAGCCTCGGGCAGAGCTATTGAACATGAAGCCGCAGGAATAGGGGGCCGCAGCTGAGCCGCTACAGAGCCAGAAGGTGAGAAGGATAGTTCACTGGATTCACGCTGTCGTTTCAAACGCAGAATTCGTTCTTGCATCAACGAGGTACCCCGATGTTTCGAGCTGCTCGGAGGAACCGGGGCCATAGAATCTGGCGCATCATGTGAAGGCTCACATGCCACAACAGTATTGGTCGCCGAGTCTGGAAGAAAGCCTTGGGCAGGCCCATCATGATTGTGTCCAGGATACAGAGGTTTGAAACGAGTGGAAATCTCTGAGATGCTTGAAAGGAAGCCACCAGGAAGATCGCGGCTAGATGACGTGCTTTCATCATTCTCGTGGCCGAGTGAAGGTGCCGCAAGTGCAGTATCGGGTGGCTTGGCGAAGGAACGTCGGAATGGACGCGAGCTACCTGTGAAGGGAATCGAGGCAGTAGGGAGAGGTTGTCTAGGTGATTGGGAAGAAGGATCAGCAGGATACTTTGGCCCTTTCGTGAATGAGAAGTTGAGTTTCGGGAGCCGAGGATTGGGCCCACCAGAAAGACTCATGACGGTGGAAGTGCAGGATCCGTGGCTCTGTTGACACATATTTGAGTGGACAAGAAATAAACAAATCGTCACGTAAGATTAAAATTCATGTCTAACAACAAAAATCGGCGAGGATCTACAGCGGTTACCCAGATTCTACTCTAAAGTCCTTGCGTCTTGAGCTTATGCGCGGGGGTGCTCTCACCTCCGTGAATGATTTGCCCTGTCGAAACAACCTTGTAGCCGATAAGATCTTTACCTCTCTCAAGAACAAACCCATCGCGTTCAACCCTATCCCTTCCATCCTTCGGCGGCCCATACCTCGAATCAGGAACATAATCCTCTGCGGCAGCCCTCAGGAACTCTAAGACTGGCTCACGGACCCAACGGTCAGGAGGCCCACCACTTCCGATCGGACTTCCACCGCGGAACCAGCCAAGATGACCCCCGGATGGTGTTACTGCAAGAGCACATGTCTGGCCATGGGCTGTTTCCTCGGTTGGAGAGAAACCGACAATCGGGTCATCGGCAGCGTTGATGGCGAGAAATGGTACTCGAATAGAGGTTACATGCCGATGACTGCTGGCCCACACATCTGTTGCATGCTTTAGTCCAAAACGAATCGAAAATAGGTAACCACCGTCGGGCTTACAGTATTCATCGGCAGACTTGAAAGGAAAAGGCGGAGAAGAACCGCCACAGAACCGGGTTAGGGCGTGGTCAACTTGCTTAAGAGTTGGATTTTTCAAACTGAGAATGTTATCCATCTGAGGGGCCAGTCGATCGTCTGGTGGTAGCTTCTGAAGGGTGCCAACTGGATGGGAGAAATGTCAGCAAGCAGCAGTCAAAGGTATACGACAACTCACCGTGTCCTCGGATTAATGCCATGAGATTGCCTCCCAAAGCGGGAGCATACAATGTTTTCGGAATGAACTCTGTTTCCAATCTAACCCCCCAAGTCCTTAGCTACGTGGAGGCAGGGTATTACTTCGACTCTACCTTATGCTATTTTTGACAACATCCCAGGGCTGCCAACCAGGTTATTTCGCGTCAAGAAAATCGACAGAGGCGGGCTCACACAGGCAAGTACAATGCCAGCCTGCAGTCTACTCCACTCTTTCTCCTCGCCCAAGTAACGAGTCATCACATTGGCGCCAAGAGAGAACCCGAGACCGATGAGTGGAGCTTTTGGGAATTTGTGTGAAATAAACAGTAGACCGCAACGTAAATCCTCCGTGTGTCCAGCGCTGTAGAACTGTTGCAGTCACTGAGGTTTGGTGTTCCATTGGTCCGACAGCTGTATTACTCACTTGCCAGCTAGTAACAGGTACGTTTGCGCCTAGTCAAATACTGCTCAATACAGGGCCGAGTGAGGTGGAAGATATAAAAACTCACATCCTCGGAAATTGATCACGATTCCTCTGTAGCCTAAACCGCCTTGTGATTTTGGCGCACAAGAATGAGCGAGAATGGAGCGAACATAAGACTCATATGATCCGCCAGTCAAACCATGCTGAACGACAACGATGGGTGTATCATCAGGGAGGTCAGGGTTTTGTTCAGTCGTTGGTGTCATGTCCAGTCCCAATGTGCCTCCATCAGGGGTTCGGAGCAACGTGCTTGACCCATACGTGAATAAATACGACAGAGGTTGTGAAAACGGGCTCTTACCGCTCGTACAGCAGTTGATCAGTCTTCGTGAAATCCCCAGAAACGACATAGAAAGTCTGAAGATGTCCACTAGGAAGCCACCAGGAAGGTCTGTAGCCCTTGTACAAACTAGGGTCGATTTCATCAACTAAATGTGCACAAACAGGGATAAAATCATACAAGTCCACACACCTTGGCACCCTTGACTCGAGAAAAGTCTTGATACTCATGGACTCGACCTTCTTCCTGGGAAAATGGTTCTGCGAACCATTGCCATTGGCATGTGTCGCATCGCTGTTGGCTTCATTGCTGACAATATCAGGTGCTCCCGCACGTTGGCGGACTTTGAACAGCAACGGTGAAGCAGGGTAGTACACGTTCGGGATATGCATCCCTGTAACGTATCCCACAGCTAGCAAAATTGGGAGAATAAGAATCGGAAGGGCCTGCAGAACAAAGGGCATGGTCCTCCAAGCAATCCGCTTTGGGCAGACGCACAAAGGGAAAGGAGCCGTGTCACCATGGACCCCATGGAGTCAAGATTCGCACGCCCATGCAACGAGGACCCCAACAATTGCTGCGATCCCCATAGGTTCGCCCCAGCCGGATTAACGCACAACACTCATCCCCGAACATCCTGTGGCTGATGGCTGTGAACGGAGCTTGCTCCGATTGGGTAGTTCCTCGTCATATTACCGCAACTGCTGGTCTATTGAATTGGTACTCAGGCGGCGCAAGCATATGCGGCCGCGTCGGTTAGCAGTAGAGGCTGGGATCCTGCGCAGCCTAGTACGTTGGTTAGGTAACTTGATGTGTGCCACCTCTGGGATTCTGGCAGATGGCCGAACAATTAGATTAATCCAAGACATCCCTTTGAGTGGGCTGGCTATGCGGGCTTCAGGACCGTGCAGCGCGCTTAGCAGGAAGCAATGAATAGAGGAACAAATCCTCACCATCGGCGATGCACTTATGCATTTAGCGAGAAAGTTCGCTAGCGATCTGCAGCCCGATCGAACCAAACTCCACTCGAAAACAGGTTTCATTTGTGTAATGTAGGCAAACTAAACCAGAGACATGCATGGATGCTCAAAGATGAGCTAGCTAATAATCAAAGACAAAGCATAGGCGGCGGGGTAAAAAGACAAGAACGTAGCCAAGTAAAGGGTGGGAGGGTAAAACGTCTCTTACAAAACGCACAAGAATTGTCGAATAAGTCCACAACCAAAGATTAATACGGACGCATATACCATAAGTACAAATACACATCAGACAGATTCCCGACGTTTCAACACGCCGATTATGCGACTCCTCGACGGAAAGAATACGAGAAGCCTTGATGTGTGGATGTGGACGGTGGACGAACAAAGACGTCAGGAAGAACCTCCTGCTTGCGAAGAATGCCGCGTGCTTTGCTAGTTGCGGATCGCGCCAGTCTCAGAGGTCTCAGACCGGAGACAGGGGTATCCGGCATATCTTCCTCGATGCGATTCTCGTCTTGGAATTGAGACGAAGTGGTCGACTTCTTGCTCTTCTTCTTTTCAGTAGTTGAGGTACCAGACGACGTCGTGGATTTCATTGAACGCTTCGGCGTATTAAGCGGAAGCGTCTTCTTATCCGTGACACTCATGCTACTATCCTTTGGTGTGTTCGGGTTCCGGCCCTGCAACAAACTCAAAGGCCGAAAAGGCGATTTTGAAGGCAGATCCGAATCCTGATTCGGCGAGGCAGCTTCAAGCAAAGCGGACATTCTACCAGTTGGCAAAGAATAGTTGGCGGGCTCTGCGACTGGCGCAGAGACGCCAGCGGTGGGGATCGGAGGCCACGCCTGTGGCACAAATGTAATCGAAGGCGGCTGTTCTTTGTCTTGGGTATTGGCCGAAGTGGGGTAGATCAAGTCAGGCTGAGCATGAGCAGAATCAGAAGATTTGATATAGATAACACTTGAATGCTTGCGGGGCTGCTCAGACGTGATTGACGGGCGCTGAACTTCATACTGGGAAGCCTGGGGCACGGCCATGGCGAGTGGGGTCCCATCTGGATGCGGAACGATGAAGTTATCGCTGGGCAGTGGCGTGATCATTAATTCGTGTGGTTCAACAGATAGCGCATGGGGTGTGGGAAGGGAAACAGGAGGCGGAAGAACCCATCTGCTGTCGAGTGCTGGTGAACTGCAAGCTGGACTATCCGTGCTCAGGATCATTCGACGGCGCGAATCATCGTCATTGGCAAGAATCCCAAACTCCTGGAGAGCAGAAGTGATCTCGTCTTTCCATGGTTGACCACGTTTCAATCCGAGACTGAAGAAAGAAGTCAAAGGACGCAGGGAAGGTGAAGATTCGTCTACTTACGACGGAAGACTAAGATGATGGCGCTTCGACTTGCACAACTTCTTAGGGGTTGAGTGGGTTTCGGGCGAGGAGAAGCCCAAAGCCCTCAAGCTGTCAGAAATGGATCCCATCTTCGAAAGCTTGGTAGATTTAGGGGTAGATGAAGCGGCTGCATTCCGCATTAACTCCTCCATCTCGGACTCATCCAATGTAATGAACTTCTGGGGGAGAGAATCCATTCCATTACCATTGCCAAAGCTGAACTCGGGTCCCGCAATGCCTCCAGACCAGTCACGACGAATACGAATGTCTTCGCCTTGAAGTTCGGGCAGAATCGATGGCAAAAACCGGGCCGAAAGAATGTCGAAATCGCGACCCGCGCTCCCTGTCGACCTGGGAGTCGCTAGGGTGGAAGCGTGCGATTGCGAGCGAGCATGTCGGAAAATCGATGATGGCTTGGAGTCTGGTGTGGGGGGAAGAGGGAAAGCTGGTGGCGGTGTCAAGGGTACGTTTCGAACACTCAAAGGCTTCACGGCGAGTGAATGAGAAGTCTTGGAGGAGGCAGAGGAATGGGACCTTCCATGTCCAGAAACGGAGGAACGATTCCTCACATGTCCCGAAGCGAATGAATGTCTCTTGGCGACCGAGGTGCTAGTAGCATTGGTGGGAGCAGGGTCACTAGCATCAGCAATAGTTTCCAAAACGGTCGGCTGGAAGTTAGCTTGGAGAGTTGGCGAGGTCGGGTTGCTCCTTGTTATCGCAATAAGGCTCGCAGGAGCGACAGAAGAATAATGCTTCTCAGCGACCATGATTTGCGCTTTGAATGTTTCTGAATAGTACGATGATCCCTTTGACTCAAAACGAGCACGCTCAGCCTTGTTGGCAGCTTGTTGAGCAAGGATCTTGCTGGCGGCCTCGATGACGGGATCGGAGTCATACTGTGCACCAATGGTGACGCTTGCAGGTTGGGCGCCAGGTTCTGGGGTAGGGTTGGTTAGGGTTCGCCCGCCAATGGACTCTGAAGATGGGGCAGGAGGATCAAGTGAGAAAAGCCTTGGCGAAGGAGCCGCCATGCCCAAGATCTGCTTATGTGAACAGATTAAAAGCAGACAAAAAAATTTTTTCTTTCTTTCACTTACCCTAGATAACTTGCTGTCATTGTCTGAAGCATAACCCTTTTCAATCCAAATATCACCACTTCTCCTGCCAGGGACGAAAGTCATCTGGCTGGCACTGCGGGGTACCATATCGGCGGGCAACGCCGGACCGCTGGAGACAGTGGTTGTGGAAATAGACCCCATGAGATCTGCTCGTCCAGCCGCCGGGGCAAATAATTCTGGCGGGATGACTGGAACAGGCCCAGCGCTACAGAAGACGTGAACGGCGAGGATTGGCGAGGACAGCGTCACGCTCAACGTGAGGAAAATGAAAGGAGCGCTGGTCGAAATCGGAGAAGGAACGCATTGCATTGCGATATAAGGCAACGCGCAAACTAAAGGCACCCAAATCGACAAAAACCATCCAAACATACGCCAAGGTGCCAAGTTCTCGGCTCCGGCATTGCACTCATCGAGGGCGGCCTTCTCGGCATCAGGGATGGGGGGATGAGGCCCGTAACCACCAAGAACCACTTTGGGCTTCACCAAATCCTCACCAGAGGACTTGGGGTACCATTGATCACGGGATGCACGTGGGGATGGCTCAAAGGCAGTGGGTGTTACCGGTGTAGAAAGGCGGTCCGTCGCCGGAAGATCCAGAGGTACATCTTCAAACCGGTCATGTGTACTGGCGGCAGGCGAAGAAGGCCGAGTAGTCGGGAATGAGAATTGGGTAGGAGTCGAGACACTTCCCGAAGGTTCGGTAAGCCAAGAATTCTGCGACCCGACCCCGGTGCTCTTTGGCACCTCACGCCGGAAGGGGTCTGTCTCAACGCCCAGGGGAGAGGAGGTCCGCTTGTACTCCCGGGGGAGTTCTGGAACTGGTGGAACTGGCTCAGAAGATGGAAGCCCATTATGCAGGTTGGGAGTCGACGCAGGACCAAACCAAAAACTAGATTTTGCCGGGATTGAGTTTGAATATGGATTAGCTGATGACGAAGGAGCAGCTGCTGATGACACGGTGGTCGAAAAGGAAAATGCAGACGTTGAATGAGTCCGCTCACTGCGGACAGACGTGAGCCATGAACTTCCATCTTTCAGAGCATCAATGTCCTCAGTAGCGAAACTTCCTATTCTTTTCTTTTGGGTCATCGGAGGCCATTCTTCTCTCTCTAATGCAGCCGCCGCAAGGTGTTTGCGAATTCGCAAGAGATAATAAAGAAGAAGTCCGAATGCCAAGGTAGAGGCGACAGCGACAACACTGGAGTAGACAAGTGTGCCATAGAAGAAGCTACCGGTGTGAGCAGTGCTGAGGCCACACGCGCAAGCAGTAGATATGATGACGAGGGAAACCGTTGGGCCCCAGACATAAAAATCGTTCATTCCTAGGACTCCGTGTTTCAGTAACATGGGGAGGTAGTATCGGAAATAAATCTCACCAAATGTAGGGGTTTTTCCCGACCTAAGATGCAAAAGAGTGAGCGTTGCCACGACAAGGAGACAGCTTTGGCGAGCAGTCAGTGCAATCCAAAGACGACCAGCAGCCCCCGCCGACGAGTTAGCGTTGAGAGGTTGATTAGACATCATCTCTGCGACAGCTTCCCAGAGGAAAGCTGCTAGCGCTAGAATGTCGCAAGCTGCGATGTAAAGTGTTGCCCTCTGAGCTGGGGTTAGCGACCGCTTTGCAAGGCCAAATGCCTGGCGGGGCAATCGCCTGCTAAGGGGGTGAGGGGGCATGATCGGGATAAGAGTCGTTAGTATGACATAGACGGAGCATGTGAAAGACAGGATGGCAAGAACCATCAGTGGAGTGAAGGGGATGTTGTCAGTGAGCATGTTGGCTGTTGAGCGTCGTTGAATGAGAGCGCCGTGAACGGTTCTTGATCACCGATGTCGTCTTCAGAAAATGAACGTCGTAATAAGCGTCAAAATTGAACCAAATCGTCAACGTCAAGAATATGACAGCTGAGAGAGGGACCAAAGGAAAGGAGGAACGGATGAAGGTTGGGAAGAGGTTACATGCATGCCCATCCTGCTGATGAATGTTTGACACCATTACTACAACAAGTCCAAACAACGCGCTGTCACGCGTCCAGAAATGGTCGGTAAGCATCTAACCAAAACCAAGAGACGTCTGGGGTGCCCACAGGAACGCTGCAGTCCTGTGCTGAAGATAAAATTTTGAGTATTGACAGAGGCAGGGATGCTGTAATCATGTACAAACAATGTCAAGGCAGTCGCCGAGGATCTGTTTGACGGCCCGATGTCACTCTCTAAATCAATTCAATTCATATCTCCTCCAGTGCTTTACACTCGCGCATAGCTGTCGCTTGGATTCAGCCTTCGTAGGCCGGCCAAAATGCTTGTCGCCTTCCTTTCATTTAGCTGGTGCAATACCGCACCTCAGTTCCTTGTGTACCACCTTTTCAAATCGATCTGGACTTATAAACTGGCTGAACAGCAGTACCCGTGACGAGGGCCGGGACCACACTTATGTGCGTAATGCATTTCCTCACAGTGACAGTTCCGATCCAAGCCAATCCTTAACCTAACGGGTTTATCCATTTCCCGACACAAGCCCCAAATGCAGTGATGTATCGCGAAAGCTACAGGGGTTCCACTAAAAAAAGACAAGATAAGTGGTGCCTCTCAAACAAGGACCACCTTGCGCATGTGGTTAGAGGGGCGTGACGGCAGTGGCGGCGGTGCCTATAGGCTCTATCGCCGTCCCAGAAGCAACCCAAACTGATTCTTGTAACGTTGGATATTCGTCTTGACGCAAACTCATTGCAGATGCATGGATCGAATCCCCCGACCATTTGAACCTGTTTTGAACCACCTCACGGGCCTGTGCCACCAGTCCTTCACGGGTAATTATAAGGATCCGCGTGGGATTTGGATGTCGAGGGGAGCAGTTCTCCCGATCAGGAATGAAATTTCGTGAAGCACGGGTGCTTGATGTTGGAGATTACTGCCGATCTGTTGAAGGTATAGATGCCCAATTCAGTCAGGCGAAGTAGGACTGGCACTTGCTGGCATGACCGTAAGCCATGCAGGTCTAGGCGCCTGCGGAGCCGTGTAACTCCGCAATTTGATATTCTTTGAGTTCCAAATCTTTCGCGAAACCACCATCATGGCTACGTGAACAGTGTGTACTAGGGGCCTCATGACGTGGTTGTCTTGGTGCGGGTGGCGCAAACTTACAAGCAACGGGCGACGGCCATTTGTTGGGTCGCCATCAAACCTACTGTGACTGGGTTACGAGGGGGGAGGCATTGTTGATAGCTGTGCACGCGAGCACCGATCTTCCATTACAATGCCTTCATCAGCGCCGCAAACCAATGCACCGCTGGAGTGCGTGGCCGCGGGAAAGCTAAAGGCACAGCCTTGACGCAATGATTAACTAATTTGGCAGTCGCTCCCAGCGCGGAGCTCCCCGTTTGAATAGGCCGGGTTGGTGTTTATGATGTCCCCTACATAAGACTCCGGCGCACAGCGCGGGCATTGGAACACAAGAGTTAGCGATCCAACGGTGCCGCAAAAGCCATGGACCCTACTACAGAACAACCACCAGCCGATGAACTACCGACTTATGAATCGTTGGCCCAACAAGAACCCACCAACGGCAGGTTAGCACCATCACGTCAGCCAGTAATGAAAGAATAATAATGAGTCCAACCACCCACAGGTTCGGGCGTTGGCTCGAGTGGATCGAAAAGAGGGGATTGGAAAGACACGGCGAGTCGCAGCTGGCCCGGAGACACTTCATGAATCGCGGGCTTGGGGACATTGAAGCGATGGTATGTCGTCCTTCGCAATGCTAGACACAGGAGGAAATATTCTCGCCCCTTCATGCTGAAATTTTTGCCGTTCCAAGCTTGGGCCATCACCAATATCCCCAAGTTTCCCAGGATTCCATTTTGATCCGGAGATTCTCAGTGTTGGGCGATTTCCATCCGCACATCATCTGTCCCCCGATGATTCTCAAAGAGTATCCATCGGAAAAAGATTAATGCCTAGTAATGCTTCGATACATAACTTTGGGAGCAGGTTTATACCGCATTCGACATCTCGTATTAATGCCATTCTCCCCATTATCTCGGATCGCTTCTTACTAATCGGTTCTGATGACGGCCTCTCGGTTCTCGATGCATTACCGGCTCTTCATGGCGGCACGTCTATGTTGAACAATGGCATTTTGAGTCTCAGTGATGCGAAGACTCGTACGATCTGGACTGGCGATGCCGTTCACCAACTCGCAGTTTTAGAGATGTCACCTTCAGATACCATTGGGATCCACCAAGGCGTCGTCTTGGCTCTCGTAAGCTCCAATCTCCCAGGGGAGGCACACAAGAAATTCGTCCGGATGTACAGTCTTTCAAGTTTGTGCAACTTGGTGACGTTAATGGTCAACCAACCGGTATATCATTCTCATACCTGCTCACCATGTTCTATTCTTGATGGCAGAGTTTCAGGAAACGGTTCCGGTCGACCTTGGGCGGCCAACTGGCTGGGCTAGTGCACCGCCCCAGGCGAAGCGACACCGACCAGCTAGCAGTATTACCCGAATTTTGTCCATTCTCGAATCCCCATCTTCTCAAAAAGAACGACGGGCAGATCAGAGATATTCTAATCTGGCTACACCCTCAAGCTCACGCCATTCTCGAGCCTCTTCAACACCGTCACACCCTAGCTCGAGTTTATCGTCTGGAGACCCTGCATGGGACATAATAGACGATTTACCACTCAAATGGGCTAAGGACTATCTCCCTCTGGCACCGGCATATCTAAAACTAGCAGATGGAAGTGTCAGCAAGTTCGAGCTTTTCCAGACAGACGATCGATCGAAGAATGGTCCTTCAGTGTTAGCCGTTGGCGCCAAGAATCACATATACATATTCGAATCTGGGAAGGGTGAAAGGGCATTTCGTTTTGCCAAAGTTAGAGAAAGCAATTTTACACCACGAACATCACTAATTCGTCATATTCAGGAACTATACACCCCGTTCACGGTGGCTCATATGAGATTCGTTTACCAATCTACAAACGATGGGCTGCTCATGTCTAGACACACAGTGGGCCCTGGAGCGTACAGACATAATCGAAACCCGTCGCTAACAGAACTCACCGAAGCCCGATCTATTTCCCTTCGTGCATCCTGCACATCGAAAACTGAAGAAGTTTTCAAAACGTCCAGTGTTTTTGCTTCTCAACTTTGCCTTTTCGTCTCTTTTGGTGAACGTGCAGCAATCATTGGGCTATCTGACTCTGCTGTAGAAGAAGTGTCACTACGCGACGATATTCCCCCTCCAGTTTCACGACCATATAGCTGCGATCAATCCCAAGATCCAGCCACCGTCGGCCCTTGGCTCCCCATCGCATACCTTAAATTCCCGTCACCACCAACTTCAATCACGAAAAACGACCCAGAAGCCATAGGTATTTTCACCGGGAGCCTCGAAGCGGTCTACATTCTCACCAAAGGCCGACGAACGCATATCCTCCGATCTCCCTTGCCTAACCCTGCTTCCTCGGCCAAAGCACTTATAGAACTCACATGGAAAGAACAACCTTCTGAAGTGAAACCCCGAACCTGTATACATACCGAGCTATTCATAAATGCTGCACCCGATTCTCGCAATACGACACAGCAACTCCAACTCCAATTAATGGCATTTAATGGCACAGGGATCGAAGTCATCGAAGTTCCAATTTCCGCCATCCAAGCCGCTGCACAGGGTGAAATCGCAGGTCAAATGTCCCTCCGGGGGAAGGGGAAGGGAAGGGCACTCCCTGCACCTCCTGGTGTTGAATATGTTCGAGCCAAAATGGATCTTGGCGGTGAGGCTACCTTCCTCGCAACCGGAGGACAGTGGGATGGATTTAAGGGGTTAGGAAGACTTGAACGGGCTGCCAGCACGACGAGCAGTGTGTTTGGCGAAGATGTGAGGGATAGGAGTGGAGTCTACGCATGCTATGAGAAGGGGCCAAACGATTACAGAGTGTTTTTTATAGGGGATTACGCTCAGGGAGACGAGTTGGTGGAGGAGAACGACGGCTTTTAAGCACTTCCTTCGGATTAAGTATAATTTTCTTGCGAACATCTCATGTTGCTATAACACACATGTAATCACTCGTAGCGAATTGATTAGGATCCAGGAAAACTAGAACTGAAAAGCACTATTGAACCCATCGAGAACAAGGAGTGGAAAAATGCAGTCCGTGACTAATAGAGGTGCTCGAAGTATGTTGAATTAGATGACGTGGTGGAGAAGAGGAAGGCTTGGATAACATTAGGGTATAGGTAAATCATGTTGATGCAGCAGAGTCGCGAATCGCAGGCCCTGAGGCACTCGAGCCAGGTGCATCACTATGTCGCTGAGGTCTAACCACCGCAAATGATCTCGGTTGCGCTTCGCCATCTGCTGTGTCGTTGCTTCCACGAGAATTCTGAGTTGCATGTGGCGATGGCTTCTTCCGTACGACAAGAAATGAGGATCCACCCCCTTCACCGGATTTTGTCTCGCCAAATTCTCCAACATCAGACTTAGAAGCCTCAGTGGAATTTTTGCTGTGCTTGAACCGCGAGAACCAGCCGCCTCCTGATGATTTTGTTGGTTCCACATCATCGTCATCATCATCTCTGTCCGACATCCGTCTGTTCCAGAACTTTCCTTTCTTCGGCGGCGAGCTTGAGGCGGATGAGTCCGCGTCATCGACAAATGTTCGAGGGAGGAAGGCTGGGACTGGTGCCCCCTCGATGACTGCACGGTGCGATTGATTCCGTGCATGTCGGGATGGGGGCATCGCACCTGGAGGAAGTCCCGAAGATGCAGCAGCATTGAGACCTGTCCGCCCAGGCGAAGTGATAGAGAACGGCGAGTCAGCGTGCGCGCGTCCGCCTCCAACACGAGCGAAACCAGATGTCGTGGTCGCCGGCGTAGTCTCACTGTTTTCTGGACTAACTGGTTGATATGAAGGGCCACCGAATGTGTGGTTTCCCCATGCTCCCATGATATATCCGGTCTCGTCGTCGGCATCCTCTCTGTAAGGTAAGAAGGCTTGTTCGGGTCGAAGGAAAGACGGCGGAGAATTCTGATGCATGAGCCTGTTCGGAGATGATAACCCGAGAGATGATTGTGGAGTACCGTGAGGCACGGCGCTACCTGAGGATCGAGGGTTTTTCCGTTTTTGGCGACTTCGTCTCTTTATTCCACAACACCCAGCAAGACTTAAAGCACCAAGCAGACCGCTGTCCATCGAGTGTGTCGACTTGTCGAACGGCACCCGGCCAATCAGTCGTACGAGTCCCTCAATAGCCTTGACTAGCAGCATGAGAAGAAATGCGAGATACACTAATGCTTGAATAACAATAATCGAATAGGCTATCCAACCACCTGCGGCATCACCAACTGATACCTGGACCAAAAGCACTAATGTCAATCATTGTGATGTTCAGCGAGATATACTGAGACTAACCAACGGGCACAAGATAATTAGGAGAACCACCGTGACTATACGCGCCACACAGAAGATGAAACTCAATACACCCATGCTCGCCCTTTCCCCCCAAGGGAGCCATATGCTCGTCGCAAGCGCGGATGCAACCTCAATAACAAGGATAACAATTGCCTGAGTAGTCCCACTCTTCTGGCCAGCACCAATCGTTATGCCGAGTGCCAAGCTGTGCGCAAGAGCAATAGCGGCAAACATCTCGGAACCCTGGGCGTAATGAGAGTATAGCGGTCCGAGTGCAAGTAAAGTGCGCGTTGCATCATACAGCTTCTTTGTCGGAGTTAGCGCTAAACGCACAAGGAGAAGCGCTGGTATAAGAACACAAATGATGGCAAAGCACAATGACGCCAAGGCAATTGAGCTGGCGCTCGACTTCATCACGTGGGAAAACTCGTAGGTTGTGAAAATGGTGAGAGGGAAATGGAATAAGATCAGGACCCGCACGAGATTGCCCTGGAGTACGCTTCCGTGAAAGGAACTTTGACCCAAACGGTAATGCCACCAATGGCGCGACATGTGAGGACCGGAACGTGGCAATGGTTGGGAAATAGTGTCATCGTCCATTCGTAGTGCGGTGAAGTCCGGCTCCTTGTTGAGTTCGGATGACGCGCCCCCAGAGAATCTAGGACTCAGGCTGCCGCGTCCATGCCCTGTCCTCGGTGTACGCGTGAGCAACGAGACAAACCAGTCGATAGCCCATATCAGAGAGCTGATAACTATCGTTACCCCAACGATGCTGAAGAATAACTTTGCACAAGTTGGGAAGAGATCCTGTGGTCTCAAACCAACGGCGGCTGCAAAGGACTTTATCCCATTACTTGCATCACCCGGAAGAAGATAGAGCTGATTGGGGATAGACTGGTCCAAATATAGGGGGGAGCTAACATTTGACATCTGATCGGCGAAGCCTGAAGGAGGTGTGTAATTGGCTTTCCATGGATTCCAATGGTTCGTTCCAGCATTCCGGTCTGCCGACAGAGTAATATCTATGGAAAGAAACAGAAATCACTTACTGCAACGACACAAGGACTCGACACATACTGTATTCCAATACAGACCATGCTGTATTAACCAGGATTGGGTCTGGACAACAAATGGGCGCAGAGCTTACAAAATTGTGAACGTAACTCACAAGCAAATGTTGGCCATTGAACGGCGATCATGATCAAGGAGGCGCACCTTGAAAAGGGTCACGATGAAGCCCGCGGTCGAAGAATAATATGCTCACCACTGGGTATGGAAAAAAACATCTCTCCACGAGGGTGTCGCAAAGCGCAGTAAGGCACTGTGAGTCGAAAGTCTTTCCCCACTGATCGCACTTGCGAGGACCGTGCCAGCCCATCTCACGCCTGACCAATCAGGTTTCGCTGCACCACGACTCCAAGCAGCGGAAATGCGCGCCAGTCCGATTACAATCCAGTATAAAATCACCAATCCAACGCTGAGCCAGAATAGGATCTGAGGGTAGCCGAGGTTGCTTGTCTTGTTCTGATCCCGAACCGCGGTGACGTCAACATCGACACAGGCAAGCTCTAGGGCATTAGCCGAAGGATCCACAACGCGAACACGTGTAACGATGGAACTTAGGTTGTAGTCATGTAAAAGTGGTGATGTGACAGAGAATGCGAGTTGACCTGGAGATATCGGACAGTATGTGGAGTCGTTCGAAGGCGCAGGCAGTGGAGAAACAGGGCGGACAGTATTACAGAACCATGAGTTGCTCTGGTTCAAAGTAAAGGTGAGGACGGATGTCCGGGTGAAGAAGGTCGCTGACGGGACGAGATAGTGAGGCGAAAATGGCGAGACGCCTAGCCTCATGGACTTACTGAGAATCAAATTGCCCTGGTCGTTCTTAGCAGAAGGCACGATAGTATTCCCAGTAGCGCCAATTAATACAGTTTTGAGATTCTTTTGCCCGCCTACGTAGATTACCTGAGAGTAAACTTCGCTGATGTTTATGTGGGACTGAGGGGTCGAAGATAAGGCTGAACGAGCGGCGGAGGAAGTACAGTCGCTAAAGGGGACGGGAGCTGGCTGACAATAGATGCCAGCCAGAGAAGATAAAACTAACAAAAGCCACTCATTGGGCCGCATTTAGACTGGAAGATGAAGTGAGGGCGATGCAACAAGAGGGGGAGTTTGTCGCGCACGTGACCGTCCCAGTACGTAATTTACGGCGCTTAACCCACAGGCGCCGTGAATGCCAGTCAGACCGTACTGCAGTGTCCTCTCGCCTATCTGAATGCTACGCCCTCGGACTTCTCGTGTTGTGAAAGTGGAGTACCAGACATCTTTACCTGCCGTACATTTATTTTTCGAGTCCGGGCGCTTAATGTATCCCGTTGCCGCAGCAATGCAGATATCGTAATGGAAGGTATTATCCAAAAAGTTTTGGCACATACTTTGAGACAGGGACAGCGTGGACACGTAATTTGGGGACGATCGGTGATAATAGGGTTGCAGCCGAATCACAAACATGGTGTCACAACTGCGCAATACGAGCTGTATGAAAGAACCGCTACAGATGAGTTATTTGTAGATTTCAACGTGGCGAGGCAAGCGCCCCCTGATTTTCTGGGATAATTTGAACACGGCGACACGTCAACTTAATTGTATAAATCCGCCTCGGCTGAACCCGGCCTTTCTCAAAAGGTTCCTCTTCAAACACCTCGCTCTCAATTATCAGCCTCGTTACTCTTCATCATGGGTCTTTCAGTTTCCCGACTTCTTAGCACCCTTTTTGGGAAGAAGGAAATGCGTTCGTACCATCTATCATCGCTCAGATGAGTCTTGTCCAATTTGGGCTGATCTTCTCACTTTCATTGCTGTGTCTACACCTACTGCATGATGAACATGTGTAGGTATCCTAATGGTTGGTCTCGATGCTGCCGGTAAGACCACCATCCTGTACAAGCTCAAACTCGGCGAGATCGTCACAACTATTCCAACCATCGGTGTGCACCTGATGTCCAAATGACGCCGAACTTCAAAACTAAATCTACACAATAAACAGGTTTCAACGTCGAGACCGTTGAATATAAAAACATTTCATTCACTGTGTGGGACGTTGGTGGACAAGATAAGATTCGTCCATTGTGGAGGCATTGTGCGTCCTTTTTGTTGCCAAACTTTAGCGGTTCTCCACTTAATCATTCGCGATTTGTCATCACAACCGAACAGACTTCCAAAACACTCAGGGAATTATTTTCGTCGTCGATTCTAATGATCGTGAACGTGTGTCTGAAGCCCGAGAGGAGCTGCAGCGCATGTTGAACGAGGACGAACTCCGTGATGCTCTACTCCTCGTTTTCGCCAACAAGCAGGATCTTCCGAATGCGATGAATGCCGCTGAAATCACTGACAAACTGGGGCTCCATGGCTTGAGGCAGAGGACGTGGTACATCCAGGCTGCGTGCGCGACAAGTGGGGATGGGCTGTACGAGGGTCTCGAATGGGTAAGCATCAAACGCACGCGAGGATACTGTGCATTGATCCTTCTGCTGTTGTGTTTTAGTTGGCAACCAACATCAAGCGACGTGTTTAGAGCCAGTCAATTATTGGCATCCTTTTTCGCCTCAATAGTGATTTACTGTCCATGGGGTATCGGTCTCAAGCGACAGTTAGTCCCGACGCTAAAAGGATCACGGCCACTTGTTTCTTCATGTTTTTACCTTGTCTCTCGAAATTCACGTTTCTCGCACCATATTTATTGTGGATTTGAGCCTGGACGCTTCATCGTTAATCAAGTTAGACATTTTCTCCAAGATGCCACCAAAGGTCTTGATTAGCATGGGATTGTAAATTCGATGGAATGGTCAACAAGTCCACACAACGGAAGGACCTGGTACCTGCCCAATGCAAATGCTGAAATATAAACACAACGAACTCAATTGCAATGCCAAGTAATAAAGTTGTGCGTATGTACTAATTATACAGCGGACCACCTCTTTTGGCGCTGTTCTGCTCGAGCTTGACGGCATAAACGATCCTGCTGCCCTGATGGATGGTGGCTGGTGTGATGTTTGCTCCTCCACTTGACTTTTGAAGAGTACCCATTAATTCTAAGCATTTCACATACCTCAGGGCTTACTGCATGCTTTACTTTGAAATTCCCTAAGATGTAAACTCCCAAGGGCCTTAACATTGGTGGTGGTCAATTGCTGCGCTAAACCCCATATCTTTTAGAGGTTGGAATCGCCTAAATAAACTATTCTTCCTATTCTTTTTATTCTCGTCATTTTATTGCAGCACCAGTCCCCCTCACTTCATCCGATACGTCGGAATCGCAGGAGCGTAATCGCTTCGTCGCTTAACCCCCTGTAGGCCCCGCAGGCTGAACGGTCTATCAGATGGAAATCTCAAATCACGAGCCCCCGGGATCTCTATCCTGATTATTGCAAGCCGTCTTGATGTCCTGCCGAGAACTGACGAAACTGACCCGAAGGAAGGGGCTGACGTGGATCGCGGGAAGGTAAACCAGTGCAAGAGGGATTGCTTTGGTACGTAGAGCGGAAGGTGTGCGGCCCTCCTGGCCAAGTATAATGGGCATAAAGACACACGCCATTCAATTGCTTTATGCCATAATGTTACCAAAACATGTTGCAGTCACCATTGCGCGCAAGATAGGGTTTTCTGAGAACGCGAGCGCTTCCACTCAATACTCGTTCAGGAATTGAAGAGCGCCACGGGACACGAAGGCATAGTTGAGCGAAGGGCGATTGAAGACGCGACGTTTCTGCCAACAGAATCCCCTTCGAACCGTTCTAAACGTACGGCTGGGGCACCACATATTCGAGTGTCCAGCCTGGGAACATTCGATTAGCAGGGTTAGCATCGAGGGCTAGGAACCCGCACACAGACCGGCAACACGGAGCTCGGACAAATGAGATGCGACAATGCAACAGTCGTGACATACATATTCAAATCGCTAGCATGCTCCGACCCGGCTATAGCCGGTGCGGAACACAATGCTCTGGACTGTTGATCGGTACAATGCATTTGTCACCATCTACATACAATGAGGCTACCTGCGCATGCTGGCTGCAAAGTCGGCGTGACTACTTTCTCTCAGGTTGCTAAAACACCCAGAAAATGGTTGGCGCCGATGCTGCCGAATGGTGATCCAGCACTTCAACTTGAAGAGATCTGTTATAATGTTTTCTATCCTTGCCGTGAGCCACAGCCCACCTCACAAAGGCGCCTTCCATGGCTGGTGAGGTAAGCCTGCTGTCAGTCCGCTATTCTGACATCAGCGTCTATATGACATACCCTAATAGGCCCCTGCAGGATTTCCTGCACGGTTTCACCAAGTTTACTGGTGCGCATTTTCTTCGCCCATGTCCCCATTGCTAAAGCCTACATTTTGATTCATTTATTAAGGCGTTTCAAAATGGTTTATCTGGCCTTTTGTCTATCTGTATGGCCGTTTCGTTACTGTGCGTCCCTCGAGGACTCCCAGTGCCTCCCTATTAATCCTTCCAGCAGCTACCGTACTGCCCTGATGCCCCGCTCCTTGATCCAGTGGTTCACGCGTATGGAGCGAGGAAGACAATCGAAGGGACGTCGAAATGGCCTTTAGTAATCTTCAGCCACGGACTCTTTGGCTCTCGGACTACCTACTCTCAGTTTTGCGGCAGGCTTGCTTCTGAGGGCAAGAATTGCATTGATTCTTCTTGAGACAGTCCCTAATTGCATGCCTGAACCCCAGGGTACGTCGTGCTCGCAATTGAGCATCGAGATGGCACAGGGCCATCGGTACAGATCCGGTCAGCAGACCAGAAGATTCGTACGTTACCTTATACTTTGTACAATGAAGTGAAGTATGTATTGTATCTCCTTCCTTATCCCAAAAATGCCCCAATTTATTCTTCGCAGTTGGGGCGAACACGTCAAACCTGCAGGATTATATCCATTCCGAGTGGAACAGCTAGTGTTTCGCACAAATGAGGTTTACGAAATATATCACTCCTTCAAGGCTCTCGTCAACGGTGATGCGGGAAACATTAGAAGCGAAATCAGCGGGTCCGGCCATGATTTATCACAGTGGAAGGGCAAAATCGATGTCGATGACTTGTATCTTACGGGTCATTCTTTTGGCGGTGCCACCGCGGTGAGTTCTTATGCAACCATGTCTTATCCAAGAGTTTCTGACTGTTCTTGGCGATAGTTCGCAGTCCTTCGACATCCACCTCCCGAATCTTTCGAGCCTCTTCCTTTGAAAAGCGTTCTAGCACTCGATCCATGGGTTGACCCTGTCCCTTCTCCGGGTCCGCTTCCTGCCACAGCGTTCGAAAGACCTCCACTGGCTGTCATCAATTCGGAGGGTTTCACGCTATGGAAAGAGCATTTTAAGCTTCTGAGAGATATCGTGTCGCACTGGAAGACAGAAGCGGGGGCATCGGCTACGCTCATGACAATAGGTACATCATGCATTGTCGATGCATTCAATTAGAGGGAATCTCAGCCGAACTAATATCTTCGTCCAGTGAAGTCAGGCCACAAAGATTTCAGTGATTTCCCCGTTGCACTTCCGTTCACAGCAAAACGAGGTTTGAAGATCGCAGATATTATCCATACACTGTCCACTTCATTCTTTAGAAATTCTCTGGAAGCGGAGCTAGGTAAAGAGCCTAGAAAGAGCGAAGAAATCTGGCAGGACAAAAAAGGGAAGGAACGCTTGGCGGGGAAGTTTGGACAAGTGTTAGTACACTCTTAGAACTAGCTATTGGGTTCCCGTCCTCCTATATAATTTCCCTCAGCAATCAATCCTATGGATGGGAAACCGGAGGGCATCCTCAGGCTGGCAGAGTTCATCAAGAAATCGATAAAAGGAATGGGCGCCGCCGCACTAGCCAAGGGAGGAGACTCGGAGCATGCGGGAGTCAGAGGCAGAGTTTGATAGAGCATAAGCACCGTAGATACGTAACCATCCAGTTCAGCCAATAACCTCGCCATCAACAAGCCAGAGGACTCCGTGTCCTGCCTAGTATTGGTGATCCCCTCATGTCCATTGTAGTGTCCGGGGAGAACAAAATAGAGTACATCATCATCATCATCCAAAAACCCGTTTGTTAATGTCTCTGTAAACCTGTTGCAACACCTGTGACAACATCTGTAAAATCATATATATAAGCCATCGCCACATGCATGCCTCCTCCTTTCCTGCGGGACAGAATGGACCGAATCCATTTCTGTAACATTTTTTCTCAGAAATATCGGATCCAAATTCGAGTGACGCTTAAAGTGATCCGTGTTGGGCTGAGAGATTTCTGTGGTCATATTCCAGTGGCTGGGACGCTACAGGTGCAAATGTGAGGATGGCAGTGAAAGGCAATGAACGAACCAACAGACGGACATGGAGGTGAGGCCTTCATGTTCTACGAAGGTTACCCATCCTTGGTTGCTGTCCAAGTTCTACATTCTTGTGGTTCATAGTGGATCCAACGTCCTCAGGGATATATACTCATCGATGTAAATAACATTACATGTCATTGTTGAAGCACGAAGTTCCCGATGAGGGTACGTTGTGCTTGTAATTGAGCATAGGGATGGCACAAAGTCATCAGTCAAAATTTGGTCAGCGAATCAGAAGATCCATACATTAACTTATACTCGATACGATGAGGTGGGATGTGTGTCATATCTCCTTATGCCGAGATTGTCTGAATTTATCCTTCACAGTTGGGGCGAGCACACCAACCCGTGGGATTATATCCATTCCGAGCGGAACACTAGTGTTCCGTACAAATGAAGTTTACGAAATATACCACTCCTTCAAAGCCTTCGTTGACGGTGACACGGGAAACATTAGAAGCGAAATTAGTGAGTCTGACCATGATTTGTCACAATGGAAAAGGCAAAATCGATATCGATGACTTGCACCTTACGGGCCATTCCTTTGGTGGTGCCACCATGGTGGGTCCTTATGCCTCATGATAATAGGAGGGCTAAAGCGGGAGCTCAGTCTCCGTTAATGAAGAACTGAATTACTACGGTTAATACTAACCTAAAGCGGGAGCTATAGTACAGAAGAGTACAGAGTAAGTAATGTAACAACTAACTAAAAACAATGATACTAACCTCAGTCTCCGTTAATGAAGAACTGAGGAGAAAAGGAAAGTAGACCCAAACAATTACCTATATACAATGCAGTCACGGTATCAATACAACGGAAACGAAAAATAAGATCATGTGAGTTTGGTTAGTGAGTCACGCGTCGTTGTAACTCCAACATGCCCACTCAACGTGTGAGGAACCTCAAGATCGGCTGTCGCCGATGGCTAAGTCCTTAAGGATTAACAAACTCACTAGGTCACTGAGAGAGTCACAGGTCCAAAAGGGCTTGATTTATGGGGTAAATACAAGAGGTTCTGTCTAACTAACAAAACTTGGATGGGTATATATATCCATCAGACTACTTATGTAAGCACACCACTTACATTCGCCCTCCTGCGAGGACTGGCTACTCATATCTAAGAACTGGTGTTAGTCAAATGATCGGATATATAGACCTAAGAATGCATAGAGAAATTCGATTCCTGACTTACGAGGGGCTTATGTAAGGCCGGTTGGGGTGCCGGCCTTGGTGACTCCTCAATCCTCAGGCTGTCGATAACGTAGACTGTATGGAGCTAGTATTCGACAGGGGGGGAGGAGAAGAGCAAAGCCCCTTTCCCCGACCCCGGACACTATATATATATACAGTTGTTTTACATTATTTATTACGAAGAGTATTAAAGAATAAAAGAATAACTGAGATGCGCGCAAAGCGCGCATCATCCCATCCCTGTCCATCCCTTACAGCTTAATGATTAACCTGCTGGTTCGATGAACCTTCAGAACCTTGTACCGCCTCGGTGGTTTCGTTTTGCAAATTGACCATCGACAACTCGCTTAAGTGCTCTATCGCACTTGAAAGAGATGGAGAAGCTGGTCCAGTGACGAAAGGTTGGTTTGCAAAATGGTTATCCAACTCGTCTTGCATGCACGTGGTTCTGAAAGGGTAGGGCATGGTGCTACCACTGGGTTGAGTTGGGTTAGGTATCTCCATATTGAACCTTGGTCTGTAGTTCATGTAACGGCCGCGTCCTCGACCACGACGTTCGTAAGGGCCATAAGGACCTGATGGACCCTGGCGAGGTCTGCCTCGGCCCCAGCGGCCAGTCGATCCAGGACCTGGTGGACGTGTGTATCTGTTGGTGGTTCCGATCACTGTTCCGGAATTCAAGATAGCTTGCGCTTCCAAGAACGGGGAATGCAAGGCATGGCTCTCAATGGCACTCAGGATGATGTTTGCGAGTCCATTAATCTCGACCCAGTCCTGCCAGTACTTTGGCTCAGGTCCGGGTTCGCTGTTACCTGCTTCTATCAAGGCTAGATAGCGACAGACCGCAGCGTATTCCTTTGCAGTCATGCTCAGAATGAGTTTGAATCTTGGCCTGATACCTCCGTCATTATTGGAATCGACGGGGGGAACAACGAAGTGCGAATATGGCGTGTACATTGGTGAGAAGTTCTGAGTAACTGAGTTCGGTGGTGCGGAGAGTTGGGGGGTGGACGAGTGGGTAACGGGTCCTGAGGATATCGTCGCAAGTGATAGTCCTTTTATACTTTTAGTGATGTCTGATATCGGTAAATCATCCTGTTTCAAATTCGAAATGCTCACTCCCAATATGTTTAAGTAATCATCCAGTGCTGCTCTTCCGCGTAGCACTAAGTATGGTTCCCAGCTGGTCGAGCCGTTCGACCACTGCACGAAAAACTTGGCGTTTTTTCCTTGTCCATCATGTCGCATGACTCGCCTGACAAATGAATTTTCAGACGCTCCTAGCCCCACGTAGTTATCAATTTTCCTGCTCGGGAATAAGATATCATCATTAGGAATATGAGGTCGTAACAATTTTGAATGAAATACCGGGTGTATTCCTCGTTCTTTCAACTCATCTGATAATTCTAATTCGAAGCTCGCGCCCGGTGACGCCTCTCTGATGATCTTCAGTGGGCCAATGAACTTCATCGTCAGTTTCCGTGATTTCCCTTTACCTAAGTTAAGGTTCTCTGTGGACAAATACACGAGGTCGCCTACTTTAAATGGCACCTCTTTTCGATGTTTGTTGGTAATCCAAGTCTGATTTGTTCTTGAGTCGATCAGAGCGTCGTGTGCATCAAGAGTGACTGATGCCATTTTTCTTGCTACCGTCCGGATACCAGGATACGGTGATTCGTGTGATATGAGCAACGGGTTTGGTTGTCGGATCCCATTCAATTCAAAAGGTGAATAACCTGTACTATCGGAAGTCGACATGTTGATTGCTAGTTCGATTACCGGTAATTTAGAAGCCCAGTCTTTCTGGCTATGAGACACTGCCTGTCTCAGCATCTGGCCTATCGTCCGGTGGGCTTGTTCTGTGGCGCCATCTGTTTCAGGGTGGTAAGCGCTAGACAGCCGGAGTTCTACACCTATTAATTTATGCAATTCTGTCCAGAACGTTGAAGTAAATAGGCTGTCGCGATCACTCACGACCCGTTGTGGCAGTCCGTGCAACTTATACACTGAATCAAAGAAGACCTCTGCCATGTCGCGCGCTGTATAGGTTTGAACTGTGGGTACCAGGTGTACCATCCCGCTAAAGTGGTCGATGATTGTGCAGATCATATCAAAGGCACCATGCCGCATCTTTGAGAGTGGCATTGGCCCGACAAAGTCGATCCCAATGGATTCCCATGGTTGAGAAGGGATTGGCAATGTTTTCAGGAGACCAAATGGAGCGGTTGTACGTGATTTTGTTCTGGCACAGGTTGGGCATGAAGCACAAAATTTTCGGGTGCTCTGTAGCAAATTCTTCCACCAGACATGTCGTCGCAGGTAGAGCTGAGTCTTCTCAGCACCTAAGTGTGCTAGAATCGAATGTGCATGCGATATGATGATCTCGCACAAAGAACGAGAACCAAACGTCACATTTGGAATACACAATACCGTAAATTGGCCGTTTCTCATAAAAATCAAAGCTTCGTTGTTGGCATTCTTCATAACTGAGAAATTCGGGTAGTGCGTTGGGTTTTCTAGGATTTTGGCGAAGAAGATGTCTTGTTTGTACTTATCTGCAATGAATTCTGGTAATTTGAGACCCGGTTCCGAATCCGATACCAGAGGTATGAGTCCTGGTGGTGTTTCGGTGTTTTTGGATTGTGATTCTGAGTGGATTTGATCCAATCTCGAGTTCATTGATTGTACAGGCTCCGTTTCGCGATTCTTTTGCATGTGCTTTGGAACTTTGATTCGGATTTTCACTTTCTCTTCAGGGCTCCCCTGTAGGCTCTCTTGTGTGATGGCTGATGATTCCTCTGGGTCGTTCCGACCATTTGTGATAATGGGATCCTTCCTAACCTTTCCTTTGGGTAGGGGCTGGGCTTGTAGTTTCCGCGTTTGTATCGCAGCGGGCCCCGTGACCACAGGAGCTGTGTAAAATGCCTGCCCAGGAATATCCTCGTCACTCTCATTTTCGGATAATGTTTCTGACACAAATTCGGAAGACGCACGTACTGTCCCCGGAGGCTCGCTGCTGTATATGCGAGACAGGGAATC